AGAGAGAGATCGCGATGCCCTGCGTCAAACTGACAGCTGCTGAACCAGATGTTGGCATATCTCAGGAAGGATTCCCCCAGCAGGGTAGGACCTTTCTCTTAGATGGCTTCAACGAACCTGCCAGTTAATATGTGGAACGGTCCCCGAGCTGACAGACAGGCTGACAAATTTATGGAAAGCGTGACGCCGAGTAGGTCCGTCTCGTCGGTATTGTTTCCCTCAGTTTTCCTGCCCAGCACAAATCTCCGAACAACGTCAAACATTCTGCCTATATCAGAGTATATAATATCAAAAGTAAGGCGACAAAGCGGCGCCTCGGAGGCTTTGACTGTCTTCAGCTTTGTGCTTGTCAGCAAACAACCGCAGCTGAGTGACGCCAGACTGCCGAGGCTACGTAAAGACGTGTGCTGCCCCAAGAGTGCCGGTCCGCCAGGGCCAAGCCGCCAGGGCCGCAAGCCGACCGTGGGAAGAAAAGGGCCGTTTTCTCAGCCACATCTCTTGGTTCACCACAACTCTGAGATCCGGATGCCCGACTCCCGTCTCTCACCCTCTCACTGCACTCAAAACCCGCCGCCGCCGCCCAGTTGCTCCCAACCCGACAGACCAATCAGTCGTGCAGCAAGGGCCTCGGTCATTGCCCTGAAGCGGTGTAGCTCGCAAGGCCAGACAAGTGAGGGGAACTCCAATTATGGCGGTCAATCCCGTCTGCCCTCGACATCTCACAAAGAGCCTGCATTTGGTGAATGGTGATTGGTGAACCCTCTCTTGAGGTTGATCAAGTTTCGCGACACCTCTCACACAAGGCTTCAGCCTATCACCCGCTGCTTGCACCTCAGCTGAGAAACACCTCGCAGTGTCGATCTGCCAGCCCGGCGGGAGATGCCACGATGCTATTAATCGCTTCCGCCTTGCTGGTGCTTGGGATCGACAATCACGAACAGGACCAGAGAACGGAATCTGGTGATCAGCATGTGAAGACGAGCAACGAGAAACAGGCAAGTATAGCGTAAGGTACTAAAGTGTGTAGCCGTCCAGCGCGCCGATAGCCAAGACGTTTCTGCCCAAATTGCAGGTTCAGAAGCCGCCGTTTCGTCCACAAACGCAATGGCATTTTCGCAACGAGAAAGGATGGGGGGATAAGGGAATTGTGGGGCGCAAGTTGTGACGAGATGAAGCTTCGATGCATGTTTCTTTCTGGCTTCTAGCGCTGGCAGCCAAATGCAGGTGGCTGTATCGCCGTCTCTTGCTACCGCTTGGCTGCTTTGCCAGCGCGTGACTTGTCGTTGCTTGGTCTGGCGGTGGACAAGACGCTACCGTCTTTTAGTGTCCGAACAAGAGCCTCGCGAGCCTCGAGCGAACGTTGAGAAGGACGCCGTTTTCGTCCGGCTGCATCCGCAGGTTGGAGTGTCTTGTTGTCAGTCAACGACTTGTTTTCTGGTGGCTCTTGCATGCAGTGGAAGTCGGCGACCACTCGAACGTGACCCCCACCAAATATCGCCGTGTGCGCTGTGTTGATGAGGGGTTTGAGGTTTACTTCAGGCCCTTGCTGTGGCGCTGGTCTGGACCGCTTCAACGGAGCGCAATGACCTGGCTCTGATGATATCGCTGCATGTCGACGAGTTATTGACGATGACCACACGGATAGGAATAGTGCCAAGTTCAAGGTGTAGCGAGCTCACATGCCAGATATCCGAGTTGGGTTGACAACGAAAAGAGGGGATAGTTAGAGAGGTCAGGGTACAGGGTGTAACGACTGACCTAGTCCCCAAGCTAGCGCATGAACCACTTGCTCGATACACCACAAACGAGTTTGTATGAGGTCCATCTCGAGTGTGGTCGTTTAAAAGCTGATCCCCTGACAACCCCTCCCGAACCCCTTTCCTTGGCGAGAACGGAAGCGCTGTCAAGGCCGTGCCGTGGCCTCTGACTTGCCGACCTTGCTTATTCTCTATTGTGGTGTCGACGGAAGTGTTGTCCGGGTCTGGAAAGATCCAGTGTTGCTCATCTTGGGCCTGTAAGATGCGTGTCTTTCCTTCGTCAGCGGCGAGCCGTGTGCGGTGCTTGGCGCAGCGAATCAAGGCAACGTACGTATATGTCGTCTTCCATGATGAGTGAGAACTTGTATGTGGCAAAGGTACCAACTGCGAAGGGGAAAACTGCGCGAAGGGTCCATGAGACCGTGTCCTCGACGAGCGAAAAATACCTCGAGCTCAGACTGCCAACAGCTCCATCAAGAAGTCACAAGCGAATCTCGTCATCGAGACGATGTCGTGCATTGTGGCTTCTGGCGTCAGTTTCGCCCTGGTCTGGTCTCCGTTATTGACCCCTGGACGACAGGGCGTGAGGGCGGCTCTGATGAACTCCGTTTCTCGGCTCAGAACCCACGAACCCTTACCCTTGGCGATCATGTTTCGCCTTATGTCGTTAATAATAAACCTCAAAGCCTCGGTGTGGTTTTCAAGGCCCACCATCCGAGATATTGCTGCCCGCCTGTTGATATGAACTGCTCGGGGGATTATTCGGGCATGGCCGACAGCAAGTGTGCTGATAAGGGAGCCTCCACCACTAGCATCTCTGAGGCCTAGTGTGGAAGGTCTCTAGAAGCCTGCACAGAAGGCTTTCGGCGGTGGCTGATTCGTCTTGGGCGCTGGGCGTGCCTGAGCAAGCTGGTCGTGATCAGCATCATGCAGCATAATGGTCTTGTTCTGACCATGACATGACATGACAAGTTGGCAACACCATCTGCAGAAAACATGTTTCCTTATCAGACTATTTTAGTCGTTTCTGATGTCCTGTAATGAAGTACCCTCCCACCGAGACCAGGAAGGTCTCACGAGATTCCTGAAGAAGGCAGAGACCACGACTGGTGCTGCATGTCGTCAGTGTTTGCTGAACCCAGTAACCAGACAATGACTGGCCGAATATATTAAATGCTGTCACTAGCTCGGTGATGGGGAAACCCAACGCATGTTGAAAGGACCCCCACTCCTGCGCAATAGCTTCAATGGAATACATCGTGTGCTTGCTGCTATTGCTTGTTGCATTGCGAGAGGAGGATGTCTCACATGGCTGTCGATATAGTGGCTGCTTCGTGGGCTTGAGGCTGACGAGGGACTATCAAATGTATATTGCATCTTCCCTTTGGCGTCCTCGGGTCGGGTAGCGTCGTCAATGCGGTCTCAGATACGGGACGGTCGCTTGTTGATGTGGAATACGGGCCTGGCTCGCAATAGGTACCGGCACAGGGTCGCAATCTGATGATAACCGACTGGCAGGCGGTTTTGCTCAAAGCGGACGACGCCGTTGTCAGATGGGGGTCAGTCCAGCCAGAGCGGGACCTCCTGGCATTGAGAGGCCTGTTTTGCCGTGATTTTGATTTTATGGAGCCTCATGCTTCGTGTTAGCGTTTGTGATAACAAGAGATGTCGTCCGGCCAGCTGTAAGAAAGTAAAAGCGCCGAATGTGAAGTGTTGGTAAGTACGAACTAGGTTGATCCGGTTCAAGTTGCTGAAAGTTCAAGATATCAGTGAAAACTGTGGCAGATGGCGGGGCACTACATGTGTAAACGGACGGGACAACAGGGTCAGCCACAAACCCCCGCGCTGCCCCGCTGGCGCTGGGATATCTCTACAGGGGACCTGTTAACGCCAACCTCGCTCCAAATTCTCGCATTCGCAGTGACAGCGACAGCACTCTTGAATCTGTTGTGTACGTCGCAGTCGCCAAACACAAGCTCTTCGGTTGACCAAGGGATTCTTTAGCGCCCCAAACGCCATGAATTTCACAACTCTTGTAACGAGAGAGCGGTGACAGAGAGACTCCAGAGAGAGATAGAGCTCGAAACAGACCGTCAGGGCACGGAGCATTTGCGGTATCTCCGAAACTTCTTCAGCTCTTGCCGGTCGGCCAATTCTGAAGCCTTTGGGATCTGGGTTCGGTCTCCCTTTCAGTCGGAATAATTACACTTCACTGGCCATAATCCCTCAGGCTAACTCGCCCATCTCACTCTCAATCCTCGATGCTCTCCCCCCTCCAATGGCAGCCCAACAACCCATCTTAACCGTCTTTTTATTCCGAAAATCATCACTGTCTCACCTGAGTATCCGACTGGGGTCTATCATGGACGAGTGGATGGATATGGTGGACAGGTGAAAGAGAGAATGTGGGACGCAATGGGGCCTTCCTTGGCCCTCTCCACTGACCAGACTCCAACTCCCGCCCGTCACCTGTTGTAACTCGTCGCCGCCCCCAGCTCGCGGCCGTTGCACCCACTCCAGAACCTCGTCCGCTCCTCCGACCGATCCTCCCTTGGGCCCTGGTCGGTACGGAGGTACTTGGGTGGTACCTGTGAGAAGGGGGCGTTGGCGCGCTGCACGGGGGGACTGGGGGGAGGGTGGTAGGGGTAGGCGGAGGGGAGGGGGGGGTCAGGTTGCCGGGCATGGGATGGGGCTGCATGCAGACCGTGTGTCTCTTTCTTGCTGCTTGGTGCCTCGGTGGAAGTGCTGAGGTGCTTGGGAGCTGCTGTTTAATAAAACAGAACACCCTACCACACACACGGCTCGCGGCCTTGCCTTGCTCTCATATGTTGCCCTCTTTCCCAATCTGATTCATTTCTCATCCCATCCCATCCCACTTCATCCCATCTCATCTCGACCATTCCCAGCTTCCAGGTTCAACCTCCCTCTCGGCTGCGAGACATACACAGGCTCCAGTGTCTCTCCCACGCAGCGTGCTATGTGCCCCGAGTCTTGCCATATTAATACCCGTTCACCCACTCCAGCCAGCATCCGCTGTCTCTCGAGGGCCACACCTTGTGTTCAATAACACTTGCCTCTTCACAAGGCCTTCTGTCGGTTGCCCTGCTGTGCGGATCTGCACGAGACTTCCCGGGAATTCGGAATTGGCCTTACCAGCAACTACATCGAGACTTATTACTTTAACCAGCGGTGGAAACTTTGAACGGATCAACACCACTACAACCACCATCATCATCAGATATCATGACTGCACCAATCAACACGCCGTCGACAGGAGCAGCGAAGGATGCTGCCTCGGCCAGGAAGCGCAGAAGAAGAGCCCCCGCCGGCGGGGCCGCAGACGACTGCTTTACTTGCGCCAAGCGGAATGTGAAGTGTGATCGGAGGAGACCGTATTGCTCGCAGTGCTTGGAGATTGGTAACGAGTGCTCTGGCTACAAGACGCAGCTCACATGGGGTGTTGGCGTGGCCAGTCGGGGCAAGCTTCGCGGGTTGTCGCTGCCCATTGCAAAGGCACCACCAGTCAACCAAGCCAAGACGAGCCTTTCCAGCATCAAGTCACCAACGACCACGACACGCTCTCGGACGACCTCCATCACTTCGAACGGTCAGTGGCCAACCGAGCAGGATGAGCGGGCAGTTCGCGGCGACCTGGAAATGGGCCACGGGCGGAGCCCCTCTATCACGATACCTCCTTTTCACCACCACCCTTACGACATGTCGCACATGTCTCCTACCGAATCCGCGCCGCCGGGATGGACTCACATTCCCTTCTCGTCCAGCATGCCCCCAGTAGATGGTCCGAGGTTTCCTCCACCACGCAGTCTTCACATTCCTGTGTCGACTCCTGGTGACATGATGATGCACCGGGAAATGATCCACACTCCCCTGGACACCATGAGCGAGGTTGACTACATGTCTCCCATTGCTCACTCGTTTCCGAGAGACGACGTGCCGCAATACATCCACAGCCCTATTGTCTACGACGGATTCCACAATCACGGGTCGCCCGTTCCACAGAGCCCAACAGGTGGCATCATGATTGAGCAGCCCCGGGCACCAACCTCTTGCCCCAGCCTCGTATATGGTCCATCAGAACCCGCTTCGAGTCTTCAATCTCACATGTCTCATGTAGAGTCCTTGGAAGCCCAGCTCAGTCGCAAGCTCCCACATGAATGCGACGTCATGGGTGAGTTTCGTTACCCACAACAACCGTATCACATACGCTGACCTCAAGACGCAAAAGCTCCTGGCACGCCTGACTTGGACACGTACGGAAGCAGTGTCCAGTCTCACCACGGCTCTTTCTGGGCCCCCTCGAACGCGGATGAGGATTCGCTCTCCTGCAGCGTCAATGAAAGGACCCAAGCCCCCTGGGCGAACTCATATCCTTCACAGTCACCATCACCCGTCTTGCAGATGAGCCCAGATCTCGCCACTAAGATGCCATTCTTCATCGACTACTACGAGAAGTCCATGTGCCCTAGCATGGTGTTTATCGATGGCCCCAACAATCCCTTCCGAGAGCATATTCTTGGCCTTGCCAACAGCAGCCGGAGCTTGCAGCACGCCATCTGCGCGCTGGCCGCCTGCAACCTCAGGATGAAGCGCAAACTCAGTCTCGGTCAACACAGTTTCGACATGAGAGAGAAGAGTCCCGTGGAGAGCCCCTCGGATGGGCAAGATCAGTCATTGACTGAAGAATACCAACACAGAAACTTGGCAGTACGGTTACTTGACGAGCAGCTCAACGACGCGGAAAAGTCAACACAGGACTCCGTTTTGGCCACCATCTTGTTGCTCTGCCACTACAGAATGGCCGAGTCAGGGGTTGCCAAGTTTCACACACAGTTTGCCGGAGTCAAGAAGATTCTGGGCATGCGCCGGATGTCTCCTTACCCACCATCAAGAGACTCGGCCTGGATGGAGGCGCTCTTCACATACTTTGATGCCATCTCCGCCAGTGTTAACGACAGAGAAGCCCAGCTCAACACGAGCTTTTACGGTGTTCTCCCTGATGCACAGCTCCTCCCACCCGGAGCTGAGAACCTCGTCGGCTGCGACCGCGAGCTCTTCAGGACCATTATCAAACTTGGCCGACTTAACTTGCTTTCTCAGCAGCGGCCAGTCCAGAACCTCCTCGCCTCCTCGCCACTCCCCCGGGCAAATGATACCTCGCGTGCCGTCTCCCCGCTCGGTGCGCCATTCAAGTCATCTCCCCTCCTCAGCGGCCCCGACCACCACCACAGCCTCTTTGGCGGCCTTCCCCACCCCATCAACAGCAGCGTCCGCTTCGACGGCAACGGGTTTGGCTCCACCCTCGACGACAATGACCATCTCGGCGCCAACTCGATGCAATCACCCTCCTCCGCCTACGATGACCACCGCAGCGCCTTCTGGCGCGAGTGGAAAGAGGCCCGCATCGCCCTCCAAACCTGGGAATTCGACTCCAACCGCGTCCGGGCCTCGCTCACCGGCCCGCCGCTCCCGCTTCCATCCCTCTCTTCCTCTCCCACATCCCCAGGAGTAGGAATGGGAGTTGGCGCTGGTGTCAATGGCACCACCCCACCCCCGACCGCGACTCAGATCCGGGATCTCAACTCCCTCTCCGAAGCCTTCCGGTATGCCGCGCTCTTGTACACCGAGCGTCTTGCCAGCCCTCACTCCCCCTCCACCCACAACAACTTCCGCAACTTGGTTTCTCAGGTGGTCTACTACGCCACCAGCCTCGAAGCGGGTTCCTCCGCGGAGAAGTTTCTGCTCTGGCCGCTTTTTGTTGCGGGAAGCGAGTGCGTCAATGAGCTGCAGCAGAATATTGTCCGGTCCAAGTGCAGGGAGATTATGAACCGGAGCGGGTACATGAACAACCTTGCCGCGTTGGAAGTGCTTGAGCGGCTCTGGGCTGGGGAGGGGGTGCAAGTCAAGGATGAGTACAACAGGATGAGGCCGGGCACGGCGGGGCAGCAGCAGAGGGGCGGGCCGTTTAATTGGATCAAGTGTATTGGGGGAAATCAGGAGGTGGAGTGGATTATGTTTTGATGTTGATATGGATTGGGACGGATATGATATGAAAGGGGGGGTACCTACCTAGTTGCCCTGGATTTATGGCAACAGTGAGTGAGGTACATCAATGATGGTGACCTGCACATTACACACACACAGACACACAACACACATACCGACATCTCTTTGTTTATTATATCATTTTTTTGGTTTACTTTTTATATATACCTACTTATTTAGCTACCGTGGTTATACCTTTACCTGTCAGGGTTTTGGGAACAAGAGCAGGTTCTTGATGGCGGGGGGGAAGAGGAGGAAGCTATGGGTACATGTTTTATCAGATACAATTGTTGAAACTTTTACAAAAACATTGCAAAACATTCACAACACTCTTCCAACTATAAGCACATGCAAAACACTGGTGACAAATGTTCAACTACCTATGAAGAGCTCTATGGCACGGACATGGAGTCTTGTGAGGAGCCTTCATACATGCTGTACGCGAGGTGTCATGTGCCATATCCGCATTAGATGCTCATCTCAGTAGGCAATGCACACTTCTCTCAGCTGGATGACTGTCCGTGTGAGCGAGTGTGTCCCCATCTCGGGTAGCCCTTCAGAGACGCCCACAGTCTCAGCTCGGCATATGTTCTTTCCTGGAAAGTGTCAGGTTCGTCTGTGCCTCGGACGGGACTCTCCCTCTCCTCCCTCCCACAATCCACACAGCTTGCTGACCCCCTCCTCGGGTGGGTAAGCAAAACATTCGGGGTATCCCATGTTACATCAGATCTACCACCTCACCAGAAGAATACTTCAGAGGTACATCCTCAATCGATCGACGTTCCCCCTCCCTTTCCCCTGCCCCCGTCAAGTCTAATGTATCTCTATCACATCACTACTGCCAGCTGGTTACAACCCGCGTTCTAGTCCTTGCCAACCTACCGTTGCAGACCTTCTCGAAGTTAATGTCTCGGTGAGTGAATCGAGGTGGCTTACCCGGTTTGAGCACAAAGCCGCGCTTAACAGACCGTCGCTACAGTGTCTCTCACGATAACCTCTTCTTGAACATGACAAACAAGTGGAGAACTGGCAATGGAGACAGAGAGATAAAGCACGCAATCTGGATGTAACTGCAAAAAATGCAAAACGGCTCCATCGACTCCATCAACAAAGTTGTAGCCAACAAGGAACGCAAAGGAACGACAAGCTTCGCGGTTAGTGTGTTCTTTTTTCCCCCCATGCCGCCTTCGCTTACCCCCTCCCCCTTGCCTGTGTGTGTTGTTTCCCCCTCAACTGGTGGCTCTCTCGATGTACACTGTTGTAGCAAGAGGCAAAACCCAGCTGTGGAACTGTTGGGTGGTAGTGGTGAGGAGGAGAACAGGACCGCTCGCCGTGTAGCCGTCTCAAGGTCAGGGGTCAGAATGTGCATACATACACAAAGGACCTGCCCAATCGGAGATTCTAACCTTCAAGGGGAAAGTTGCGTGGGGGAAGGGACTTGGAACTACTGTACCACAAGAGGGGTGTTGTGTACATGGGGCGGCTCGCTGGCGGCAATGTAAGTTTGTAAGACGGGGAGGATAATGGAGATAGGGGAAACGATGAAGAGGAGAGGAGGAGGCGTCAAGCCACACCTTCATCCAGCACAAACTGGGGGGGGCTGGCCCAGTTCCAGACGAGAGAGGGGACGAAGGAGGCAAAACAGAAGAAGGGAAGAAAGAAAAAAATCGCCGACAACTTTCGGTATCCCGTATCCGTATAGACTCTATCGGTTTGTCCTCATCTGCGGTGGAGAACTCCCCAACCCCAAACTCCATAGATCAACACAAACCCCGTTGGTTAACCGCGCTTCCTCTACCCTACCTCAACACCACTGATTCGGTGAGAGTAGTAGAGAAATCATGTTGTTGATCTGTCCAGACCACCACCACCACCACCACCACCACCAACCTCCATAAAAACCCCGCTAGAAGCTGCACAGAACAAAAAAGAAGAAGGGAACCCTAGCACACACCAAGCAAGCCACAAAAGTGAAGGTGAGGGGGGAAGAGGGGGGTCAACAACACTATCGAATTTGATCGGCCACCTCAGCAAAACCAAATCTGATAGAAGCGACCTTCTAGAAAGACTAGAACCCGTCTAGAAGGTAAGAGGCGTGATAGAAGAACAAACTTGGTGTGGTGTGCTACCGCTTGGTGGCTTGCATCATTGCTTTGCTGCACGCGACCACACCCACAATCACCGCTACCACCACTGATTGTGAGCTCATCAGGTTTGCTAAACCGAACCTGGATCATAGCAGATATGCGCTGTCATCGATATAGAGATAGGAACATTTTTTACTATCTTTTGGCCCTGGACCTGGCTTGCGGGATATGTTGGAAACACACAATGTACCCGTCAGGGGTCATGTTTCCTTTCCTGTGTGCACACACGACCAACAACAGGGGAGGGGGAGAAGGGTTGGGTTGCTTTATCTGGGGAAAAAGAGGTGGAGAGAGAGAGAGAGGGGACAAAACGTCCCTGTTTTCTGGCTGTTGACCTTGGAGGTACTTCCAACGACAGTCAGCAAAGCAAAAAAGACGGGATATGCAAGCATGTCCTGCAAGCTGCAAGCAAGAAGCAGGTTGTCTTTCCCTCCCGTAGCGTCGCGACTAACATCTGCTCCGTAGAAGGAAGGGGAGGGGGTGTTGGCATCCCGCGATCACACCGGGCCATACCGCAACAGGAAGGCAATTCAAGATCTGGCGGAAGACGTGATTGCCGTGGTGGTCTGTGTTCGGACGGACGAGCTCATCGGCTACCGCTGAGGAGACAAGTCCTGAAGCTCGGATGTTGGGCAGATAAAACTGAAGAGAAATCTCTCCCTGCTTACCTCACGAGCTTGTGAACGTGAGCGTGGGGGGAGGGCGGTTGCGAGATATCGATGGGTGTTGGGCAGCATCGAACGGCTCGACGACCTAAGTTTAGACACCGAGATGCTCTGAGGGACAGAGACACCTACCAGATCCGAACCGTGAGTGTGTGTGGTCTTCGGTATTGGTATGCTTTTGGGTATCACTTCGTTTCCTACGAGACGGAGCGGGATTTTCTCATCCAGTCGGGCGATTTGTGAGAGGGGTTGATGCTGTTGAGGCCAAGCTCATCCTGCCAAGAAAAGAGAGGTGACCTTGGTCTTCAGACGTCAAGGCTTGCATGTGACAGTCACGCGAGGCTGGGATTCAATAAAAGAAACGGTGAAGAAGGCTTAATAGAGCTGTGTTATAGCTTCAGACGGAGACATGACGGTCTCTTCGAAAGAAGATCGTCAACAGAAACGGTTCCAAGTTGTCACGGACGCGAAGACAGGAACATTGCATTGTCCAATCTTGCATCTGCATGTCTGAATCATGGAGGGGAATCGGTTGCCAGTCTCTTCAGTTGGCAGCAAGTGTGGCAGCTGCCCTGGCTGAGAAGGAGAGTCATCGGCGTTATGAATTCGGCGATAAGAAGGCAACCAGCCCGATCGATAAGGAGCCAACCCACTAAAAGATCTTATCTTATCGCCCTTATCGTCTCAACTCCAGAATTTTTGGCCGCCATGGTACGGCAAGCGCAGCGACAGCAGCAGCGCAATCGACCACAGCCAACCACCGCACCAATTAACACCATCACCAACCTTAACCCCTCCCTCAGACCACCCCACCACAATCCAAAATGGGTCGCGAACTTCAAAAGCGCAAGGCGCGCTCCTCGCGCTCCAAAGTGAAGATGCCCAACCGCCGCACGAAGGCTCTCAACCCCCTAGGAAACAGCATCATCGCCCAGAACTGGTTTGTCTCCCCCTCTCTCTCCCACATATTCCCATTTCACTCACTAACTCTACATGTCACCAGGGACAAGAAACAGACCCTCTCCCAAAACTACACCCGCTTCGGCCTCGTCGCAAGGCTAGGCAAAACAACAGGCGGCACCGCCCCCAACGACAAATCCAAACTCCGCACCGACGTCCAAGACCCCCTCGCCGTGCAGTCTTACTCCAACTCTGGCTCCCTCCGCGTCCGCGAGGTAAAAGTCGAGCGCGACCCCGAGACGGGAAAGATCCTCCGGATCATCAAGGATACCAACCCTTTGAATGACCCGCTAAACGACCTCGAGTCTGGAGATGAGGGTGAATCAACAGAGAAGAAGGAGTACGAGGAATGGGGCGGGCTAGCGGGGGAGACGTATGAGAAGAGCGAAGTTCTCAAGGCGTTGGAAAGGGAGGCGGGAAGAGAAGTGGTGGCGAAACCGAGGTATCAGAGTGATAGGGAGAGGGAGTGGTTGGAGAGGTTGGTGGAGAGGCATGGGGAGGATGTGGGTGCTATGGCGAGGGATATGAAGTTAAATCCGATGCAGCAGACGCCCGGGGATTTGAAGAGGAGGTTGAAGAAGGCGGGGCTGATTTAGGGGCGTTTAATGCTGAGAGGGTTCTGCTACATTGGGGCTTCTGTTGAGGATGTAAATTGAGCCTCACAGTGTGGCTCTCAAACAGGGCGGCTGTAGATGGGGAAGAGGTTCATGTCACTCATAATACCGGCGTTTTCTGGCGTTTATAGTTGGTCTTCATCTGATCTGGCGGAAATGGAAAAATCTGTGGTTTTGATTAGAGCACTTGGGCCTAAATTAGCGAAGGCGGTCGAACAGGCGGTTGAGCAGGTCGTTAGGTCAGGTTGCTGGACTTGAACTAGATGATTATCAAGACTTTCGGAAGTCCTGCCACCTGGGCAACCACTTGTTAGTTTAACATTCATCATAAACCCTATGAGATGATGGCAACCAAAGTTTGGAGATATCTTGGACAGACACCACATCTTCTGCGTTGCCATTCTTCAATATATCAATTTGAGAAATGCCCTGCAACTCCTCTATACGCCTTAAACCTTTCATCACGGCTACAACTGGAACCATGCCTCGTGCTCAAACAAAGCCACCAAAGCCACCATTCGCACATTCAGAACCAGGACATGCAACAAACCATCCTCATGTTCAACTACATGATACCTCCCTTTTCGTGTGAACAAGTCCCCCTCTTCCACCTGACGCCAGAACCCTAAAGACATTTCATGAGAGGTTTGTATATCGTGATCATTGTATAATAAAACCATACGCAAAGCCAAATGCCTCCAATGTACAAACTCCGCCCTCCGGAAACAAAATCATTCAGAAACAGTAAACACCCCTTCCCCACCAATTAACCCATCAAGCCATGACATGCCATTCGCTGCACTTTTGCTGAAGATGACCTTCCCAAGCACGTTTCGCTTTCATATCCCCCCTGACCATCAAGCCCCCGTTCGTAACTCAACATCAGTTCTATTCATCATCGATCACCGATGAAGGTGATCATAATTCGCCTGCGGAAACCTCGCCGGCCCCGTCCTATCCTCCTCCTCATCATACGTCCCCACACTCGGAGCCTGATACCTACTATTCATCGACCCTCCCAGCGTAGACGCACCCCCCATCCCCATAGCCGACACCCGTCCAGAGTTATACTCGGTATCGTCATCAAACGGGTTCGCGTTCGCCTCTCCCCTTCGGAACGGGTTGTCCTGGTATGAGCTGCCGATTGTGCTCGCGTTGGCCGCTCCACCGCCAACAGCGCTGCCGTACGGGTCCGAGTAATCCGACTTGGGGGCGCCGTAGGGGTCAGAGGAGTAGTCAGATCTGGCACCGCCGTAGGGAGCGGGTCTGTCGTCGTCGTCGGCGTCGTGGATGTTGACCGGGGCGTAGGCTTCCTCGTCGTGGGGGGCGAGGGAGAAGGCGGCTTTGTCGGGGTCGATGTTCTGGCTGTCGGAGCCGGCGCCGCGATCGCCGCGGTCGTAGCCGGGGAGGCGGTTGTTCCATTGGTAGTATTTGAGGGTCCAGATGCTTAGGAAGGTGGTGGCGCAGAAGAAGAGGCTGGGGATAGTTAGTACGGGTTATTCAAGATGTGAAGATGGTGGGGGAGGGGTAGGACATACAAGACGAATACGCCCATGGCGACGATGGCCTTGCTGATACCGCAAACATCTCCGCAAAGACCAGAAGAGTTATACGCCGCCTGTGTCGCAAAGGCAGAGAGCCAGATGATGGTGAAGATGACGTCGACCAAGACCATCACCGTCGGGTTGGCGATCTTGCGGGTTCGTGGGAAACGAGGGGCGCCGATGAGGTAGATCCATGCTGGTAACGACAAGAAGAACTACCATCCCATATCCACGTCAGTATCTTGTGATCCTAAAAAGTGAGGGGATACAGATAAGGTTGAGACATACCACTGCGAACGTCCACCCGTTGTTGCCCACAATCTTTGCGCTCTCGGCCCGGAACACAGCAATCTCGAGGCACCATAGTACAAACGCAAAGACAATCTGTGCTATGTGGAATGCGAGCTTAAAGGCCGGAATTTGCTCGGCGTCGAGCTCAAAGTCTTCCCACATTTTTTTCTTTGGAGGGGCTCTCTGTCCGGCGCTCGGTTCGATTGGGTTCGTCTGGTGTCGGTTGGTGTTAATGTTGCTATGCGCTTGCGCACGCCCTCCCGCCTGTCAGAAGATCAAGGTTTCCGGCCAAGGTTTTTCGAAAAGGAATTCGGAGGGGAGTTTGTTGTGTTTGTGCTGAAGACGATAGGGCTGCGACTGCACAGAAGATACAAAGAGCTGAGGTTGCGCAAGCTGGAGGTTTCCTTGGCTTCTCTCTCGCCTTATGCTTGGTTGCCCAGGGAACTCGATGGGGCTCGCACTCAAAAGCTGACGACTACCAACAGGGAACGAGGCTGTATGTGCGACGTCAAGTATTTCGTTTGGTGGAGATGGGATGGCCACAAAAACAGGATAAAAAGGACGAAAACAAAACAACCACCGGATACGGATATTCAGTTGCAAAACAGATCAGATTTTGCAGAATCGACAAGTGGTCGTCAGCTTTAGGATGGAGTTGACGTTGCATGTCAATATCTCTGTCGCAGGTTTGTCACCTCAACCCTGGATCCCTCCGGCTTGTTGCTGTCAAACTGCTGCAAACACAGCCGCAGCGCCTGGCTTGGCCCTGTTGCAAAGCCACAACAATGACGCTACTCCTGCTCCGGTCGCCGCGTTCCCAGTCCCCATCACCGCGAAGTGCCGGTGCTGGTGTTCCTTCTTGGGACTCTACGCCACGAGTTGTGCCTGGTTTCGACCAACCAACGCTCCGAGATTTTGAGATGCTCTCTCAGCTGTGGCGCCACACTCGGTCCAAGTCCAAGACGAAGCAAGAAACGGGTTACCAGCCCGATCAGCAGAAGCTGTAACCTTCTTTTCATTTATTTTATCCTGATATTTTCTTCAGTCTGGTATCACCACAAGGGAGCCTGAGAATCGACATGCTCTCGACAGCGAATTCCGCATGAACAAACAGAACTGGATCGAACAGGCGACAGTTTTGAATCTCGCATCCTGGGATCTTGGTCAAGAAACTGGAAGTTGTGTGGAAATGGTTTGTGCGCCGAAAAGCTGAGCACACTGTCCAGCCGCAGCATCACCATCGATCAAATGAAGTCTCGGTCACCAGAGCAAAACTGGATCCAAACGCGATATCTTTTTTGAGAGCAGGCCTGCGATAACTAATATTCGGCTTTAACCAGGAAGCACAGAAACCGGCGAGGTGAGGCTTGGTCGGCGCTTCGCTGGCCTTCAAGGGGTATCAACATTGTTTCGACGAGGCCTGCCTGGCGAAGATCATGCATCCATTCACAGTGCGTCTGTAATCAACACTGTGCTGTATGCTCGTAAGGCAGAACCCAAGTGTCATGTTTGAAGCATTTTGACATCGTGAAAACCATTCAGTTCATATTGCCGCCGTAGGATGCTCTAATCACGCTCTCTAGCGCTTACACTTTACTACAGGTGCAAAACTTGGCCTGGCAACGTGGTCACACAGTGGTAATCCGCGCTTCGCTACGTTGCTGGCGCTTCACGTTGGGCGCCTAACAGCTAGACGCTGGGCATCTAGACGCTGGACACCACGGGGGACAACGCGATGGTGATCATCGAGACGCTGGCCATCATGGATCTACATGCTCAACTCTAGATAGACGGGACTCTCTTAAATGACTGGCAACTCGGACCAGCTTCCCACATGCTATGTAAGTCAGGTCACCTGACGACAGCCCGTTTAGGATAAGGCTAGTTCTCGTCACTAGGCCTAATTGGACACCACACCCAGATTTTTAAACTTCAACATTAAAGTCCACGACCAAATATATATATTTAAGATACAGCTACGACACCACCACATAGGTATTTTAAAGGTAGTATATATTTAGGCCTTCTTTTTATTGAAAAAGCCTATTACGGTTATATGTATTTTAGTAGTTTGTGGTGCGAGTGAGTCTTAATTGATTGATTGTTAATGTGTGCGCGCCCGGGTAATTCGTGCAGGTTGATTAGCTATTTATTTGATTGATGGGTGTGGGCAGGGGTGGTATGTGTGGCCGGTGGCGAGTCATCTAAGGGAGTCCGATAGACGTCCAGCGTCTAGGTGTTCATGTTCTATGATCACAGATGAGTATGTATGTTGCCTCTCACAATCCAGCATCATGTTGTTTCTAATCATTGCGTTACACACTCCTCACATCACTTCCTTACATACCCCTTATTCATTGCCTTACACATTCACTATGGAGCTCGCCGGGGCCGTCGTCGGAATTATCGGCTTGGGAATACAGGCCACCGAATGTCTTATCAAGTACTACGCATCAGTCAAGAGTTCGAAAGCCAACATCACCAGTATCATTCAACAGCTCAAAGCGCTAGCCACAATACTCCAGGAGTTGCAAATTTGTTTTCGAACCCGCAAGTTCCAACCCCATGAGAGAGATCTTCTTCACTCGCTCGAGTCATCGATTCGGGAGTGTGAAGGCCACATTCAGGAGTTACACAACGAAGCCCAGAAATTTTCAGAATGCTCTTCAACCAGTAGCGGTTCAAGTTCTTTCTTTCCGCGCACATTCATCCGTCAGCTCGCCTATCCCTTACGTGGTGGTTTTCCCTTCTCGATACTTGATAAGTATGGCGCCTGCAAGGATGCTACCAAAGTACGATATAGACACCACACTCCGGAAGCTCTCAGCGATGGTTGACGGGCTATGCTCCAATCTGAGATTGGGTCTTCAAGTGTTGAATTTAGGAAGCAGCATGAATGTCATAGAAGGCATTCAAGTTAACCACGAGATGGTGAGGATGGAGCGGGCCGATCGATTGATGGCAGATATGCAACGATGGCTGAATGCATCTGATATATCCGTCCAACACAACGACACCATCAACAAGCAACACTCAAACACTGGCAACTGGTTCATCAGGGGTCCAGTATTTTCCTCCTGGCACGCCAAAGTGTCAACCATTTCAATGTACCACCTTCAGAGTCGGGCTTGATGGGCGTTCTTCGCACCGCGGTCAAGCAGTTCAGCAACACCTACATCATCTTGGACGGACTAGACGAGTGCCCCAGGAAGACCGGCCGAGGGTGTCTGCTCAAGGCGATCGAGGAAATCCGGGGCTGGTCAGACTCTCGACTGCATCTGCTCGTGTCTAGCCGCGATGAGCCAGATATCCGAGACTATCTTCGCCTGGCCACTCACGAGGAGGTCAAGATCAACAATGTCGACTTGGACATTGAGACGTTTGTCACTGGAACCCTGCGGAACAACCGGAACCTTCAAAGGGTGAGACAATTTCATCCCCTCATTCAGGGTGCTCTTATCTCGAGAGCGGAGGGATCGTAAGTCTTATATCCTTCCAAGCACCCATTCATAAGTTCCCAAGATACTACCACATTCTCCTAGATTCCGATGGGTCGAGTGTATGCTCACAGCCCTAGAATCCTGCCCGGTGGTAGAGGCACGAGTCAAGAGCTTGTTTTCCTCTGTGCCATACCCCTTGTGTGAAACCTATGAGCGTATGCTTCTAGATGTCGAACAAGGCTTTCTCGAAGATGCAAGGAGCATCTTGACATTGCTCTGCTCTGCTGAGCGACCGCTGACTGTTGCGGAAGTTGATGGCACCTTGAGGATGGGGCTTGGCGCAGAGGAAATCCTTCTCTGCTGCCCAGGGCTCGTGGTTATCGAGCACAACCGGGTCAGGCTGGTGCACAGTTCCGTGAGGGTATATCTGCAGTCGGCAAATCTAGCTCAGGCGAAGTTTAGGGCATCAAATTTTTGGGTTCGCAATGTTCCCGCTCAGTCTCAGGCTTAGCAGGCCCCGATTCGTAGCTGGCAGTTACTGAGCCTGGTGATCTATCTGTTTCCTTTGTTGGGGTTGGAAGGCGTGACGTTCAGGAGGATAACCAACATAGTGCCATTGCGCGAAATAATACACAACCGATCAAAGAAGGCTCCAGTTCCCATCCCTCTGCTCAATCCTCACCTCCCTCCCCTCATCGATACTCCTCCTGCCCGCCTCCAAAATCGCTGTCGTAGCAATTGTGTTCCTCAGCGTCGGAAGCCCCTTCTTGTCCAAATCCGCCGGCTTCAACTCTCCCGCATTAACGGACCGGCAGCCATCAACGAACTTCTCCATAGACACATACCCATACCCACTCTGCCCGTTGAAGTTCCCATCCTCATCAGGCGCGTACCTCATGTAAAAAGGGTTATACCAAACCAACTGACCCGCTGCATCCTCTGCAACGTCATACCCGCGTTTGGCTTGGTTGATGGTGATTTCGCCATCTCGAGCCAGGTAGTGGAAGTACTGGTTGGAGTGAACTCCTGCTTTTTGGGGCGCTGTCCAGGAAGCGGTGTATACACCCGTGGCATGCTTCGAAGGGTCGTCCTTCTTCTCCCAGTGCACGAGTAGGGAGATGGTGTCCTCGGTTGATTCGTGACAGCCGAGACTGGTGGCTACTCCTTTTGATGCTGAGGCGGAGACCTTGACAGGAACGTAGCCAAGTTGGGACACCATGGAATCACAGATATCCACATGGTGACTGTTCAAGTAGTAGGAGATATCCGAGTCAATCCCTGCCCAGGCCTTGAATGTCTCGAGTTGGAATTTGGGCTGGGACATGTAACTGTAAAAGTAATTGAAGTCACCGAGCTTTTTGGCTCTGAACTTTGCGTCGGCATAGGCGGGGTCGTAGCGTTTGTGGTGTTCGACATAGACGTAGACGCCGTGTTTTTCGGCGGCGGCGAGGAGGGCGATGTGGTGTTCGAGGAGTTTGACTGCAGGTTTGGTGATCATGACGTGGATTCCTCGCTCGATGGCATAGAGAGCAATGGGGTAGTGGGTGGTGTCTGGGGTGAAGATTGTGATGGCATCGCCGGGTTTGAGGGCGTCGATGGCGGTCTTGTAGGCGTCGGGATCTTTTGTGTCGTCGGAGGGGAAGGACTCGAATGAGGTGTCAAGGTTATTGTAGGCTAGGGTGATGTTTTTATGGAGGTGTTCCCCTTGGATGTGTTAGCCAGATGTTTGAATGGGTTGGACATTTCTAAGGTACGCACTGATTGCTGGGTATTTCGTCCCATTCACACCCACCATCCCAAGTTTGCCAACCTTGCCCCTTCGTCTGAGGTCAAACATGGAGAGACCGACTACGCCTACCTTCTTGTCCGATGCTGAGCCACCGGTCCCTACGAAACCTGTGGTGTACTCGCCGGTACCAACCTTGGTTCATTTGGTCAGCAGTGGTCGATAGCTAACAGGTGAGGAATTGTCCGTACCATCAACACATTGAGCGGCTCCATTCTGTCTGTCAAAGCCAAGGCCAGGGGTCAATGTTAGGCAGGAAAGAAAGGCCAAAATTGAATGAAATGAGATTGATTGGAGATGGTGGAAGTCTAAGTACATATGGGTTCGATGAGTGGCAGAGCATCAATCACGTTTTCCGGCCTTGGTGTCGTGCCAGGCGGTTCCTTGCATATGAGATACATGTTGAAGGCGTACAACAATTCCTCTCAAGTTGTGGTTCGAGTCGATCCGGAAGAATTCTGGAAGAGGGGCCGACAGACTGCGAGTTGGGGTCGATTTGGAGAAGAGCATTCACCCGGCCAATTCATTGCAACATACATCGCATGTGTTGTCCGCATGTGATGGCGTATGATAGGTGTCAATTCTTCCCCGGTTTTGGTCCATTGGTGTGTTGCAGGTTCCTAAAACAAAGATTCCGCCACTTAAAAATAATCCAGGCCGGAAAGAACGACCTTGTGATGTTCATGAGGTGGTTGTTCCTTCTCATCGTCAAGATATCGTGGAGAAACAAACTAAATAACCCGAAGCTCCACCATGAGACCCACCCCCACACTGCCCCGCGTCTGCTAGAAGCTCGGATGGAAGCAACCACCACCGAGAGAGAGCTCCAACAACGACAACAGAGGCCAAAGCAGCGACCTGGACCTTCACTCGGTTCATCATGCAGGTCACCCATCGCTGTGGATTGAAGAGATCCTGTTTTCCTCAGGCTAAATATCAGCATCACACCCTCCAGCTCGCCTCTCCTCACCGGCTCCGCCTCACCACAAACTCCCGCCAGCGTCTTCGAGGTGGCGCGCAAAGCCGGTCAAGCTTTCTTCCCTTCAGCAAGCAAAAGAGCCAATTGTGCATCCTTTTTCTCCCCCCAAACCCGCTGACCTAGTCTTCAAGTTGATTGGAGGAAATAGTTTCTCCGTCGGCCATATAGTTAGTATCACACACAAGCGTGGGTGCAGTTTGTGACAGGTGCCGGTCTCCAGTTTTTCTTATTCATCTTTGCAACACCCAGCTTCCTTCTCTGACGACACCTCACGGCAGCAACGTCGGCAGAGGGCTGAGAACCACCTGGATCACCAATCATCTGCTGATACACCGTCCATCATCCTCATCAACTGGAAGGACAGTCTCTCAGCAAAACCATCTCGCTGTCAGCCGGCCAGTCCTTCATGCGTCCTCCCGGATGAACCGCTTAAACATTGCTACTCCACAGAACCAGGACGCAACATCAACCTGCAGCTCTCCCGGCATATTGTTCGCTTTTTGTGGGGTTACCGGATTAGTCCCCTTGCTTTTCAATTGTTCGCTCGTCTGGTCTCAACGTCACCGCTCTCGTCTGTTATTTCTCGCACTGAAGTGGCTGTCCAGCTTTGCTTCAAGCTGCTCACATGACCCCCATCCACTGTTCATACTGGATTTGACCCCAATGGCCTCGTTCACAGGTAGTTCCTGTCTCAACAGCAAAGCTCTGAGGATCATGGGGCCGGAGTTGGTAGTCTGACCAGTCCATTACTGGTAAAGGCTCTCGTTAGTTCAAGAATAATAGCCAAGAACATCTCGACAACTACTCTGAACCAGCCTTCACCTTCCCCTCAGTTACATCTGAGGCATTAGACGTGTCTGGGATCAGCATAGGGGGATGTCAGTATCGCTTGGCTAAAATCCGGTTGCCTGGGTTGGTTGAATGGGTTTGGTCTATTGTCTCTAGTATGAAAGAGACCAGATGATGTACACACTCACATCTGGTTGCCGATGGATGCTTTGGGGTGCGTGATTTCCTGACCCCATTGCTCTATATATTATCCCGATATAGCTGCGAGACATTGTCGATGGCCACAAGCGGCCGCCTTGCCGATGAGTGTGCTGGCATCGCTGTTGCATCTGACCTAGCTCCCTTCCTTCCCGCAGTCCCTGCAATCGAATTTGGAGGACTTGGCTCCGAGTTGGAGGTTCTGGCCCGCTTCTTGTTCAACATCCCACACAAGAAGCGTCTGAAGACCCATGTCTGATCAGACTAGACATCTTCTTCTTGCGCGTGGCTGACGGGCACAACCCCACTGGTTCCTATTTACATTAGGTCATGGGGCGACTGTCAACTCCCATCAGGGGTTCATGTGTTTTCTTAAGTAGCCGGCCTTCCGCCCTGGCCGTCCCTGTTTTTTCTATCTCATACTGTAACATCTCCCCACGTGCCCACTCTCAAATCCACACTCCTAGCCCCACGCGTCATTTGGCTTTCACGGTCCCTTCCTCTCAAAACATCCTTCATCACCGTTCGGCTTCTTACTCGACCATGACTGCCACCAATGGTGCCACCAATGGCCACTCCTCCCCACGGAGGCCACTCCCATGTGGTATCTACGCCCCCACCATGACCTTCTTCGACGCCGAGACCGAAGACCTCGACATCCCCACCATCAAGAAGCACGCCGAAAGACTAGTCAAGGACGGCCTCGTAGGCCTTGTCACAATGGGATCCAACGGGGAGGCCATCCACTGCACACGTGAAGAGAAGCTAGCAGTGACCAAGGCTACGAGAGAGGCACTCGACGAGGCCGGCTTCACAGACACCCCCATCATCATCGGTGCCACCGAGGGCAGCGTCCGGGGAACGATTGAGCTGTGCAAGCTGGCCAAGGATGTCGGTGCTGACTACGCCCTGCTCCTCCCACCATCCTACTTTCGGTTCTTGATGGATGAGCAGGCTATATACGATTATTTCGTGAGCGTTGCCGACGAGAGCCCGCTGGGATTGATATTGTACAACTACCCCGGCGCCGTGGCTGGCATAGACATGGACTCGGACCTTCTTATCAAGTTGGCCGCGCACCCAAACATTGTCGGGACAAAATTCACATGTGGAAACACGGGAAAGCTGACGAGAGTGGCGCTGGCAACGGAGGCAAAGACACCGTGGGCGGAAGGGTCAGGGTACATGGCGTTTGGAGGAATGTGTGACTTTACAGTGCAGACTCTGGCAAGCGGGGGCAGCGGGATCATTGCTGGAGGCGCGAACGTCATGCCAAAGGTTTGCACAAAAGTATGGAATTTGTATGCGGAAGGGAAGACGGAGGAGGCCATTGCGCTGCAGAAGACGCTGTCGAAGGGGGACTGGGTGTTGACCAAGGCGGCGATCGCGGGGACGAAGCAGGCTATTCAGAGTTATTTTGGGTATGGTGGGCACCCGAGGAGGCCGCTGAAGAGGTTGGATAAAGTAAAGGTTACTGCTATTGAGGAGGGGGTGAGGGAGGTTATGGAGGTTGAGAGGTCGTTGTGATGGGAGGGGTTGGGTGGGGTTGGGATTGGAACAGGCTGATGAATGATGAGATGAAATATCGAATGAGTTCGAAAGAAGTGATCATCATCTGATGAACGAGATGGGCTCAGTGTCGGGAAGTAATAAACCTCACACTCAAAATACTGTGTTTATGGGGGCAAGATGGTGGCAGCAATCCCGATAGGCCAATGCAAAACGCATGTGCTCATTATTCATGTTTATTTTCTCTTGCAAAAAGTAGGGTGTATCAATTTATCCAAGCTCGCAGTTCCCTCTCCAAAGCCCTCTTATCCAAAAAGCAACATACCCCTGGATCCTGACAGAAAAAAAACATCAAAACCGCTCATTGTTTACTTCTCCAACTCAGCCAAGATCTCCTTCTCCAGAGAAGCCGGGCCCGTCACACTAGCCCATCTCCCCTTAACCTGGCCGTCCTTGCCAATCAAAAACTTCTCAAAGTTCCACTTGATCCTCTTGAGCCCGAGGAGGCCAGACTTTTGCTCCTTGAGCCACTCGAACAAGGGGTGGGCATTGTCACCATTCACCTCAATCTTTTGCATAATGGGAAAGGTGACGCCAAAGTTGCGCTCGCAAAAGGTGACGATTTCCGCCTCGGCGTCGGGTTCCTGGCCGCCGAACTGGTTGCAGGGGAAGCCAAGGATGACGAACTGGTCTGGGTGCTTGGCGGTGATGTTTTTGTAGAGCTCCTGAAGACCGGCATACTGTGAGGTGAAGCCGCACTTGGAGGCGACGTTGACAATGAGGATTACTTTGTCTTTGAGGTTGGAGAGGGGGTATTCTTGGCCCTTGCCTATAATGGGGGTTAGTTGGGGGATGTGGGATGGGGGGGGGAGGGGGGAGACATGCTGTCCAAGGGCTTGAAGTCATAGATGGTTGCTGCGGAAGCCATTTTGCCGAAGTGTTTATTAGGTTGAACGGATCTGTTCAGGTGATAGGGTAGAGGTAAACGATGAGTCGGATGAGAAACGGATAAAATAGGCTTTATAGCTCTCGATAGAGATGGTATGTGAGATGTTGTACGACGTGAGGTGAGAAGAAACATCGTGAGAGAAGTTGATGGAGAGAGGGACCAAACAAATATATTCTCCGTTGGAGGTGCCTCGGAGGTGGGGTCGGGAAAGAGCTATCTGATTCCAAATCGGTTTCACCAACTCACGCAATCCTAAGCTGGGTCCTGGGAAAGTCCGTGACCCCGGATGTTGTCTATTGGTCTGTTACCTTTGCTTGTGGCGTGTTATGAACCAGGGGTTTCTAAGCAGGCAGAAAAGAGGCGCACTTTTCTCAATGTTGGGACTTTTTCGATGAAAATGAGCCACTGTAAGCCTCGGCGCTCGAAGGGTAACAAGATGTTTGTCCTGTGATGCGATTGGTGAGTGGGCTCCACTGATTGGAAGATCGACATTCGAAGATGCAGAATACCGTTGACGGCCACTCCCGTGTTGTAATAGCGGAGGCCGTGGACACCGCTGATGAACAACTCTCAGCATCGCAGAGAGCTGTGTTTGAACCTGTGGGTCGTAGCCAGCCTGACTGTGTTGTACTTCATCTGATTTGGGCTACAGGTTCTTGTCCATCTATGGATAGCATTATCAGCGGAATTTGGAAGCGCTGTTTTGCACCAAACTGTCTGTCTGGTATAGTTCGGAGCAGCCCTGTGTATCTCGGTTAAGGGTATAGCGAACTTCATCTGATGTTACCGTTCGCCATGGCAATGCAAACAATGAACCCACGCGATAAGTTCATGCAGAGCGGCATTGTCAACTGTCGAGTTTTGTGTCTCGGGTGTCCCTGAAGAAGGATACCAAGAGTCTGTGACTTGTGGGGCAGAGCAATGCGGGGTTGGCTGCTGGCTGGTACGTCACTGGGCACAGAGAATGTTGAGATGAAGTTCGCTGGTGTTATAAGCGGTGATGGTAGCTGATGGGCTCACATATATATCAACTCGATTTCCAAAGCTATATTTTAACTGAAGATTCTCAAACCGTGGTGCAGTATTGTCCTTATCATGTCTCGGAGACAGCACCTCAAAGGTGCCCCTCCAAGCTGTTGCCCCGCGTTGGACATGGGAAGCTTAAAGGTGCCGGCCGCCCACCGCCAATTGATGACGACGAGCCCAGGCCCCAGGCGACTTGGAGCTGCAAGCCGCAACTCTTTTTGAGCCGCAATCGATGAGGCGGAAGACAGAGACCGACTCCGGATATCTTCGGTTCATATCCAATTAATTGTTCCTTCCCACTGTTTTATCTTCTTGAATTTCATCATCCTGGTCGCTGCGCATACTCCCCGCTCTTCCCCTTCTCCTGGGACACTCGAAGCTAGCAAGCGAAATGGAGGAGCAACAGAAAAGAAATATTGTCATTATCGGTATATATTCCATTCTCCCATGTTTGCTCTATAAGCTAAAACAGATTAGGGGGCGGTATTATCGGATGCACGACGGCCTACTTCCTAACACGCCATCCCAAGTTCAATCCGAACCTTCACACGATCACTCTACTCGAAGCAACGGCGATTGCTGCTGGCGCATCCGGAAAAGCTGGTGGGCTCCTGGCGCTATGGGCCTACCCGCAATCTCTGGTTCCATTATCATACCGACTACACAAAGCGTTGGCAGAGGAGCATAATGGCGCCGAGCGCTGGGGATATAGACGAGTAGGATGTGGGTCTATCACAGCGACTGTTACTCGAGACGACCTCCTCGCTAGAACCAAGACGAACCTAACACCCTCGTCACCTGTGAAAGGAGAGCAAAATGGAAATGGGGTGGCTACAAACAGTCAAAACAATGATGCTCTTCCGATACAGAGCTCAGTGGCCGGTGACCCTGCCCAGGGCGACAAAGAATCAGACTGGCAAAAGCTCCCGAAGCAAGACGAAGATGCCAATACCCTGCTCAAGCCTTCTGTTCTACCGCAAGATCTCGACTGGTTCGACTCTACAGTCGTTCAACACTATCAAGAGATGGGTCAACCTGGAGCAACCGAAACAGCACAAGTTCATCCTTTTCATTTCACTACCTCAATTGCCGCCCTCGCTCAACAAAAGGGAGTTGATTTCCGAATAGGCGCAAAGGTCACTCGTCTCAAGTACAACAGCGAGAAAACAAAGGTTATCGGGCTACAGTACGAAGACAGAAACAGCGGCGAAGTTGTTGATCTGGACAATGTGACAGATGTAGTTGTTTCTGCCGGGCCATGGACAGGCAAGATCCTGCCTAGAACCAAGATTGAAGGATTGAGGGCACATAGTGTGGTTTATGAGGTAGATGTGACGCCGTATGCTGTCTTTACCGACATTATGCTGCCAACAGACTTTGTGCCTGAGCATCGGGCGAGAAAGGGGCAGAAGAGGAAGCATAAGCGGAATGTTGATCCGGAGGTGTATGCTAGACCTTTTGGTGAGGTATATGCTTGTGGTAGGTTTCTTGGGTCGAGTTTCTGTCGTTTATTCTAGTCATGTTTCCACAAAGATGAAGCTAACATGACTGAACCAAAAAGGCGAACCAGATCCTTCGATCCCTCTTCCAGAAACTGCAGACTTGGTGCAGTGCGACGAAGACCAATGTGATGACTTGACTGCATATATGGGAACCGTTTCGCCTATCTTGGGGAGTGCTCCCATCAAAGCGAAACAGGCATGCTATCTGCCAAGGCATATGAGGTTTGGCACGGAGCGTGACCCAGTCATCGGGCAGTCTTACGTGAAGGGGTTGTGGATCGCTTCCGGGCATACATGTTGGGGGATTCAGAACGGTCCCGGTACTGGGTGTTTGATGGCTGAACTGATCCTGGATGGTGAAGCAAAGAGCGCTGACATTACAGAGCTCGAGCCGAAGAAGTACAAGGTCTAGATCTCGGATTACCTTCATTCTGTACCCAGAACCTTGACAAATATTTGACATTACGCTCGCGCTTAGCCGCTGTCAAGTTTGTGGCCGCATCCTTGGCGAGATGTTTGAGGCGAGGCATACATGGGCGCCTATTTGGCTCCCTCCATCTCTCCCTTTTGTACAACATATAGTGATTTTTGTTCAGTAAGAAGTATCTGGCTGCCCAATCTCATAGCCACGATCATGGAGGTTGCTGGTGCCATTTTTGGGGTTATTTCTCTGGGCATTCAAGCTACCCAATGCCTCGTCAAGTATTACACAACAGTGAAGGACCAGAAGACCGACACTTCGCGTACCATCAGCAAGCTGAATTCCCTTCTTTTGATTCTCAACTCTTTAGACTCAAATTTTAGAAACCGCAAGTTCCAACCTATTGAGCTAGCACTTCTCAAGACTATACAACATTCGATTCCAGAGTGCGAGGAATACATATACGAATTGAGCAATGAGTCCAAGATACTCACAGAAGCTCCTACTCCAAACCGACTCACGAGGACTGCTTCGTCCAAAATCGAGGCTTTCGCACGTACTGCTGCTCGCCGGGTCACCTACCCTTTCCACCGTAAGTAGCAGTTAAGCCTGCACGATTTCCCACTAACTAACCGTATATGTGTATGTAATAATAGAGGGTACGCTTCAGAAGCTTGACGAAACCATTGACGACATCCGCGCCGGCCTAACGTTGGCTCTTCAAGTGGTCCAACAAAAGGACACAACGACCATTCAGGATGATATACAAGACACCAAACTTGCGGTTCATCTCATCAGAGGTAGTCAAATTACTATTCAAGATGGTATAAAAGACACAAAAGCCACTGTTAGTCTCATGAGGGACAGCCAAATGAAGAATGAGGATGATGTAGAGGATACGAAAGCGGTACTCAACCGCATCCGAAACACTCAAGTATCCCATGAACTTCGATCCTGGTCCGGCCTAAAAGCGCCAGATGTGTCAGTCAACTACAATGAGGCCTGTAAGAAGCGTCATTCAGGAACTGGCCACTGGTTTGTGTAAGGAACTGACTTCAACACTTGGCTATTCACACCAAATTCCTTCCTCTGGTTGAATGGGTTTGCCGGCTGTGGTAAGTCGGTCCTGTCTTCAACAGCTATCCAGTTGGCAGAGAGACACCGGCAGCAGCAGTCCCGTCCCGGAAAGATCACCAGTGGCTTGGCTTACTTCTACTTCACTTTCAACGACGAATCGAAGCAAGATGCTATCGCTATGCTTCGATCAGCAATCCTTCAGCTCGCTGGTCAGATTAAGACAGGGGAAGAGCACCTCAAACGCCTCGAGGATAGTTTTGTTGACGCCACGCCACCCGATGACGAACTCTTGGAGACTCTAAACGCCATAATTCGGGAGTTCGAGGACGTCTACATCATTGTAGACGCCTTAGATGAGAGTCCAAAAGACAGACACCGAGATGATTTGCTCGATGCGGTACAAGTAATACGAGAGTGGTCAGAACCTCGGTTACATCTTTTGGTCTCCAGCCGTGACGAACAAGATATTCGGGAGTGTCTATCACCATCTGAAGACGGAGACATCAAAATGAAAAACGCTTCCATTGACTCGGATATCGCGTCCTTCATTGCTGCTCGTTTACAAACGAATCGTCGCCTCCGAGGGTGGAAAAACTATTGACAGGAAATTCAGGATGCTCTAGCATCTCGTGCTAATGGCGTGTGAGTTTTTTCAGGTTATTTGGTGGTCATGAGACGTCTTCGATGTCAACAAAAACATGTGGATGTGTACTGATACATCACAGCTTTCGATGGGTCGAATGCCAGTTCAAAGCCCTCCAGTCTTGTCCAATAAGCAAGACCCATCTCAACAGCTTGCTCGCCTCGCCCCCTCGGAACCTGGAAGACACCTACGAACGAATACTCCTGAATATCGACAAAGCCTTAGCCGAAGATGCCAGGAGAGTCTTGACACTGCTCTGTACCGCTGCACGGCCGCTTACAACCCTCGAGCTCATCCATGCCACGGCAGTGGAGCTCGGAGATAATCCCCAGTTCAACAAAGACAGGATACTGGAGGGTGATGACGAAATCCTCAAAATCTGTCCTGGCCTCCTCGAGTTCGACAAAAACAGCAACGTGAGGATTGCTCACTATTCGGTCCAGGAATATCTCGAGTCAGATAGGATAACAGGCTCACTGGCATCACAGTTTCACGTCGAGAGACGAGCTGCCAATACAGAGGTTGCTCGCACCTGCTTGACATATATGACGGATCCATAAGTCTCCGAGTTGGTCGAGCAATTTGTTATTAGCCCGAAAGACAAACAACAGGGCGAGCTCATAGTCGCCACTTTTCCACTCGTGCAGTATGCTTCCAGCAACTGGAGGGGCCATTATAGGTTGGCAGACATGAGCCACCCGCACCTCCACAGCCTTGTTCTGCAGCTACATTACAACTCAAAGAATGTGTGCGATCCTTTGCTGTTTTTCCGATGGGGCCCTGGGGAGGCTCCCATTTTTAGATCAGTCAGAGACCCCATACACGCAGCCGCAGACAAGGGTTTAGAGTTGGTACGTTCAAGCCACGGTGGTGAGGTTGGCTATCGGATACTCTGACTAACACCCAACTACCTCAGATCCTCCGCGCCCTCTTTGAGACCTGTCCTGAAGTCGACCGAACCAATTTCCCTGCGGCAAGCTACCCTCAGGGACCAATATGGAGCTCTACGTGAGCTGTTGACACATGGCGTTGATCCCGATGTCGAGCTTCAAGCCGAGTTTGGCACTACAGCGCTGTTCTGGGCTTTGTACTGGTCGCATAATGACCCGGCCCGGATCCTTTTAGAGTATGGCGCCTGACCCAAATCACATATTCCAGACGCCCCAGGATGGTATCGGGTTTCCCGTACGTGATTGGTTCATAGGAGATGGTTTTGATGTGGATGTTGTGACGCCTTTTGCTTGTCGCTGTATGGGCTGAGAATGAGAGGGGAGTGGAATTACTTCTTGATAACGGTGCAGATCCTACGGTTGGGCGTCTTTTAGAGGCAGCAGCACACCGAAACGACGAGAAGGGTTTACTGCCGCTCCATAAGAGGGGTATACGGGGCAGCCAGGTGTTGGCGTGATGGGGAGACACATGCAGTTATTCTTCATTGGTATGGTTTTGGGTAATGGAGGAAGAAACTGAGGAACTCAGGATATAGACTCCTGCCTCCAAATTGGGTATCACAAAATATATCGGTACAGATTCTCTCACACCTTCAACCCTTTAAATGCACCTCATGAAGCCTCCCATTTCCTCTCCAAATCCATCAACGCAGCCAACAGCCCAGCACCTCCCTTCTCCTCCAGGATCCCTCTAGCATGCCTTGGGATCTTGCTCAGCACATAATCCGAAACCGACGCCCTCTCCCTCTCCACCGGCCTCCCAATACCGATCGAAACCCTAGCCCACTTCCCTTCTGGATCAGCCTTCAACGAGGCGTTCACGCTCTTAATGCCGTTATGCCCCCTATGACTCCGCGCCCAGTCCCTAATCTTCACTACACCCAGCTCCTCCTCCAGGTCATCATGGACCAGTACAACTCCCAACTCAGCTGGACTGAGCCCATTGTCAATAAGGTGCTCCCTGTAAGCCCTTGCGAACCATGTCCCAGTCACATTCATAACGCAGGGACTTTGCAAAAACGAATATTTTGGCCCGATGGAGGCTTCTGTGCTCTTCTTTCCATGCCGCGCTACCTTGAAGGAAGGCTGCGTATCAGCCATCTGGTTTCGTAGAGCGTTGAGGACGATGTTGCCGGCTGAGTGGTAGGTGTTGCGGTAGGCTTCGCCGGGGTTGCCGAGGCCGACGACGAGGATGCGCCGAACAGACATTTCTGGTGTTTGTGACTCGATGGATGCTGCTGGTACTGGTTCTGGATCCTGAACGGGTTTTTGTTTGGACCGGCGGGACTTTTGTTTGGTCGTTATGCTGGTTGGCTGCCTCTGGCAGACTTTGGTGTTGTTTCTAAGTGTCTTTGCTGTGGGTGGAAACTTTTTAAATGGGCTTTGAACAGCCGGCTGGGGAATTGTCTTTGGATAGAATGCAAAAATGAGTGAATGAAGGAAAGGTGCAACATGAGAGTCTATTGCGAGATCTTATAAATAAAACTATGGTATACATTTTTGACATGAACCGTAAGCCTCCTCGCCGCGGCGAGTGACTCAAAAGGCATTCTAACTTTGGAACACAAAGCCGTTGTTCTGAGTGAGTGAGATGGCTTGAAGTGAGATGAGGATGGAAGGCTTGGTTTGTCAGCTGGCAAACAGACGGCAGCCCAGAAGCTCGGAGATGGCCCACTTGGCGGGGGATCTGTGCCGGGATTGTGGCTGTTCCTGGGCTCTGACGTCGTCGGGGCGGGACGACGGCACGCACGCGGGTTTGGTAGGCAGTCAAGCGGGGCTCAGCCACAGTTCAACATTCGTCACCTCTTTCCATCTCAGCGGTTCAGATTCAACCCGGCCACAACGAGCATCCTAGCCAGCCTTGAACCACGACACTACCTGCGGTTGACAGTCAATTAGCTTTGCCTTGAATATCGCTTTATTCAACAACGACGACCAATACAACCGACGACTGCGCATTGCCCTATTCGAACAGGGGACGAACGAGCGACGCCCTGAAAACCCCTGAATTTCGAGCCGCAATAGACCAGGAACCAACCAGTCAACAACCAGTTGCCCATCATGTCTTGGGCGGGTACGTAGACCGCACCATAACTTGAGGATGTACCAGAGACATTTTGCGCTGACCTTTTTGTTGTACTGCAGGCTTCAAGAAGAATGTCAACCGCGCTACGACGCAGGTGATGATGAAGACCGGTTCGTCCGTTTCGTTAATGCACTGAGAGCACCAACATCAACGCCACCCCACTTCCATGGCCTCGCCCCCAACGATGCCAACCACTACACTATAATCTACCGCCCCGAAGACGAAATTCCTTCTGCTTCCAAAATGCTGACTGTTCTTGGTTTGATCAGGCCATGTCGAGAAGACAAATGACCGGGATTATGAAGTTGAAGAAAGGTACGGATACGGCGCCACGCATGCGCTGGTTGAAAGAGGCTGGAACAGGAAACTGATATTTTGGATAGACGTTTCCGAACCATGGAGGCGGCATCGCTGCGGTTGCAGAAGGAGGCAAAGGGATACCTCGATTCTCTGCGAGGTATGAGGACACACGGTGCCAGAAGGAGCAGGTCGAAGCGGTAATGTACTAACAGATAACAGCGATGACGGCCTCACAAATGCGTATTGCCGAGACAATCGATGCCTTCTACGGCGAAGCCGGCGCTAAGGACGGCGTGAGCAGGAGCTACAAGCAAGCAGTAGAGGATTTGGATGCCGAAACGATCAAGGCGCTCGACGGGCCATATCGGACGACAGTGCTAGAGCCCATCTCGAGATTTTGCGCCTACTTTCCCGATGTGAATGAGTGTATGTTCCTATTCCCTGCCCCCGGATCCGAGACCCTCTGACACGGGTAATTTAGGTATCAAGAAGCGCAGCCACAAACTCCTCGACTACGACGCACTACGTGCCAAGGTTAAGAAGCTGGTCGAAAAGCCCGACAAGGACGTTACCAAGCTCCCAAGAGCGGAGAAGGAGATGGACATGGCCAAGGCAGCATACGAACAGCTCAACGAACAATTGTGCACGGAGCTGCCACAGCTCATCGATCTACGCGTTCCTTACCTTGATCCATCATTCGAGGCACTTGTCAAGATCCAATTGCGGTTTTGCGCAGAGGCTTACAGCAGAATGGCTCAGGTGCAGCAGTACCTAGATGCGGACACTAGAGATCAGTACGCCGAGGGCCACTTGGATAGCAGAGTCGAACAGGTGCTACAGGAGATAAGAGAACTGAGCATTAGTGGGACTGTGTAAAGGGGGTTGAGAGGGTGATTACTGGAAACTTGGATGGGACTGGAAATTCTTATGTTGTTGTAATTGGCGTTTTGAGATGGGACATTGGCCGGTTGGAACAGAGCCTGTATGCATTCTTACATACCCTATGCATGCTATTTAGCCTTCTTTTGGTGTAAGGTCTTCTTTTAGAAGTTTGACCTGGCAGGTTTGCTGTATTGCCCTGGCTGATTAGATGACATGAACAAGCAGGCGGTTTTTCTTATTGGACATTTTTAATCCTATGCATGCTTATATCGCCATCATAGTCATGTCCACCCATGTTATATACCTGGGCCTGCAGCGTGTGGCGGCTATCTGGAAGTTTTCATCAAAGTTCACATCACGGCCTTGAAATTACTCCCAATTTTACCACTTGTTTTGCCATGTGGTAGCTGGGAAGTATTGGAGGTCATAACCGAATGTAAAGTACACCGATGGCTTCTTTCATGTAGCTCGCCAGCATCTCTTGCCCTGGGAAATAGTGCCCGAGTGAGCGATGTTCCCTAGGCGCTGTCGACCAACTCACGTGGTGTATTTGAGAGCAGTCAGCGATGGATGAAGATGGCCCCTTAAACGTCAATGGCTAGGCCAGGTATGGAAAGGGGGGTATTATATTTTGGTTTAAGGGGCCTCGCCATTGTCTACATCAGTATCACTGGGCACTGGGTATATTTGACGGGTCCTCCGAACGCTTGGCTCGGCATCCGAAAAGTATGTACGGAGTCGGAGAGGAGGGTCACATGGTTACGGGGTTGACACTTTGGGACGGGAAACGGAGGCGGAGAGGCGGAGACGTCTTGGCTTTTCCGCTCCCACTGTTTTTCAAAGACACCAAGTGCATTGAAACGTCACCATGTATTTTGTGGAGTTGTCGCATTGAAGACAGATGACCCATCGGTTTGGATGAGAACGTGAGATCGACGGAAGCGAAATGGGAAGGGGAGGTTTGAATGGCTTGTGTTTGGCGCCAAGTGTGGGTTGTTTTGAAGTTGGGAAACTGGGAAAATGTTGGACTTCAAAGAGGGAAAGTGAATCAAAGAGCATTGGTGGAGGACAAATCCAAACTGCAGCCGCATGTCCAATGACTCCATCACTGAGCATTTGGTTTTCTCTAGCTTCCATGACTGTCCAAGCACGGTGACGGTGTTTCGCAAGCGTCATTGTCATAGGTGGTGTCATTTGGTCTAAAAATAAACCCTGTTAGTCAACCACAAGTCAATCGGAACCCGCCGAGTAATTGGTTGGCTTCTGATCGTCAGGGCGTCAAAGGGATCAAAGACAGCTTCAATTGGCTCTCAGAGACTGAGGCTTCAAACTGAAGGCATGAAAGTCGATTGGAGATTGACAAGGCAAGGCTGAAACAGCGCTGAAGAGACGGGGACCTTGCAACTGGCTTTCAAGTGCTGTTTCAGATCTGGCCAGGCGCTCTGAGGATTTGGTATGAATTGGGCCATGATTGACGGCGGATGGCGGATCTCTCCGGCGTTTAGTTTTTGGCGCTACGATTGCCCCGGATCTGCCATTCTGCTGGCCAATGGTTCCGATCGTGAAAGGATTCTTTTTCTGGAAGAAGACGATGATCACCTGCAAACACCCCCTCGGGGCGGCAGTCGGAAGGCGTAGAGGAACAACGGCAAGAGCATCAGCGACTTGTTATCAGCACCACACCAATACGCCCGAGCTCGGGCCGACCATCCACCATGTTGGAATGTAGTGAGGGCCTAGACTTGATTGTGATGGTGGGTGGTCGCTGAATAGCATGCTGTAACGATTTCAGGCTATTCTGGCCCAAGCAGGTGGCTCTTGTGTCGGATGCAGGAAGAGCTTCCTCTCAATATCGACCTACAGGTTGCATGCTGGTGTGGGTGGCACCAGAACTGGCGTGTTGGCGGAAATGGTACCGGATCATCATCTCAAGTATATTCACTGGGTCCGGCTCTTATTCGGTGCGAATAGCTCGTATCTGGATGTGCTTGTGAACAGCAATCGACTCATTGATGGCCGGTAGATGGGGGAAGCAAGAAGAGTTGAACGCGACGCACAAACTGCTGCGCCTCAACAAGTGGGTTGGTCGATTGGGAGCCAGACGCCCAGAAAGCAACGGGGAACCCTGTCAATCGTGCAGATGTCTTCGGAGACATCCCAAGACATCCAGATCCAACAAGTGACAGGTCTCCATTCAATGTGTCCACAGTCCACAGTCCCACAGCAGCAACAGCTGGTCAGGGGAATGGGCCTCTCGTGTGCTACCATAGCAAGCGTGCCAGCAAGCGTTTCGATGGGGCGAATCAGTCTAGGGAACGGGTGCCTTGATATTTTAGGACAGAAGCCTTTCTCACCAGTCGCGCGTCTAGATGCTGGTTCCATTTACATGTGAGAATTTAAGGACGGTGAGGTAAGTGGAAGGTGTCTGGTGATTTCTGCTGTCGACGGTCCGCAAAGCCATTGCAGCTTCCATATCGAGGCGGCATGAGAGTGATTTCACGCTGCAGCTTCCACTTTCATCCGATATTGCGTCGACAAAGTTGTCCGAGATGTGGCCGTGTCTGGGCAACCAGCAGAATGGGAAACATCGATCATTCATGATTGAGAGATTCCGCACCCGCTGATAACAGACTGATACCCCAGGTCCGCGGGTCAGCTGTTGGTGGGCATGGATGATGGGACCCCCCTGTAGTTGCATGTTTAGCGCTCTGCAGCCACCGCTCAGGGTGTGAGTGGCCCCTGGCCCGCTTGGGTTCGGCGGACCCCTGTTCCTAGCGACCAGCTACAGGATTCCAATTCACCCGTTTTGACGAGTTTCGCAATCAAGAGGGACGGACGGTACGGTACAAATCTGTCTCGCGGCCATTGAATATATATCAGAGCCCATACTCTCTTTTTCCAGACTATACCTCTGGCCTCTCTTTTATTCGCCTTCCTCGACTGCATAGGACCCTGTTCCCGTCCCGAAGCAGTGCTTCCCAACCTTTTGCCTTTCTTAATCGGCTGCCGTCATTGTAACACGGAGAAACGTCACTCATTACCGATACCACACCCCAACCCAACCACCACGACTAATTCAAGAGGTTGGAGCAGCCGAGCTGTGCGCTGGCAATTTCCACCGGGAGACACCCATAAGGACACTATCCGCCATCTGTCCCACTGCTGATAGGACATTTCTCCTCTTTTTCCTCATCTGCACATACTCACCTATACCGCCATCTACAACGTACACACCAGACCCTCATCATGAATATTGGCAAGAAGTTCGACCGCGCCTTCCAATGGGCCGGCGAGAAGATGGGCAGTGAAGCAAAGACTACCATGTCTGATGACTTCAAGCAGCTCGAAATGGAGATGGCTCTTCGTTTTGAGGGTGAGGTTTCCCATCACACTCCGAAGAGAGCTTCTCGTACTAACAGGACACAGGCATGGAACGCCTCCAAAGGTCAATGAATCAATACGTCAAATGGGTTGGCCGCCGTGTCGAGGCTGCGGAAGACAGAGAGAAGGGACTCCCAGCTGCCTATCTGGGCCGCACAATGGTTGCACACGGCGAGGAGTTCCAACCAGACTCCGACTTTGGCAACTGCCTCATAACGATGGGTCGGGCCAACGAGAGGGTTTCCGCAATCCAGGAGGCTTATGTTGGGGAGGCCACAACAACCTGGCTGGAGTCGCTGGAGAGGTCGCTGGCTATGATGAAGGAGTATCAGGTTCGTACACAACTACCGCTTGCTTCCCCATGAACCTGTGTCTAACCAATTGTTTTTGCACAGGCTGCCCGCAAGAAGCTCGAGAACCGCCGCCTTGCGTATGACGCCAGCATCTCCAAGTCCCAGAAGGCCAAGCGAGATGACTTCAGAATCGACGACGAGCTTCGCGCCGCCAAGGCCAAATACGAGGAATCTTCCGAGGACGTTGGGCGCCGTATGCAGGACATTCGGGATGCTGAAGCCGACAGCGTACGGGATTTGACGCAGTTCTTGGACGCCGAGCTCGACTACCATGAGCGGTGTGCCGAGGAACTCAGACGTGTTCGCCAAAACTGGCCAGGAGCACCGGCACCCGGAGGCATGAGCACATATGGCAGTATCGAACGGCGCCCAACAACCGGCCGTGCCAGGTCGAATACGGCGCAGAGCTTCTCTGAGCGTGCTCCTCGGGTGAGCAGCCAGAAGATCTACGAGTCCGACGAGACCGAATCGAGCGCACCACCTGTCCGCATGCCTGCGTCTCGTACTGGACGTATCGGCCTTCCAGTTCAACCTCAAAATCAGCAAGACGGTACGGTTCGCCCCACCATCAGCAGAGCTAGTACTTTCCAGGGCGGTGCGAGTCTGGAGCGGGAGCGTATCGGCGGAGGTCGGATATCCGGCGCCAGCACTCCAAGCTCGGTGTACGGCGTCAACCAAAACATCCCCAACGTCAGCAACTTGCGTGGCCAGTTGCGCCCTGTTAACAAGATCGTGACCACCAAGGACGATGTGTTTGGTGACCGGGATGACGACACGAGCGATACGGGAAGCCCGGATTGGGGCCGTAGCTCAAGTCCCGCCACCAGTGTAGGGAGCGCGAGTCTTACACGCACGTCTAGTTATCCTGTCGTGAAGAAGGCTCCACCGCCGCCTCCTCCGAGCAGATCCAAGAAGCCTGCTCCTCCAGTACCAGCGAGACGGGAGGTTGGTTACTAGATGTTCCGGGTAGGGTGACGCGACATGATGCGTGTGGTTATGAGGCGGTGAAAATGGGCTCTCTCAGCCCCGGGAACTTAATGATGCATTGTGGGATACGTGTTATGTGGATTTTATAGCGGCAGGAAATATCGGTCAAGGAACGAGTCTGGTTGGCGTCTGGTGTCGCATTCTTCTTGGTTGGTTTTTCGTGGGCTGGATCCGCAAAGTTGAGAAGGCGTTATCAGTTTAGGGATCCTAAAAGCTATTGTAGAAAGGCAGGCTCGGTACAATCCTGAAGGGCCTTCAGAGTATAGTTAGAGAGCTATGAAATGACATTGATGACACTGATGACACTGATGACATGGGTGATTGTGTTGTTGCTTTTGGGTGATGAAATCGGAGAGGTTGGAGTGAGGTTGGAAATGGACAGGGGTAACGGCCAGACCCGCCACAGCGTTGCGTTGGCCCCTGCAAAGCCAAGATCTGATGTGGGGCATTTTCACCGAGGTGAGCGCCCCGCCAGAGCATTTGACCGCCAAGGGGACCGAAGCTCACCTTGACTTTTGCCAGCAGCAGGAACGACCTGGACGTCAACGACAACGTTCGCGCCTTTGTGTCGTGGCAGCGGTCTCCCACGTTTCGCGAGTTTGTAAATGGCGCTTTACTAAGCAATCAGAAAGCTTCAACTTCCCACCTGAAAATCCCGAATCGAGCGATCGACCAACCAAACACTAAAACAGTCGAACATATCCACGAGCTTGCGATCCGTCAAGACGGCTCTGACTGCCCATCATGGCAACCGAAGACGCGCGCTACCGTGACTCCTCGCAATACCGTCTCTGGTCCTTCTCCCCAACCCAGCTCAGCGCCCTCCGCGAAAAGACCAACGCCGCCGCGCGCGCGAGGATTTCCGAGCGTTTACTTTCCCACCCACTCCCCGTCTCGACATCAAAGCAGGACCTCTCGGCCCCAACCTCCAACGCCAACACCCCCGACCCAGACGGAAACAGCACACCGGCCCTACCGGAGTTTTTGACTCCAGCAGAGGAGCTCACGCTGGTGGGGTACTACACCTCGGAAATCCTCCGCGCGTCGGAAGCCCTCCACTACGCGGACGAGATCAAAGCCACGGCCGCCATGTTCCTAAAGAGGTTCTACATCACAAACAGCATCATGACGTACCCGCCGGCGGAAATGTTTTTTGTCGCGCTGTTTTTTGCGTGCAAGGTCGACACGGGACATGTCAATCTGGCGGAGTATACTAAAATCTTCAATAAATCCGCCGAGGAGATCCTCGCGGGGGAGTTTCTTCTGTGTCAGGGGTTGAGGTTCGCGTTTGATGTTAAGCACCCTTATCGTGCGCTTCGGGGGGCGATGATGGAATTGGCGAGTTTGCCGGATATGCAGAAGGACTTGAAGAGGTTGGATGAGGCGGAGGCGAAGGCGAGGAAGGTGCTGCAGTTTAGTCCGTTGATGACGGATGCGTACTTTCATTACACGCCGAGCCAGATTATGCTTGCTGCGTTGAGTTTGGCGGATAGGGGGTTGGCGGAGAGGTTGATTCAGGAGACGTTTCATTTTGTGGCGGCGGAGGGGAATGATACCCCCGGGGGGGGAGGGGGTGATAACAACAAGGGAAATGAGGAAAAGGCGAGGGTGATTGGGAGTCAGATTAGGGATAAGGTGCTGGGGGCTATTGAGGGGTGTAGGGATATGTTGAGTAGGGAGTTGCCTGAGAGGAAGGATCACTGGCTTAATGTTTGTTTCTTTTTTCTTCTTTTCTTTCTTCTGTTGTGAAGGGAATGCTAACATTGTGTGATAGAAACAAGTCATCAAGACTCAGATCACGCCCCTGCGGAAGAAGCTTCTCAAGTGCAAGGACCCGGAACGGTGGAATTTGGTGGAGCTGCAGAGGGTGAGGAGGGAACAGGCGGCGAAGAAGATGGACTCGGATGATGAAGATGATCTTGGGGGTGGGAAGAAGGTGAAGAAGGAGGAGGATGGGGATATTTTTGGGGGTGATTTGGGGCATAGTGCCAAGAAGAGGAAGATGACGGTGAAGAAGGAGGAGGATCCGTTTGGGGGACCGATGGTGAAAAAGGAGGATCCGTTTGGGGGACCGATGGTGAAAAAGGAGGAGCCCTTTGGGGGAACGAAGGTGAAGAAGGAGGAGGATTCGTCCTTTGGAAGGTTTGGTGGGGCGTTGTGATTTGAGGCATGGTTATATTTAGGAGTTTGGTGCTGGGCATTGGAATGGGGAAAGGGATTTGCATGGGCATTGGCGTTGGGCTATGACTTGTGCACACAAGAGTAAAAGGGTTGCGGATCGGTGTGGGTTTGTAGATATGGGATCTCTAGACCAACATATTTTGGGATATACACCACTAAAACGAGCATGACAGTGAATACTGGAGATGACTTTCTGGGATCGAGTTTTGAACTAGGTGGTGGTAATCTCTAATTCGACTGCTGCCCTCTTGCCTTTCAGGCCTCCTGCTGACTGAGAATACAGTCTTACCAACTCCCGGGGTTTTGAGAGCCAAGTTATTGCACCAGGGGGATGGCAAAGCGGGGATGAGGGTCTTGAAGATGCAATTTAACTTCCTCTCGTGACATGGTGAAGCTTATAAGAACATCTCGTAAAAGAAAAGGAATGGCGTCTTCCTCGGAAGCAAGTTTCTGCCTGCTTGGTTGTAATGCTTGGTGGTGAGATTGAGGACGATGGAGGCATGGCGGCAGCACCGTGGGCTGAAAAGCCTTGCTTGGTTCAAGGCACCATGTAAAATCCATACGATCTACGATGAACGGTCTAGACAAGTGGAAAAAGGTGCCACTGACACTAGTATGCAGTCAGCAAAACAATGTGTCTCTGTCAGCCATTTCATCTGTCATCTCAATGCAAGTGTTCCGCATAAGATTTCTGCAGGTATAAAGATCAAATACTAGGTTCGACAAGTGAGAGCATCCCCAGACTCTACATAACCCTCTCGTGCTCAGTGGTTTCGTTGTAATCTGAACCAAAAAGAACCTCACAGGCCACAAAAACGTCAAAAAAGCTCACCAGTCAACTCACGACCCTCCTAACCCGGAGGGCTTAGACTCCAACCCGGTCTCATACTGGAACACTGCGAGAGACTGTGGGAGACTGTGGGAGGCCTCACACTGGGGGAAAGCCTCCACGAGGTGGGAGCGGAGGTGATTCTGGCTACGAAAAGCCCCTCAAAGGGGGTTCTTTACTTCGAGGGATCGAACACACAGTCTCTCGGTGGCCAGCCGAGAGGGTGTACCGAGCTCCCTTGAACCTACTCCTCATCCAAACTGACCAGACAGGGGGCCAACCTGACTGGGCTGGGTTGAATGAGTGAATGGTTCGGGTGCTGGTTGTTGCGGAAAGGGCGGTTATATGGGGTGGATTGTGTGGTTGTGGTGGGTTTGTGGTGAAATGTGCTGGGTGATGGCGTTGTAGCGGCGGTGCGGTGGTGATGTGGTGGAAGTTTAAACGGATGTCCGGGTGACTGTTGGGGGTAGGCTTTGAGCTCAGGCGGCTGGCGAGGGTGACATGTGTGAAGGCTGATGATAAAGGCTTGACAATGCTCTCCTGTGTTCGATGCCCTCCTCTGTTTCTCGGTAGATACTTTGTTGGGTGAGGGTATGAGTTGTTATTCTGGTCGGCTTATACATGAGTCCTCCGACAGATAGGGGGCCACATCCCAAGCAGCACACAAGATCAAGCCATCTTCCTCCTTTACTTTGCTACTTTGCTGTCTGCCCGGCATCAGAAATCTCGGATTTGGCTCCCTGACTGGCAACCATGAAAGCTAAAGTATAGCCTATAAATGGGTTAGTCACATATTGAGGCGATACTTCTGTGTTACTTGAGCTCTTTCCTGCTTCTAAAGATCATATCACGTCACATGGGACGTCCTGAATACCCAAGAAGGTTTGTCATTATCGTAAAAGGAGGCTCGTACTGGTGTTATATATTAAATACTCCCAATGGTAATAAGCAGTCAGTGGGCGGCCCATGGCCTGAATTTCCCAGGCAGGCACTGGTTCAAGTCAGAGGAAGGAGCGGTCCACTCATAATGAGGGAAGGAGCGGTCCACTCATAATGAGGGAAGGAGCGGTCCACTCATAATGAGGGAAGGAGCAGTCAACTGTGAAGGAATGAGCAGCCAAGCACCTTACCTTTTACCATACTCCTCAACTATGGCCCCAGCTGGTGGACAAGCATTTTTGAGGATGCCTGAGGAGCTGAACGGAACCATGGGATGTTGCCACGGATTCCTTCGAATTTATTTGAACCCATTACCGTTACTATGGCATTCACACCATGTCTCTCCTTACACTTGGCCCCTGCATGTGTGCATAGCCACAGACTTGGAGAAGACAGTGACGGGTTGACTCGTATACAAAAGAACCAATTTCCTTGAGCGCCATGCCAATTTGCATCACCATCATTCACACATCTTCACTTCGATTGACGATCATTCACCTCCAAAATACATCTCACCAAAGCTCTTCCCCTCGTCGGTGCCATCGCCTTTCGCCCTGGCCCAGGACACCACAGAACCCATCACCACAACCGACACTCCAACACCCATCAGGACTCCCCTCCCCAGCAGCGTAGCCGACTCCACCATAGCCATCATCACCAGCACCTGGGTTCCCCCCGATTTCTCTGACGCCCCCTGGGGCGACGCCTGCATCGACGAAGTCAAATCTATCCTCAACGCCCAACCCACCCCTCCCTACGGCCAGCCCCTGAGAGACTACTTTGAATCCTCCTTCTCCGTCTGGGTCACCGCCAACCTAGCCACATCCTCCCCCGCCGCGGGGCACACCCCCATCAACTCGGCCGACATCGTCACCCTCTGCTCGCAATGGCAGACATCCCGCTGGGTCGGACAGACAGTCCCTGCCTCTGTAACCGCCGATCACGAAACGTACAAGCTGAACTGGTCCTCGTGGGCTCGACATGCGGGCAGTGCGCTGGAGTCCGCGGTGGAGGAGTGCAAGACTGTCGTTTACAACGGGGCGATGGGGCAGGCGGTTTTGGCTGTGGCTACCAATCAGCGACAGTGCAGTGAGGGGTTCTCGTTGATGCATAGTTTGAAGACTGCGCCTTCGGGGGCGGAGGTTACTAGTCTGGGACTTGGGGCTGTTCAGCCTGGTGGTGGTGATGGTGGTGATGATGGTGTTACTAGCACGACGGCTTCTACTGCTGGTGCTGCCAGGGAGAATGGGTATGTCGTTGCTGTTGTGGTTGCTGCTGCTGGGGTTGCTGCTGCTCTGTAAAGGAGGTTGAAAACATATGGTAGAATCATTTTACTAGAAGGTGCAATGAGGGGGGGAAGCTGTTCATATATCTGGGCATGTACATGAAAGCCGGCGGTTAAAAAAATCAATCGGGAGAGACTTGGTAGGAGGTGTACAGAAATTTAAGGTGTTCCTTACTGATCGGCCTGTCAAAGGGCAGGCATTGTTAGTTATATCTCTTTCAAGATGGAGCTTGTTGTTCATCTGGACCATAGAGAAAGCCATATTTTCCTCCTGGAGATATTATGCACAAAGAGAAAGTCAAGCGGCGCTGCATGGTGATATGTATCGGGTATATATCTCAAAGATTATAAACTTGGTATCTCCTTCGCTCGCTGAGTATATCCAAAAGAAAGAGGTATCATGTTTCGGACAGTTTCCCACCAACAAACCAAAATACATCCCATATTTCACATCATCCTCATCATCATTCCATCCATCACATCCCTCGCCCATCCCCTATGAAATTACAGGCCCCTCTTCCCATTGAGCCGCCACCTCACCACTATACACCCCCTTGTTGCACGATCCAGTCATGCCAATGTCTATTGAATTTGTCACACTTGGTTTTGCTCACGAGAACGCTTAAACCTTTTCGGTAGGGGCCTCGTTCGACTCCTTGACACTGCCCGCGGCACTGCCACCAACAAGAACGTCGTTGACGTGTCTGCTGAGCTCAACATAATCATACGCGAACTCGCCCAGCTCAGCATCGTCAAGACCGATCTCCTCAACCTCGGGGCTGACACGGAGAGACAGGCCAGGGATGAGGTTCAGGACGAAGCAGATGAGGCAGGTCATGACAAAGGAGTAGGCAAAACCAGCGACAGAATCGGCGAGTTGGTAGCCGAGCTGGATGTAATTCTGGTTGACCCAGCCACCGTCAATGGCGGTGGCGCCGTCAAGAGCGGCGATGTAGTCACTGGAGGGGGGCGTTAGTTTATGTTGAAAATGAGGAGCGGGGGAAGGGACTTACGCGGCAAAGATACCAGTGAGGAGGTTGCCAACAATACCACCAACACCGTGCTCAGCGAACACATCAAGGGGCTCGTCAATACCGATCAGGAACTTGAGCTTGGTGGCAAAGTTGCAGATGATACCGCCGCAGACACCGAAGATGACAGCCGACCAGGGGGGAACATAACCAGCAGCGGGGGTGATGGCGACGAGACCGGCAATGACACCAGAGCAGAAACCAACGGTTGACCACTTCTTCTCGAGGCGGTAATCAAGCAAGCACCAGGTGAAGCCACCGACGCAGGCAGAGATCTGAGTGACGAGGCAGGCCATGACAGCGCGGGTGTTGGCAGCGAGGGCGGAACCACCGTTGAAGCCGAACCAGCCAACCCAGAGGAAAACTGTGCCGAGAACAACGTGGGTGACGTTGTGGGGGCGGTAAGGGAGGCCGTTGACCTTGTTGTAGCCGGTACGCTTTCCGAGCATCAAAGAGTAGGCGAGAGCGGCAGCGCCGGAGCTGATGTGCACGGGGGTACCACCGGCGAAATCGAGACCGCCCATGACAAAGGACCAGCCGTTGGGGTTCCAGGTCCAGTAGGCAATCGGGTCGTAGACGATGGTGGCCCAGATAAAGATGAAGACGATGGCCGGGAGCATGCGGCCACGGTCAGCAGCGGCACCGATAGCGAGGGCCGGACTGGAAACCAAGTTAGCAAGATCTGGACCTGGAGGGTGACCAAGAAGGATACGAACGTGATAGCAGCGAACATGCCCTGGTAGAGGCAGAACAGGACATCGGGGATCTTGGAGCTGCCAACACTGGGCTGACCGAGGACCTTCATAAGACCAAAGTTGGAAAGATCGCCAATGAAGGGGCTGGCGTCGGTGTTGTGGGTGAAGGTCAGGGAGTAACCCCAGAAGAACCATTGGAATCCCACAACGGCGATGGACATCAAAGACAGCCAAATCAAAGCCAGAGCAGACTTGCGGCGGGCAAGACCACTGTAGAAAAAACCAACACCGGGGACCATGAGCAGTACAAGACCAGCGCAGGTCATGATCCAGGCGAAATCACCGGCCGAATAGGGGGCATTGATGTCTTCCAAGAGGGGGTTGACGCCCTCGTGGGCCATCTCCGTTGGGCCGGCGTACTCGGAAACTTTGTAGGACGACATGGTGAAAGACTTGTCGAGGAGTCGAAGTAGAGAGTCTGTCCCTCTGAGGCCAGGACCGGTGCTCCTGGTCTTTGTTGAAAGGCAGGCTGCAGAGTGAAGAGGAAAGATTCAGTCCTGGATCATGCGGGATGGCTAGGGTAATAAAATACACTGCAACTCTCGAGTCGTAGGTACCACCCATCCATCACAGCCGAGCCGAGCTGGGGTTCCCGACTCAAAGAAGCCTTGCAGGTCCCGCGATAAGACCATCCTCGTCATTATCACCCTCAGAAGTGCCTCCATTCCCTTCCTGGAGGACTGCTCTGCTCGCCAAGGTGCTGCATGCTCAATGGATTGGTGGGTCTCACTGATAAGGAGCTGGGCGTTCTCAGCGGTTTGGTGGGGGGTCTGTCTTGTCCTCTGCATCCCTGCCACTCCCGAGTCCCGTGTTGATCCGGGCGAGCAGCACGCTTCCCGCTGGGTAGGGCCTTGGCATCGTGTCTTTCCCCCCCCCAAAATCGTCAGGCCGGATCTGTCAAGTGGAGGAGTCGGTACGAAGGTGGAGAGACCGAGAATAAACTAGTATACCTTATCGATCATGATGGCATGAATCCAAGTGGTTGGGCTAGGTTCGTCTCTTTCGGCTCATGAAAGTGAAGGTGTTTACCGCATCGCGAGGTCGGACACTGGCAGGTTTGCCGGAAAGGTTGATGGAGGGGAAGAAGGAGGTTGCCAAATCGAGTGGGGCTGGGACACACGGGCCAATGATGTCTTCTCACTCCACCATTTTGGGTTTCACAGCGTCAACCTCACCTGATGAAACTCGGTGTGAGGCTGTCGTTTTGCAGCTGATCTTTACCATGATGATTTTTTGGCCTCTCTTGGGAAGGTGTATGTAGCTGAAAGAGAGCGTCTACAAATTTCCATTTTGATATTGGATTCCACACTTTTGGACGCCAGGCAGTCTTTGGGACCCTGTTGATCATTGGTCGCTTCCCCAGGTTGTGCCTCTCGTTCCCGCCTGCAGTCACTCATGTCACTGCAAGGCGTGGATCCGATGCAGGGTTGCATGCAGTGACTGGCTGGCTCTGCGTGTTTCCCTGTATATTCGACCGTGGAGGTGACATTTCTCGCCAACTCGATCGACTGAGTGGCTCGATCGTGTAGGCCAATTTTCGTGTGCATGGACTGGTACCAGACACATATTCTACCGTGAACCTCACCCAAGTCAGCCCAACGGAGAGCGCAGTCCGTGATGTATGTGCCTTCCTCGGGCAACGGGTAAGGGCAGAGGCTAAACTGGACGCCACAAACGCCCGAAACCGCCATTCCGACATCACTTGTACCGGCCTCTAGAACAAATCGAGAATAGAGGATGGACCGATGCGCTGTCTTTACCTCGTTTGTTTGTTGTTTAGCAAGAAAACCATTCCAGAGATAAGAGGCTAAACTATTGGCCTTTGAACCCATCCCGTAAAGCGGTGTATCTTGACCGTGTTGATATGGATTACAAAAGAATTTTCACACGACTAGAAAGAGAAACAGAAATCAGCCATCTCTTTGCTTATCCTTATCAGCTCCACCAGGAACCAAGCGCTATGATCAACCATGCGTCCGCCTTTCTTTGGCTCCCTCGTGGCGCCCCGCAGGCGGATTCTCTCTCGATATTCTGCCCGTCTGACAGACAAACAAGAAAGAGACAGAACCAAGACCTGCAGCCTTTCAATAGAAGCAGTGCCTGGGAGCCGAGGATCCGTGGCGACAAGTCATTCATGTGCTTTATTCTGGATGAAAACCCAACCGATGCAACCACTCTGAGGTCTGGTTTAGCGAGCAAGATGGGTTGAAGCAAGCAAGCCCGTGATTACACGGGGAAACGGTGTTGTGTGATTGGCCAGTTTCTTATCTCTTGGCAAATGTCCTGCTTCAAAGGCCCGCCTTGGCTGAGAAGATGGTAACCGCCCTATCGGGTTTGGCGCAACTCCTTCCTGAGATAGCATGCCCTGATCTGACAGGTTGTTTTGTGGACTTTGGAAGTGCCTGAAGAGATGCGTTTCGAATGCTGGACGACTTTTGGCAACAGGTCCACCAGCAGATGGAAAACTGCGGTAAGACGGGATCACGAACAGCCTGCTTGTGTAACCTGCCAGTGCACTTGTTGCCCCGCTTGGCCAGTGTGTCTCTCAGTTGAGCGGCAACTTCATGAGCAGCACACTCCAGACTCGATGATGGTCTTCATATGCAAGTTGAATCCTTCTTTTTATAACCACCACCCAGAACAGAATTTCTTATCTTGCCGGATACCCTTCCCTGCTTTGTTCAGTCTCGGCTTTCTCTGGGCAAGAAGAGATCACACTCCAGACCCCCACAGGGCTGTCCCCAGCAAAGCCTAGCGTCCTCCACTCTGTCCGCCTTGGCAGAAGCTTATTTTCTGGGGCTCCAGACACGACAACTTGAACTGATAACGATTTTCCCAACCTGATCAGCCATCCACCAGCCATATGGGATCATGTGCTTTGACTCTTCACCTCCGCTGCTGTGCCATTTCCTCCCGTAGCCGTAGCCTTCAACCATAGAGTCGGGACTATTCTTCAGCATGCACCGTGTCAAATTTAATCTATCGTCCCCCAAGCTGCATAGAAGAAGCCCCCAAAGAGGAAGGTGGTTCCAACACTGCGGTTCTCAGGGACCAGGATCTGAGGCTGTCTTGAAGAGGAAAAAGGCTTAAGACAGGCATATTCCCAAATACATATAGATCGTTTCGTTCCTGCGGCCTTGTGTCTCATCGCGCAATGCAATACCTCCTCAGGTTTGAGATAGAACCAACACAGTGTGAGAGGGTGTGATGATGTGACTTCTTCATATGCCTGCGGTGCCACATCCCACATCTGATGTCTCTCACCCCGGCAAAGTTTCAACCCCTCACAACATTATCTTGTCCCATATCCAAGAGACTCTCTTCATCACCAACTCAAATGAGAACCACCGCCATTTAACTCCGCTCATCCACACCGTACAATAACCAGACCCAGCTCCCCCGTGCCGATCCCCAGCTCCCTGTTCCCGCACTGATAAACCCGAGTAATTCGATGCCGCAAGACATGAAATTCGATACCTCGACAATACCCTCATCATGATCTCCACATTGTATGAAAATCACCCCCTTATTCAAACTACCATCCACCTCCTGAAATACATTCAGAGCGCAGTTGCCTAGCAGCAGTAGCCCACAGCGGCAACCAACATCGTGATCTCTGTCATCTTTTAGTTGCAGTAGTCTTCCTTGCCAACATCATGCGCATCGCGCCATGAATGCAACATCCCACAAAACATGAGTTTCACCACCTCCAACTCAAGAGAACCCTTCTAGAAACCCACCACCCATGCAACACCACCCTCATCACCAGCGGCACCTAACCGCCCACACCCTCACCACAATTGATTGGCACAGCAAGACTACCAGGTAAGTTAGCCCCTTATTACATGGGGAACCATGCCACGAAAGAAAGTCAATAGGCCTTGCAAATATCTTTAAAGGCCCATCAACTATCTTTAAAAGACTAGTGATTACCATCTGAAGACTATCGACTATTTATCTTTTGAGGCATAATTTGCCTGCTTTCACAGTGCCAGTTATCCTGTCCAGAACGTGCCACCCGCACCAAACTTTCCCCCAAGCTAACCCCCATGCCCGCCTCATCACACCCCCTTATCTCGGACATTTATTATACCTACCCTAGCCGCTCCATGCTAGGGTGGAACAACAACGCTTGATTCTCTGACACGCAGCAATGCTACACCACTACTGTAGGTACCGCACCGTTCAAATCTCCTTGTTATGCAGGGCGACGGAGTCTCATCTCTGCGTCAGACTTGCATCTAAACCAACTCTTAACTGCATTGGTGTGCATCAATACAAATTGGCCCAGCTGAGAAATTTGAATAAAAGAATGTGTTTCCCCTGATTTTTGAAGCTGCTGCACCTATAGATTCAACAACTACTGCTTATGTAACAATCACCTCCTTTTCTTTTCAATACCGTAATCCACAACACACTCCTTACTATTCATGCGTTAGCACAAATCGACATTTGCTCGATACAAAACTTCACTCACCACTTCAACCCACCTCGCCATCCATTTTTCCACAGTAGCCTTTGCCTCGTCGACAAGCCCCAACTCTGTCACAAAATTAGTCAACTGCCGCCGCCATCTCTTCCTCAATATCAACTTACCCAGTAGAAGCTGAACACTCCCACGAATACCCGACTCAAGAGCCGATGCAATCCAAGCATGTGTATAGCTGGTGTGCTCCCCAATGAAGATCATCTGTTCCATCTCATCAGTACACGGCCATCAACATGCCTCATACTAGAATCTCACATTGTTGTGTGTCTTGAAATACTCAGGCAAGTAAAGCTGATGCTGCCCAACAGTAGGATCCGCCCAGCTGGCACCCTCAAGGGGGTCCAAAGCTTGACAAACCCGACTGGATCTGCCAGTGTATTGCTTTTGGGCAACACTGCCGTGAATTCCAACCATGGCATCCAGAACATACTGAACATGCTCGTTTTCATTCATCGCCATCCACTTCTCAGTCCATTCTGGATTCGAAATATAGGACCCGAGGAGGGCGCCTGGGCCAGTGCCGTTGATATTGTAGGATGGATAACAGACGGACCCGATGCCGGGGTAATCTGGTCCCGCAATATAGCATGATCCGTAGATCGGCTGGTCGAGGTGTTCCCAGAACCGAGTTTCAAACTCCAGCGCCACCTTGCATGCAGATGTGTATGGAAGAGTCGAGATGGCTTCCATCATGATTTCGCTGAGCTCCGAGATCTCCTAGTGTCTCATGGCCGAAAAAGGAACGGCAAAGAGAACGTAGTCATGTGTCGTGCTGTCAATGTCTCCGGTGCCATTGTTTTTGGACTGCAAGGTAACCGTGCGCTGGACCAGTGATGGTTGTACCCGGTCGATCCGCCGATTCATGGTGATTGCGCCTTCAACAAGAGGCCCGAAAGATTGTGGAAGTCGTGATATGCCTGCAAGTGCCCAATATATCAGCATTGGACTCAGAACTTCTGCAATCACCAGAGTCCGTACCTCCATCGATGGTCTTCCAAGTCGTTGTATTCAAATACAAATCCTCGCAAAGCTGAAACCAGGTCAGCAGGCTAATCAGGCTACAAAGATTTTGACCGGTATACCTTGTCCCAGAACGACGAAGCCCCTTTACCCCAGTATCCGAAATGAGTATTATTGACATTGTTGTTGAGGTACTCAGCCGTGAAGGCAAACTCGCTCCATTGGTTTCCGGCAAGGTCAAACAGTCCCTTTTCTGCAACATTGATTAATACAATAGCCACGGAAATGAAAAAGACGAGACATACCGAGCCACTTGCGATGAGCAGTAAACATGTTGTTGGCCATCTCCACACAAAAGTCCTCGCACGGCAAAGCTTTGTTGACCTTGTCAAAGATTTCCTCCACAGACATCCCCAGCTGGCCCACAGCGCCTTGGTTGTCAGGTCTCCCTTGTTGCCCATCAACCTCACCCACACGGTTTGATCCACCATCACGAGGAAGTGTACGGCTACCAGCCTCGAGCCAGTCGATAAGGTCAATATGAAGGTCGTCGTCGTCTTTATTGAGCATATTCATCTCCTCTACCAGCTGGAAAACGAGTTGGTGGTCCGACATGTTGTACGTCTGGTTGGCAACAGTAAGCGTCATGGGAACTCGCATGGGACCCATCTCTTGGTAGCTGTAATCGAAAGGGCCACCGCTCAGGTACACCGTTTGAACCCGACCACCGAGACGATCTCCACCCTCAATAAGGCTGACACTGGTAAGTCCCTGTTGGGTCAAGCAAAGGTACGCCATCAGACCAGACATGCCAGCGCCGACAATGGCAATGCTTTTCTGCTTGGCTGCAGCTGAATCGATAGCGCTGCATTCGGCATTCTTGAGCACCTCGACACCATCAAACCATGGTCCCCAAACATTGACACCTGTAGAATTGTCCATCAAAATGCTGTTGGGGTCATTGCTGCGGCGGGCAAGGCGGGCATGTCGTCTTCGGGCCATCGTGTGGAGATCCAGGTGTTGCACCTCGCTTCTGCCCAGCAAGACATTTGTGGTGGTGCTCCATGCCGAAATGCATCCGCCAGAAAAGATGTCCTCGGGTAGCGTCCAAACGAGTCGGTCCTGAGAGGCATCTGTGCTGGTCGCGATAAAGTGGTGGGAGTCGTGTGGGGTTAGCTGCTGGCAGGAGCCATAGCTGAAGTCGACAGCACCTTTGACAGGTTGCACGTGTTCGACGTATACATTGCAGAGCCTTGAGTTTAAGGGAACTCGAGTTTCAATTCGTATGGAGGGGGTTGTGATATCTTGGGCTGCTGCGAGAGCCGATGGTGCGAGGGCTGCGAGCCACCGCTTCATGGCAGGGCCGAAAGAAAATGTGTGCGCTGTGTACGGGTCTGTTGAGGTAGTGCTGCTTTGTACAAACAAAAGCATGATACTCGTGATGGTGTGTTCCAGGTTCTTTGGGGGGATGTACTCATCCTCTCGGCAAAGACGGGAGAAGAATGCCACCGCTGCATTTTGTGGAAGGAGCTAAGAGCCGAGTGCATGAGGCCATCGTGCCGTACGAGTGTTAGCATTGTTCCTTCCATGTTGGATGGCTGCTCTTTCATACAATGCCGCCGTTGGCTTGCTGTCCTGACCCGCTCAGGCCAACAAGGCACCTTCATTAATCGGTTGGTCAATGAGGTGGAACGGAAGTCAAGTCACGGGCAGGTGCTGCCTGTCGGTTGGCCCGGGCTCCGACAGCCACAGCTGGGAGCTTTGATAGGTGCAGTCACACAGGTTGCCTACCCATAGGAAGCCAACGGCTCTTCGGGCAAACTGCGGGCTGCAAAGCGGGCAGGTCAGATGCTGCACCCAGGACCTCGACGTCGCCGTCATCTGAGCTCACTATTTGCAACTTTGGTGTTTGCTTCCTCTGGATTTGGGGGCTATTGTCGACTTTCCCCGGCGGCAGCGTCGCAACAAGTGATTAACATCTGCTCTCCAGAGGGAATAAAAACAAGCTATTGTGATAGCAGCTAGCTCACCTTCATTCATTGACACCCGACAAACGCCTGAAACGCCTCAATATACTCACCCCAAGCCCTCAAGATTTGGATGCCCCACAATCCGTCAACACGGGTTTCACATTCCCTTGGCTAGCTTCTTTACGGAGCAACTCGCAAGCCATCAAATTCACCGTCCGCCTGTCTGGGTGGATTTGAGCTTGCTGCTTACTGGATATCGTCACAGTCACTTAAGCAGGCAACAAAAGAGAACAAGGTCACACTGGCAGAAACGAAATCATCAGTCTAGAGCGCCGTCGAACTTCTTTTTTAGACTTCGCTTGCGTTCTCCCCAAAGCACCGCCGGATCCCACTTCAACGCCTGACATTTGACTTCACCCTATGTTGGGTACTGGATACCTAGGTAGCCCAGATCCCCACACTCTCGACACTGCGTTTCCACACGCGGGCAGCTCTCAACCATCTGCCATGCCGCCTTTTAAGGAGAGACTGGGCATGAGGATGCAGAAGGTTCAGAGCATCTTCCGGCCATCAAAAAGACGCATCGCAGAAGATGATGCATCAAGCCAACCCCCGAAGCAGCTCCGGACAATGCTAGGACCCACCAAGAAAGCCGTACAGTATCCCCCCTCTCTGTCAGCGCCGTCGACGTCACCAGCGGGCTCTTCGAAAGCAAACGAGCTTCCTAGCACGTCTCCCAGCGGGGTCAGCAATACTCTCGCCTACCCAACCATGCGTAAGTCAAACCTGCTCTCTCCGCCATGAATATCCCATCAGGACCACTTTGTAATGCACCCCCCTGCAATATCAGTGGCATTATCATGAATGTCTTGATTGTTACGTTATCGCAAACATTGTGGTTTGTGCTAAGGGGGCGTTTGGAACGGATCCGGGATTCAAGATATCTTCGACCATTCTGGTTACTGACCGGGTTAACAGCTTTCATCATGTCGGCCGACCCACCAGGATCAAGGAGGGGCAATCCGATCGACCTGGACGCACCTCCATCGCGGTTTTTACGCAGCAATTCCTCGAGCCAGTCAGACAGCAGCTCTAGCAGCCTGATATACGACGATGACGACCAGCGTCAAGTCTTGAACGACGAGGCCATAGCCCGCATTCTTCAAGAGGCGGAACACGAATACAAAAACCAGCCAGAGTCGAGCCCCCAGATCTTCTCGCCTGTGACAGAGGAAGAGACACAGAGCCATCTGGCCGAGTTCAGGGAGAAATACCACAGGTGGAAGTGCTGCCAATGTGGCAAGAGCAATGACATGACAGCAGATGTCCTTGTTCAGAAGACAAAGTCCATGCTCAAAGCAGGCAAGTCGTTTCGTCACTCAAGACTTTGACGCTTCAAATGCGGTACACTGACGACTCTAGTAGGGATGATCCACCCTTTTACAAAATGCAGATACTGTGGCTGTGAAGGTTGTTCGGCCTGTGGTACTCGAGGTACATCGTTGGCCCGACAGAGGGCCAACGCGGTCCGAGTAACTGATGCCATAAGAGCGTCCTGGTGTTGCCCCGAGGGGCGCGCCTTTGTGATTTTCTCTTTACTATGCGGTTACGAGGGACCTACAGCCACGAAGATTTCTACGCCTACATCGAAAGAACAGCCAAAGCAACAGCAAAAGCTACAGCCCCCTCAACAGCCCCCTCAACAGCAGACAGCTTTTGCAAGGGGCACTGGCTATGGACACGACTCGTACAGTTTCAATCCTTTCAAAGGGCAGCCTCAGCAGTTCCACAATTCCAAGCCAACGCCCGAGTCCGCAGATGCAGTTTCATATTTCTTGACACTTGCAGAAGTGCTTCCATCCGTGGATAAGAAAGAGTTTGAGTCCACACCTGGCCTACGGGTCATGATCCATGCATCTCCCATGATGAGACTCGCTTGCGAGATTTTGCGATCAGCTGCTATTGGCGAGATGGATGCGAGGGCTGGCATTATCAAGGCAGCCCTTCTCTTTGTTCACAGGTTGGCGCGAAACTGGGACGCCGCCTCGTGCATATTCCACCAGCAGATCCACTTCCCACCCTCGCAACAGTTACTAATGGCTTCAATGGCTTCAATGCCTCCTTCCAGGCAGGCTATATCAAGCAACCAAATTAAACCCGAAACTGCACAATCTGTTTATACGGTAGTGGAGAAACTATCTGTAGTTTGCCGAGTCTTCATGGATGGTTCCAAGAGCTTTGGGTCTGCGGATGGCGGTGACGAAGCAATCTGCATTGCGCGACAAGTCTGCGACCTGCAAGACGTTCTTCATCATCTGAAACCCGCACCGGAAGACGACAAGGCTCGCTCGGGTCCCCGTGCGTCAGCTTCTACAACGAGCACTGTCGTCACACGGTCCAAAAACAAGGAACTCGAATCGATGGCAGCAGCGGCTAAGATGACCGACTACCACAAGTTACATGGTGTGATGGGAATCAAGGATGATCTTTTGTTGGCCAACTTTTACACGGGTTTTCAAAACCAAGTCGTGAACTCCAATGGCCAGCGGATGAGAAAGCTGTTTGCGCAGATCTCATCGCTACACGCGGACCTTCCCGACGGCATCTATGTCCGCTACGGCGAGTCACGACCAGACATGCTCAAAGTGTTAATCATCGGGCCTAAGAACACGCCTTATGAGCATGGCATCTTCCTCTTTGACATTCTTTGTGGCTCGGACTTTCCCACGGCGCCACCAAAGGTGCAGTTTCTGACGACAGGCGGTGGCAAGGTCAGATTCAACCCAAACTTGTATGCAAACGGAAAAGGTATGTTTTAGCCACGCGCTTTACAGCCAGTAAGCTGCTAACGTTTTCTATGATCGGTTAGTTTGCCTGTCACTGATCGGGACATGGAATGGACAGGGATGGGTGCCAAACGTTTCGACAATCCTACAGGTTTTGGTTTCTATACAGTGTATGTAATTCCGCTCAACCTAGACGACCAAGCTCCAACTAACCGCTCATTCTACCAGCCATGATCTTTGTCGAGCGGCCATACTATAACGAACCTGGTTACGAAATCGTACCCAACCACGCCGGCAGCGAAGCGTACGATCGCAACATAGAATGCAATACGGTCTATCATGCCATCATGCCTTGGCTCCAGGCTCTGGGCAATTCCCCTTCTACATCCCAATACTCTAATACTGCCAGCCCGGCCGATTGCCAAATCTGGGGTTACATTGCCTTGAAGCACTTGCAGCTCCAGAAACCAGCAATACTGGCAAAGGTGAGGGAGTGGAGTAGGAAGAGCAGCTCAAGAGTGACGGGTTCCATGGTGAGCATGCTTGAGAAAGCCCTCAGTGGTTCCCTGGCTGTCCCCGAAGTTCCAGCTGTCGTTAAGCATGCTGGTACTCCAGCTAAGACTGGACAAACTGGTACGGCACCGAATCAACTGGCCAAGTAAGGACGAATCACCAAGAAGGCCCTCTGCAGCGAACAGGGTGTTGGGAAGCCGGAGATTGGTGAGCTTTGCTGGCGGTGTCGCCTAGACAGGCGGAAGCCATTACCCGACTATTTTCGTTTCCTAGTTACCTGCGGCTTTCCCTTTTCTTTTTTTCGAGACATGCCGGAGAGTGAGGGTTGGGTCTTTGGGGGGTTGGATTACTTGGTCTTGCCTTTAGAGAGGGATGATTGGAATGGGAATGGTGGGTCAATGTGCTATCTGCTTTGGGGTCAGGGTGGTGCCAAAGCTAGTAGGTTATGGTTTCCTTGAATCTGATTTTATTTTCGGGTCAGTATATCGCCAGGGTTTCTCGACCATGATTTTGATGTTTTGTGTAACTTTGTTGTTTGAAAGGGGAAAGGGTGGATTGGTTTTCTTCAGCTAGGTGTCAATGCAGTTCTAGAGACGTGATGGTGCCATGGTTGATGAAAGAATGGCTGTGTCTTTTTGAGTATGGTCAGAGATAATTTGCTTATGAAGTTGGTTTTTTCCTCCGTTGCAATCTTTTCATGTGCATAGGATCTACGGGAAGGGTTTGGTTGTTTTGAGAGAGGAGGCTTGGCGGACAAATACCAGGCCGATGATTATGGTGGTGTGTCGGTTCGCATTTAGCGCAGGGTTGGAATGCTGGGGCTTGGGGGCCAATGAGTTTACGCTTACTCGTAAAGTTAGGCCTTCTGTGGCCTTTTATTATTGTCTCGTCGGTACCAAGCTGGTGTTGGGGGTGTTGCATAGGAGGATGGTCCTTGTTTTGGTTGGAGTTTGTTTTGTTTGAAACGCCGAGGGTGTAAGGGCTGGGGAATATGGTGGTTTAATCTAGCCGCGATGACATGTTTGCTTGTGCATTATTGGGGTGTGGGTTGCTGAGCCACGATGTCAAAGGTTCTGGTAAGACAAGATCTTGGATCGGCAGGCGTTGGTCCGGGGAAATGGGGCGAGGACCCCAGATCTTACTTCTATTAATGGGGTCGGCTGGCGCAGCCTTATGCAAGGGGTGAGCTAGAGACAAGGCTCTGGGTGATAGGAGAGGGGACTGGAATGTCGGGTTCTGCTTGGTGGTGTGTTTTTGGAAGAGGAATTACGGCATCGGAATTCCACCGTTGACCGAGGAGATGGTGGATTGGCCGCTAGGGTGATTTAGTATGGGAGGCAATTACAGGAAGGGGAGTAAGAACGGGGAGAAGAAGCCGAGGGGAGGGGAGTGATGAAGTTGAGAGCAGGTTGAAAGTGAGGAGGAATGAGGTTCTATAAAGGATCAGGTTGGCCTCGAGTATCTGAGTCTTTTCTTTCCTCCCCCTCACCCTCAGCAGCCACATCATAATCACACTACTACACTTCTCTATCACCAAAGACAAGAACAATCACTTTCCATACCAAACATCCACCACAATGAAGCTCTCCACCCTCATCCTCGCCCCCCTTTCCCTGGCTTCTGCCTGGAAACTCGAGCTCTTTGCTTCCGACGGCCGCAAGATGACCGCCTCTGGCCGTGATCCCAACTCGGGCTGCAAGAATATTGCTTTTACCCCTGTCCTGAACGTCAACAGGGCAAGGTTCAACAAGGACACTTCGTTGCTCCCTGATCCCAACACCTTTGAGCTGTTTGTCAACAAGAACTGCGATGGGTTGAGCTATCGCAATGGGAATGGAGACCACCGGTTGACTCCGGCGAGGAAGATTAGGAGCTATCGTGTTAAGAGGTAGATGGGGTGGAGTAGATTTGGAAATGGAGAGAAGGGAAAGGGGGGAGGAAATAGGGGTATGGAAGGTTAGGGTTGGATAAGGGAAGGTTTCCGGGATGGGGTGGAGGATTGAGCTTGTTTCTTTCTTCATTGTCGCTCTTTTAGGAGGTGACGTTGCACTGTTTTAGATTCTGACTTTCGTTATGCAAATGAAGTGTATTTTTCCAGTTGCCTTTGCTCCTTAGGTGTTCTGTGACTCCTTGCTTGCTTGCGGATTATGTCGGGTCACATAGAGAGTTTCCAAAGTGTAGACCATGCACAGCAAAGAAATAAAAATTACTCTTAACCTTTTGGGGTGTAGCAGGCAAAACAAAACACCTTTGCTGTGGCAAGTGGCAGTAAAAGTAAGTGGGAACTGTGAGGCTCGAACTCACGACCTCAGGATAACTCTGGTGTTAGACATCCAGATCATACATTTGTATGAGACCTGCGCTCTTCCAACTGAGCCAAGCTCCCTGTCATGTGATTGACGTTCACGCAGGTAAATGACACTTATTATAGTAGATTGAGCACGCTTCGCAAATGCAATTCAGGGGCAGAAGGGGCGAAAGTAAGTGATATACTTTGACAAAGGCGGGAGTCGGATTCAATATCATAACGTATAAAGCAACCTGTTAGGACACTTGGAGGCAGGGTACTGGCACGGCACTGGCAAGCAGGCATACATATAGCTCTCTTTTTGCACTAGATCTTCCACCAGAATTTATCATCATTGCACCCATTGTTCTGGACTGCCACGGTGACCGCACCTATCACAACCCCTTAATATTTTACTTATATTATATGAAAATTATTACTCTTTCAATCGTTCAACCTTTTCTTTTATTAATCTAAGCTTTTTGTGTCCCTTATCCAAGCTTCCTGGTATTTTACCCTAAGTTTTTCATCAACTTGATCCAACCCCTTCTTACCTTCAATCTCAGCTTTAAAACTAAGGTACTCTATCTTGACACAGGTTTCAGAACATCGTCAGACCACTTCTTAATCCACCAAGATGATTTACTTCACTGCGATAGAACAGCCAATCTCACATACTCCTTGAATTGACCTAGCTTACTGAGAGTGTTTCGTTACATCATAAATAGAAACATGAATATGAAAGCTGCGAAAATGGTTCGAGTAAAGTTACCTACCCTCGTGTAGCGCAGCAGAAACCAAGCCGACCGTTCATTCATTCGTGACAAGAAAATCCCAAAACCTGCGCTGGTATTTCCCAGCTCAATCGCGCGAAGTATCCGAGTCAGATTCTAGACCCTTGTCGTCATCATCGGAGCTGAGAGTGCTGATGCTCTGTTCCGACTAGCTGTCATTGTCATCATCAGAGACATGTATGCATTTGCGAACCTTCTTCTTTGACTCGCTGGACGGGGATGTGTAAACGACAGTCCCGATTGGTCCAAGCGGGGGACCACGAACTCTTCCCCCCATTCCTGAAGGCACAGCCGGGCCTCTAGATGGCCAGGCTATGCCGGGGGGAAGTGGCGGCGGTGGAAGCGGCCCACCGCCACCAGGAGTAACAGTATGTTCCCTGAGCTTGACAATCATATCAAGGCTGATGGGTCGATGTAGCGACCTGTACCATGCCGCGGAGACATCAAGGAGGTTCTTGATGGCATGACCGTTCGTTGGATGAGCTGCCAACAGCTCAAGTTCACTTGAGGTCAGTTTCCCAACGTCGTTAGGGAGCTGGTCATTGAAGAGTTCCCAGAGACGCTTTCGCTCGAAGAAACTGGGATAGCGAAGGTTGATATGAAGCTGCGCACGGGAGGCTATGGCGGGGGACACAAATGGCCTGTCTGGCGATGTTACAATGACAATACCTACAAAATTGAAATCGTCATGTTAGATCTGACGAGCTTCCAAGCTTGGGGTGCTGGGTAAACTTACCATTAAAATTTTCGAGCTCTTTGACGAAGGCTTGAAGTTCCGGTCAAATCCATCAGTTTTTCGATTTTCCATGAGAAGCGAGTTGGGTAATGCGATGAGAGACGAAGGCTGCTTACCATTTGCATCAAGCTGAGCTGGCAAAGGGCCCAATGATGGCTTCTCAACTAAGATACAGCCATCCCAATCTCTTGCCTCCTCAAATGTATCTCTCAAAATGTCCCAGTCCTTCAAGAGTGGCTGCCCAGTAAACGCCGCCACTAGCCCCGGAGGTCTGGTTAGGTCGATTGAGGAGAACTCAGTTCTAGGGATACATACCAGATTCAGCCAGCAGAGTCTTGCCTGTACCGCTTGGTCCGGAAATCGAGATTACGAGGGCCCGGTTGCCTTCATTTTGCCCCTCGTGTTAGCCGCAAATCAAGGACTTATGAGGTGATTGTGGCTTACGACCATCCTGATTCTGGGCCGTCAGCCTCTGGTTCTCAACCAGGGTTTTGAGAATGGCCTTCTTGGTATCGTCGAAAATAACCTTCTCCATCGCATTCCGGTCGCATTCAATCGGCTTGAGCGCATCGAGCTCGAAGTCGGCTAGGGATGTTAGAAACGTCATGGCGGTGAATGATTAGGAGCTGGTTCAACGTACCATAGGTTCTCTTGGAAAGAGAAAAGCCTGAAACATAAGGAGACATAATCAGGAGGTTGTCAGCAGACTTCATCACCACGCGTCTGCTGTGGTCCATCTCTTCAGGTGTTGCTCTGCGGAAGTTTTTGGCTCCCATGCGAGTCCCGGTATTGTACCCAGGAAGAAGTTCATGGGCGAAGCGGTAGGGGACACGCTTCCGCACCAGGAAAAAGTCAACAACAACCTTTTCTTTCTCCTGCATTGTAAAAGCACAATTAGTAAAAGAGAAGAGTTGTGCCAGCATAACAATTGACGTACCAGTTTGTGGTCTGATCCTTTCCAAACCCACGGGCTAGCCACCACATCGTGACGGCAAGCCTCCGGGTCATACTCCATGTACCTTGGGACCTGGAAGTCCAATGCCTTCCTTCCACGCTGAATCAGCCTATCACGCAACCCCCTATTGCATTCCAGGTCGATATACGGTATGATTGGTATCTGAAGTCGGTCAATCTCGCCATCGAACCTCTCGATACCGACGTTCCAAAAGTATCGTCGGAAAGAGTAACCGCTGAACATGATTGTCTCGCATTTGATCTCTACCTTCTCCTTGGTAAGAGTGATCTTGTTGACCTTGTAGGCACGGGGGACTTCATCGGCAAGCTGGGTGCCGAAGATGCTCCCTTCTGGGTAGAGAGTCCACAAGAGTTCGAAAGTGATCTTCTCCTCCTTGTTGAGAGTCTCAATCTCTTCGAATTTGTCCTTGAAGATTTCCTGGATGATGCCGCTAAGCAAAGAGCAATGGGCGCGGGTCTCGTCGTCTTTGGACATCTTTGCAATCTCGGCAACGTGATGGCGCACAAAGAAGAGGGCGCGATGCGGGGCGAGGGATTCAACCATGACACTGTCATCACGGTATACCAACCCATATCGCTCAAGAAGGCCTTTCAAGGCTTTCTTAAGCTGTGGGCTTTGCAGACGGACTTTGTGGATGTAGAGGTTGTCGCCCTGGTGACGCTTGTAAACCTGAACTGCGGCATCTTGCCACTTCTTCTTCGGTTTGAACACGCGAGACAGAAAGGAGGGGGAACGAGCATTTTGTTCAACGTAGTCGGAGGAATCCGAATAGGAATCAGAAGTATCGGGCTCGTAATGGAAGACTTGGACTCTGTTCGAGTCGTCAGCCTTCGATTGGCCACGAGAAGGTGCACACCTGGCCATCGTGATGGTTTGCCGGGCTTGTGTTTCTGAATGACCGAACCCAGGTGGAATCAGGTGCTTTTACAAGTCAAAAGTGGGGGGTAGCTACCAACTTATGTGCGGTCAGAATTCACGCAATGGAGTAACCTGAGCTCGTTCTGCCTGGTCTTGCCCCTCTCAGAGCCGCAGTTGGCCAATATCGCGGCGTCCAACCTGCATAAGCCCGCTTCGTGTGCAGCATTAGAATGGACTGGATTGGCCACATCGGGAGATAATTATTGTCATTGACTCACCGTCTTCTCATTTCTGCTGCATGAAGTAGGCATATGTGACACCACAATATCAAGGCTCGGAGTTCGTCGGTCACAAGTCAAGGGTAAGGTACTTCTGACATGGGATCTCCATCTAAAAGAATTGTGTCTCGTCCCTATGAAGAGACACCGACATTGATGTCGTCAGAAAGTTTACACCGTAATCTTCAATCATTGACGCGCGGTAGAACCAAACAGGAACTAAAACACCTCTAGCTTCCCGGTTCTCAAGCAAGCGCAACCACAGATGACGAGGTGCCCGCGTTGGGATGTCCTGGGTAACCAGTACCTCCATCAATGCCAGTATCCGAGTCAAAGCTGACATCAACCCCTTCCTCCCGCGGTAGCAGGTTATGGTAAGCAAAAGCCGGAATGACAAGAACAAAAGCTTCCGTGAGATCGCGTGCAATTCCGGCATCGACAATTTCGTTGGCAATAGTGGTGAACACAATGTTTGTCCAAGATCGCTGCGGCCGTCGCAATTCCAACTCCATATCCGCGGCTTCTTGATCGAACCTTGTCGTCCCGCCGACCACCGTAATATTTGAAGCAATGGCCAGTACGAATAGTGAAACTAATTCTTGCACGCATCGCATGGAGACATCAATACCGGCGCGATGTTCAAAGACGATATCATCGTCTTCAGGTTCTAGGTGTCGTCCAATCTCATCGGGAGTCCAACCACGGTGTATTTTATCATCTTCACCAGCCTGGGGCTGAGGTCCCTCTGTTCTGCAGCTTCTGTAAGAATAAGGTCAGTCACTATAGCTAGGCCAACGCGGTGGAGGGATTGGTAAGCATACGAGACCGAAGATAGATATAGCCCGAATATGGGTGAACAAGAACCATGCTGGGTTATTGTTCCGCCGTTGGGGGTTTTAATCCCAGTGGTGGTAACGCCTATCCATCTTTCCACAGCATCTGTCTGTGCACCGGGTGTACCAATGATTCTCAAGTACCGAAGCTCTGACTCCGGCCCTATGGCCTCGCGAAGAGGCCCAATGTATTCATGACGGAACATTAGTTCTTTGATCCACGGGTTAGAGATGACATCTCGTATCGCCGCTCTTCTGCGAGCCAACGTGAAAAGCCATATCGCAATGAAACCCTGAACAAGATTGGGCTGTTGAAAACTCCATTTGTCTGTATGAGCCGTAGTTGCATAACCGAGCGTGTTGTCGACCTCGGCCTCTAGTCTGAAACTAACAACCCGCGAGGTGTTGCTGGCTTGCCGGTAAAGCGATAGTTTACCGACACATACAGTAAAACTCCAGGTGAAAGAGGTACCGAACCCCTTCCATCGCACGTGGTTGGAGGTTGCAAGGTACCCCAGAATACGCTCCGCCAAGTTAGTGAAAGTGGTAGCCCGAGGGACAATATCGTCAGCGGTCGGCATCAGGTTCGAAATCGTTGCATATCCGCTCATTGCCTCATTTCCGGTCGGCTCATTCTCAAAGTAATTTCTTTCGTGAACCCAGACGCGGGGAAGGCCTTTGTGGTGCACTGGGCCAAAAAGATGTTGGGCCGTATAAAGTTGTTGAGGCAGGATAGACGGGGTACTGGATCGGAAACCTGGCTGAAGTCGAGGGACTCCCCGATCACTATACTGATACATCATTACCCTGACCAGCTCGAGAAAGGTTCCGTTGAGCCCTGTGTAAGGCTCCCAAAAGGCTTCATCTTGAATTGCTTTTTGAAACGCTCCAATTTTGATAAAACAAATGAGGAACATACTGAGGCAATGTCTGTTCGCCTTCTGGGAGGTCTGGCCGGGCACTGGGTGATATGAAAGAGCGGTACTCGTTGTGGAATAGTTTGGTCACCTTGCTAACCTCATCCCATCCATCTTTAACTGGACCTTGCTCTTGAACCGCCGGAGTGATATCCACTTCTTCGCCTCTGTACTTCAGTCAGTCTGAATTCAATTCCAAAGAACGTCCGTACATACGATGCTGTCGTGGAGCTTTGGGTAGCGCCCGTGGTCTTTTTTGCCCAAAGATGAAGAGCAAGCCAAGCCTTTTCGTGGCCGTCCAATATCGTTGTGGCGGTTGGATCAAAAGCAAGGCCTCGTCGAGCCCAAGCACGCACTCCTGTCATGACTAAAGTTATTCCAAGCTGAAGGATAGTGGCCGACCAGTGAAGTGCGCGAAGGCCGACAAACTGAATGACAAACCCAACTAGTGCTGTTAAAGTTGAGGCAGCTGCAAGTACACTATGCCGGGGTCATAGTCAGTTATTACCTTGAAGAAGGAATCAACAAGTGCCAGTTCCAACATACCTGAAGTAGCTCTCCTTCGGATCACTTGCCAGAGTAGATGTCCGAATCCTAGACGGAAAGAAAATAGCATATGAAGAAAAGTGTTGGTCAGCCACTGTGACAGATCTTTGCAGTACCAATGGCTGAAGATCTGAGTTGTGGGCAGGCTCGAAGCTGTATTCCGTGGTAATACCTTCTATGACATGCCCGCATCCCAAAATACCTACAATCACTAGCAGTGTGCCGACAAGAAAGCAAGGATAGCCATACCCCGCAACAGGCGCCCAAGCCTTTAGCCAGGCCCAGCGATATGTTGCAAGACCGGGGATGACGATAGCTGTCGCTTGTAAACCTATTCCGACGATTGCCCAAAACCGCAACTCTTTGCTGGAAGCTGTGGCGTGACGGACGTTGAGAGCCAAGTTCGGTGCCGCGTCTTTCAGAATGGACGTTACTTCAGAACCATCGGAATAACCGAGAATTTGATCGTGTCTAATTAATCTTTCCTCGGAGGCGGACTGTAAGTCGTGAAGTTTGCCATTGGACTTGTCGAGAATGAGCCATTTCATCTGAGGGTTCCCAATGAGGCGGACAATCTCCTGGCCACTCCACAGCTCGCAAACGTCTGCCGAAGTAGATGAGAGCAGTTCCAGCTCGGCCGTTGACCGGCTCTCACGGGCCCTTATGAAAGTCAGTATAAAAAGTGAATCTGAACATTCAACGCGAACACACCTGCCAACAACTGCCTTGAGCTTTTTAACCCCACCGACACGGATGGCACTGACGATGATAGTCCTGATTCCCAGAGGACCCATGGCAAGAAGGAAATTATCAGCCCACCCCAGACTCAGGCTGAGGAACTGTTTTGTGACCTGCTCGCCAAAAAGGGTGAGCAGGGGTGCGAGATCACTGAAGAGGTTGTTTGAGAACTCATCACCGGCAAAATCGTCCGCAGGTGTGGTGAAGTTCAAGATGACTCCGATCAGGTACCCAAAAACATCAAGGTTTGCAGATAAAGGATGTGAGCGGTTGCAAATTGGTCTCACGAAGGGTTAAATGGTTACTAGTGGGACGGGTTTGGTAAATCGGTGAGCTGCAGGTCGCATCGTACAGGCCCAATCTCTGATCAGGCTTGTGTAACGGTCTGCAGGCAGAATAGATACCTACCTGAGCTATGCTGAGCTGGTGGCTTGCGGGTTGCCAAGCCACACAGGGCAATATACGAATGTGTTTATTCCCTTATATAGGTAGTCTGCAAAAGACTGTGATCAACATGGGAGCAATGCGCTGTTATAGGCGTCATTATATCCTGGTCAGAACTCCATGTGATTATGCAGAACACAATGCAGTGCACGTGCATAAGTGGCATATTGATATGCACAACCTCAGCTGAAAGTCATTAATCCTTCAAACAACCAGCACTTCCATTCGTCAGAACCTCGAGGGCATGATTGGTGAAGGGACCGCAATGCCCCGGCAGGCACAAACACTGTTGGGTCAAAAGGTCCCGTGGCCCGCTGCTTAAAACGCAATCAGGATGCTCAGATCTCTAAGTCTTGCAGTACTTGCTAGAAAAATGGTTTCTCTGAGCGGCTGGTCCTTCACGGCATTCCCGCCATTCCCTGCCACCTTCCTTCCCAACTATGCTGTTTGGAATGCCACCAACGAATCCAAGAACCTAACCTATCAGATTGGCGTGTCCTGGCCTTTCGAATGGCAGTCGCGGGATGTCACCAACAAGACTGCTCTCACCATGTACGTCACCGACGGGAATGCCCATGGCCTCACCGCAGTTGAGAACTTCAAGCGGCGCAAAGGAGTCGATTCAGCCCAGCCAGACAGTATCGTCGTGACCATTGGTTACCCGCTCAGCAACCACGTCTACGATCTCACCCGGCGTTTTGTCGACCTGCGTCCGCCACTACCTGATGACCCCGCGAGCGATCCGCCGTTGTCGGGTGCTGACGATTTCATCGCCTTCATCAACGGGACCCTCCGCCCGTGGGTGCAGCACACCATCTTCCCATCTGTCACATTTACACGCGACGCTCTCTACGGTCATTCCTTTGGTGGCATATTTGTCGTGTATGCGCTGATTGCCTACCCGGGCTTGTTCGACACGTACATTGCCGCGACGCCGACGATGATCTGGAACAATGGATTGTTGCTCGACGAAGTCACACGGCGCTGGGGAACAGGATGTGTCCAACAACCGGTGCTGTTGCCATGCGCGAACGAAACCGAGGCCATAGAAAAGAAGCCAGCTGTGTTTATCACCTATGGGTCGGCCGAACAGTTCCCCCCACGGCGGCGCACTGAGACGGAGGAAGCATTCCAGGAGAGGAAGACCCTCTGGCAGTCGTTCAAGCAGACAGAGGTGACGCAGGAGTTGTTTTACCGCATCCAGGCCAGCCGAAGGGTGAGGGATGTGACCCTCAAGGAGTACGTAGGCCAGGATCACGCAGGGGTGGCCTCGAGTACGATTGGGGACGGCATCGGATATTTTGTGGACTGGTGACCAAGGGATGCAGCTGGCTGCGTTGGGCAACTGGGTGGCAACACGATCGCCTTGCCGCTATTCTCGACGTCCAGTCCTCCGATAGTAGGCTTCCCATGATCATGAAAATGTTTCAGGTCTGTCCATACCTAAAACAATAGGGCGTTACTTTGTGCGTCACAATATCAGATATATAACCAAACCGCCCTTCAACTCATCATGATTCTGTTTCAATGGATCTCTGAGCTCATCGTCTCTATCCACCAGCCCCGAGCCCCGCCTTCGTCAAGCTGTATCACTTGAAGAGTGGTTCGACGACGTTCTGGAACCTGTGTCAAGATACTTCAGCTACGGTCATGAAAAGCACCTCTGCGGCAGTTTAGTGGACCAGCGAAGTGTCTCGAGGCGTGGCCCAGATGTGGCATGTGAGAAGCGTCCTGTTCCTTCCTGGATACCTATAAATTGCAGGAAGAGCCCAACATTCGTCATGGAACTCTTACCACCCAACTACCTTACTCACGCCCTACCACCATCACACCCCTGGCCACATCGCACAGCCCAACATCCTCCATTTATCTGCTCTCCACTTTGTAGTCAGCATGTCTGGATATCTCGGTCAAGGGAGTTCGAGTCGCTACGATGACGAAGACTTCACGCGCGCGGAACTAAGTAACAGTTATGACGACGACTATAACCATTTTCCCCTCAGCTACGGATCAGGCTCTTTCAGCACCGAAGGTTACAACGAGTATTCTTATCTCACCTCGGGAAACAGCTCCAGGCGACAGAGACACTATGCTACGCCTGTCAGATCAACACAGCGAGTCCAGCAGATGTCCCCGCAAAGCTATGGCACCTCATTATCAAAGCCACAGCCGGCCTTGCAGGCGCCCGAGAGGATTGGGGACACCTCATCAGTACAGCCAGTCCAGGAGGCACCCAAGCAAACCTGGGAGACTTCCACAATGGGAGCGCCGATGATGACAGGAGGAAGAACTGAATGCCCCGTCCACCCAACTGCGGAACAATATGCCACATATTACAAATTCAACACGGCGGATGACCAAACTTGGGACGTGGACTCTACAGGACAGAGGATACCGCCAAAGAGGGAACATATTGGATATAAGAAAGACAAATATCGCGCGAACACAACCTCAGATATGACCGACTGGGCTCTCCCCTGGCGCACTCTACCGTCGGGATCAGCATTGTTACGGACCCCGGTGCCCACTCCTGGATTACACTACACAACCACACCTGCTGCATTATCCTATGGTCAAGGTGCGTATGAAGCCCGAGCCGGGTATGAAGCTCAACCCGAGTACGACGCCCAGGCGGTGGCCATGAACACCTCTGGCTACAACCAAGGACCTTACCCTGTGTCTGCTTACCCTGAAGAACCCTTTGCCACAACATACGAGGGCGAATAAGCGACGGATCCGCCTCAGAAAGCTCAGTTTGGACATACCGATCAAAACACCGTCTACAGTATGCGGCGGTCCTATCCAGACTCTCGTTAATTTATAGAGAACTTTTGTCACCAAGTGGCAGGGAATAACCACCCGGCAAAGGGATCGAGGCTGGATACACACACTGCATGTCATCTGGAACTACACGGCAATCGGAGGTAGCATTTGGGTTTTTTTTGTTGCAGTTTTCTTGTCTTTTCTCTTGGTTACTTTGACGTGTTTGATTGTAATTGCATACACGGCCTTCCTTATTGGTTGTTAGTCGAAGGAGTGGTTTACGAATCGCCGGCGGAAAGAAAAGACAGAGGATGGAGCTAAAACAGCTAACACATTAGAAGAGGGCTCAGCTGCTAGTGGCATGTCTTTGACTTTCTAGTAGTAGCAGAGGTTCAGTTACATAGGTCACGACTTGTTCAACAGTCTTTTACTACTTGTACAGCTTTGTAGCGTATTCCTTTCACTTGTTCTGACTACTCATTCCTTGATGAATGGTACGCTATATGAAATGCAAGAGGGATCAAAGCCATGGCATTTTATTACGCTTGGACACCAAGCTCAGTGCTTTGGTGGGTCTTTTACCTTGTGCACACCCATGGCAACCATGCCAACTCTTCGCTGCAGCTAGCTAGGTGTATATAATCAAGATTTTAGACTTTGAATATTGGAGTGTGGGTTTAGATTTCATTCTCTACTTTACCGATTAAAGAAAAGCTAGGGTTGAATGTAAAAAGACGTGAGAATTATTGGAATAAAAGTCTTGTAGTTTTTATGTTTCAGAAGAAAGGTGGTAATAAAAGGTTTCCATTTGGAGAATAAAATACTTGGAATAGATAGAGAGGACGTTCGGACTATTAGGATAAAAAGCGTGGATGTCTGTCAAAAAACAACGGTTAGAAGCACAGATTAAAAGCAAGAAATGTGTGGTCAAGAAGATAAAAGGCTTTGGTTAAGATGAAGAAAGTCTCGGATGTAGGACAGAAAAGGGTCGGATTAAGAAATAAAAGGCTCAGATGATTGAAATAGTAGTAAATTATGTATACGTATTCATCAACATGCTCATCTGGTAGCATCATGTCATCAATATCACGGCACATTATCCCTTCACCATGGAACACATTTCTCAAATAAAAGCATGTGGCTGTATTGCATAATGTAGCTACCAGAGCCCCAATCCCTACACTAACCGGCACAAATAACCCATAACCTCCTGCCTCGCAATAACTACCACTGTGTGTCATGGGGGTTGTTCTGATCAATTGCAGAAGAGTCGTACGAAGGTAACTGATAAAGATCGCGGTGTGGATCTACGTCGTATTGAGGCTCTTGCTCATCAGGGTTCAAAACAGGAGGGCCCACAAAGATCTGGGCGCCGTATATCTCTGGAGAGATCATGTGTTTGCCGTACCAGGCTTCATATTGTTGGGCAAAATGGGGTTTCTTAAATGTTTCTTGGAGGTAGAAGCCCTCGGGCTGTTTGTTTTCAAGAGGCTCCGGCCAGCTTGGGAAGTGTTGGTGCATATTCTTTTGTGATTGGAGTGGAAACTGGCCAGGTGGACCTTGCCCACCTGCCATCATCGGCTGACCATCTCTGGGGTTGCTCCAAGAGCCCATATCGATTATGCCCCCTGGTGTGGGTTCGGGCTGCCGTTCCTTTCCCTTGTTCGGCTTCGAAGACGATGGGTTGGGGTTGCTTGACATGTGGGACGATCGGGGTTTGTAAGAAGGGCCAGCTTCGGCGTGGGCGTACTCCTGACCTTGGCGAGGTGGGTGTTGTGCTTTCTTTTTCTTTGCCATCTTCACCGAAAGAACGGTTGACGAGACATGTGGGGGACTTTGGTCGCTGAGAGGGGAATGCGAGACTGACTGAGAGGCCTTGCCTGGTGGCTATGCTGCAATGAAAAGGCGAAAAATAAAGGAATAAGTCTTGGGCCAATGATAGTTTAGTTCGCCAGTGGAAATTGACCGGTGGTGTGATACGGTGCCATATAGATATATCTCCAGAGAGCTAAATGGAAGTGCCTCTTGCCACTGTTAAAATATCATCTGCCCTACGACAGATTACACTCCATCAGCAGGCAGGCCTTGGTCGTGAGGAGGTCATTTTCGTTGGCAAGGATAACTACACCATCCAGACTTCAGCGTCCTTCTCAAACGATCGATAGCGTTATTGCGGCTTCTGCGGTTCTCCGGTCGGCATCAGCGGTGTGGGGTGTATCGTTGAAATAAAGATGAAAGATGTTTGATGGAGCTGGGGGTCAAGAGGCTGACATGGACTGAACCCAGGTTTCCAACGTGGACTTGATCGGCGACACCATGATCGAGAATTTGACGCGCATGATGCGAGAGTCCAGATTGAGATGCCGGTGTTTACGACGAGGTCACCTCCAAACGGGGACAGAGTGATTGCACGACAAGCGTGTCTCCTGGAAGATGCTCGTTAAGCCAGGTGGGTAGATAATCTCACCCCTACCAGAGAGAGTTACACACCCTGCGTCCCCCACTATCGCTTGTGCCGTGAAGCAAGACGTGGTATCACAATCTTTGGACTTTGTGGCAGAATCGCCCAGCTGCACGAAAATGAAGCAGACTCGACACGATCTTGGGGTACGTGACAACAGACGAAACTTGGCTACGCAAACCATTTCGGTGACTGCCGGTACTGGTAAGCCCTTCTTCTTCCACTGGCTCAAGTACCTAGTCTGAGGAATTAATTACGGGCTTAAAAAGATGAGCGGCTCGAAAAGTGAGCCTTTCGTACCTGCCTGAGTGAAATATAAAAGGGTATTTTCCCCTAAGTGGCTAGTAAGTGGAGCCTCTCTTCTGTTGAGCCTTCTATTCCTGGCTCACACCCCCTCTGAGTAGCTCTTTCCCAGTAAGCCGGGAATAGTGGGCTCAGACCTGAGCCGTTTGGGTATTTTGTACTCTGCTGAACATGTCGTTGAACGACATGATGGACACTGAGCTCCTCAATGGTCACTTTCTCGGCCGCCGTGATCATGGAGCGTTCCAAGTACTTAAAGACCTCCAGTCCTCTTTGAAGAGCCTTCCCACAACCATTCCAACCAGATTGTCATTGACACCGGTGCAGAATCTCGTGCAGCACAACAGCATCCTGCAAACTCGCAAATTGGCAATACGTCTCCCGAAGCATCCAAAGACCTTCCCCTCACCATGTCTCGTTATGATGATGATGGTGGCTACGGCGTGACCCGCGCAGAAGACCTCTACGACGAGTGTAGCCCGTACAGATCCTTATACGAAGATGGAGATCGCCACAGAACTGTCCCCTCCCAGCCGGAGTGGTATTACAGTGAAGACCTTTCTTCTGACAGGGGCAAGGGCAAAGCCAGAGCCGACACTCAGCCAGCGGGGGGTTCCTCCTCTGGCTCTCGATCACATGGAAAAAAGACCGCGGATTCGAAGTACGGCACAACACCTGTGTCCACCGATGTCCGCGATCACTCTCGAGGCTGGGGCTGGTCGGTACCTCCGTCACACCGACCTCTCCAATATCGCCACAAGGGCCACGCACAGCCTGCATCGACCGAGAAGCAAACCAAGCTCAGCCCCTATACTGACGCTAATGGAACGACCTGGTACCCCGCCCCTGATGGGACCGTCTATGACTCTGGTGGGAACCGGTACTACATCGCTGATGGGAACTTCTACCCGTGCAATCTGTCGCAACCTGCCGGTGGGAATAACATCGACTTGCAGCAGGCGCCAAATTATGGGCCTGTGGACTATGACCAAAGCGCTGCAGGCTCCCAGCAGTATCAGTATTGGACCCGTGGATATGCTCAGTGATGGACTGAGGTGAACTTTGGGGTCCAAATAACATCGAGGCGGAAGGGAGTCCATGGCTACTACCATTGGCTTAACAGTTCCATCTCTCAAGCTTCACCGTGGTCAAGCTGGCTTACCATGACTGGATCTGCCTTTCTTTTGGGTTTTGTTTTGGGTATATGTTTCTGGTGGCACCTATCAGATTTCTGCTTTCCTTACTTGATGTTTGACTTTGTTGACCAAGGTCTGCCTTTTGCTTTCTTCTCTTTCCCCATTATCCAGACACAAAGGTTACAGAAGCGAAAACCAACGACAAACAACAAACTAACAAAACAAAAGAAAGATGTTCGATTCTGTTTTGTTGAGCGAGTATGAAGAATGACGAGAACCGTTTCGTTATAGGTCTTTTTGGCTAATCGTTAACATCAACTTGCTGGACAAGTGTACAACACACAGGCATCATCGTTCGCTAGGTAGCTTCATAACTTCAATAGCGCAGGACGTTTGTTATCTCGATGCGGATGACCACATTCAGGCAACTCGTGTATCTCAACCCCATCACTACCCCCAGAAACAACCACCACTCTCCTACAGACCTACTTCCCACCCCCCAGAACACCCCCCAATACTGGACTCAAAATCCCTCCCACCCCCTTTCCAACCTCCCCAACTGTCTCCCCCAACCCACCAACCAAACCCCCAACCACACCTCCCAAGTCTCCTCTCCCCAAAGCACCAGTAGTATTCCCAACTGTATTGCCCAATCCCCTCGTAACACCCCCAACCGTATCCCCCACCCCCCTCGTAACCCCCCCAACAGCACCCCCAACCCCTTTCGTCAACCCACCAACAGGTCCCCCGATCGCATTCCCTAGCCCGTCCGTAGTCTGATTGACAGTATCCCCCAACCCTCTCGTAACTCCTCCGACAGCACCACCAAGGTTCTTGGTAGTGTTCCCGACAGTATTCCCGACACCGCCTGCAACTCCCCCGACAGTGCCATAGAGATCACCCCGACCGAGCGAGTTGGTAGTGCGGTTCAGGGTGTCAAGTGCATCAGTGGTCAGGCCGGACGCTGTCTGCCCAACTCCTTGCGTGACTCCCCCGACAGTTCTCCCCACGCCTTGACCCACGCCGCCGACGGTTCTCCCTACACCCTGAGCCACACCTCCAACGGTGTTGGAGAGCTGTTTGGTGAAGTTTGAGGTTGGGATGTGAGCTTCAGGGGCGTACTTCTTCTTTCGGGGCGTGGGACTCTGGGTTTGAGTAACGGCAGGAGGTTGAGGAGAGGCCTTGACTGGAGCAGCAGAAACAGCAGGCTTTGTCTTGGGCTGGGAAGTCGCAGTCTTTGGCATGACTGGGGAGGCGGCTGGGACTCGCGCAGCAGTGGGAGCAGGCCGGGCAGGGACAGCAGATCGAACAGCGGCGGTGGTCTTGACCTGTCCGATGGGCACCGACTTATTGACGCTGGACGGGCTGGACACCCCAAGAGCCTTCTTCGTATGAGCTGTCATGGTGACTGGTCTGAAATTAGGCTTTGGGGAGGACTGTGTCGCCGGCGTGGATGCGACAGCCGGTGCCAGCTTCTTAGCCGCGGACCTCGCCTGGGCTGGAGTTTTGCTGGTGGCATAAGAGGTCACATCTTTAGGCTTGCTGCTTGCTGTTCTGGTAGGCTTGGTTGACGATGTTGCGGTAGGCTTGGTGGATGATGCTGTGGTAGGCTTTAAAGACGACGATGTCGTTGTCTTCTTGACAGCCTTGGAGACAGACGCAGCCGGTGCCTTCTTCGACGTCGATGCTGATGTGAGATGAACGGATAAGTTTCCCCTTTCAGGCAATGTGGATCCAGTTCAGGGGCCACTTACACGCCACCGCAACCGGCTGTTGCTTAACCTTGGCTTGGGTAGTGCTCGGCATTGTGCCTTGATGGATGATTGTCAATTTCCTTGTCGATATTAAGTCTGATAAAGTATCCAAAGAATGAAATGTGGCTGAGACAGACGTTGAAATACTCAAGCAAGAGACGAGCGAGTGTTGGGATGACGCCCATGCATTGACAGAAATCCAGATTCCCTCGTACGACCCGTGACGTCAAGCCACAGTTCTCCGCACCGTTTCTCCGATGTGTCGCGTAAAGGTGTGGTTGTGAGCGACTATGAGTGGCTTGCCACAATAGGTGAAAAAACGAACATCCTGGATCAAGACATCTGATTCGTTGGACAGCTACCCACAACGATGTCAGTGACCCCCTCCCTCGGACAGGTTGCCATCAGAGATTTGACATATCTCGATTTTGGGATGTGGCTGGAAGATTGTCAAAGTCACCGGTTTTGTAATTGTTGCCTTTCTATCAGATGTAGACAAAAGGTCGATGCTGCCCCATGAATATAAGCAAGCATTGACGACCTATAAGTTGCAAAAAGCCGGAGGGTAAAAAAACAACTCAGAATCAAACACCATGGTATCTTGACGAGAGAATGGAGATGAGGAAAAGCTGCAAAAGATAGTCCCCTCGACCGGAATCGAGCCGGTGACCTTTCGGTATCAATAAATTCCTTTACAGCCGAACGTGATAGCCAACTACACCACAAGGGGTTTTGATTGGTGCAGAGGCTCTTTAGAGGTGGGGTACATAAGGATCTCCTTTGTAGCTGTTACCTTACCCCTGAATCGCATGTGCGCTGCATCCATCATGAGGAGAAAGAGGGCTAATATATAGCTAGTTACTTGTCATTCTATGCCGAGCCTTCTAACCTTTGTTCTGAACCATTCAACCTGTCAGTCCTAGCTAAAGATAGACAGCATAAGTTTGGATAATACTCTATTCTGAGCCTTCTAGCATCTTAATCTAAGCATAAAGAATACAACAAATGCTAAGATTGTTGGTGAAAAGAGATAGCAAAAGCTCGGATTAATAGAATTCTTTTTTAATACCTTCTGCCACATCCGTTTTAAACACCCGTCTTCGTCCACAAAACATGCACGCTTTAAACAATCAGACGGCTGCTTTGAAGGACGGGTTGAAGGCGGCGAGATTGTATGACAAAAGAGCCCTGTGAAAGCAACGGACCATGCCCATGTAAATATAAGATGTAATCATTTATATAACCCCATCCATCTGCTCAGGTTAGCCCCAGCTTCCTCGATACCATCCCATTCACGAACCCTTAAGACCCGCCATCCAAAGCAACCAAGTCCAAAATATACTTCTTCCCCCAAGCAATCGCCACATCCAGCGCACTCCTCCCCTTCACATCCTCCTTCAATGGATCCGCCCCCATCTTCAAAAACGCTTCAAAAAGCTGTTTATCATGCGGTATGTGCTTCACATCCGACGGTCTCCCAGAATGCCTCGCCAGGAGTATATCCGCTCGTCTTCCCACACAGTGACCAGCAATCCTATGCAAGACCGTCTCCCCCTCCCGATTGGAAGCCCATATATCAACACCACTCTCTGGCGGGAAAAGCTGCTTGTACCGCTTCAAATGGCACGCCACAGGATCATACTCATGCTCATCCCCTGGGTATTTACACGGTGTCCATGCGTCTGGAGACACTAAAAAAACGTGCAACGGTGTGTTTCCATCTCGGTCGGGTGCGTTAATTGACGCTCCTTCCTTCAGACACCTTTCCCAGAGCGCCAGACAATCATCAAAATAGGTTGTTGAATGGGGGATTGGGTTCCAGTCCCGTGCTCCATCCGTTGGATCGGCAAATGACCGAGCCGTCTGAACACACTGTGCCGCAATGTGGTGAAGAGTAAAAGAACCACTCGGGTCCGGTTCGAGAATGTCGGCTCCTTTGTCGCAAAGAAACTCGCACACTCTCGGCCGGAGCAGCTTGAGGGCATAATGAAGAGGCGAAAACCCATCGTTATCCTTGGTCAAGAGAGTAGAAGCAACACGCTCGTCCCTCATAAAATGAAGAATCTCATCCTCCGTGCTCGCTTTATTTTGTAGAAGATGATGAAGAGACGTCTGGCCAGCATTGTCGACAGCGGTAGCATCAGGTTTGATCCCCAAGTTCAATCTCAGGGTTTGCAACGGTAGCCAAGCCGGCTTTGATCCATCCTTCAAATCATGAGGCCTCCATTCGATAGCTCGTCTGCATGCCGCCATCAAGATCGTTTGACCAGACTGACCGGGACGATTGAAGTCAATCCGTGAGACACAGGGTTCCTGCAACAATGTCTCCACGATCTCCCGTTTTGCGAACTCGAAGAGATAATGACACACCGTCTCTTCGTCGTTTAAAGGGAGGTACAGATCCGCCCCATGTTCGACCATAATGCGCACCATTGACAAGGTTGCAGGTGACCTAGCAAGAGGCCAACAGGAAACGATGGCCATGAACCAAAGCAGACAACGTCGTCGAGGCTTTGTCTCATCAATCGGTTTGCCATTTTGGGGGAATATGATCGGTCCTTCATCATAGACCGTATTGACATCAAGTCCATGCTCCAGCAGTACTTCGAAGGCTGGAACGTTGTGGTACCGTACGGCTTCAAACAGAGGGCTTCTGACGCCAACCAGGGCACTTGCCCCCTTGGAAAGAAGCTCTTGGATAATGTCGCGACCTGTTGATTGATCGAAGTGCATGCATGCCTTATGGATCGCGGCAAGGCCCTTTTCGTCCAGGAGATCAGGATCGGCTCCATGATCGAGAAGTATTCGGACAGCGTCGAGACTCCGGTTATCACTGAACCGGTCTGGCCCGTGCCGATGATAATCCTTAACTCCACCGCAGGCAGCAACGTGAAGAGGTGACTCGCCAGTCTCGTTAAGCGCATTGATGTCGGCACCGGTGGCGAGCAGGTAGCGGATAGCATCTAGCTTCCACCGGAAGTCTACAACAGCAAGTCGATGAAGTGCTGTACCACCAGAAATGAACTTTTCCTTTTTCCGGTCAACCATGATGCACCGTGTGTTGGCATCCACCTGAAGCGTTCCCAGCAAGTATCTTAACAACACCATGCTAGGACGCTGTGCTTCACAGATGATCTGTAGAGGGGTAAGGGCTCGCGTGCCAAAGTAACGTCCCACCCAGGTCCACATCCAGGAATTTGTCGTTGACTGGGATCGCACCGTTTGAAGATAAAGCCTGAGGTTGTCAGGAGAGCTGTAATAATGAATCAGCCCGGACACCTGCCTCGCCAACAATAGATACTCGGAAGATTGCATCATCTCCAGGAGCACCTGGTAATATCTGCCATCATGCCGGTTATTGCTGAATCCGTGGTTGATCAGACTTGCTGCATCGTCGGGTGTAAGAAGCTGCAAGTATTGGTTGGGATTGTCCAAAAGCAATTCGAGCACAGGCTTCACTGATCCATCCAGATATTTGTCGAGACGCTGATTTAACAGTGGGGAGGCCACATCAACTCTGGCAGTTTCCCTGCTGAGGCCATCGCTTGACAGAGTCCTCCCTGACTTGACCGATATGTCCTGCTGGGCATAGAACGCGTCAATGAACTCGGTACAGCCTATGTCAATAGCCATTTGCAAAGGGGCTGCTGTCTCGCGTGAAGCACAACCTTGAGCGTCTGCACCAGCATCCAAAAGCATCTTGACAATGATGTTCATGGCTGGGAAATAGAAATCATCGACACCACCAAGATCAGGATCTCTTTTGTATCCAGACAAGTCCCAGAGCGCTGGTTCTGTCCTGAATTGAGCGCACAAATGCAGTGGCGTATGACCATGCAAATCTTCCACATTGACGTTGGCTCCAGATCTCAGAAGAATATCCACAGTTTCAACTTCTCCGCTAACGCAAGCATAATGTAAGGGGGTCCTCCCTCCGTTATCCTGTTTGTTGATCATGTTGAAAACCCCATCCGTGTTGCTGCTCTCATCCCCAAGCAGCCCAAGTACACGGCTCACGACATCGGCCTTCCTGGCTCGGCATGCAAGGTGTAGGGCATTTTGCCCATCAGCAGTACGCGAAAATAAGCTTGCTCCAGCAGCGAGCAGTATGGCCAGGTCGCTTTCTGACTTTGTACAAGCCAAGTGAAGAGCAGTGAAGCCATTCTTATCAGGAATTTCCAGACTGACCGAACCCACCGCGTCAAAAAAGAAAAATTCTGTGTGGATGAAGAGGTGGCCATCCTCCTGTCGATTTTTCCCATGCTGTAGATGCACATGAAGAGGAGTCTGTCCAGAGGTATTGGTAGCATCCGCGGATATTCCGAGGCTAATCAGCCATTGCACAAGGTCAGGCTGGTCTCCCCAACCTCCGTACCACGTAGCGACAAGATGAAGCAAAGTATCACCCTCCAGAGTGGTAGCAAGAGGGTTGGCACCACGTGCAATAAAGTGTTCCAGCTGAGACCGTTTCACCCGGCCAAGTTTGCACAAAAGATGCAAAACATTGTTTCCATTGGCATCCACCACGCTGGCCTTGGCTCCTGCCAGCTCAAGAGCTTGAAGCAAGTCATCGTACCTGTAAAAGTGCAGGTATAATGGCCGGCCACCTTCCGGTGTGATGTTCGGATCCATGCCTTGCGCAACCATGATCTTGAGATATTGAATGCAACTCTCCCTGCTGGGCCATTCGCCTGGTAAAGCAAACCAACATCGCTGCTTCAGTGACTCGTCCTTGCAGAGGGAGAACAAGGTCTGGAACAGTCCGGGATTTTGATACATTGCCGCCTCCAACATAGTTTTGCCTTTGTAGAATTCGTAACCAGGATCAAGACCGCCTCGAACAAAGTACTCTATGAACCTGCACGATAGAGCTTCGCTGTCAGCCGAGTCGGACGACCCGACCTTGCCGAGACGGTGGAGTGAGTCCAGAGACCGCCTTTCCTGTTGGCCTTCTTCATGTTCCAAAAGAACTCTCATGGCCTCTAGGTTTTCTTGGCTTTGTCCCAAGGCATAATGCAATGCTTTGTTTCCGTTAGGGCAGGTTGCCTTGACATTTGCTCCCGAGGCCAGTAAAGCCCTCAAAGCAGGCACGCACGGTACTATCGATGAACTGAATGAAAAGCGACAGGAGAATGACGCTGCCAAAAGTAATGCAGTTACTCCATCGTCGTTTAGCTGTTCCATATCAGCGCCGGCATCCAAAAGAATTCGAAGGATGACCTGACAAGCTGCATCATTATTGTAGTTCCAACTCTGCACCAAGCGATGCAAAGGGGCTTGCTTCGCATCTAGATACCAATAGGACTGGAATACGACTTCCGCTCCTTCATCCGCGTCTTCATAGACCTCCTCTACCGCCGGCCCGCCGTAGTATGTTGCGAGTGATGCCAATACTGATAGGGCCTTGGAATCGGCACCATGATCAATAAGGGCTTGGACCAAGTCGGTATTGGTATTCCCACACGCAAAGTAGAGTGCAGTTGCTCCACTGTACGAAGCATCCACTGGAATAGACAAGTGTGCCAAGACTGCAGCCGCAGCCTCAGTACGATCGAAACGACAACATTCGCAGAGCATCTTCTCCAACGCAGACGGCGCGCAATAGGGAATCAGCGCCTCCAGTGTCTCCAGATGGCCATATCGACTTGCATAATAGATTGCACATTCGCCTGGCCTGTTCTCTCGCAAATCTCTTCCAGCGTCATAGTAGTCGGGGTGTTCATCATCCTCGTTCGTTGTTGGTGTGTCAGGCTCAACCCCGGCTTGAAGCAAAGTCGAGACCACGTCAGCGTGGTTATAACGTGCTGCCAGGTGAATAGGCTTCAATCCGTATATATCTTCGGGGTTCGGATCGCTGCCGTATTGGATTAGGAGTGAGGCAACCTTGCCGTGACCTTTTTCTGCCGCCCTGTGCAATGGTGTTCGACGGTCGCTGGCGATTGACGAAACAGAAACCCTTTGTTCGTTTATGAGCCAAAGACAAAACTCATACATCCCAGCATGTGCTGCAACATGTAAAGCAGTGGGAATCCCTTCAGAGGGGTTGTCGGTGTCCCAATACCACGGAGGCCCTGTCCACTGCCGAAAGGCCAGGTTATCGGGCGCCAGAAAGCACAAAATGGTGTGAAAAAAGCCGTGGTCTCTCGTATCATATCGGCTCGCGTGATACACCCAGTTCTCCATAGCATAATCGAAGAATGGATAGAGTAAACAGACATTTCGGCGATCGTCAGATTGCTCGCGGTATGACCTGCGTTGTTTTACGCTTGGGAGTGGAAGCGATTGAACATACCCCAAGCATCGAAGAGCCACGTTCTTGTGGGCAATTGTTGAGTTAATGACTGGAAAGGCCGAAGAAGGCTCAGTTCCACTTGGGCTATTTCGGCCGTCACCTCTCAGAAACTCGGTGAAGGAGTGGTGGATAACTTGGAGAGTCTCGTTTTCCAACACCTGAATAAGTGGTCCACAGCAGGTACTAATGAGCTGTTTCCAGTGTGTCAAAGATTCATTAGTGGTGCTCAGACATCCGGCGAGGCTGGCGAGCTCAGTTAGTCGCAATGGACGGGACGCATGGGTGATAGTTTCCAAGACAAAAACCTGGAACTCGAGGTCGACCTGGCTCTCCTGACGATGTTTCTGCAACAAGTTGGCGTATGTTTCCTCCAATCCAATGGGGAGTGATGCTTCCAGAGCACAAATGTCGACTTGGTCCTGCCTAGACAGAGCTTCTTCCTGCTTGCACGTCAGTAAACTAGGTAGCAAGGTAATAATCGCCTAGAAATGACTCACCATCTGGTCCATGGTCAACTTGGCATAAAGAAACAATCCCCCCGACCTTTTAGCCACCAAGTCAACAAGCTGGTTCTTTCCCACAGCATTGTTCATTAGGGAAAGCTTTTCAAGCCGACAATTGAGATATGAAACAATGTCAACATCCACCAGATGTCGTTGCAGACTAATGTGCACAATCGAGGTGTCTCGCAACGCGCTCTGGAGATACTGTTTAGGTCTACTTGTCAGGAGAAGCTTCAAGGAGCCTGGGCGGTGCGTGGCGAGGCGGTTGAACTTGTCGAGGAATGGTCTGCTGTCCGTGTTCATCTCATCCAGGGCATCAGCAACACAATAGAGTCTTGGGACGCAGGATATTCCGCTGAGGAAATGGTCAAAAAGGTCATTGTTGGAGATGATTGCCAGGTCAGTATTCAGCTGTGATTGGAGTGCGAGCTGGAGCTTGGGAGAGAAGGGCAAAAGTTGCGCAAGCCAATCTTGGAGAAGAGCGCGAGGAGAATAGTTGGCAGCAACAATGTTTCGGAAAAAGAAGAAGAGTACCGGGCAGTTCTCTGTCGTCTCTAGATGCCTGATGATGCTCGCTGCCATGACAGATTTCCCTGCTCCCGGAACGCCCTTGATCCATAAGCTGCCATGATCTGGTGAGCCGTGCCATTTTTTATACTCGTCTGTTTGGCAAAGCCACAGGCCTGTGCCGGGTGCTTGAGACGACAGGTGACGATAATATTCGCCCGATTCGGCTGTGTAGTCGGTTGGCTGGAGCCAGTCGCGTATCCGAGCCACGACTTCAGGGCCCAATGCTGTGTCGCTGTGCTCGATAACATCGTAGTCCTCCATGTCGATTGTCAACGGCGTTGTGTGTTTGACGGAGGCGTCAAGTGTTGTCGGTGGGAAGCCCGAAGATTTTGCTGACCTCCACTGATGAGTCAAGGATGCGGTGCTGTTGGCTCCAGTACACAAATCATGTTGGTTGGGCGGTGGTGACCGAGGCGATGTAACAATTGACCAGGGTCTGAGGATAACAAATCTACGGGACGCGATGGTGTGGAAGGAAAATAGATCGCCATCATGAAAGCTCATGGACGGCAAGGGGAAATTGTCCAAGAATTCTTAAAAGGGGGTGTAGAACCATCTTCCCAAGCAGGTGAGTAGGTACAGGGCAGCCTCAGTGAGCGGCACATGGAACCTCTAGAGCTTCTGTGGTGCTAACAGTGGGGCAAGGGTCTCGATGTCCGGCACCCCGCCCGCCAGAGTCACTACACGATCTCATTACCTTGACACTTCCCGTCATCGAAGTTGACACCCTCCGTTGTCGCCATCCTGTATGCAGTGCAATCGGCATTTGCTCGTCAATTCAGTCCAATCAAAATGCCATCGCTTGCGCCACCGATCTTGGTTGACTTTGGCGCCGCTCCAAATCGTCAAAGACACCACAGCGGCCATGACGCAGGTGATTCAGCCACGACCAACATCTCAACAACTCCTTTTATCTTGCATGTTTTGAGACGAGATTTGCTCTTTTCTTACACTGAAACAGGCGCCGTTGATGCCTTTCCAGAAAGTTCGTGATAGCTGCTGTCCGTTGCCATGTCCAAAGGCCCGAAAAAGAAGAGAGTCCTGGTTGTTGGAGCTGGTGCTGCAGGTACAGTAACACCAATCGAATCCGCATGTTGTTTTTGTTCTCCTTGATTTGACAACTTCTTAGGCATGTCCTGTGCCCATCACCTCGCCCAACACCCAGACAAGTTCGACGTTACTTTGATCGAAGCAACCAACTACTGCGGCGGCCAGGCCTTCTCGATCCCCATTGACAAAGACAAGCACGGTGCCTCATGGCTGAACCAAGGCGTCCAAGGTGGCTCTTACATCTTCCATCACACCATGACAATGTTTGGCCGCCAGGGCCATGTTGCCAATCCTGTCAAGCTGCAAGTGTCTTTCGGGAAAGGAGATCGGTTCTGGACCAATGTCTACCCTACCAAGCTGCTCGAGAAACACCAGAACGAGATTCGTCGTTTTGTCCAGATGCTTACTCTGACTCGTTGGTTTGAGATATTCTTTGCCCTGCTCCCCATCAAATATCTCATGAAGCTCTTCATGTTCAGCTACGAGTTCGCCAATGCCGTTGCTCTTCCCATGGTTGCCCTATTCCTCGGAACTGGAAACTACACACCCGAAGTGCCGACCATCATTCTCGAACGGCTGTGCACCAGCCCAACCTACGGCATGTGGTATCCTCCGGACAAGGAAAGTATAGCGAGCAACCTTCCTCCGATGGTCGTCTTTCCCAACTTCAGTCAATTCTACGAAGACTGGAGAAAAGACCTCATCAAGAATGGTGTGAAGGTCCGTCTGTCGACAGAGCTCACCGAGACCCTCTATCGGGACAAGAACGGCGTTGTGGTAAAGCTCATCAAGCGAAATCCAGCTCCTGACAACCACAACCCATCCGGTGCTTGGACACCGGAGGATTACACCGCCAACGCCGACCCCCAGTGCCGACGAAACCAACGAGCACTACGATGAGGTCGTCTTCTGTTGCCTGTAAGCTCAACCTCCCCTCGCCATCCTTACCCTGTCACTAACATGTCTTCCCCTCCTCCAGCGCCGACACCGCAAACCGCCTCCTCTCCAAATCCCGCACCAAAGGGGAACGCCTTATCCTCCCCCGCGCTATCTGGTCCAACGATCTAACCATCACCCACTCCGACACGTCCTACATGATCAAGCACTACGAAAACTTTTTCACCCCCGACCAAGCCGTCACCACTCTTTCCGGAACAGACCACTCCACTCGGGTGGCCATCGCCCGCGGTGACTACGGGGAGATGAACAGCTTCAAACCAATGTACTACATCAAGCCCTACCCTTCTGACATGTCCAAGCTGGAAATGTCGTTTGACTGCACCAACTACCAGGCTCAGTTCCCGCCCTCTGTCCCGTTCGAGAACCACGTCTTCCAGACCATTTTCCTCAACAAGGAACGTGATGGGCATCTCTGGACTGATAATGAGATTGACCAGACGAAAATTATCCGCAAGGACTGGTGGCATCAGCTTTGCCATTCGTGGACTCATTACCTGCTTGTTGTGCCGTGGTTGTGGCTGTTGCAGGGGAGAAGGCATGTCAGGTTTGCGGGTAGCTGGACGTTGATCAATGCGCATGAGGTTGCGGTGATGAGCGGGATAGCGGCTGCGGTTGATCTGGGGGCGGAGTACCCGAGGGATCTGGAGAGGGATGGGTGGGCGTTGTTGTGTTTTAGGCTGTATTACTTGTTGGTGTATGGACGGTGGTATAGGAGGAGAAGTAAGAGTAAGACGTCGACTGGGGAGGGGAGTGGTTGGGCTGGGGGGTTGTATGGGAGTGTTTATAAGGGGCCGGGGGTGGTGGATGAGGAGAGGCAGATGTGGAGGAGGGAGAAGGAGGGGGAGGGGGTGAATGGGGGGGAGTGATGGGAAAGGTTACGGGGGAATATGATATGTCGGATGAGAATGAGAGATTGTGAGATTGACATGTGTAGAAAGAAAGGATAATGCAGTTATGGGATCCTTTGTCTGTACCTAGTATGTAACAGACGAATGACGTATAAGGTTTTGGTGAACAGGATATCGTTGATGGGAACAGCTCCCAGCCAAAAAGGTCTTGCTGAAAGGTAATAATAGAAGCCACATATTATACACAAGCAACTGGTGCCCTTGTATACACATCGAGCCATGATGAAGTCCATGTGAAGCTGGGATAAAATCTCTCTCATGCTGGAATGAAGTACGCCTTACGTTGGGATGAAGTCCACCGTAAGCTCAGACAACAAGACAAAAACAAAAGCCAGAAGATGGTTTATGCTAATCAGGCGATATGATGAGACCAAAACCATGAAAAAAGAACTCGAACCACTACAAATGGTTCCAACTCAATCTCCTCCGGGAAGGCTCGAACTTCCAACCTCCTGATTAACAGTCAGACGCGCTAGCCAATTGCGCCACAGAGGATATTCCTGCTCATTGTTTTCCCCATTCCAATTTTGCGCTTTTATCCGGGTGCTTGTGGAGTGTGTGGACATGTGTCTTTTTCTTTGCACTCCGCGGGCTCCACTTTTGACGGTTGCTCCAGACTACGTATCCACAATAGGGGTTTCAGGGGAAACAGCAACGAGGCACAAGTTGGAGAGAGGAAAAAGGTAGGTGGGTAGGTAGGTAGGTAAGGTGTGTTTTATGTACATGATTCCCCACTTTGTTGTGGGTGCTTTATTCAATGGGAACCGGAGTCAAAATCGGCCCTCCTCGCAGCGGCGCCCAGGTAAGCCAGACGTACTTGCCCGTCTCCCTGTATGTGACAAAGTGAATCTCTTGGGGACCTTCCTCTTTGAGAGGGGGGTTGTTGCCAAAGGTTGCCATGAGGCCGTACTGGCCTGCGCGGAGGGAGTCAACTCCGGGAATGGAGTTGGGCCAGGGCCAGAGCTGTGGATGGTGTCAGTTTATGCATCGGGGGTACGGAGCTTGGTGGTGGTAGTATAGAGACTTACACCAAAGAGAAAGGGAGTCGCATTCTTGTCGCAGTAGAATTTCGCGCCGTAGATGGAGCAGGGTCCAGCCGAAGTGAATAGTTGGAATGTCTTCACGCTGTGGCCAGTTGTGAGCTCCTTGGAGACAAACGTGCCGCATTGGCTTTCGTTCGTGGTCCAGAGGCCGGTGTTGGTCAGGCACCCAAGGTTGGAGTGGTCGCCCTGGTTCCAGAGAGTGCGGACCTGACCGGCTCCAAAGAATCCTTGGCCAGCCGGTGCAATTCCGAACTTTGGGGCTTCTGCTTCTGGAACAGGGGCCGCGGTGGCAAGACCTGCCAGGGAGAGGACGGTGGAGATGCGCATCTTGAGTAGCAGTCAATCAGCCAGGCAAGGTAGTAGGCACCGGTAGTAGTGTTGCTAGCGAGCGGAGCAAGAGAAGTGACAGGTTGTGGAGCATGATGTCAGTCTCCGGGGCATGGGGCAAGCGTGATTTATATCTCTCGGACGAGCCTGCAAGATAAGTGACGCCTCATTTACCCCGGACTTGGGTTGGTGAAAAGAATCGCGATGCCGTGATGCCGTCTGAACCCCGGACTGAACGTGCATTACCGGGAATTGACAGCTGTCTCCCTTCCTGGTTCATGGAACTCCAGGGTAACTCCTCATCTCTTGACTTCCTGCTCGTTGTAGCCGTCATGCATGGCAAGGCGGTGCCCAGATGGGTTGACGATCCATTCTGCCGTGCCGTCTCTTGGTACTGCGACGTTGAACCTGCCAGACTTTTTTCCGAGAGGCTTACCTACAGATTAGGTTATTGCGGAAGATGCGTCCCTTCGACTTAACCGACCGAATGGACTAGTACGCCGCAAATATGTCAACTTTGGGTCATGCTACCCCGCCCGTTAGCACCACCATCCGCAATTGGGGAAGTGCCGGCGCTTTGATGAGTGGAATTCTGGTCAGAAGGGTCGCAGTAACGCGTGGCACTTTCTGAAATCTTGTTAACTTTGAAAATGGCGCGCTTCAAGGACTCGTTTGTAAGAATTTGCAATCGTTCTTCTGTGGCTGCCAAGAACAAGGTGATAAAAGTTTTCCGTGGATCGCCTTCCTCTTCGGCCCAACTGTGCCTTAGCGAAGAGGTCCGCAACGTCGTACTCCGTTCCTGATCTTGCATGGTCGGTTTGTAAGGGTAGCGTAATCCATCACGAACTGGGTTTGCGCTTTCCTAACCTGACATCGAGGTCTTGAACTTGAAGTTGTCTTTGCTGTCGTTTATGTTTCCGATGGCCGACTATCTGGATTCGGAAAGAAGAACCCGCAACAGCAGAAACCGGTCGAGGCAAACGGCTATCTGGCTCCGCCAACATCGGGCGAATTCCCGGTTCACCCTGGCGTGGCGCTCTGAGCCCAAAAGCCTCATGAAAATGAAGATCGTACCATGCCAACGAAACTCGATCTGCCTTGGGGAAGAACTGAAAGCTCCAGTTCAAAGAGAGGTCGTCCTAAAAACTCGACGGTCCTTATCCTGCATCGCACCTTTATTCGAGGGCTGTCGTGTTCGGCTCGGATGTCTGGCTTGGTGGCCAGCAAAGATACCCATGTCCACGAATACGTCGCATAAAGGAACTCGGCGGTAGTCCGCAAACGCAAATTTTCCAGATCAAAAAGCTCTAACTCCTTGCCATGTGCAGCTCTGACAACTTTGGCCCAGTCCATGATTGCAATAAAAGGCTCAGGAGATCGATCCCCACGTTCAGGAGCACATGACTTTCCCCATGACAAGGCAACTGCACCCATGCCTTCAAAGTGAAGAAGAACAGTGCCGAAGAGCGCTAGGTAGTTCGTCATAGGTTTTTGATTGTCCAGAAACCGCTTGGGCCAACTATCGAGCGTGATAGATGGGGCGTAAACCCGATTCTTCGTGACCTGTAACATATGAGGATAGGCACCAGAAGAAAATCTCATTGTGTCTGGCATTTCAAGCTTGATCCTCATTCCTGGAGTAGAGAGAGAGCTTGAAGCTGGTTGTCCAACACCATACGAGATGCTAGACAGGATTTGAGGAGGCTCCAAGTAAAGACGGATCGTCTCGAAGTAGACTTTGTTGAGATCATAGCGCAATCGGTTCGACACTAGGCACTTTCTTGATAAGCTTTGTGGTTTCAAGGCCGTAGAAAAAAGTGCTTACCTCCATCAACAGCAGTTGACCATTCTATCAAACCTTGGTCGTTAATGGGAGTGATTCGGTGTAGCCCGGATTTGGGTGTTCGGTAAAATGTGCGGGACTTGCTGTCAATCTTGCGGAGGATTATGGCCGGATGGCTGGTGAAGTCGGACCGATAGATGCAGTTCAAGATCGCCAAGTAGCACGTAGTATCTTCCTTGCCCTGCCTGATCAGTGGGCAAAGAAGCAACCCGGCCTCGACGGCCTTTGGAGAAGGCGATAATTCGAAAAACGGAGTTGCGCCTGATAGGAGGGGACCATTGTTCAAACTCTGTATAATTTCCGACGAGGCATAGCATCGAGGCGAATCTGCTAGTAGCGAACTGCTATCCGAGTAAAACTGTCGTTCAAAGGCAAGAATAGACTGATCGTTGGACGTCTTTAGTATTTCCTGCTGAAGCCGGTGGAAGGCACTGCGCCCTTCTCCGTACAACATTGGCATGTTGACCCCAAAGAGACCCAGAAGAGAGTATGCTTCGTCCTCTTTTCTTGTGGTGAATCGGTAAGCAGCCCAAGACATGATTTGTCCTACGCTACAGGCCCTCAAAAGCTTGTCTAGGGCGTGTGTTGGTTCGTATTTGTCGAGCCCTCCCCTTTTACTCCGCCGTCTCACCAGTGGTGAGTCTGGCTTTGGCGAGAACCAACGAAGAATTTCGGCGGGAATTCCCGTTACCTTGCTGATGGTGTCGGCCAAATCTGTGAGCTCAGAGATGTCGGCGATGGGGGTGCCGCGAAGGAGCTGTCTGCTTCCCAAGAAACACCATTGGCTATCATAAAAGCGCACGTCTCGCGGCGCAATCAGCTCTTGAAGCGTCCAGCCCCGAGTAAACCAGCGGCTGTTCTCAAGTTCCACCGATGGTTCTCCTGGAACATTGATGTCGGAGAGGTAGGCATAGCATCTGTCTGCCCTGTGATACCATCGGAACATGGAGTTGATTGCTTCCGAGAGCTCGGCACTACTGGTCTTATCGATGCAGCAGGTATCAATCCACATGTAGTTGTAACCATCTTGGCGAGCACGCTCACAGCTGTGGCTGACCTTGCGAAATCCCTTCTTGTGGACAGGAAGCAGCTGTTGTGGGTCGCAGATATCGGCGAAGAGGACCTCATCCTCCCCCCAAGTGTGTGACAAAATAGCGTAAATGGGCGTGGACCATGGCGATTCCAGTCTCAGCGTCGTGGTGTTTATTAAACGCATTGTGGTCAAAACCTAACTCGGAATGCTGTCGTCGTTGGGTCGACCGTTGGGCACCTGGCTGATGTCAGTAACGATCCGTCAACTGCCCGGTCGGCCATAATCTCTTGGCAGCCGAAGTGGCCGAGAAACGCGAAGAAGTGGGCCCATTTAACCCTGTTGTAGACTGCATAGGCTTTGTGATTGGTCGCTTCACAGACCTTCGGACTTTAGCAAACATGCGGGTCTTTGACAAACAACTTCGCAAGTTCGTCTCATCCTCACAACAGCAGAACTCCAATTCATATTCAAATAGCGAATCTGACACAAGTAATCAAAATGTCGCGCTCTCTCCCGCAAATACCGAGTCTCAATACGGGGTTAAACGCCTCTCAACATCAAGAGGATCTTTCCTCACTCTTGGGTGACCTGTCCCAACCAGCACGTGTGAGAAGTTGCGTGACATGTCGGGCGAGGTACTGTTCAAATACTTTGCTGAATTCCTGAACTCTAATTTCCTTTTGACAAAAGCTAACTGCCGCCAGAAAAGTAAAGTGCGACAAAGTGTCTCCATGTTCGAATTGCAAGCGTTATGGCATTGCTTGTGTTCTGGCTCCGTACCGCCCACCTCGATGGGCCCGGCGGGCCGCTCCTGGTGCCAGTAGCTGTACCACTAGTCCACCAAGCACAGCACCACCCCAGACACCAGTCATGAGCAGCCTACCAAACATAAGTTCGCAAAAGGCAGATGCAACTCATGTCATGCAACGGTTAGAAAAGCTCGAACAGCTCGTTAAAGACCTGGGTGGTGAAGCCGCTATTCGCAACGCCAACAACCCGTCCAAGTCACCTGTTGAGATGACCCAGCAGTTATCATTGGATGATACAAACCAACAGGGCCACGTGAGAAGTGGCATATTCTCGAGAATCTATGACGAGGTGAGATTGAGAGGCCAGCTACGTCGAGACAAGAATGCTGATAGCAACAGCTTGACCTCTTACGGTCTCAAACCGGAGCATTGCACCAAGAAGACCCAAATAGCTCCGACTCGGATCCCGAAGATGCATTTCGAAATGCCAATACTGCTGCTACTCAAGTCTCATCGCCGAGGCACACTGTTTTTCTAGGACAAAGTCTAGGGTCTAGCGGAGCATCCATCTATCACTTGTATCCAGCTCCAGCGCAGGTACCCTTTTTGCTTGGGGTATTTGGTGAGAATGTCAACAGCTTGATGCAAACTGTTCATATGCCTGCCGTCAAACAGCTTCTATTACCGAAGCATGATGGAGCCCCACCAGTACTTGGACCGGCGCAGGAAACCTTGATGTTTGCCATTTACTTTGCGGCTGTCACGTCAATGGAAGAACCAGATGTGAGCATGACCCTCTTTGATATTTTGAAAATATTTATGTTGATGCTCTTTACAGGTAGCAGGGAATCTCGGGTCTACCAAAGATGAGCTCACACGGAAGTTTCGTTCCGGTTTTGAGCATGCTCTTGCAAAAACGAACTTTCTCGGCTCGCCCAGCCTCATTGTGGTCCAGGCGCTTCTCATATTTCTTTTGTTGGTCCGCTGCAACGACAGCCCCAGGTTTGTCTGGATGATGACTGGAATTGTGATCCGGATGGCCCAATCTCTTGGCCTCAACCGGGATGACGCTAAGATGAAAGGCCTTTCACCGTACGAAGCTGAGATGCGTCGCCGAGTTTGGTGGGGTGTTTGTTTCCTTGATGCCAGGACATCGGAAGATCAAGGCACCGAGGTCACAATATCCCATGGTACTTTCGACACAAAGCTTCCCCTGAATGTGAACGACTCAGATATCAGCCCGGATATGACGGAACTTCCCGCGGAACGGGAGGGCATGACAGACATGAGCAATGCTCTGTACTGCTATGAGGTGTCTAACATGATGCGCCGAATGATGAATCCAACAGCCGATGGCATCAGAGATATGGACCGGATTCTGGACGAGCTCTACTCAAAATTCGACCAGCGTTATATCCGACATCATCAAGCTGGGGAGCCTGATATCAAGTACTGGATTGGAATTACCGTTGCACGTCTTGTTGTCGCAAAGGTCCGGCTCATACTTCACTTTCCCGCACTCCTCTCCTCGCCAAACAAGCAAGATATGCCCATGGAGGTCCGCGACAAGCTCCTGCTGTCAGCGATCGAAATCACGGAGCAGAATCATGCCATCAATACCCAGACAGAAATCAAGGGATGGAGCTGGGTATCGCATTCTTATACACATTGGCATGCTATCATCTTCATTCTTCTTGAGATCACGCAAAGGCCTTGGTCGCCGACCGTTGAGCGCGCATGGTTGGCTCTTCACAGCGAATATCTGGTCCCCAGCAAGTCGAGCCTAGAAAGGGGCCCGAGGTTTTGGACACCACTACGCCGGCTGATAGCCCAAGCACGAAAACATCGGGAAGCAGAGCTTGAACGTCTGCGGAAGGATCCGGTCAGAGCAAGGTTACTAGAAGAAGAAGATGCACGACGAACGCCCTTCGCAAGTGATGGGCCGTTCCCAGACTCACTGAGTGCCCAATTATTTCGGGAACGATGGCAAGGACTTGTGGCGGCCAAGCCCGTTGGTATGTCCTACAGCAGACCTGAAACATCTGGCATCGAGACCTCGTTCAACGGAGCGAATTTGGGGGGATTTGGTCACACCAACAACAACCAAGCTCCAAGCGGCTTCAACTTTGGCTACCAGGGGATTGCATCAAGACCGAACCCTCTTACCAACCCATCAAATACTCACAGTGTTTCCACAGCAGCCTTCGCTAATATACCGTCGTTCCCAATGCCGAACATGGCTATTGATCCTCAACCTTGGATGGGGGTCAGTCCAACCTTGGCAGGAGATATAACTGGCGAATTTCAGCCAGGCATGGATATTGATGACAACGTGGACTGGTGGGAATGGCTTGGAAAAGCCGGTGTCATGGACCCCCATGGAGATCCCGGCGGAGACGGGATATGACGCGGCTGAAAGGTTCATATGTGAATGTAACCACGCAGCCGATAAGCCTACGTATGGCATCTAAACCGTTATAGCGACAATATAAGGTACCATTGGTCATCTATGATATCCAACCTCTGAGGTGAGAGACAACGACCCATCCCTGAGCTCTTTGGGCTCATCAAAGTTGCGGCTCCCGAGGTCCTGTCAACTGGACCCCCACCTAATTCGTCATCAATGTCATAGTGGAAACTCCCCCACATCCTCCACCACGGCTCGGCTCGCATAGCACGTTTTTAGCGACCTTCTCGGACCCCGCACCCCCAACTTGTTGGTGACAACACCACTGTTTCACAGCGTGGTGGAAGACATGTATTACTGGCTCTCTTTCTGCAACTACGGCCGCCCGACCCGACAGCTTTGATGATCATCAGCTGTTTTCTCACGCCAGGAGCTCCTTGTGAACACGGCACAGAGGGCAAAATGCGGAGAGAGAATCGCCGACTGGCTGCTGAGAAACAGTGTTTCTGTGGTGGTACGGGCCGTCGGCTAGAGGACAGGATGGACGATCCTATTGTCACCATCTGATCGGATGTCATCCGAACTAACGCTCACCTAACGCTCCCGGAATTTCCGGGTTTGGCACTCACTGTCAGGCTTATCGCGGCAGAGCTAGCCGGGATTTCTGCATTGCCGCGCTGGCCCCCTTTTGCTGGCGTTGCACCCTTGGTATTGCGAGCGCAAAGTAAAAGGTGTTGGGGGTCTGACTGCAGGATGAATTTGCCCAGTTCTTTTCCTCTCGTCAAACACCAAAAATTGGGCTGTGGTGCAGTGAACGAGCGGTCGAGACATCTTGTGTCGACAATGGCAGAGCCTACAAACACTCCCATGCCGGCAAGCACTCCGGTACCGGCATCAACCCCGCGGTCAAGCTCCCCGCTGCAACAGTACTCAATCCCTAGCTTGACACCCAATGCGACGACAGCCACGATCCCTCTCTGGCCGTCAACTACCTCCTCACCAGATACTGCGACTCGAAAACCACAACGACCGATAGTCCTTCATATTGGCGACCCGATCAAGTACAACCCGGACACCTACGCCGAGTTCAACGCTGCCTTTGAGGTTATCCGGCCGCCCACCCCCGAGCGCGAAAGAAACGAGCTCATCCGCGCCCTGAAAGAGAAAAGATGGGGTCACTTTAGCGCCATTTTCCGTCCATTCTGGGGCACAGGAGGAGAGATGGGACGGTGGGATGCTGAGCTCATTGACCTGTTGCCTTCGTCGGTCAAAGTTTTTGCGAGCGCGGGCGCCGGGTTCGACTGGGCGGATACCAAACTCCTGGGAGAAAGAGGTGCGCTTTCTGTTGCTGGGTAGAACTTTCCCAACCGCAAGCTGACTGGAAGAAAACAGGGATAATCTACTGCAACTCGGGCCTCGCCGCGGCAGAAGCAGTAGCGGACTTTTCCGTCGCCATGATCATCTCGACCTTTCGACACCTTCCGTGGTGCATGAACGCCGCTACGTTTCCCTACCTAACGTCCTCGAGCGATGCCAGGAGTACCTTTCGGGAATGCCACGCGAGAGCCACGGCTGCTAGTCACAACCCACGAGGGCATACGTTGGGGTTGATCGGGTTTGGGAATATAGGGCAACAGATAGCTGCTAAGATGGGGAATCCGGCCTTTGGGATGAAGATTGCTTACTATGACGTTGTGAGGAAACCTGCTGCTGTCGATTCTGAGCTCAGAGCTACATTCTACGAGAAGTTGGAAGGCCTGATGAAGGTATCGGACTGCGTGGTGTTATGCACGCCTGCTTCTGCGGACGGGAGACCGATCATCACTGCTGAGACGTTTGGCTACCTACGGCCAGGGACGAGGTTTGTGAATATTGCACGGGGGTCGCTTGTGGATGAGGAGGCGTTGGCGGATGCGTTGGACAGTGGAGTGGTAGGGGCTGCGGCGTTGGATGTTCATATGGATGAGCCCAGTGTGAACGAGAGACTGGTGAGGATGGCGACTGGCTTAGGGTTTGATGACAGAGGCCAGCATCCGGGGAGGGTAATGTTGACGTGTCACAACGCTGGCGGGACGGTGGAGACGCATGTCGGATTTGAGGAGTTGAGTATGAGGAATATCTTGAGGGTGGTGAGGGATGGTGGAGAGGCGGTTACGCCGGTTAATTTGCATTGGTTAAGGGAGAAGAAGGGGGTGTAAAGGCTGGAGGTCATCGTGCGAAGTCAAGCAAGAAACAATGTAATCCCCTTATCTTATCTTGCCGTTTTTTTCAGGCGTGAGCTTGGCTATCTACTCTTGGCTCTGGTATTATGGGCGTCTCAGCTGGATTTGCACTCTGTCTCTCTGCGTCACACTCCTCCGGCATCTCAGCCCTGTTTCTGTTCTGCTGCTCGGCGCAACTGCCCATCATCTCGGCTGGATTACCGCTCTGGCCTTTTCCTACGTCATCACTGTCTAACTCGGAGAGCTGGGGCTGTTCTTGCTGCGGGGGGGTGTAGGGTTGGTAGGATTCCTGCCCCTGAGCAGGACGGGTGGTATACTGCGATTCAAAATGGGAGTTCTGCGTGTTGGGGGTGCCGTGAGGATACAACCCCACGCCAGCATCACCGCTACCGGGTCCGTAGAAAAAGTAGCCTTGCTGCTGCTGCTGTGTTTCGGGTGGTTGTTGTTTGGAAGGGTCGTATTGGTGGGGAAAGTATGGGTCGCCGCCGGTTGGGGGGCTGATGTTGGAGAGGTAGGGGGTCGAGGAGGGGAGGGTTGAGCTACTTGGGAGGGAGAGGAAGTCTGGTCGTCGGGGGGGGGAGTAGGGTTGTTGATTGGGAGTAGGGTTGTTGTTGGGTGGGACGGGGGTGTAATTCTGGTTGGTGGGAGGAGGAGGGCTGGGAGGGGACTTTTTCTTACGACGCTGGTGAAGGAAGAAGATCGCTGCTGCGATAAGGGACAGGAAGGCTACCCCGCCTATGACACCGCCGGTTATGGCATCGATGTTGATTGCTGATGGGTCGGGAGGCGGGGGCGTGGGGTCGGGGGGAGGTGAGGTCGTAGTTGAGGGTGGCTCGGTTGAGGTGCTGCTGGTGGAGGCGTCGAGTACACTTCGCGGGACGTCCAGCATGGTGATGATTGTTGAGCTTGGATGGCAGAAGAACATGCTTTTGGGTTGGGGGCCGGGCCAGAGGTACATGACACATGCAGGGTTTGTTGACGATGCGCTGGTGTTCAAGAAACGTTAGCTGCTGCTGGTCATTCGTGACGTAAAGGCGCCCGACTTACCAGCACCCAGTTTCGGGGTTGTCTGCGCTCCTATCGTCGCATAGACCCTGCTTGTAGGCTGAGTAGTCGAAACAGACGCTGAAGAATGGCCCTGTCTCGCCTGAGGAGAGGCACGCAACGACGTTGTTGGTGTTGGTGGTGCATGTTTCTGAGTTGGGGCATACCCAGGGGTCAACTGAAATAGGGGCTTTGTTAGGGAGGCTCGGGGTGAAGGGTAGACAGAGGACAACTTGCATTCGTCTGAGGGAAAATAGCCGCACGTCTTCGAGTTCAGATACTGAGTTGTCTGCCGCTTGGCCTTTATCCAATGTTCGCTTCTTCTCATCAACTCGATGAAGCTGATGTCTGGTCCATGGTTTGGGAGGGGTGGCTCGGTTGGCTTTGGCGACCAACCTTTGATGTCGTCTGGTGATGATGTTGCTGTGGCCTCGGGCAGGCCATAGTTGTTGTGGGGACCATCGGGCTTTTGGCCAAGCCAGTGGGCATATGCCAAACGGAAGAAAGTTATTTGGATGCAAAACAGGGCCTTCATGGCCATCATAATGGTGTTGGTGTGCCGCTTGTTGTCGTCGAAAGACCGTTGCGCCGAAGGGAAAATGGAGCTGGTGATCCAAGCCGCTGGCTGGCGGTCTGGCCCGTCTTCGGTGACAGTTATTAGAGACAAGAGGCAAAGGAATCTTTCCCAAGAAAGCAGCAGGGTTACAACAATGGGGGCGGAGAGCCGCAGAACATGACCTCCTTCGATGCATGGCCAAGCTGGGGCATTCCCAGAATGCTGGCGGCAAGCTGCGGATGATGTGTTGTACTCAAGTCTCCAGCTACAAGGGGGAAGCATGGCATCGGAAGCAGGTTGGCATTGCACAAGTAGGTCGATCAGTTCGAGTTCTGGGTCTTAGAATCTGCCTCCCCGGGGGACACAAGGCATCAAGGGCTCACAGGTACAACCTGTCGACTGATGGACAGTGGCCGTTGCCTCCATGACCTGCTCTCGCCCGGTGGCACAGATGCAAGCAAACATTTCAAGACGGTTTAATTAGCATGGCACTTTAAAGCCCCACAAACCCTTGGTTGCTCTCAGAGTCCTTCCTTCCATTGGTATAACCACAGCCGTCCTGTTTTTCTGCGCCTCGTGCTTTAGCTCGCCCATGCACTCAACCTCGTAACAGCAGCAGGATATGTAGTGAGATACTCTGCCCCATGTGTAATATGAAGCCATTAAACCCTCGCGGCGACGGATGTTGAGCTCGACAATTGGATTTAAGGATGAAAAGCTCCTGGTCACACTTCCACATCGCATCGTCCGCTGCCTGTCTGGAACCGCGTTTCTCAGGCTTCTCCAATGGTCGTTTGGAAACAAGTGTTAAAGATGGAAAGAGACAAGTTAGCAAATTATTGACTTCTTCGCGGACCAATGTCAGAAACATGGTGCTCTTAGGAAATGCATTCCCCCCATCTTCATCAATGTCGAGGTCGTCAAATGCCGAGTAGGGTCAGAGACAGGATCCACTGCCAAGATTCCTCAGCATCTGAAACATAGAGCACAGACATCATATGGTTGGCCAGTTTGGAACAGTTCCAGCTTTTTGGGGACCACAAGCACGTGATAGATCGTTGGTGGAACTGAATCGTTCATCCGTTGTTGATGCAGGGGTTGGGAACGACGTCATTGTTTCTTCTAACCATCAAATGCTCAAAATATTAATGGCAAAAGCACATTTTGGCATTGCCAAAGAAGAGAGGAAAAGTCACGATTCTTGCCGAGGAAACTGAACATAATATTCAGCAACTTAGTTACAGCTTCCCTCCAACAAATCGAAGTGAAGTCATAATTCCCCTCTTTTTCCATCTCAGCTCAAAAACAAGATCTGGCGCCATGCATTGGGTGCACCTGCAGCAACACCAGCGTCAACATCAGCTCTCCACCACAACAACGAACGATGGCCAAAACCCCATACCTTTCCCCACCCCTCACAACATTGCCAGCTGAAAAATCGCAGCAACAAAACCAGGGGATATCCCCTTGATCAGCAACATCCATTTTTTGTTCAACTATCAAGCAATCCAGTTGCCAAGATGCCCAATTCACTCAAAGTCTCACTCGTTAACAACGCCCCCCCGGGCACTACCGTCTACGCTTACATCACCGGCCTCGCGATCCAACACTCCTCCCGCCGTGTTTTTGTCAAGCAGGACAGCTCCCTTTACTTCCCTTCTAATCCCAGCCAGATTCTGCAGCCTCTTGAAGAAGACTGCGCCATTGTACTCGGCAGCCACTCGAGTGTGGTGACGATCCCTCAAATAGCGGGCGGTAGAATCTGGTACAGCTATGACACGCCGTTAACCTTCTTGCGCAACCAAGGCGGGCCTGGCGGTGGAGCGGCGCTTGTTGAGCCCTCTGTTTTGAACCCGACTGATCCGAATAACCAAGTCAACTTTGGGTTCTGTGAGTTCACGCTTGATCCAGCGCAGCTGTTTGCCAATATCAGTTATGTGGATTTTGTGAGTGGGATTCCGGCTGGGTTGACGCTCAAGGAGAGGGGTGGGAAGGTGCAGCATGTCAGTGGGATGGCAGAGGATGGGTTGGAGAGAGTTTGTCAGGGGTTGAGGGAGCAGACGAAGAAGGATGGGTGGCCTTGGGAGAGGCTGATTGTTATGAAGAAGGGAGGTGGTGGTCAAGTGCTGAGGGTGCTGAGTCCGACTCATGCTGGGGCTGCGGGGGTGAAATTCGACGGGTTTTTTGAGCCGTTGGTGGAAAGAGCTTGGAGGAAGTATGCTCAGGGGGTGGAGGGGGGCCATACAAATGGGCATAAGGAGGAGATCAAGGCTGAGAAAGATGGGAAGCGGAATAGGCTGTCGGCTCTGTTCATGGGGTTCAAAAATAAGGGTCAGAGTCAAAGTCAGCAAAGCCATGGGGCCGAAACAGGGTGTGAGATGCATGTCGACACGCAAACGCCAATGGGGGTTTTGAGTGGGTGCATTCCAAAGGGCAAGAACGAGCTCATCATAGGAGGAGAGGCGTTTTCGAAGCCTACCACGGCAGATATTCTGGGTTGCAACAGTGGGCCCTTTACCACGGGCCCATCACCAAAACGAAACGCCATTATTCCAAGACTTGCGGCTGCGTTCCAGAGGAGCTGTATTGCGGATATCATGGAGCACCCTTCTCCGCCGGAGACGTTTTACTGCTGCGAGCCTACGAACCATTATTGCCGAATTGTACACGAGTGCAATCTTGATGGCAAGGGATATGCGTTCGCATATGACGATGTTCAGCCGGATGGGGGGGCTGACCAGAGCGGGAAGGTCAACGCAGGAGATCCGGAGGAGTTTATTGTTTTGATCGGCGGGCGTGGGGCATATGCGGGAGATAGGATGCCATGAGCATGGCAACCTTAACCTCAGCAGAACAGTTTATGTGTGGTCCATGGATGAATCTTGATCTTGGTACATTTATTATCGTCGCGCACGCACGAAGTCATTTTCATCCCATGCCTCCCATTCGTCGTCTCTTGTCTCCATGACCATCTCCATCAAATCATTCACGACCCAGAAGCACTCTTCCCTGAGGAAATTGTCTGGCCACCCATGCTCGCGATAGAGCTGCTTGATATAAGCCTTATCAAGGTCTGTCCCCCACCCCTCGTTAGGATCCTGTCCCAAAAACTCTTCCTCTGTTACTGGCTCTTGTCTCTCTTTCATTTCACCAAACTCCCCCAATATCCTCCCGTCGCAGGGGACCCGCTCGAGGTTCCTGAACTTACATGCCATCATGTCAAAGTACTCTTGTGCATCATACATCTTATTGTCGCATCTCAACTCCTCTTCGATGATTTTCCCTCTTTGAACGTCCAGGATCAAGACGATGCCGCCACTTTCCCATCCGACGGTCAAAGGGATGAGGGAGTCTCCTCGCGGCGGTTTTTGGCCCGCAGGAAGATCGTAAGGCCACGCATGTTCCCACCAGTCATCCTTGGGATAATTTCCCAGGCCGTTTGGTTGGAACCACATGGATGTTCTGGGGTTTAGGGTGCTGTAGTCTATCATGATGGACTTGTACTCGTAGTGATGATTGCCCCCGAGGTAGGGGAGGTGTCTCATGACTTCGACGGCGAAATCAGTCTTGTAATATCTCGGCATGCCGGCTTCACGGGTGAGATTAGGCCAGCCTTGAGGGGGTGGAATCTTGAGGTCTGACGGGGAGTAGTAGAGGGTTGTGAGGAATTTGTAGTAGGAGAGGAACATGGCGGTGTATTCTTGGGTCGTGTAGGGGTACCATGTTGAGGGGCAGTCTTGGTTGGTGCAGCCGCCTGGACATTGGGGGCCGGTGCAGGGCTCGGGTGGTGAAGACATGATGTGAGATTTAATATATGGCAGATAAAAGGTTCGAGGATTGGAAGTGAAGAGATTTATTATCAGTGGTATTCGAGGACTGTGGAGTGATGTGATGATAGGCAGCAGTGGTGGGCCGGTGGATCAAGGAACTTGGCATTGGAAGGGAGAAACAAGGGACCCCTACAATATGGAACCTGATATAAATACAATCTTGACGTCAGGTTTCATGATAGTAACCTGAAGACTATAGATTACCATTGACAACTGTATAAGACAATTGGACCTCAACTCATGATTTCAGATCTGAGTGGTTTGTCAACTGAACATCGAGAAGCTTGGTATCCAGTTCATTACCCCACTTTTGAGTCTAATATGCTCCAAGATCCAAACAGTTATTCACAACTCTATGTATACATTTCAATGGTCTGCGTGAAGATGTGATGTTTACACAGAGGACGGGATGCTAGACAAGCAGCCCCGCAAGGGGGCGTCTACTGCCTAAACCGCCCCACTTAGCCGCGCATTGCCCTTGCTCGCCCGGCACGTGGTTGGCAACGACAACCGACACTTATATTAATCAACCTGTTTCCCAATGAACCGAAGACCGACCACACACTTCCATAGGTATACCTTCGATAATGGGCGCCATTAATCCTCAAGAGGACTCTTATCTTGCGCAGGTCCCTGTCGAGTTGCTCTTGCGCATCACTCGCTGGATCAGGACCAGTGACCTCGCCAACGTCCGATTGAGTTGCAAGTGTCTTGAGAGGAACCTCTTCAATTTCTTTGCACATGAGTTTTTCCGCAAGAGACAGTTCATGGTCTCTGTCCAAAGCTTGCAGACCCTCGTATCTATCTCCAAGCACAGCACACTTGCTCCCTTTCTCAAGCAGTAAGCACATGCCTACTAGACAACACATAGACGCGAATACTTTACTCACAATTTCGGGATAGTGTCATCATTTGCACGGATCGGGTTGGAAACAGCTGGGAAGCAAACAAACTCCCAGCTGAGAAGCATCGCATTTGGCTACGCGCAGAGGCGGAGCAAAATAATTTGTTCGCTACGGGCCTACTGCGAGATATGCTTGCTGAAGCTTTTGCGGCGCTCCCACATCTCGGAACCGTTGACTTAAGGGACTTCAATTCCGAGACTCGGAATCGAGACAACGGATCTTGGCGGAGTTACGGTGCAGCAACCTTGGAAAAGTCAATAGGCCTGAGGCTGGAGACCGGCGTAGACAACGGGCAGCTGATGTCAGACACATACCCCACAAGGGTTTTCACCGCCATTATCTCTGCACTGGGAGCTTCTGGTGCTCAGCCTAATACTATCGAGGTCAACCTAAGGGACAAAAATTGGGGCCTCCATGACAGCGCCTTTGCCATACCTCCGCCCTTGGAACCAAAGCTGGCGCCCATCCTCGCCAACCTCAAGACTCTTCATCTATGTTTCTGCATCAAGGACCATTTTTTCATGATCCACGACTTTTTGACCATGGCAAGAAACGTCACATGGCTCCGACTCAACTTCAATCATCAATCATCACCGCATGATCGGACGGAGCTGGGGCCCGTGTTGTTCAAATGGCTTGAGCAGCCAGAATCAGACACTCCTCTCAATGATATCGATAGAAAGCCGGTCTCCTTCCCGAATCTAGAAAGACTTGACATCGGATGGATAAGCGTGGCCCCTCAACCCCTCCTCACCCTTATCACCAAGTTCAGCCCAACACTCAAACACCTCTGCCTGCGGCGTGTGTCCCTTTGCCACTCAGAGCGTGACTCACAAACCGAGACGAATCCGTGGGTCGCCTTTTTCAATAGCTTGAAGAAAGTTCGAGGGATTAAGCTAAGGGTGCTGGAGCTGAGTGACATCTATCATGGGAAACCGAAAATTGCGCACTGGCAAGATCTCATCACATTCGAGGCTGATCAGGATGGTGCCAAGAAACCCCTATGGGCCCGCAAGAACTGGAGAGGAACAACAGACCGAGTGAGTCTCGCGGCGATGATCAAATCTGTCAACAACAGCATGGTCTGCCCTTGGGAACATCGATACAGCGGTTCGGACGTGGATATGGATGGTGACTCGGAAGACGATGAGGATGATTTCTCGGAAGACGATGGGTATGATGAGACGGATGAGTTGGAGGAGTAGGATCGGGATGATTATGAATCGTAAGATGGCTTTCGGGCTTTTCCAGATACCAGATGTATGTTATGCTTTAGAGGGAAATAGGTAGCGGATTTGTTCTCTTGAGTGGGTTAATCTGACAGGTACCTTATGTTGAGGTGGAAGCCAAGTTTGCACTCGAAATGGTTTTGCTCAAGGGAAAGAGAAGAGATGGACAGTAATGCAAGAGAACCTATTTGCCCAAATCTGGCCGTAAATTTATCACCTAGCTCAAGCCCGTTGATCTGAATCCAGGGCCGAGATTTCCAAAACCCATGCTCGACGTGACGGTGAGGTGAGGTTGGCTCCGGACGATTCCCTGCTTGAATCACCTCGCTTTCATGCGTTTCTTGGCACACAAAAGGCTACTAGTTTGTGATGGCAAAGTTTCCTCAAAGAGCTTTCTGCCAAATAAACAGTTTAACACTTGAGTCAACTCTGGTGAAGGGCAATGTTGCAAGCAAACAACCCCAATCCTCAGCCGGGGCGCATTCTCTTCCCAAGTATCGCCCCTCGAAATTTGCTCGAAACAACCTGCACCCCCAAACCCCAAACACCCAACAACCTCACCACCTCCAAGAGACACCATTGGAAAACGTCTCTTTGCTCAACACCAGCATTAATACTTCCATCACGTGGAATTATGTCTTGATCCTGGACATGATGAGGCGTGGTAAAAGCATGGGATGCCTGGGCAGAATCAACGGCTCGAGCCTGTCGTCTTTTATTGTGTCTTGTTCTTCTTGTCCAGGATCTCACCTGCCACCTTGGCAGCCGCCTCAACGATCAGCTCATGCTCGTGAGAATGTATCCTCTGCTCCAGCTGCTCCAACTCCTCGCCCTCGCGGCACTCAATCTCCTTCACCAGAATAGGAGCCCCCCTGTCAACTTGGGCAATGACATAATGCACCATGATACCCGTCTTGTTGTCCTCCAATTTGCCGGCCTTAAAGTCCTCAAACGCCCGCCCAATAGCATTGGTGCCATCATACTTGCCTTTTGTTGTTACAAGAAAAAAACCTGTCTTAGCCAAACTCTTTGTCACATGGAAACAAACAATAACCCTTACCTGGCAGCGCAGGATGCAAGTTAATAATCTTGATCCCCTCCGCCTCAAGCGGATCCAAGAAAGCCTTTCCAAAGACATACATCCACCCGGCCAAAATCACCAGGTCGGGCTTGTAATCCCCCTTGAGCACCTTCTCCGCGAGGGCGGCATCGTACTTGTCTCTTGACTCCTGGAGCTTGGCCGGGTCGGTCTCGCCCTTTTGGCGGAAGCCGTGGGAGATGAGGTTGAAGTACTCCCAGGGGATGCCGGCGTTGTCAGCGCGGGTGGTGGCGTAGGCTTTGCTCTTGTTTACGATGAGGCGGATGATCTTGGAGTTGGGGATGGCGCCCGAGGAGACGGCGTCGATGAGGGCTTGGAAGTTGGAGCCGTTGCCTGAGGCGAAGACGAGGATTTTGCAGGGGTCTGACATTTTGGTGTGTGTGTGTGTGTGGTGATGTGAGGGAGTGCGGGGGAGGGGTTGATGGCGGGGTTGAGGGTGAGATTTCTTGAAGGTTTGCGCCTCCGAGTTCAGTGGTTTCTGACTGCAGACTTTGCTTCAACGGTGATACTGAGACAATCGGATGAGTGTTTACAGAGTATGGAGTCTGATCTCGTCAGGGGTCGTCATCATTCGTCAGTTTGTGTATGTCGACATCAAGGTAAAAGTTTTAAACGGCGCACCTCCTGCAGGTGTGGATCAAGGCTCACTGACCAATCACAGGCGGCTGTTTTGGTTCTTGAAGGTAGCATCAGGGCAATCTGATGCATGATTTGACATGCAAAATGATCGGGATCTCGGATAGGTATACTTGTCTAGATCCAGCGTGGTATCGATATGTTCAAGAATCAGCTCAGTGTAGGGATTTCATCGGTACAAGAACTAAATATCATGGACATGCGCTAGGGTTAGGGTCAAAAGTGATCTTCCGAAGTCGGCGCCGAAAGGTCGGGTGATACCGCGGCAAAACAACGAGATTTTGATATGATGGATGTAACTGAAGCATTTCTGGTTAGATTCGTCCTGAAGGAGTGAGAAATTGGGACATAGCAGCCGGCGGCGATCTATGGAAGATCCGTTTATACCTTATGGTTTATGGAAGTCGAGGCCCTTGAAGACCCGGTGGCGGAAACTTGCCAATTATGACCAAAAGGGAGGAGCAAGATACAGACAGGTCTTGTGGAGTACTATGAGTACATTTGGCACCTCCTGAGCTTTTTTGGCTTGGGATTTTCTTGATTCCCAATTTGCTTGGAGTCGGCAAATCCTCGGTTTCTTAGTGATCGAAGAGCATATCGAGCCACCAATTTCGCTTCCCCATGTTGGCCCCTGGCTTTGCCGTGCCCAGTCCCTGATCCCCGGGTCCAGCACCGCGACATTCAGCAAATCAGCGCCGTGCCAGCGGAGGCTTTTACCTGTCAAGCATTTGCCAAGCTCGAATTGTCCCCGTCATGATTGTGCCGATCGTCAAGCATGGACCGGGGAGCCAGAAAAAGAAATGTCAGGACCAGTTCACCGGTTGTTCAAATTGGGAACAGCCCCGGCTTCTGGACCTCAACTTGGTTGGCGCAATTTCATCGCCCAGAAAGCACGGTTTTTTGATCATCTATCACATCTTCCATCTCCAATTGCTCCTGGGTCTATTTTCGCATTTGTTCCCATTTCATCCTACCATGGTGTAAACGCAACCACCGCAATCGAATCCAGCGCCTCAACGACCTCGATGGCACCCACCATCACCGAGAGGGCAGCGTTTTTGGCTCGCCTCCACTTCGGAGTCACCGTCCCACTCCTGGCACTTGCTTTGGTTCCCTTTTGTGCAAGAATATATGTGCGAATATGGCCGGTCTGGAGACTGGGATGGGATGATGCCTTCATTATCGCTGGGCTGGTAGGTTTAATTCTGCCGAACTCGAGCTTGCCTTTTCTATCCTGTCTGACTCGTTAATCCCAGGCCTGCTCCATTATCGACTGGGGCCTCCTCGTCCCAGAGATGCATATACACCCCGGAGACATCAGCATGGACGAAGTTCGAGAAGCTGTCTTTTTGGCATATTTTGCCATTCCGATATGGGCTATCAGCATGACTTTGATAAAGACGTCCATTGTCTTGACTTTGTTGCGATTACCCCTGAAAAAGTCATGGAGGATAGGCCTATACGTGATCGCTGCCGTTCAAGTCACCTACTGCGTGGCCGACATGCAGTATCTCTTCTTCAAATGTCGACCATTCCATGCTGCCTGGGATATCATGGTCCCTCTGCGCGAGCGAAAATGTCCCAGCCTCCATACAGACATTGTAGTCTCCAGCATCGGCTCCGCAATCAACATTACCACCGACCTGTTGCTTTCTGTTGCTCCGATGTTCATCCTTTGGAACCTACGCCGTCCGCTGAGGGAGAGGGTCGTGATATGCATCCTGACAGGGATGGGCTTATTGGCCAGCGTCGCGTCGATCATGAAGGCCGTGGTCGTTGCTGATTGGAGGAACGTGGATGATCAGTGGGAGATGGCCATGTCGATTGCTACCTGGACCATTCTCGAGCAGCTCATCTCGCTTTTTGCTGCATGCTGCCCTTCGCTGAAAGGCCCGATCCAGGCCTTGCTGAGCAAATTCGGTGTCAGTTTGACCAGACAGAATACAAATGTGTCTTTTGTGCACATTCCATCGAGAATGAGAGAGAACCAGCTGAGGAGGGAGGCCAGAGAGTGGTTGGGTGAGGACGACTTACAACCTCCACGTCAAGGCCCATCTGAACTTATCGCTGTCGTCGACGAAGAAAGCGGACGGTCAAAGAACAACTCTTCGTTGGTGTTGCCTCCTCTTCCGGGTTCAAAGACCCTGATACCTCAGTTTTTGTTGCGCCGCCAGAAGGATGGAGCATGAACAGATAGGAGATGATGAGAAATTCCGCGCTTATCTCGATGGGGACTGAAAGCCAGTATGCAGCAGCCAGACCTCGTGGGGGTTGGGAGGGTGGTCATCAACTCAGCCGTTCGGAGAACAGCAAGTGGCGTCGTACTATCACCAGCCTGCAGCATTGCGGCCAAGCGCACATCGCATCATGATGTCTTGATATTCTATGGATAACAAGCGTCACCAGAACCTCGTGCATGTCGAGCTTTCTTTCCAGCACCATCACCTGTGGCCATGTCAACAACATCATATCGCACTGCTACCGCGGGAAGTCAATGGCCGCCCTCCTACAACTCTACAACGGCCGCAATCGGGGCTAATACTGACCGATCAATTGGACAACCGCCGGACTTTGACCCTCCGACACCTCCTACAAGTCGTCCTTGGAGTCCACCAGTTCCACGATCCGAGATCTCTACACAGCCATGGCCGTTCAGTGACGGAGGCGGGACTACTATTGTTGACCGAACTGTCAAGAAGAGATCATCGGCGACAAAGTGGTTCCTGGCTGGGATAGTTGTGGCGCTTCTTATCATCATTGCCATCCTTGGGGGTGTGTTTGGAAGTCGCTTGGCAACGCAAAACTCTTCTAGGTACTTGTTCCCAACCTTGTTTGTCTTGCTACCAGATGCTCATCCATCCGAGTAGCTCGAATGGCTCTTCTGGGGGTGACTCAGGTAATGAACCCGGAGGAACCGTCAGCCAGGGAAAACCAACTGCCTTTCCCGACCCTTCAGGCGGCCGTGGCAATTCAGGCGGAAACGCAACGTCTACTTCCCCAACCGGTAGCCCCCTTTCTTTCTCCCCAGCTTCACGGACCAGCACTGACCCTCGCCCATCAGACTCCTCGCCAACCTTCGAATCCAATTCCGTCTGTCAAGGCAATATCTGCCCCTCTGTCCTCTCCGTTGCGCAGTACGCTTCGCCTCCCACCGCCTTCCTCTTCGGCCTCGGGCAAGACAACGCGGTATGGTACCGCACCACCAACGGCGAGAAGTGGCTCTCTGACTGGGAATCACTGGGCGGTGACATGATTTCCCAGCCTTCCGCCGCTTCGTTGGATAACAACCTGGTGGATGTGTTTGTTTATGCAAAGAATAACACTATCCAAACGAAAAGGTTTTACAACGGGAAATGGAACGACACTTGGACTGAGCTTGGGAAGGCGATTACCAGTCCGCCCTATGCAGTAGCGTGTGGTGATTCACAAATGGACGTGGCGATCAGAGGGACGGATGGGGGCTTGTATAGGATCTACTACAAGCCGTATGCTGGGTGGTCAGGATGGGAGAGTCATGGGGGTGGGCTGTCATCGTACCCGGTTATTGGGTGTGGACCGGGACCGTGGAGAATGGCGGTACTTGGGTTTCGAGGCACAGCCCAGCCGTTATTTACCACCACTTGGCTCGGTGCTTGGACAGGATGGGTCGAGGCAGGGGGGGACTTCAGGGGGCAGCTGGCCATCGCTTCGAGAACAGTCGAAGAGAGTTTTGTGTTTGGGATAACGGTAAACAGAACTATGGAATACTACAACTGGACCAAGACTGGGGATGCGGAAACGAACAACCTGGTGGATTTGGGAGGGAGTTTCCAGTCCACTCCGGTGGTGTATGTTAGTGGGCCGGATAGGTTGGATGTGTTGGCTGTGGGGAGGGATGATAGGCTAAAGCATAAGGCATTGATTGGGCAGAAGTGGGCGGAAGAGTGGCAGGATTTGGGGGGCGCGTTTAATAGTACACCGGCTGTGGTGTCGTTGGTAAGGGGGAAGGTGTCGGTTTATGGGTTGGGGGTAAATGGCATGTTGTTTCATGGGACGTGGAAGGTTGGGAAGGAGTTTGAGTGGAGTGGGGGGCCGGAGTGGTTGGCTGATGGGGGGGAGTTGTCGTTGACGGGGATGAAGTTTAGTGGGGTTTAAGTGTTTACTATGAAGGAGATACCTTAGGTACCTAGTTTTAGCCGATTCATGGTCCTTGGATTCAGATGGCAGCGACAAAGACCGGGGTGTCGTGTCGGCGGTTTGCCCTTCATACAATCCGAGGTTATTCCACAGCCAGACTGTCATTTCCAGGGAAATCCGATGCAGATTTCGGAAGACATACTGCCAAAAACTGAGGAAGATTTCTCTCCCTATCTTCTACATTCACACTCCTCAGTCTCCCAAGGAACCTGAAGCATGTAAGCGCCGACAGAAAAAAGAAAATCGAAAATAAAACGGGCAGTAAAAAACATTGGTACTTCGGTACATCGAGCTCGTATTTTCAGGCTCTCAGGAGAAAGGATCATGAAGCATGACTTTTTGCATATCTGGACATTTACCACTTCGATCTCTGAAGCCGAAATCATGATCATCTGTGTGCCATCATAAGGAATGCGATTTGCTGAGGATTCAGCTGAACGACTGGATTACGCCTGGATGTCCGTGCGCGTTTGTGCTAGACTTAGCTCATCACTGCGGCACAGCCCAGGCCCTCACCTCAGGTATATAGTCGTTTGCTCCCTCTGGCCTAGCCACAAATCTCGGGTCTTGGGATCTTTGATATCGGGGTGATATGCTATAATCATGTAAGATCTGGACGACTTTCGGGATACCGGCGGTAGGGGGTTGAGAAGCTGAGGTGTAAGAGAACGAAATGATGGAGCTTATTCTAGATGCTGATTAAGGCAGCTTGGCGTTTGCGTGATGCTTCCCACAGCGCAATGGCAAGTGAAGGTACCGACCAGCCCCTTCTCAAGCACGTACTGCTCTTTCAGCCGCAATTAAGGGTCGGCAATGAAATCTGACTGCCATAGCATAGTCAGAAAGCTAATTGCAAGCCTCAACCCATCTGCCTTCCTTTCCTAGCTATCACGGCCCTGGCTCATGACATGTAGGTCTGCAGGGCATGCCACGTGAGAGTCACGTAGATGCTTTCACAGGTCCAAACTTAACCATATCTAAAGCCCTGCTTCCAGCCAGACTTTGTTTGCTTTCTTTTTTTCCCTCTTCAGCTTACTTCTACATTAAATTGGTCAGACTTATCGTAGCTTGCCTCGATTATCTACCTCTTCCGTAACAGTGGCATAGCTAAAGGAAACCTTTTATCGTACCGCTACGTAAGCTAAGCTTTGGCCTCCCAGGTTACCCCGAAGGGCTATAAATGGAAAATAACGGTAAGAAGATCTGTGGCTGGTAGGTGATAGTGTGAATGGGGACTGGATAGAGATAATGAGTTGTTAGTCTCTTAAGCCTGGGAGTACTCAAGGAAAAGACAGCGATATTATCATGTGTTTCCTTATTTAGATCACTTCAGTATGTGTCCCGGCGGAATCACCGGCGTAAGATATTTATTCTCTACGAACTTAGTAGTATCGGGAAGACACAGCTAGCTGCCGACTTTGCTTGACGCCACCAAGCCGCGTTCAGCTTGGTCTTCTGGCCAGATGGCAGACCAGCTAAGACAGAGTCTTGCTGGCTGTGCAAGCAGGATACCGGAAGGTGTCACTAGTAAAACAGGTTAACAGGTTAATAACAGTAATATTAAGCTAAGCTACAGTCTAGGCTTTATTCCGTCGGGTACGGGCAAGCTCTATTGTTAAGACGTAGCTTAAAGAGCTACAAACACGTCTCGCGGCAGCGAGATTCAAAGTCTTTTAAGTTGCATTAGTCTATGCTCTGCACGTACCAAGTTCCATTAGTGGATTAACGACGGTCACGGTGTAACTACCGTGACAAAAGGCCAGATTCCCGATAGGAGTAAGAACCGCGCCTCACATAACGAGGACGACCTGAAAGTCGTGGTGATTAATATATTAGAGTGGCTTGGGCGGCCGGATAATATCGACTGGCTACTGGTCTTCGATAACATCGACCAAGACCACGAGTAAGGCGGGTCGACAGGCACATACGATATTCGATAGTACCTTCCGGGTAATTACGGGTCGGTGCTAACTACTATACGATTATCGAGGCTAGCGGAGTTCGGCGACTCGAAACGACTGAATAAGGTAGACCAAAAATTAGGCAATACTATGTTCCGGCAGTAGTATAGGCAACAACTAGGTAGTCCTTTAACGACGTACGTTTTGGGGCTTAGGCTGACAGGTAGCAGTTATGGACGAGACGGGGACAGAGCTACTCGGTTTGCTCGATAGGCTGCCACTTGCGCCGGTGCAGGCTGCATCGTATCTCCGCAAGACCTGCCTCAACGTTGCGTCGTATGTTCGGCTCTACAAGTAGTAATGGGACGACTTGATTAGGTTTAACGGCACGTCTTGCTTACCGTTGGTAGATTACGAGAAGGAAGTGTTGGGACGACGTGGATGATGTTATTTAAGGCAATCGAGGTGAGGAACGAGCACGCCTCGAATCTACTGCGGCTCTGGGCTTTTGTGGACAACATAGACCTGTGGCACGGTCTACTGCAAGCTTCGGCAGGCGGTGGGGAGCAGTAGCCCGGATGGCTCTGCGATATGGCGTGCAACGAGGTCAGGTTCTTGGACGCAGAGAGACTGCTGCTCCGCTACTCGATGATCGAGGCCCGAGGGTCCGTGCAGGGCAGCGGCAACCACAGCATACACCCGGTGGTGCACAGATGGACGTCGCACATACAGGATGACAATGGGAAGAGATTGTTTCTGCGGCAAGCGATGACGGTGGTTGGATTCTCCGGGCCCGACAGCAAGACTAAGGACTATTGGGAGCTCCAGCGGCGGCTTCTCCCGCATGTGGAGAGGTGCTCATGGTGGGCTGGGAAGTTCCAGGGGCGCGAGTACGATTTCGAAAGAAGTAATATCACCAACGCGACACATATGTTGGACCTCCTTTACGCGGATCAGGGCCGACTGGGGGCAGCGGAGGCGATGTATCAGCGGGCGTTATCTGGGTTCCAGACCACTCTAGAGCCGTCTGATCGGAAGTTACAAATGGTTATTGGAAATATAGAGCATCTACGACAAGCAAACGGTATCCTTGATGCGTAATGTCTGTTGGTAGTACTTATTTATTTTCTTCGCTAGGCTTGTCTACTACAGCGAGAAAGCCGCGTTAAAGTCTTGGAAACACTAAGGAACAGGTTTCGAAAACTTTATAAGACTGGTTAAAGCTAGGCACTACGACGAGGAAAGTATCGAAATAGTTACCATACTATTGAGGTTGTCCCTGTGACGTCGTGGGGCGTATTTTATACAGGGGTGCATCCGAAGCATCAGCCCGCGACGCCACTTGTAGGTATTATTATACGGAGCGAGAACGCCATCCAAGCGGACTAACGTAAATATAATCTAGAAGACTGTAGAAGAGATGAAAGCATTAAAGATTGGCACCGTGCCCCAGACCCCTCTTGTATCACGAATAATAACAAAAGTATAGAGGACTTAGAATGTGGAGAGAAGTCCATCATTTTATCGATTTGATTAGTAACGATCGTCTTTTGACTGTTCGTAGCAGCCTACCACCGAAGTGTCCGATTAAAGCTATACATCAAGTCGACATCAGCATTTCTGCAAAGTGTAGAAACAAGCTGTGCGACAAAGGACATATGAATATATACTCTTGTCATCTCAATGTGCCGGCTGCCTTGAGTCGATTCGCCACCACGAGGAAGCCTTTCTCAGCTGCTGCTTGGAGCGCCGTCCGGCTATCAATAGTAGCAGCAGCAGTATTAATGTCGGGCTCCCGCTGCGAGCAGCTTCTCGACCACCTCGAGATGGCCTCCTCCAGCTGCTGCTTCGAGCGCCGTCCGGCCATTAGAAAAATTAGTAGTATTAACGTCGGCTCCCGCTACGAGCAGCTTCTCGACTACCTTAAGATAGCCTCCTTCAGCTGCTGCTTGGAGCGCTGTCCGGCCATTAGAACAATGCAGCAGTATTAACGTCGGCTCCCGCTACGAGCAGCTTCTCGACCACCTCGAGATGGCCTCTTCTAGCTGCTGCTTGGAGCGCCGTCCGGCCATCAATAGTAGCAGCAGCAGCATTAACGTCGGCTCCCGCTGCGAGTAGCTTCTCGACCACCTCGAGATGGCCTCCTTTAGCTGCTGCTTGGAGCGCCGTCCAGCGACCAGAAGTAGCAGCAATAATATTAACGTCGGCTCCCGCTGCGAGTAGCTTCTCGACCACCTCGAGATGGCCTCCTCCAGCTGCTGCTTCGAGCGCCGTCCGGCCATTAGAAGAATTAGCAGTATTAACGTCGGCTCCCGCTACGAGCAGCTTCTCGACTACCTTAAGATAGCCTCCTTCAGCTGCTGCTTGGAGCGCCGTCCGGCCATCAATAGAAGTAGCAGCAGCAGCATTAATGTCGGCTCCCGCTACAAGCAACTTCTCGACCACCTCGAGATGGCCTCCTCTAGCTGCTGCTTGGAGCGCCGTCCAGCTACCAGAAGTAGCAACTACTGCTTGGAGCGCCGTCCAGCGACCAGAAGTAGCAGCAACAGCATTAACGTCGGCTCCCGCTGCGAGTAGCTTCTCGATCACCTTAAGATGGCCTCGTCCAGCTGCCGCTTGGAGCGCCGTCCGGCCATCAAAAGAAGCAGCAGCAGTATTAACGTCGGCTCCTGCTGCGAGCAGCTTCTTAACAACGGCCTCGTGCCCGTTTTGGGCAGCATACCACAGCGGCGTTCTTCTGCAGGTATCTTTCAGATCTGGACCGGGTCTACTCCTGAGGAGTTCATCTGCGGCCTCGATGACTCCGAAGTATCCTGATAAATGTAGTCCCGTCATATTCCTTGGAACATGTTGACTGCCTATTGGGTATGATCGGCTCCAGTTGGTGGCCATCAACGCCTGACTTGATGCTTCGACCTTAGCTTTACTCTCAAGAAAGTGAATAACCACTTGACTCGATGTTGCAGCCTTGTGTGCATGATGCCCCCAGTTGCGCGCGGCGTAATCGTAGAGCGGGTTTGACTGCAACCGCTCCTTAAGCTTACGGTTCGTTGTGCAGAACCCGGTCTCAAAGACGGTGAATGAGAGGTAGGTAACGCAGGTTGTCGTGATCGCCAATTCTGCGTTCGGATTCCATCGCGACCGTGTTCCCTCAAGATATTCTTGCGTTGTGTAATGAACCAGCCGGATAATGCCATTGTTTTCATCGACCGTTACCAGTCCAGCACATACAGAGACCATGTCTCCGATGCATGGCAAGTCTCCGTCGTCAAGCTCGGACTTTCCCGGCTTGGTTGCGAGGGCGTGCTGGAGTTCTAACGTGGTAAGCTGTCTCTTCGCACACGTGATCCATGTCAGAACCTCCATCGCAAGCTTCTTGCAACCCGGCATCTGCCCATTGATTCTCATCATTGCTTGGTTGTACGCACTGGTTAGTGCCCCGACCTTCTGGATCTCGTCTCGGCCTTGCCCTTGGTTCCGGAAGACTTCCAATGTGCTTCGAATATCATTCGGTGTCATCTTATCATAAAGCAAATTAAGATAGATTTGTGCCAAGAGAAACCTGCAACTGTCAGTGCCTGTGCTGCTCTTCCCTACAGTTCTGTACATACATTCCATCGACGGCTTCTGAGATCCCCGCCATAATCTCTTCTCGCAGCCGCCGGTCCTGTTGGACGAAAGATGGTAACTCCGATATGTGACCTTCTAGATATTGTGCCACATCGGCGGTACTTGCACGGATCTCCAGTGATATGCTGGTTTTGAAGCGATCAACAATCTCCATGATAGACCTCGATGTCGCAAAGATATTTATTCCATGCATTTTCTGTAGGTTGAAAAGCTCGGAGAGAAACCTCTCCCGGCAGCTTTCGGATGTTTGGCATTCGTCAAGTGCATCAACAACGATAAAGACACACGAACACGTCGCCGCCACGGACTGGAGAACTCTCAAGATTTCGTCAAGTGATGGCCGCGTCCGCTTGGCCTTATGCTTGTCAAAGAGATCTTTGACGCTTCCTGGAACAGAGGGTTGGCTCTCGGCTATCTGTTTCAGCACACTCGCCAGCAAGTCATCAATCTTCTGCTTGTCTTGCCGCTGGAAATTGAAGTAAATGTATGCGATGCCGATCTTCGGGTCGTTGTGAAACTTGGAACCGAGGTGGTCAAGCACGACTGACGTTAAGATCGTCTTTCCCGCCCCGGGGATACCTGGACAGAAGAGTGTCTGATTGCTGGCGGACAGCCAACCCTTGAACTTTTCTGAGTCAAGGAGCCATTGCCCGGTTCCTGGTTGCCGTCTGTTAAGGTAGTCGCTTTGCTGCGGACCGTAGTCGATTGTCGTGAGCCAGTCGAGGACTTCTTTATCTTCCTCTTTCTGAAATTTGGATTTGATCTGGGTGACGTCTTCTCGAGTTGCGGATATCTCTTTGTGAACTACACCTATTATTAAAACATATACAGTGACCCCGACCGGAGAATAACTAACCTTGCTCTAATATATCCTTTACCGGACGCTCTTCGACAACCTCACTTGGCTGCACATATTGCAAAAGCTCCTTCGCAAATGCTGCAGCTACGGCTGCCGCGTGCTCCTGCCAATCTTTATTCTTGTGCGAATCTGCGTAGTCACAGATGCCTCGGATGACAATGCACGGGAAGTTGTTCATTAGTCCCGCCGCTTCCATTTCGACGCAGAGAACATAGCCACCAAACTCCTCGTCGAGCCTATCTCGGAACGTAGCGTCTTTAATGACCTGGTTACCGGATGCGATCAGACCGTAATGCACACGCATATTTCGCAGCTTCCCGCCATCTCCACCAACCGCAGTATTCATCCACTTGCTTGGCCCCAGACTCCATGGAAGGAAGGCCCTGGATTGCTTTTTGGCTGCGAGGTGGATCGTCCGGTACGCCGAAAGGGTCCTCAAGGTGATCACGGCTGGCGTACTTCAGCGCCAGCCTTGGCCATTTGCGTTTTAGATCCTCTAGATACTGAGGTATCTTAGATCCGCTCATTTCATGTTCGGTCTCCAGTTTCGTTAAGGCAGTGCGGAGCGAGGCAGGTGGGTTGTTTAGCGACCCAGTCCGCTCGAACTTGCCCCCTTCTTTCGCCTTGCCCAAGTCCCACTGAACCACCCCAGGATACTGGCCCACTGGTGAGCTGATCACAACATCGCCAAGCCGAACCTTGGGTGGAATACCGCCGCCGAGGCCAACCATTAGACCGATCTTAATGGACGGAAAGGCGTTGGCCATCGAGGTCGCGACAGTCGCCGCCGAATTTGTTCCGATCTCGCCTTTAGGCAGGCAGGCTATGACGATATTATGATTGCCGATGGATCCTAGGGTATACGTATTGTGATCATTGGGTGGTTTCGGAAGATCGACATGCTTGTGATCTAGCATAGCTGTCGCCGCGGTTTGTTCTTTGGGCAGAGCGCAGACCCATCCCACAGTGTAGTCGCTATGAGTTCTGGGCTCGGTAGCTGCCTGGGCATCCATTGTGAGATAATCGGCTGGGCCTTTTCGAGGACGACTGTGGATTTGGATGTCGATCAGCTGCGTCGGTTCGTCCGATCGCGGGATTCTGTGGAGGTTCGACGGCTACGGATTGGATCAGGGAGCATCAAATGCCTAGCGTCGCCCGAGGGAAAGGCATCTGGATTTAATTGCAAGAACAAGAACCGCAAGGATAACTGATAAAGAGTAACTGTTCAGCATTTAGCCCGCGGGCTGGGCGCGAAGACGCCTTGGGCGGCAACGCAGCCGCAGCCACACGAGCGTCAGCTCCCCACCATGTCTTCAGCTGCGTGGACTCTCATGCGTCCATGGCCAATCACCCGCCTCTTGGGTTGCGCTTCCACACCACTACCACGACATGTTTTGGACCGCGAATTGGTTGGTCAGCTGCATGAACAGCGAGAAAACCGACAAAGGAATCGGTGGGATGGGCGCATCCACTCCAGCGCGACGGACCTCACGGCACGCGTGGCACCGGGACGAAACAATCACAGCCTTGTGGGGGTCCTCGAGGGCCCTTAACGGGGTTAAGAAAAGACACCAGTTGTAATAGTAGTACCACAAAACAATCAGGGAAATCACCCCTTCCGCTTCAGCTAGCATATGCGCATATTACACTTAGAATATCTCAGTTAAAGGTAAGTGACCGGTTGGATGGTTATTTCCCAACTCATGTCACGTCACGGAATCCTACTGTCCGGCATGGCAGCGGCGGCAAGAGGGAAGTTGATGCATAGTTGGATATTGTAAATATTCCAAGTTTCCAGACTCAATCTTCACCTTTTCTTCCTCCAGCCTCACATTAAATCTTGAATTCTGGTCTCTGGAAACTCCACCAACTCTCCCATTAATCGCTCAGCCTCTCCAACAATTTTCATTATTATATAAAAAGAATTTCGATTTTTTTTCGAAATAAAAATGGCCTCCCAGAACTCCCCCGCGCCCACCTCGTCCTCGCGCGCTGCGCGTGCGGTGACCTCCACCGGTGTCCCAAACCCCCAATTGACTTTGTACCGTGATTGATCCGAATTTGACTTACCACTCATCACAGCACTGTGCTGACTGAAGATTAGGCAAGAGCAAGGAATGATATGGGAGGGGGAAGGATACAGTGGGGGCAGACCGCCGGCGGCGCTGGACGAGGTGGGAGCTTTTTTGGCAAGTCGCGGGGGCGGTGGTGTTTTTTTTTTTTTTGGCGGACGTTTAGGGCTACAATCTTATATTTCTCCAATGCGCGGTGTGGGTGATACACCTTCTGTTGTGCCGCAGGCCAGGCTGCCTGACACAATGCAAAAGAATGATCAGATCACCGCTCTCTCACGGGTGGATGTAGAGATACCGTAAGGAAATTCACCTCAGAATTTGGCAGAGAATTCTTCTCGAATCGGCATCACATTTCCCTTGAATTGATTGTCTGCATGTTCAGATTGAGCACATCACTCTTGTCTGACTTCGGCTTTTTTTTTTTTTTTGCCTTGAAAAGGGATGTTTCCCGGAGATCTGTTGTGCTAAAACTGGGTTATTGCATACTCCCTGAACTGGGTTTCCTAGAATACAAACGATACCTGTAAGGTAGCTATAAGGTTTTGGAATATACGGACAACAGATATTCACAAAATGATGCGGACGGGCCTTTTCATTCATCCAAAATCATAAATCATACACGTTGAAGTACATTTCCTCCCCGGGCACATAACCCACCACCCTCAGCCAGCTTAAGCCTGAGCAGGAATCAACCCATCCGCCTCCGCCTGAGCAACCAGCGCGTTGTAAATCGCCAACTTCTCCTCATACTCCTTCACCAGCTCATCATGAGTCTCCCGCTTGCCCGGCGTAGCATCACCGCCACCAAAAGCCCTCACAGCAGCATAATACACATCCGCAAGACCCCTGCAAACGCCAGATAGAGACACAGTGCTGCACTGGTAGTACAAGCTAAACACGAACTCATTAGCAACATGTCCTACAAATTCAGTCTGCAAGGGCTCAACATACTCAGTCTTGAAGTTATTGTCAATCCTGAGCTTGCCGCTCTCCGTGAAGCGGTTCTGAGCGCGGTAGTTGTGGTAACCAAAGTCGTGTCTGTGGCAGGCGGGGACGAAGGGGAAGTTGAGCGGGTTGTCAGGGGAGGAAGTGCAGCCGTCAGAGGTCCAGTCCAGGGTAGGGGGGTTGCGGGCGTTGCGGCGGGCGGTGAACGCGGGGAGGCTGATGCCGTACATGAGCTCGTCGGTGACTTGGACCGCGGACTGTCTCTGCTCGAGGACGCCGGTGCTGGCTGGGAGGGCGAGAGCTGACCCCGCGAGGGCGAGGAGGGTGAAGGCCTTCATTTTGACGATTTATCAAGAGTGAAGAGACAACGGCGGCGACACGAGCAACTGAAGCGGAGGGGGTGGGTTGATATAGAGTGACTGTTATGCTTCCGGACTCCAATCCTCGACTGGCTGAGACAATAAAACACCAAGTAAGGGGGCCGTACCAGGGATTTTATACTCAAGACATCACCCTGTCCCTTCCATCTGAGTAGAAGAAATCGGAGTAATTGTCGGGGCACCACATCGTCGTCCAACCCGCCATGCAAACCGCCCCGATGCCGCCGCATCATTGCTTCACCCAATCATCCAGGCACGCCGTTTCGGCGATACCACTCTTCAAGTTTGCGAAACCGTCCTAAACCCAGATTCAGCGGGTTCTTTCCACCACCATACTACACCAATAGCCGCCAAGGAGCCATTACACCAGCAAGATCTCCGGTCACGTAGTCAAACTACCGGGCAAAAGGGCTCAGCAGCGGTACTCGCTCCGATGCAACCTTCCAGAACCGGAAGCTGATCCCGGGGAATGTGGGGAAGGGAAACTGGGAACGCGGGGCACAAGAAGAAGGTCTGACTTCGGATGATCGTCAATGGCGGTCCCAGGAAAGGCAGATGGGAGCGAACGTGGTGTTGATTCGCTGCTTGAAGGAGTGTCAAAAGAGCAAGGATGTGCAAGCTAGACACAAGCGGCTCAGACCGCGTGGGAATTTTGTGAACCTCCTGCAAGTCAGATTGGCGATTGTGTAAGCTGAGTGGAGGAAAGCCTCAAAGCGCGCATGTGGTTAGCAAATGCCAAGAGGGTGGTGTGGGATTGGAAGAATGGCCACCTACAGTCAGTGACTGTCTGGCATGCTCACCTCCAAGATGCAAGTAAGACGGCCAGAATAAAGTGAGTGCCATGCAGGACCAAACTCGGGCACTCTGCCAATCAGCATTCGTCCTCGCCTTGATTCGGCTGGTGTGCCTTGCCGTCGATCGTTGCTACGGGGGGGAAGAGAAGGCATCCAAAGCAGGTCTATCAATCGCCAAGACGGCATGTCCAGGGTCGCTGACCTTGAGTGATTGAGAGGTATGGACGGCTGAAAAGATTTTCGTTCAGTGGACAAGTAGGTAGGAAGAGCCCAAGTATGTCTGTGGAAGAGTCGCTGGTGCGTCGGAAGGGTCGGTAGCGATTGGCGAGTTTACATCACACAAGGTCTGCCTGTGAGGCGAAGCACCGATTTGAGAGCACAACAGGGTCCGGAAATAGGTAGTCTGCAGCCTAGTGGTATGCCTGGAGAAGGTCGTCAATGTTTCAACGGTCGATTCAATGGTAGTATATGATAATGCGTTTATTAGGAACGGTCCATATTGTTATGTGTGGTGCACGAAGTGGATGTTGATGTTGAACCTTCTTTAATTCAGTGTCATCCGTGAACCGCTCAAAAATGGCGAGCGCAAGCGTCTTCTCAGGTGGACAAACATCTTGGCTGGAATTTCCGGCAGAACCTTCGCAGGAACACCAATTCTCGAAGCAGGAGACCAGCACCAGAGTGAGGTTAGAGTGCTATACGAGAACCAGTGATGGGGAGGAGCCAGGGACGAAGGTAATCTCTTCGATCCAGTTGAGAAGATGGTTACCGGAAATACTGGCCCAGCTGGGCGGAATGCTGTGTCTTATCGGTAGGTAAAGAGACTCAGAATCTGTGTCAAGACTTCCATATCAGCTGACGCTCGAGCAGCTATATTCGTTCTTTTGTGGCGTGCTGACAACCGACCCTCCGAGGAGATGTATCTGGGCGTCACTCTAAACACCATCCTAGCCTTCTTGACATCCCTAGCCAAAGTGGCTTTTTTGGTACCCATCGCGGAGGGTTTGGCACAGCTGAAATGGATTTGGTTTCTGTCTCCTGTCGGTCGGCCAGCTAAACACCGACCGCTACTTGATTTCCAAGTGTTCGATGATGCGATGAGGGGTGGAATTGGCGGCGTGCGGCTGCTAGTCGGATTCAAGGGGTGAGTTATCCCCGTGATGAAAATCGTTCAGACTGCATGCTGATGTCAGAGAACATGCAGGATACTTGCTTCATTTGGTGCCTTGATTATGCTTAGCGGTCTCTTCACATCGACACTTACCCAGCAAGCCATAACGTACGATGTACGGAAAGCCCTGTCACTTCAGGCCAACGATACCGCCAGCGTGGACAGAGCGACCACGTTTTCAACCTATGATGGAAACATGTTGGCTCTTAGTAAGTTCAGAGCAAGCCGTAGCAACTAAAAGTGAACATGGGCTAACGAAGGTGAACCTTGTAGCACCGTACGACACTCTGCGAGAGCAGCGAGCCATCTTCGAGGGGTTCTTTACCCCTTCCACCGAGAGAGTGACGGAACTGAGAGCTAATTGCTCATCTGGTGACTGCATCTGGCCAGCCTACGGAAGTCTTGCCGTTTGTGGTGGTGTGGCAAACCTGTCAACAGTCAACAACCCTGCGCTCCACGACCGTCTCAGAAAGACAACTGAAAAGCGTCTTCAACTCCTTCTTCAGACCAGCAACATCACAGCGGGCTCAGCTGGTTACGGGAACTTTTACACCGCCATCGACAAGGTGTTTCCCGTCATTATTGGATTGTTGGACGAGCCCACCGGGGCATTCAACCAATCGGTAACTGATTTGATCGTCAGCGACAGTTTCATTGCTTATACAGAAGAGATGGTTAGCACTTCCTCTGACGCTGACGCATTGACTGAGATGATGTCAAAGGTCAAGTACTTGGAATTGGCGTTCTGGTGGTGTACCAAAACATATGAGACAGAAGTCACCCAGGGTCAGTCTGTGACAAGAGAAGTCTCGACCTTATCGCAGGTCACCAGTGAACTAAACAACACACTGAATGTGGCATGGGACCCCAAGTTCTATCCTTGCTATTCCACGGGCCAGTGTAACGACACTTATGGGGGGGCCGAATTCACCTTGGAAAGGCCACCGAATGCGGAGGATTCTGTCGACTTTACGATAAACGTTTGGACTTCATTAACGGCGTCCATGTTACTAGCGTCGACAATGCTGGACTCGTTGCTGATGGATAGAACTCGAGGGGTGGTTGCTTCGAACGGTGGAGGGTCAGCTAAGGCATTTGCCTTTTCTCTGCTGGGAGACTTCTTGACAACCGAGTTACCTCCTCCCGAAAAGCGACTCGCCGATATCCAGACTGTGATGACCAATGCGGCGCGCTCGATGACAAACCTGTGAGTAACGTTATCTGCCCATAACTATGTTCGATATTCGCTAACAAAATACGCAGTGTGAGAGCGGGTACGACTCGGCTGTCCAGGCCTGAAAGCGTTGTCCAGGGCAGTGTATACGCCCCTCAGGCGTTTGTCAGAATTCGATGGGAGTGGATGGGCATGCTTACTACGCAACTGGTGTTGACAACCCTGTTTCTCGTTCTGACTGTCGCAGCGACGTACATGTCGCGTGTGCAGGTGATCAAGAGCTCAAGTCTGGCGACGCTTTGCGCACTGGATGACGAGACGCGACAGGATATCGGAGGTATCGGGGATGGCGTGGACAAGTTGGAGCAAAAGGCGAAGAAAGTGTCAGTGCGACTCGAAAGGAGCAAACATGGTGACATCGAGGATTCAGCAGGTAGACCTGCTCTTTGGCTGGGGACACCAAAGCAAGAGCGTTTGGAATCAAGGACTTGGTGATTGCTTTAAAACAGCAGAAGCGACCGAGCCAGCAGGTGTTGGCCCGCAGGACGGGCCCAACAGCAGCACCATGCACTTGCCTTGCAGAAAGCATAATGCACAGCTCTCTGTACGGCCTTCCAATCGAGCATAACTATTTATCTGTTGTTGACGATCAAAGACTTTGTCGTGCGTTTCCGTGCTTATTTGTCCTACTAATTTTCTGCCACCTCTAAACGGTCCTTCTCTGCTATCTCTATCTCTTCGGAGCTCATATTGCTAGAGGCCAACCTAGTCTCAGATGAAACCAAGCCACCTTCAGTATCCCCGGGATCCCGCCCAAGTTGCATCTCTTCACGCAAAACGTCAAGACAAATTAGAGTACAGTGAGTTCTCATATCCTCATAGACGCTGCAAATTATTAGCAAGGCAACATAATCATAAAAACGACGGGAAAGTTCCAGACACTCACACTTGTCTCCTACTTGATCCAGGAACATAGATGGCATTGCCTAGGTTGTACGGCAGTGAATACAGTTGGTTTCGAGCATCCCAATCCTCGACTAAACAATAGAAGTTAGCACAGGATAATCACCATGTTAGATGGCACCTACCTGGCTCTGAAACTGGAAAGTGGAGCTCGTAATTCTCAATGTGCGCTTTACCACTCAGATTATGCCGAGGGGCTCGCCAGTTGCCCGTATCGTGCTCATTGTGTCGGTGAAATGAGCATGCATCAAAAATGAAAGCCTCTCCCGACTTCCTGTCCACCGCGGTATTACCATCCCAGCAGTCCCCGTGAATCAGGCTGGGTTTCAGCACTCTACCGTCTGATTGAAGTGGCAGTAGAAGACGAGGAACCACTTAGTCGAGAACCAGACGGGAAACAATGTCGAACTCGGGCCATTGAAAGACGGGCGATGCCAAGCTGGTGATGTGTCCTAGGTGACGGCGGAAAACGACACACCATGAATCATCCCACACGTCGATGACTTGAATGATTTTGGCGCGGCAGGTGGCAATATGAAAGCCGAATTTTCCAGTGGGTGAGACACAACGCAGGTGCATGTCAGCCAGGTGACTAGCCAACTTTGTCGGTTCAGCGGGCTTGAACAGGATCGCTTGTTAGCACAACTTGAAATCATCAACTCCACGATCAAGTTGTAAGTAATACAGCAATATTACTTACCTGCCGCGCTATGTGACGGAATTCCACAAGAAGAAAGTAACTCCCTTCTTCATTCGCAATCTTCCCCGGGCATATGGTTTTGGGACAAACCCAGGTGACGCGCTATGGATTGCCTTCAGGGATTCAAACTCCCCGTGACACATTTGCTTTCCGATAGAGTCAAGGTTTTGTATCACCTAAACGTAGATTTCACGGCAATTAGTTCAATTATCAGAAGAAAGGTCCACGGGCAGGACAGAGAATTACCTTGAGAAAGTAGTCCTCCAATGTCGCATCAGGGAGCTTCACAGTCAGTTTGCCTGTTTTCCCCCAAAGAGACTTGCCGAACTGCTGAGATTCCACAAGGGCCGACCGGGAATTGGGTGTGCTGCATTGAGATCAGTATTTACAAATGCTGCGAGCATGTTGTCGTTGCGAACAAACCTCTGAGGGCTTTTTCGTCGACTTCAGAGTTACCCTGAGCCATCGGGAGAGGAATAGTGTCAGGAGGAGTCTGCCCCATCATGGATCGAGTAACTTCAATCTTGATACTGGGAGTGCAATATACCAGCATCTCCGTCGATATATCGAGTAAGCGCTGATATCTTTCCGCCCTGCGAACCTGAATTGCTTGGAATGTTGTTGGCGGGGTAAGCTTTCACTGAACCTGAACTATGCCAGTTTGTTGGCCCAGATTGAGCCAAAAGAGAAAGAGCGCCTTTGGTTCCTGACGCAAGGCCTGTTGGTGATGTGGGATGCTCTGTTAGTCCGCGAAACAGGACATGTTTAGCCTATCTTCTTGACTAGGTATGGAAGGATTGACAACTGCTGCCACCAGCTACTTAGGATATGGAGCGAAGGACTTAGCCGCACAGTCCACACCAAGATGATTCAGGGGCAAAGTAAACAGTTGCCATGGGCAATTCAGCATGTGGATCTCCAGCGGAGCAGGAGTTAAAAACATACAACACCAGGGATTCCCCAGTGGTCACCCACCTGAGTACTGGTCTGGCCGTCAGTTGTTTGACTAGGGGAGAGCGGACGGGATCCCGTATTTTCAACTGCGTATGGTCGTATGTGAAAGGAGGTCATGGAGATTACTGTTATATTGCTCGCAAGTATTAAGACCGATATTTTGCACTTTAAGAGTATGGTGGGAAAGCAATGCATCGATTCCGGACCTAACAAAAGTCTCCCAGGGATGCCTATCTGCATGCCTGTTTTTTCATTCCGGGAATGAGCTTCGAGAACAAGAGCAGGAAGACACATCGGCCCCTCACACGTGGTCCACCTCCAATACACAAATTAACCCACGCTTCAGGATAAAGTATTTCCTGCAGCGGGACGTCGCGGAGGCCAGCCGGGCGTTGCGCATGCTTGTGCGACGTGGGTTGTCTTCTTCCTACCCGATGTTGGTCAGACATAGACCTTTCCATTTGGTCATCAATTGAACTGCCGACGTCGCCGCCTAAATACAATTAATCTACAAACAAAGTAACAACGCTGATCAAGATTACAGTGCCTTATCAGCAATAGGCCTTGCCCATGTGGGAAAGATATTGGCAGCATGAGGGGGCAAAACATGTCCTCGTCAATAAAGCCCACATGCACCCGCATTCTCCGACACGTCTGAGAGGGCGAAGTGGTTCGAACTTTAGACTTTCCACCCTCTTTCACGACTCGGTTTTGTTTACATCACTTCTTCACCGACAAAGATGCTTCTTAGAGCAACCGCTTTGGCCCTGGGCGCGACCCTAACGGGTCACCTCGCCTCCGCCCAGCCCCCCGGTATCGTCATCCCCCCCATGATGCGCTTCGCCTGCTCCCAGCTCGTCGTCGACCGAATCGACCCCCTTGTCAACCCCGGCTCTGTCCCCTCCCCCCATCTCCACCAAATTGTTGGTGGCAACTCCTTCCGCCCAGATATGACTCACCCTAACCACGATCTGGTCTCGAACTCAACCTGCACAAGCTGCACCTTCACCGAGGATCTCTCCAACTACTGGACTGCAGTGCTGTTCTTCCGTGCCCGAAACGGCACCTACAAACGCGTGCCACAACACCAAGAAGAAGGGCTCCGTGGCAATGGCGGTATTACAGTCTACTATATCCCGTCAACTACCATCACCACTCCGGGCACGGTCAAGGCTTTCAAGCCCGGCTTCAGAATGCTAGTGGGCGATGCCGCCAAGAAGGAGGGTCCAGACGCAGGGCCGGCGCCGGTCAAGGTGTGCCATAGGTGTATGCCCGAGTCGGGGGACAATAGAAACCTCAACTGCGCGTCGCCAGATACGGAGAAGCTTCCCAGCAAGCCCTGTGTGGGAGGGATCCGATCGGTGATTACTTTCCCAACATGCTGGGATGGTGTTAATCTCGATAGCCCGGATCATATGAGCCATGTTGCTTATGCAAAAGGTGCTGGGGCGTACGATGTTGGTCCGACTGGCAATTGTCCTGACACACATCCGGTGGTGATTCCTCAGGTTATGTATGAGGTTAGGTGGAGGGTATGTGTTCGATCCGGAATGCGGCATTTTCTGAGTTACTGACTTGTTGCTTGCAGACCGACCTCTTCAGCGATCCTGACCTCTGGCCGGAGGACGGATCCCAGCCGTTTGTCTGGTCCACCGGAGACGAAAAGGGTTTCTCCCAGCATGGTGACTACGTGTTCGGATGGAAAGATGACGCTTTACAGCGTGCTATGGATGCCCGATGTACCATGGATGTTTGTGATGTTTTGGAGACGCAGACTCCAGAGGAGGCGGTCAAGTGTACCGTGCCGCCGCGTGTTGATGAGGATTATGAGGGGTGTAAGTTTTCACCTGATCCAAGACTTAGATTTGGTGACAAATTGTGCTGACACAGAAATGTAGGGTTGACGAGTTTACCTGGGGAGGTGTTGTAGCAATGATGTTTGGGTCACCCGGAGAGCCACCTAGCAAGGTAACTGCAAGGTAGTTAGTAGCAAGTAGAAGTTGGTTCGAAATCATAATCGTCTCCTTAGTTGGATAGATACTCAGATACCTATCTAAGCAGGTCCATATGTGATGACCTCCAAGGTTTTCCAATGTAGCCAATCGGAATGACGGCACGTGTCTGGTGGAAGAGCAACCGCTACGCCCGAGTAAAGTACCCTCCTTTTGAAGGCTGATGAGATCAGAACACATGGAGAACCTATAGATGCTGACCGAGGTTCACAGTCTAGGTACTTGCTTGTGAAAGACAAACTGAACTATCTGAGTGAAGATCGACAACGAGAAGAGGGCCTAGACCGCTGGCTGAATTATAGGACAACAGTGGTGGCCTCCCAAGCTGCTCCAACTATCATAGTAGAGTCGCCATAGGAGGCAACTGTTAGAGCGTTATGCCCTTGAGCGTTAAATGACCCTCTACAGCCCAGCCTACTTTAAGCACTGCGCTACCATTTACAACCCTGTCCTGGGATCATGAGTTTCCCCTCTCCCTGCCCTAGAGCCCAGAGTATACGCAACCACAAGTTACCTCTATAGTACTTCAAAGCTATAAAGAGGTCTCGATGTGATTCTTTACATGGAGAACCATCGTACACCTTGTAGAGTATCTGCGACTGAACACTGCTGTCTGCTTCTGCATTTCAATGCCAGTATTGCAAAGGTCTAATGCACAAATCTGTCAAAACAAGGAACAGGGTCGTATCGCACACCCTCTCGTGGTCTAAAAGGGTAGTCTGAACCCGGCAAGTTAAGAAATAGACATCATTATCGTTGGAACCTAAACAACCCTCGGGAATACCACCGTCAGCATGTGATGAGACATCAGATCATGTACACCGCAACAAAACAAACAAGAGACTTACTTCATAAGAATTCTCCTGCTATTTGGAATGCTTTGTCTTCAAAGCTAGATGTTTCTTTTTGGTTAGTTGAAAGGATAGGTCATGTTGCAATTTGACGAGGTGATGTTGTCATCAAGATATCAATGTCTGACCGGGTCCATGATGAGAACATAACAGAGGGAGAGCCGCTACAATAGCCCCCCAATAAACCTGCCTAGTAGATGGATAGACTCCAGCTCTTTCTGTAATACCAAAAGCACTGCATTTGTTTGCGGGGGTTGTTACATCGTCATCTCTCTCCTCGTTTGCCAAGCTACAGTCATGCATTGCATGTGTTATAGCAGGCTGTCATTAACCCGCCACGATGCTCTCTCATGGCCGAAAGGTTGGCTGATGAAGCACCCGGAGGCTTGGTCTGCGTGTTAAAGTGTCTCGAGTCACAATCACATAAAAAGTGAGGACACATGAGTAGCACCCTACCAAGGTTGCCACTACTCTCGGCATTCACATGAAGACATCGCCAGATCAAATGAAAGCTTCGCCGTTGCATGCCTCGGCGGACATGTCTTCCTTTGACAAACGAGCTGTCGCGTATGGACCTCTCAATGTATTATCCCGGTGTCTGTCCAAGCCCCTGATTCGCTCAGCGTCAACTGCCCCGACCCGGATGTAACCCCTTCAACAGACATTCATGCGCGGCACCACTTACAAACAGTTGGAAGCAGACCTGACCCCGGTTTGCTCTAGTTTCCCCGCAAAACGCTAGGGAAGCTTTGCGGGGAGGATCGTCACCTCGAAGGAATCCGGGGTAAGCGCGCTGATCTGGGGACTGGTCCGTTAGATGCAACCATGCCTGATGGGTGTTGGGGGGGGGGGGGGGTAGATCGAGCAACTCCCGAAGCTAACAGGCGGATCTGAGTGAATGCAACGGACACAGCCGGCTTGCAGTAGTAATTCCTTGCCATTCGTCCCAACAGGGTGAGATATGTCCAGCTAGTGTTCCTTGATTGGGGGCAGGGGCTTCATCGGTAGAATATGCGAGGCCTCATAGTCATCCCCGTGTACCGCCGAGCTCACTTTGAGAGAGAGATGAGGTACATGTAGGGTGGAAAACGGGATGAATAGTCTAAAAGCAACATGGAAATGAAAACCAGAGAAGTATAAATAACAGCCTCTCCCCCTTGCTCTGGACAGACTTCTCTCTCATCATCAGCATCAGCCACTCAAGCATCCAACTCCACCTTCTCAAGAAATAAAACCACACAGCCACTTCCAAACCACCAACCAACCGCCAAAATGCAATTCTCCACACTCCTCGTCTCTGCCCTCGCCGCTGTTGCCACCGCCAGCCCATCCCTCCGCCGCCGCCAGGCTGACTGCCCCGAGGTCGACGCCGTCCCCGCCTGTGGTGTATGTTCTCACCCCAATTTCCCTTTTCTCTCACCTCATAGCTAACAGCCCCTCCAGCTCCCATGCATCTACACCGCCGCCGCTGATCTCGGCTGCCCCGACAACACCGACTACGCCTGCATGTGTGGCCAGTGGGACGCCCTCCGCTCCAACGCCGCCGGCTGCGTCATCTCCAGCTGCGGTCTCCTCAACGCCATGACTGTCCTCAACGCCGTCCAGGCTGTCTGCGATGCCTGTGTTGCTTAGGTAATGGCAGTGATACCTGGTGGCTGATGACGAGAAAGTCCAACGGGTGGGAACTGGGTGACGATCAATACTTTCAACAAGATGATGGGGTCACGGAGGATTTGGGATCAAGAAAGTTGTACATAGGGAATTCCAAGTTCTGCCAGTTCTGAGAGGTTGTTTGCCTTGAATGATGTTGTGATTTGTGATTGATGATGGTGATTAGTGGACCGTGCACTCAGGGGGTCGAGATAGGGGTTTTCTCTTTGTTATTGTCTACCTATCGACAACTCCTTTACCTCTGCCCAGACGCTCTAATTCTTAGCACGGCATGTAGACGCCACCATAAGATCCTCCCTCGAAACAATCGTCGACCTCAAACTCCACCATCTCTTTGCAGTCTTGTCCACCATTCGCATGTCATACTTGCTGATCATCTGCGACATGATAACCTTCGCAGCAGCGGCAGCATAGAATCTTCCTGGGCTGTTCATATCTATCAGCCATGTACTTCTCTTCCACCAACAACAGGAGAAGGTCTTACCAAGCCTCCTTCCCGGTCCCAAACATAAGCCACTTGTGGTCTGTATCCACCAGCTTCGACGGAGTATCCTGTTTTGCCAGTCCTTCTTGGTCCATCTTCGAAAGGGACTCCAACACCTCTGGAGGAGCAAATCTGAAACCGCCGAATTGCTCTGGGTTTGGGTAGTACTCTGGGATCTTGTTGATAGCGATCAGGGGTGTGCAAGCCCAGTCGCCGCGGTTGAGATGGGTGCCGTCTGAGAAGGTGTGAGATTCGACGGCGTAGCGGCGGGTGCTTGCTGTTTGGCGCGTAATGTTAGTTAGTCTTGTCACAAAAAGAACAAAAGAGAAATGGTAGCATACAGGCTTCAGTGGGGGTCAGACGGGCTGATTCCTTTATAAAGCTGTCTAGCAGTGGGAGTCCTTGGGCAGTGTGCTCAAAGTTGAGGTAGTGGTTGTCAATGCCCTGGCGGAGAGGCTCTAGATATTCCGGATGGAGGCAGAGATCTTGGAGGGCGATTGTGATGGCCTGGTCATGGACATCAGTTAAGATACTGCGGCGTGTGAGGTCAAAGGAAGAGAACCTACTCCGGCAACTGCATGAATGAAGCCGAACCAGATTGCCATAGTCTCGTGGACAAGCCGCTGCGGAGTGAGAACTCTCCCCTGAGGGAGGGATTCCATGATCCATTGCATGCAATCAGCCTATGGTGATGGTTAACGTAAAGACTTTGCGATATGAAGAATAGCTTGGGGAGTCGATTAACATGTTGTGGTACAGGTATCCCTTTTTTGGCCAGCTCCTGCAGACGCTGTGCTGCAATGGGTGTCTAGATGTCGTAGACAACATGTTGAGCATTGAGCCAAGGACGAAGCGCTCTGCTTGCAAGTCTAGCCATGCAGCTTAGCGGGTATCTATATGGCTTGAAATAGAAGGTGTTCACCTATGGAGCCATCCATCCAGGCAAAAGACGAATGAGTTCGGCCCCAAGGAACACCGCTCGATGTATTGCTTGGCTGCCTGGATGAAAGGTTCGTTTCGAGCTGGGAGTCTATTAGCCATTTGATGGGGCGTGAAGTTGCATCTTGTTAAGAGTGGGCATAAGGTACCTGATACCTTTCCGAAGATAACTTCTGCATTGGAAAGCACGGTGAGTCTAAGAATGAGGGGGTATATGGGTGCGAGATGGAACCCTGGATTTCAAACGGTTAGCATCATGGTCGACTTTGGCACTATAGTCCGATGTCTCAGTGCTTCATGGTACCCACCATTCTCAAGCTTCTTGAGAGAAAGAAGACTATCCAACTCCTCACACACGAGCTTGCGGATGGATGGCACGATATTTGTAAATTGCTCGTCAAGCAGACACGGACAGCTCTGACAAAGCCACCACCCTCATTGCCACCTTTAGTCCCTTCCTTGTCGAGCCAGTTGAAGTTGTGCATGGTGAATCTGGGCTGCAGAAGTTGTCTTGATGCTGCATAGAGAGAAAATACCGAGTCCGGAACCGCCAGGAATTCTTTAATGTGGCCAGGTGAAGAGACAGACATGTAGCGGGACTCGGGTGTCAAGACTTCGTAACCTTTGCTTTTAGCCTATACCGCAAAAACGCAAAGTTAGATTCATGGAGCTTTTTTTCAGAGTTCCGGGTATGGTGTTGTGACTATACAAGCACTTACCATGGTGAATCCATCTTGGATGATATCCCTTCCTCTCACCAGAAACCTCCATGCCTTCAGTCGCTTGTGGATAACCTTTCCAAGAGTGGTGAACACTCGTATGAAGAGACCAACCGCAATGATGGCTGGTATTAGCCTCTTCGTCGAATAAGCGAGGTTGTATTGGGATTTCCAGGATTCCGGTTGAGGTTTAGCGACGAGGCTAAGAAGAGAGACCTCGAACAAGGAGTCTTTGACGACCATACTGCAAAGAATGACAAAATGCTACTCCAAAGGAGTTCGAGATGACAAGCGAAGTGAAATACCTACCTTGGAGAAGGAGAAGTTAAAAGGAGAAGATTGGAAACGGTATCCGCTGGTGTTTCGCCTGTGAGGGCAAACCCTTTTTATCTTGGGAAGCTGAATCTGACGAGCTGCTGGGCTACGTATCTCTTGGCACACTGCGCAGTGCTGCTAGGGCCAGGAACCTGATCTCAAAAAGGATAACTTCAATGATGCTAGCACTGCTACATCCCCTCAGATGTCACGCCATGCTGTGATTGATGCTTGAATCTGCTGGTCCTTACCGGGGTCGGAAACAATGGTAGACCCACTGCCAGTCAACCTCGAGTACAGGCCTTTAGCTGTTCATAGTGTGGACCCAGAGGTCGATAGCGCAATCTTCGAGGTAAGAAGCCTTCTAGTTGACAGTTTCCGGATAACACGGATGTGCACGCCGTCGCAAGACTATGTGATACATACCAAGCCGGCCCCCACCTTTCCTCCCTTGGCAGCGAGTTGCCCACCTAAAGTGGAGTTTGTCATATTCTGTAGCCGTAACAGATAGTTTTACTCTGGGCACAAGGCTTATTTGGCTTTTGTCACGATACGTGATCAGCTGATAAATGGGCCTCATACGGTCCTGAGCTTTTCTTGTCGTTCTTCGTGATGATGGGAGGTGCTTTGCGATGGTATGGAGCTGGACATTTCACATTCCAGGAGAGAACTGGAATACGGCTCCAAGTATATTGCGACAGGCTTGCTGACAACATACACCCTTACTAACAAAAGCCTGAACATGTCGCGCGAGCTACCTACTGGGATGCCGTTATTTTGCTTGTTTCCAAGTAAAACAATCACATACGACCATATGCAGCTGAAAATACGGGATCCCGTCCGCTCTCCCCTAGTCAAGCAGCTGACAGCCAGACTAGTACTCAGGTGGGTGACCACTGGGGAATCCCTGGTGTTGTATGTTTTTGGACTCCGTTTTGCACCATAAGGCTCCGCTGAGCCCCTGAACCCCTTTTGTAGCTACAACCAGACTCTGGTTGCCAGAGAGACGCATCATAGGCCTGCATCTTTGGCCAGCCTTAGGCTTACAGGTGGCTTCGATAGAAGAAAGCCTAGTAAATTGAATGCTAAATTGGTAGTTTAGTTGTGGTGTAATAACTCGAAGACTTGCAAAGCTCTGTACGAACCTGCCAACATGTTGCACATTGTCCTTCTGCCGCGGTTGTCCGGTGCCAAGGGTGGTCAGGGTTGGCCCCCAACAGCTATAACAGCTCCTACCATCTGACACGCTCATTTACGAATCACTGGGCGAAGGCCACATTATGACCTTGTTGGTCTTGACGTTTCAGTCAGACTCGGCAGATATGGGCTGTAGTGGTCCATTGGTCAGATCGGACTAACCCAACAAGGCCAAGCAAAATGTTACACACACAGCCCCCGTCTGCGCCTTCAGAATGCATGAACAACTATTTTTGTGTTTGTACTTCCAAACTGTCGATTAAGCACATGTTGTGCCTGTAAATGGGGATCAAGAATCATTTTGCATTCGATACTTTTCACCATTCTGACAAGCTTCTTTATCACACAAAACTGCCTAGTAACGTAATCTTTGCCCTACTCATTACTTCACACCATGACTGCTATCTCCAGCTCCTGCAGGTCAGGATTAGTTCGAGCCGCCCTCCTCGGACTTGGAATTTTTCAACTTCACGGCTTGGTAGAGGGCCAAGAAATATCCGACTCACCTCCACCAGACAAATTTGTGCGCCGAGGATTTGCAAGAGGTGTGTGTTCCTTCATCCTTCACGACGCCCTTCGAATCCATACAGGAGCTCGCTAACGCTAAACAGTGGCACTCATCGGGGACTACCTCTACATTGAGGGCGGAGAAGTCTCCCAGCAGGTCGGTGACCAAAACCAGCAGGGATCCCGATCAAACTACATGAACTCAACCCTTTCCATCGACATGTCCAAGTCCTGGGACGCCAAAACCGTTCCAATAAGAATCATTGATAACAAAATTTCCGGAAAACCTCCGGCCAGATCGCGGCCTGCATTCTGGACCAACCAACAGGATGGATCATTTTATGTCTGGGGCGGTATGGTCTCCTACAGAAAAGACCGCGTCATGCCAAAGTTTCCCGAGCTCTACAAGTTCGTGACAGATGGCTCCGGGGGAGGAAAATGGTCAATCGAGACACCGTCAAACCCAGACTTTCTCCGGACGGTGTACCTGACAGAATTGGCAGCTTCTGCCGCGACGGATGAAACAGCTTTTATATTCGGCGGCCTGGCAGGCGAGTGGACCGACCTGACTGTGGGGTGGGGCAGGACAGAAATCGCCACAGGCGCCCTGGCGTTCAACATGAAGACCAAAACTTTTGAAAAACTTGGATACGAAGAAACATTGGTGGGCGCGGTAGCCGAGCACATCCCGCAGTTCAACTTTGGCACCAAGAAGCGGGGTGTTATCTTGATCATGGGAGGGTACATTCCCGAGAAGCGGGTAGATGGAAACAGTGCAATTGATTACAGCTCGGTCTCGAGCCACTTGTTTGATAACATTACTATTTTCGATCCAGAGACAAGACAGATGCACTATCAGACCACCACAGGTCCTACACCCCCAGGTCCCAGGCGGGAGTTTTGCCTGGCAGGCTTTGCTACCAAAGAAGGTGGTTATGACATGTAAGTGACACTACACCACCAACACAAGAGGTCTTTCCTGACAAAGCGACCTACATGTAGTCTTCTCTTCGGAGGAGAAAGCAAAAGGGAGCCAGGAATCGACTTCCGTTACGAAGACGCATGGATCCTCAGCCTGCCAGGCTTCGTCTGGACCAAGGCCCCCAACATGCCCACCCAGCGAAGAGCAGACCATCACTGCACCCCAGCGGGAAAACGTCAAGTCATCAGTGTAGGCGGGACAGCCCCGGGGTGGCGAGAGCCAGATCCGGCCCCGCAAGGTCTCATGGTATTCGACATGCCGAGCATGACGTGGCGGTTCAATTACGATGCCGACGCGGGCGATTATGAGTCCCCTCAAGTCATCAAGGACTGGTACAAGAATGGGTTAGCTTTCCTCTTTCAGTCCGACAACAAGGACGTATACTAATCCAGACCCAGATCCCTAAGCAACGTCAAGTGGTCCACTCCAATACTCCAACAAGTCTTCGCCCCAGGCTCCTTCGGCATCCCTAACCCAGACTCACCTGACCCCAACAGCCAATCCTCAGGACAAGGTCACTCTATCGGCGCCATAGTAGGGGGCGTACTAGGGGGACTCGCAGGCCTATTAGCTCTAATTGCCGTAGGCATCTGGTACTTCTTCTATCGGCCTCTGAAGCAAAAACAAAAGCTGCCCCAGACAGGCTCACAAGAGGCTCTCGCCGCAGGCGACAAGTATCTGTACACCAGGACGCCTGTGAACATACCTCTTCAAGAGGCAGAGGCTGGGTGGAAACCAGCTGAGGTCGCTTCCAATCATGGGTATGCCGAGTTGTCAGTGTTTTCGCCCGGCTTGGGCCCTTCACCGAGCGTGAGCCCAGGTCCACCGCAATACAGCTTTCGACCGGCAGGGCCACAGTCGCCTATGGAAATGGATGGGTATAGTGAGAGACGGTGATTGTCCTGTTGCACAGTAATACCGGATGGAGGATTCTGTGCATAGACACACCAAGATAATGAAGAAGAGTTAGATGGATGGCTGGACTTTTGTCAGGCGCATATAACCCTTTTTGGTGATCAGTGACAATGCTCGATTGCTCTCTGTCCATCTCATGTCTATCATACAAGCGTCTTGCACCCCTCACACCACCCCAACTTAAGCACACTCCTTCCAGTCAACAAGAGCATCCTCTCCAACCTTCTCCTTGATAATCCTCTCCGACAAATCGAACAATGCAGTCCCCAACTTCTCATCCGAAGCCTGCGCCGACTCCTTCCCCGGCGTATCAGGATCATTAAAGTACCACCCATTCATATTCTCCTCCTCAATCTTAGGACTCGTCAACGCCCACAACGCACTATAAGAACCCTGCTCCACATCCCTCCCAAACGCCAACATCGCCCACGTCAGCAACTTGCCCGTAATCCCCGGATATGCATCCTTCCACTGCTGCTGCATCGCAGTATTGACCGCCCCAGGATGCACCGAAACAGCAATAATCCCATCTCCATTCTCCTTAATCACCTTCCCGGCAAGCCCATACTTTGCAAACAAAATCAGGGCAAGCTTCGTCCTCGCATACAACTCCGTCGGCCCCAAATTCTCATCATTGATCTCCTCCAAACTGGCAAAATGCACATTCTTCGGCGCCCCCCTATGCATCTCGCTCGCCTCAAATACCACCCTCGGCTTTCCCCCAAGCACCTTGTCCGTCTTGCGCAGCAAAGGCCAAAGCTGATTCACCGCGTAAAAGTGCCCCAGAAAGTTCACCCCAAAGTGCCTGTCAATCCCATCGGCATCAAGCCCATACTGATTAGTGTTGATCCCCGCCGACAAAACCAAGTAATCCAACCGATTGAGCGAGTTTCGAAGGTCGGAGAAGACCTCTCTGACTTCCTTGAGCGAGCCGAGGTCGCAGCCCTTCCACTCGACTTGCGCATTCGGCGACTCCGACTTGATGGTGGAGATGGCGTCGTCGCCTTGCTCTTCTTTGCGGTTGACCATAATCACTCTGCAGCCGGCGTTGGCGAGGGCGCGGGAGACTTCGAAACCAATTCCGAGGGCGCCGCCAGTGACGATGGCGACTTTGCCGTCCAGGTTGGAGGGGTGGACGGGGGTTGGGCCGAGGCCGGTGGTGGATTGGAGGACGGATTGCATGTTCGTCGTTGTTTCTGTTTTCTGTTATTATCTCGTAGAGGTGATTGCTGTGGGGTGTTGTAAGATGTGTGATGTCGTTAGGGTCAATAAGGACAGATGGTGTTGATGGTTAAGTTGAGATGAGATGAGATGAAAATGCAAGGACCCAAAACCGTTCAAGGAAGTCCCATATATCTCCTTCAGGCACCACCTCCACCAAAAACGCATTATCATCGTGACGTTATCAAGTCGTTCAAACAGTCAATTACGCTGGAGAGTTTGCCCCGGTCATGACATCACCACTTCCCGAAAAGGCAAGAGCGGTTGAACGTCAGATGTGGGGCCGGGAGTGGATATCGCCGTGCCGCTCCGCTCCGGGCCGTGGTCCGGCTTACTTCCGTTGTTTCACTCCGGCTTCCGATGGCACTCGTTGTGTTCCAGGGAGAAGCGTGCATGGCTGCAAAACAAAAATTCAATTCACAACGCATCTATCACCAAAATCTATTTTTCGGCTTCCGCTCCTCAACCTCCTCCTCCTGCTGTGTCTCCCCCTCTGTCACAGCAGATTCACCCTCCTGTTCCTCTCCTTCTGCGGTCTGTCCCAACGTTAGCACACACACTATCATCACATCGAGAAAACAAAAAAACCAACATACCTCACCCAGCTTCGTCTCCCCCTCACTCGCAGTCTTATCTTCCTCTTCCTTCACGTCGGACTTAACATCGGAGACGGCGGCATATTCGGGCTGCTCAACGGTCTCGGAACCGACTGGCTCCTGGGAGGCAGGTTCAGAAGATGCCATCTTGTCGAAGGTCTCGGCGTATTGTTGTTGCTGCGTGAAATCTGTCTTGCGAGTCTACCTGGCGGTGATAGTGGTTGTGGTGGATTCGAGCTGGGATTGCTGGCGCCGAGGGGGCTATTTGAAGTTGAGGAACTTGTAGTTGCACCAGGAGGAGGGCCTCTCGATTGTGGCGCCGCCGCCGGTTGCGATGGTGCAGGTGCATGTTTCTCTGGAGTCGTCCAGTGGTGCAACATGTCGACGTGGTGCATTTTGAGCCTGTGTTTATCGTCGAACGTCAAGAATTATGGACGAGTTTCGGGTACCTGAGTTGTGGTAAGGCGTCTGTCCTTCTCAAACACCATACCTGTGGATTATGGACATTCGTGTTCTTTTAAAGATGCACAGTGGAACGGCGAAGGCTTGGATGAAATCATGGCGGTCGATCTAGCTTCCCTCCCCCACCGTTTCTCCAAGCCTTCTGGAGGATTGACGTTAAAAGTGGGGCACAACACAACCACATCGAACCATTCATCGATGCGATCACTCGCCGTCGGAACCGAGCGATTACAGGTTTTTTTTGCCCTATCTAGTGTGGCTGACCATTACCTTCCCCCTGTTGGCCGCGCGTTATTTCCATTCTGGTACCAATCTGTTCAACTCCAGGGGCCGCGTATCTCGTTACCCGATGTGACAGCCATGCACCCAACACAGCATAAGGCATTTATGATCACACAAAGTTGGCGGCTGTCACTCTACTGACTCCCCTAGTTCCTGCAACTTCTTGCGATCCCGATCTTTGGCCTTTTCCGAGACATGAGGATTTGTAAGTGCCGCTTTGAGGCCCCGAACACTTCGTGATATCAGTGGCCAGCGTGCATCAAGCAGAACGATGGGACTTACACGTTACCCCTGTCCTTGCCGTCGATGCTACTGTCATCAACCGTCGATGACATGCTGGCCGAAGGAGCGCTGGTTTCAAGATCACCGCTGGACGAACTTCGTGTTTTCCTGCTGCCGTATGTTTGGGATGCTCGAAATGTTCTCGATGATGTGTCCGGAATTGATTCCTCGGAAGAGGCCTTCTTTTTGCCACTTGTTGTTGCGGAAGTTGGATCTGTTTCGAACGATTCACCGAATTCCTGTTCCAAGATCTCTCGGTCCCGTTGTTTGGCCCTCTCCGACACACGGGGATTGCTGATAGCAGCCCGAAGGCCGCGCTCACGGTTCCCAGGGTCAGTCATAATATTGGTGTTTGTGGTGTGTTGGGACTCGAGACTGTTGGCAGAAGGTCTGCGTCAAATCCCTCCTCTTGCAATTTTATATGTGTACATGAGTGCTAACTCATAATGACATCGTGTTGAGGACAAGCTCGTGCACTGACAATCAGATGACGTACGCCTCCTGCCGTGCAGCCCACGCCAAAACGCCAGTTTGCCCATGCATTCTTTGTCATCCAAACTTACAAACCGAATGGCCAGGTCTCATCAAATTCGACTGTCGTATGGGGCTGGTGCACCTCGAGTGCCCCGACATGCTTGGTCTCATCGAACCAGATAAAACCATCCAACTGTTCAGGCAAAACAGCATGGGAGTAATGCGACTGCCTCTCGGTGCCAGGAGCGTAAATGACTCCAACAAACCTCTCCAACCGTTTTTCCATGAGCGCCTTTATCAGCTCCTCGTTGCAATGACCAACTCGCAGGTCCAGAACAAAGTTCTTGACAGCTGTGGCGTGCATTAACTGTTCGTAGCTGTTTGGCAGACCAGGTCGTACCTTCATGACTTGCATATCTCCATCCCACTTGCGAGCAGCAGCGACTGTTCCGGTGTTGGTCAAACAACCTATGGTAAGGGCCTGATCTCCGTAGGCCTCTTTGCAGAGTTGCCCGATATTGAGTTCATCGTTCGACCAGCCCATACTGGTGGCACGCGCATCGCCAATGTGGCTGTTATGCGCCCAGACAATGGCCTTGGACGGCGTGCTCCTCGATCGGTGCTTGATGATTCGGTTCAAGGTTTCAAACATGTGTTTATCTCTCAGATTCCATGACTCGTCGCGGCCGTAGAACATCGCTTTGTAATATTGTTCCGCATCTAATACTCCGGTTAGCTTCAGCGTGACAGTCGTCTTGACGTTCCTCATACCTTTGACCAACCTCGCATTCTGCTCCCCAGAATGAAACTCCTCCCCATCCCAAATCATGCTCTCGTACTCAACCCTCTTCCTCAGCAAGCTATTCAAAATCTGCATCACATCCTTCTCACATCCCTTAAACCCAGCCGCAAGCGCCTCCAGCCCATACTCGTGCGGCTCCTCCGCCCACATCATCATTCTCTCGTACCTTTTTCGTGCCACCTTTGCCATCTCGGGATCAATTTTGTCAAGGTAATCTACCACAGCTTGCATCGACTTGCCCAGTGAATACAAATCCAACCCGTAAAACCCCACTGCCTCAGTCTTGCTGTCCTTCCCTTCATTCCACTCCTTCAACCATTTGGTAAAGTTCTGAAACTCGACATTCCGCCACATCCAAGTGGGAAAGCGCTGAAAGGGCTTCTCGCTGTCTTGGGTGAGGGAGGGAGCGGATGGGGAGCGAGGGCGGACATGTTTGTCGATGGCTTCGGCGTCGGGCCAGTCGGCTTCTACGGCGACAATGTTGAAGCCGTAGTGTTGGATAAAGTACTTTGTGAGTTCGGCGCGGGCTTGGTAGAATTCCGAGGTGCCGTGGGTGGAGTCGCCGATTAGGATTATTTTGGTGTCGTTGTGGGCAAAGGGGGCGAAGAAGTCGGTGAGGGTTGAAGAGGATTGTGAGATGGGTGGGACGGGTGTGAGGTGCCGGCGGAGAAGCTCTACGGTGTGATTTTCAGGGGGGGGGGCCAGGGGTTGTGGCTTAGTGGTCATTTTGGACGAGTGTCTCGTGAAACGGGTTTGAGGAGACAGGTTTCGAGCTTGAATACTCGCATACGAAGTAGAAGGCCTCAACATACAAGGTCTTCTGGACAATGGTTTCATGGTGCAGGATTGATGTTATTCACTTCGCAGTCCTCGGCATATTTCTTTCTATAACCCACATCGCCACCGAAGTGCTCACCGTGAAGCTCCCAATGAAATTAGCCATATTTCTTCCGTGAGCACATGATGACGGAGGGCAACAAGAGGGCAGATGCAGATTACAGCACGAGGGTTGGGGTTCGCCTCTGATAGAAGTGACTTTTAACTTTATGAAACGAGACCAATGAGATTTCAGCTTTTCCCTTCAGGCGCACGTCCACACACACCATACTTTGCTCAGTCTTGGTCGGGGCCATCCTTAAAATCTGGACTCAGCTTCTTCTCAGCTTCAACTTTTCTTCTCCTTGACCAACAACAGTAACCCATCAACGGTTCAAGTTATCAACACAAGTCACTTTTCGCCAATTCGCTTCTTATCACAAGTTCACTTTCCGCCATTCCAGTAGTTACAACCGACTGAGTCGGTCGTTTATAAACTCCTCTTCCCATCTTCAACAATCCCAGCCGCAATGATGAGCAAGTTCTTCCAGCGTGGTGTTCGGACCACTCATTGTGGTAAGCAAAGTACGCTTTCGCTATAGAAACATTCTCTAACATCTTGATGCAATCTATATAGTTCTATTCCGACACCACCACGGCTGTTCCCGTGCGAGCTCTCCACTGTAACGCCTACTCCTTTCGAAAACCAGATTCCGTGCTGCTCATCTCATCAGCGTTTACAGTGGTGCAACAGCTAGTATAGCTAGCACGTACTTTGGTTTTTATGCATTTTTCGCCGATGCTGCTTGGAAGGAGACTTTGTCAGCGGATTGGAACGATTAGAAGATGTCCACCATCTTATGGCGGTCATAGTTGGACATATCACTCCAGTCTAAAACGAACCCGATCAACCATTGTTTCCTCATTTTTAGCACTCCTCTACAAGGTCAGGTTCGCCCTTTTTTCACCAATACTCAGTCTTGCATTAGTGTTATCTGAATGAAGGAGGCTGGCCTGCAGATTGTTTGAGCATAGGGCTGGGGGGATGATCGGGGAGGATATTGCTATTAGCTTCATTCATGGTTTCAGGGAATGATGCTTAGGGAGTTTTCATGATTAGATATAGCGAAATACACAGCGCGGTGGCGGCTTGTCTATGATGCGGACATTGGCATTGTGTGCCTTCCTGTATGTGGTGCAAAATGGAAGGAGGGTCACTGCACACCGCTAGCAAAGGCGGCCATCAGGTGTGACCTGGCGAAATGTCTCGCCCAGAAGTGGAGAAGAAGGCAGTCAAAAGTCGAGCCTGAAGGTCGCCAACACCTGCCCAATACCACGGCCCGGCCTGACACTTAGACACGCACGAATTGCTTTTCCGGCCCACGCCAGCCGCCTTCCGAGCCCATGTCGCTGCTGCACGAAGGGGACGCCACCTTCGAACCCGTCGACGGTGCGTCGAGCCCCTCTGCCCTGCCACTGGTCAGCCGGAAGCCCTAATCAATCCCGGCGGGGTTGAAGATGACGCTGGCTGCATGTTCAAGCAATAGGAGGCGTCGAAGGTGTGTGTGGGCGAGTGGGCGGCCATCAAATTTGCAATTATTTTTGTTGCAAAAAGTCTTGGGAGGGGGGCGGATGTCTTCTCCATACAATTCTCGTTTCCCGGCCAGGTTTCCCCGCGTTTTAATCCTGCGTGGTCGTAGCTCGCGGTGTGTGTCTTCCCTCAGGAGATCTACCATGGTAGGTTTCTCCGTCTGACAAAAACCGCATCGACTGTTGCCTTTTGTTTTACTCCATACCGACAAGTTCCAAGAATCTCTAAACCCCTAAACCCCGTTGATGTCCGCGGAGTCCACCGCTCTAGACATAAGCTGCCTAGCGACGTGCCCTAGACAGCCCCACTCCCAAGCACAAAACGCGCGATCCGACGGACTTTGGTCAGTGATCCAAACAGCCGCTCTCCGGAGATGGCCCCGCCACCAACGACCTACCAACCCATCCAGCCCGCTTCTGTCAAACGAGAGAGGGACGGAGTTTTCTCCGGCCCACGTTCAGGGCCGTCGTCGATCTTCAGCGGGGGGAGCCGCCGGCAGACGAAACGCCTCAAGGCCGTCACCCAGGCCTGCCACACGTGTCGGCGTTTCAAAGCTAGAGTAAGCAACCTCCGTTATCACCGGGTACTTAAACAGCAGTGATCTGACCTTTGCTTCTTCTGCCGGCTCCAGTGTGATGGCGCGCGTCCGAGATGCGGAGGATGCGCTTCCAAGGACAAACCTTGCGGCTACGAGGGAGAGGAGGGCCAGTCCCTTCAGGCGGCTAAGCAAGCGCGCCTCGAAGCGCTTGAGAAACTGATGAGAGCGCTGCAGTACAAGTCCAGCGAGGAGGCCGAAGAGCTGCTACAGCGCATCCGTACCGGAGATGATCCCGCCGTCGTCCTCGGCGGTACCGATAGCGGCGGCGAATCTCAAAGCCCTCCGGCAGCCGTCGCTCCAAGCGTGACGGAATCTGGCTCTGGCTCCAGCAACAGCAGGCTGTCCGGCCCCGTCACTTCCATTGCCGGCTCTCGGACAGGTTCCGTGGATTCATGGGCGCCGACATCTTCCCCCTCGACGTTGGTGGCTTTATCCGTGTCAGCAAGGCTACACGACCCGGTGAACTTGTATCTCGCTGCCCTCCCCAGTGCAAAAACAATGTGGGCTGGTGTCCAGAGCTTCTACAGCTCGAGCGGCAAACTGTTTCATGTCTTCACAGTCGAACAGGTCAATCAGCATCATAGGGCAGTGTTCGGTTTGGACAACCGCCCCAAGCTTGACGAACGGGTCTCTATTGGCTGCCTCGCCATCGTCGCAGCCATCGGTGTCCAATACAACCCCAATGAGTTCGAAAAAGGGACAGATGAACTTCTCTATTCTGCTGCTCGCCTGTTGTACACGGATGTCCTCGAGTTTGGGCCCTTGCTGGCCATCAAAGTCTGCACCTTGCTTGCCATGTACAATATCAACAACAAGGGGACTGTTGCTCTGGCATACATCGAGACAGGACTTACCATGTGCCACCGACAAAGCGACACTGCTGGAGTCTGCAACGCCGACCAGTTGACCGAGCAGGAATGGGTTGAGTTCAGAAAAACTTGGAGGACTTTGATGTTCTTCAACAGCTGGCTTGCCTCTACCCTTGGCTACATCTCCGGCGCTGATGACTCGGCTTTTGAGAAAGTGGTGCCAGTAAGACCATGGCCCCGGTCCCCTATTTGCCGAATTCGCCATGCTGATGTAAAAAACAGCTTGCAGAGAACGAAGTCGACATTTACACAAAGGAACTTGGGGAGAGTAGGTCATCTATGCTTCCCACGACCATGATCCTGCCGCTTTACTGACAAGCCTCAGGGATTCAAACCGAAATGACCAAGATATCCTTACTCAAGGCAGGAATCTTGAAGAATCGTCTGGCTTACAAAGACATCACCACCGGCGGTATGGATGGTATCATCAAGCAGCTTGAGGACTGGCACGGAAAGCTCCCATCCGATATGCAACTGACAAACCTAGGCAACTTCAACATCTCACCGCATGCCCGTTGGTCCATTTACCATATTCATCTACTCTACCTTGGTGCTTTCATACTGGTCTATCGCAGGCTAGCTGCCCAGACGATTCGGTCTATCAAGGCAGGGGACGAGAGTCTCCTAGACACCAATAATTCCACTGTTATCAAGCTGGTCAAATTGGGTGTGGAGGCAGGCAGGGACTCCGCTCGGATCCTTGGGCTCCTCTACGCTGATAGAGGCATTTTCAAGCGCTGCTGGCTGGTCATGTAAGTCATTAGCTGGTCGACAATTATTTTCCTGCTTGTCATCATGCTGACCACCTGTCCCCACAGCTTCCAAACCCACACATCATGTGTCGTTATCCTGCACTCGGCCGCCCAGAAGATGCTTCATAAGCATCCCGAGTTATCGTGGACTGAGGACATGAACAGGGCCCGAGGCTGCCTCGATGTCCTTCGCTACTGCGGAACCATTGATCCCGTCGCCCTGCGCTTCCTTATCAGATTGTCCAGTATTTACGAAAAGCTCCTGGAATTCGGTGAAACATGCCGATCTGACAGACAACGGATTGAGGACTGGGTTCCTCCGCCACCCGACCTTGTGGAAGACCCTGCAGCCACCCCGGAGCCGGAGGTGTCCAGCAATACCTCTGAACACCCCAGCGCCCCGTCGGAAAAGTGGGAGTATCTGCTCCGCATCCCCAAGGACGCCGACCCTGACCTGGCCAAGCTATCCGTCTCACTTCTCTACGCGCTTTGCCGGCCCTGGGGAGACCCTAACGCTCGCGGTACCGCCGAGCCCACCACCGTCACGCAGCCGTGCAAATCCGAGATGCTCGAGCGAGGTTTACCTTCGGAGAAACCCAACTTCTTCTCTAGCGATGTTGACTGGAGCCGCGAGGGGGCATCGGCTCCCTTCCGATGGGACACAAGAAGCATGGGTATTTGCGGCATCAACAACAAGGTCACGTCCAAGATTGTTCCGCCCAAGATGGGGCCAGAGGTGATGTTTTTGGGAAGCGAGGAGCCGAACGGGTGGTCACCGGCACATGATGTGGAGATTTATGAGGATGAATGAGAGAGGAGACAGAAAGAGAGCATTCAGAGAGGGCATTGCTTTTTTTTTTTTTTTGCATAACCAGCGGAGTTGGAGCAGACTTTATTGGAGAAGAGCTTTGTTGCAGACGAAGGGTTGCATGGTTTTGGAGCTCAGGAGTTTCATTTGTCATTCATTTAGTTTATGACTGATTTTCGAGCATGCGTACACGACATCTGCGTTTTATTCAATTCATCATCAACAACGCCCATTTTTGGTACCACTCATCAATCATCCACTGGCCTCTCCGAAGGCGTCACCCCAGCTTTGATGTTGAACCTCCTCCCTCCTGGGAACCTCCCGGCCTTTTGTCTGATATCCCTCAACATCTCGGCTTGTTTGTCGTAGGAACAAAACCCGGCGACGATCCAGCAGAATATTTTCCACCTCCACTCGCCGTACCAGCCCCATTCTGGCGGGTACTCGAGGTTTCTCATGCCGGCGTATTCAAAGTATCGGGGGTAAAAGCCGCTTTCGTCCCAGTCTACCAGCCACAGTTTTGACGTCCCCGACTCGACGATGATATTCCTCGGGGCGAGGTCGTGGTGTGTAAACACCAACTCCTGCCCTCTCGCGTCCTGCTCCACCATCTCACAACTCTCTCTGTGCTCAGCCAGTGTTTTTCTCCTCTCCCGGCCATAACTCTGAAACCCGCACCAGAAATTGACGATTTGTCCCACCACCGCGGCAGAGGCATGCGATGGCACGCCGTAAAACTCCTCCAGCCAGAAACTCCTGCATATCCCTGTCCCCAACGAGCCAGCCGTTGGTCGGGTCATCCTTCTCATTCTTTGGACTATTGTTCGCAGTTGGACGGCTAGTCGGATGGTGGTGAAGAGGGATAAGTCCGGCCAGCAACTTTCTAATGTCACGCCTTGTATCCGTGTCATTATGCACTCATAGGTGCCATCCTTTGCTTTGATGACGCGCTTCAACTCTGGGACTCGGATGCCCAGCGCGTGGGCTTGTAGTATCGCTACTTCGACATCTTTCGCGTGTGATAGCGTGGTGTAGAACTTGGTGATGTATCGGGAAGTGAGAAGCAGTGTGTTATTCTCTATCGTGTCCGACTCGCGATGTTGGCGGGCTTTGGCGATGTATCGTGCCAGGTCCCTGTCGGACAAGATATCCACCGGGTCTTTTGAGTCGCATTCTTGTTCCGTTTCTGGCGGTGATGGCATCATTTTGTGTCTAATGCTGGTACGCAGGGGGTGTTGCTGACGTGGAGGAGGTAGCTAGAGTGGATTGTGGGCGGGTATGGCGGATCGGATGAAAAAGGGAGAAACAAACGGTGAGGTTGGATTTGTGAGATTGAGTGAGTTTACTACCTACCTACAACGCAAGCGAGACGCTGTGAGCGTGGGATATGGACGATGGACCAGTGAGGTGTGAGTGTCACCACACCAAAAACCACCCACACCAACGATGCAGGGAGTGCTTTAATTGGACCCACATTGGTGGACTTGGCCAATCAAAGGGGGAAAGCTTGCTGCGGTTGAGAGGCTTGGCTTTGGGCTGCTGCGGGTTGGGTGAGGTTTAGGACCTTCGCACGGGATTTATATGTGTATGAGGGGATGATGGTGATCATAGCCATACTGCTTCACATCACAGACAATTCCGGTTGGCATTTGTAAGTGTCCTACAACATGGCGTTAACCGCATTACTTGCTCTCTCTCCCACCCATGATTGAATGCCACTCGCATTCGCGTTGTTACCGATATCAACGTCAATGCGTCATACCTGATATGGGCTCGGTCCTATGTGGGAATTCAAGCTGTAATAAAGGATTGAATCGACTGTTAGAGAGAAAATGAAAACAAGTCCGTTGGGTGGGAGCGGACTCCCATAAATACACGTGGAAAGGGAAACCTTTACGGACAACCGGCCTCTGGAAAGGCCTCCGGGACAGCCACATCCCTAGACTCTTCGTATTGCCCTGTCCATCAAACCTTCAAACTACCCAGGCCATCGGCCTATAGCAATACCCAACTTGCCAACCTCACAACAATGTGTCTTGCGGTGAGGACTACGATTTGGGCGAATGTGTGTCACGAGGATGGAATGCGGCCAAGAGTACTTACCACTCTCTGTTCTGGACAGCATAGGCCAGCGGCAGCTTGTAAGCTTTTTCTGAGCTTTCTGTGGCGCGAGGCTCGCCGTGACGACAACTCATAAACATCCGTTCCCAGGTTGCTGATTGCGAGCCCTACTGCGTGCGTGACTTGCAGGAAGTGGACCTACTGGACCAAGTCTCAAACTGAATCTTCGCACTGGGAAACTCTGTCACCTGGGGAACGTGTATAAAGAGATCACATACACCAGGTGCTGAAAGCCCTCTCCCCTCTCAGTCTTGCTCCCCGCTATCACCAACAGAACCAGTCCGCATCTAGGTATCATTCTTGATCTCCATTCCACCCTCCTCCCCCACCGTTCACAATGAAGACTCTCACTCCCGACAACTCCCTAAGTCAATCTGGCAAGTCTTCATTCTCTAAAAGCAGCTCTTTGCATACCTCTAATATCACCCTAGAAACAAACGAAAGTGACAGCCCTGCATGGCAACCAGTCAGCCAGGTAGGAAGTCTCCAGAGAAACATTCTGTCGACTCAGCCTACTCGCCAAAACCTGGAATGGAAACAAAGCCCGGGCGCCGAGTTCGTCTATCACATCGAACAAACCGTCAACGAAGAAAGCAACTGGCGCACAACATGGATCCTCGAAACAAATGAAACCAGAGCCCCAAGTTGGCCCACAATATGGGTGTCACCCAACAACTACCCACCCCGCCGCCCCATCTACCACCAGCGCCAATTGGTCATATCCAGATCCTCTCAGCCATTCCCTGGAAGAGGATGGCGGCAGATTAATATCAGCGCCGAGTAGCCCTGGTGCTACGAGCAGGTCATCCAATGGAACAGCAGCGGCACCTGGCAGGCAACATGGTGCTGGAAGTCAAAGATATGATAGCTATGGAGCGGGAAACGAACCGGGTGCGCAAGGAAGGGAGACGCAAGGAGGGGGGCGCGGGGCGAAACACGCTCCTCAACGCACGAAGCATATGCCCTTCTTGCCCAAAGACTTGCCTCTCGGGTCTTTGGGGCCACTGGGATGGCAACAATGATTGTAATCTTAAGCATCAATGGCCAGGATGACCCGATGGTATGGCTGGGAGGTCGTCAAGAAAGGCTGAGGATTTGGAGGATTATGGGATACGTTGCCAGCTGCGGTCGCAGACAGGATAGGCAATGGGAGGTCACTGACAGGAAAGGTATTTTCGGGGGACTGGTAGCTAAATTGATGGGTTGGGAACTTACGCCGCTGGTGGGTTTGGGATCCCGACAGGTAGTTGAGGTGAAGCCAGTATGCTATGTCCTCTCTCCAGACAGGGCCAAGTTTCTCGACCCCTTGGCCCCCGAAAGAGCATCGAGGTACTTCCCAGCGACATCCTCAAACGTCGACCCACCGATAGTTTTGCCAATAATAGTTCCGATCAACTCAGCTTGCGTGACAACACCGAGCCGGACGGAATCGTGCAGGAGGCCGAAAAAGTTGTGTTGAGTGACGCCACGACGGATGCGTTCTCGGAACGAGTTAGCTTGTGGCAACAATGACGCCTGGGCTCTTACTCCGCATGACTATATCTCTCCCCTTTCTCAGCTTGATGTCATACTTCTTGAGCGAAGACGCGGGGTATTGGGTCGTAAGACCAACGGGATGCCCGAGGGTCGTGATGTTGTAGTCGAGGCCGCCCTTCTCACTGACGAATTTGAAGTACGTCGGTTCCTCTGAGGCTCAACAAGATTAGTCATGAGAAGTATTGATGGTAAGGATGGGCGATAATGACCGACCATTGTTCTCCTTGACTCGCTTGGGATTCAGCACCTCAAGATCAAGACTCTCTGCGATGACATTGGCGGACTTCAACGTGTTTCGTATAATCTCGTCATCCTCTGGCCAGGTAAGTATCCTGTCACATACATGGGGTGTTGTTGGAGCTGACTGTAGATCAATAGACCATGCTCGAAGCGGGACACGCCCGAGTAACAGATCAGGAAGAACGAGTCCACGAAACCTATCAGCCGGACCTTTCCTGACCATCGTTCGCTATTGATGAGGATGTCCCAAGGGTGAATGTCGCTATGCTCTTGGTTAGTAAGTGTGTGGAAGACATGGAGAGACCTTACTAATCGCATTCGAGGGACTTCTGATCGATTGAGCGACCGAAGACCTCCAGGACACGGTGGTAAGAGGCCATTTTGGAAGACGGGCGTTGGCCGTGTTGCTCCAACAGCGGCTGGCTTCAGGGCATCTGTTCCAATAAATCTGTCCCAGGCCCTCAGAACAACCCCTCACATTGGAGAGACTGAATGGAATCTATCATTGGCTTGGGAACACCCTTTGGGCAACAAGCCGCCCGTCCCAAGGTGCCCGATATGAAGAAGATATGACAAATGTGGCTGTCCGGACTGAGCTGAAAACGACGGAGCACCAACCAGACTAGAATGATCGTCAAAACTGCATTAGAGATAGGTGCCCAAACCCCGCAGAAAGCGCTGAGAAATGCTAAGGAACTGGGAGAAGCTCATCGTGTATTTGCTGCACGGCTGCCTTGGCACCCCAATCATAACTGAGGCAGGAGCACCTCTCAGGACGCCTTTGCAACTGCCCTCCAGCTAAGATACCCCTCTCTTTCTTTAGTGCAAGTCGGCCCGATGTGGGACAGATGATGCCCGACAAATTTATGGGGATTATGGGCTTCTTCTTTATTTGTGGCCTGAGTTAAGGCGTTGAAGTTGCTCCACGACCACGAGAGCAGGCAATTTTGTCATTGCTGTGACAAGCTTGGAATATACACGTTGCCCTGAACCCACCGTTCTACACGCTTCATCGTCGCTGGAAACGAATCCAACCCGTCAAAAATGGCATCGACAACCACCTCCGCCGCCTTGGATGTCATCAGGGGGGCGATGCTGGATGCGGTCAAAGCAACCGACTTCACGCCGGAGGACCTCCAGAGAATTTTCAAGGAGCTGGGCGCCAGTCACGAGAAGCTTAGAGCCATCATGAATGTGTGGTTCGGACCCAACGGCGGCTTCAGGCCTACCTTTGTTGAAGAAAAAGGTCACCCATTCTCTGGGCTTCAAGACGTGGAAATACTGACCACCTCGGACCCCCCTTCGGTTCAAACACCTGACCGCATGTTTGACCTTGAAACCGGCAATCTGGTCCATCGTCCAGCAATTGGGGAGCGAGGCCAGTACTGCATGCTCTCCCATCGGTGGAAGGGAGCAGAAGTCTCGCTCGGCGACATTACACGGGCGCGTGGAAAGTACCTGGAGCGTGCTAAGGCCGGGCTACAAGCAATGGGAACCGCATCTCAGAGGAGTGACGTGCAGATGTTGCTAGAGCAGTGCCATCTCGACATCTCCGCGCAAGAGGCAGCAGTGAAGGAGCTGTATCTCGCCACACAGTCGTCGGGCACTTTAGAGACGTTCAGTCTGGCCAATCTGCTGGACCGGCGACTCAAGGGTAAAAGTGCCGAAGGCTACCTGAACTGGGCTAAGGGTGAGGAGCACAAGAAAAGGGCCGAACTCAGGTTTGCCGAGATGGAGAGCAAGATCTTCAGCAACCTCATCAGCAGCACTCGCAGGGCCATAGATGATGCGGGCGGTGGACGCTTGCAGATGCCTCCTGTGGTTCAGGAGAAAAAAGAAGCTCTCGACAAGGCAAAGAAGCAGGTGGAGATTGCCGAGAAGCATTACACGGCCGCTGTTGGGGAGATCGACTACTTCAAGAACCATTTCATGCTCCGAGATGCTGTTGACGAGATTGTACCGCTTTTGGAGAAGTGGAAATCCGCCATCAAGATTGACCGGAGTGTCAAGAAGGCAGGCGAAATCTTCAAGACAAAGCTCTTTCGGCGACGCGAGAAGTGCTACTTGTGGAACGACACCTGTTGCATCAACAAGATGGATTTTGGCGAGCTGTCGCAGTCGCTTTCTCTCATGGGCGATTGGTACGCAGATGCCGAATTTACTCTTGTCCAGCTGGATAACAAAGTGCTAGAGGATGACGAGTGGGATGCTTCAGGCACCGATGCTGCACAGGACTGGCGTGAGTTCCAGAAGGAGCATGGTGAACAGCCAGAGCCGTATCTTAAGGATCTGCCCCTCCGGGAAAGGAGCACAGTTCAAGGATTCGAACACATTGTGGATTGGAAACCAGAATGGTCAACCAGAGCATGGACTCTCCAAGAGCTCGTCATGAGCAAGACCACCTTCTACGTGAATGCGGACTGGGCCACTATCAGCCGCCCAGTTGAGAGCCTCGGTTATCTCTATCATCTCGTTCCTTTCATTGCTCTATACACGCAACGAGACAAACAGAACTTCTTCGCCTTTGGCGACGGCACTCTAACCGCTGAAGTTCTTCGAGACCTGCTGGCCGGCTACGTTCCTGATGAGATGAAGTACATTCATGAGTGGACCGAGAAAGAGCACACAAGTCCGCCGAACCGGGAAACGGGGGGTGCTGGTGACGTGATGAGCAAGGCAAAGATAGAGACTGCTCAGATCGAGAGGGCGCATCTCCTGATAATGCTGCTTCACAACCTGGGCGTCCAATTTCCAGGAGATCTGGCGATGGAGACAGCCACTTCACAGCTGGCGCATGTGGTATACAACGCAGCCGTGGACCTCGTCGAGGGCGGCGAGGATGATCCAAAAACTATCCTTCTCGCCCGTCTTACGCATCATGTGCTGAAGAAAAAGGTGGAGATTGGAGAAGAAGACGCTCTTAACGCCATCAACTTCGTGCTTCGATGTTTGGTTGACGAGACCCTACAGCTCGTCCTGGACGACAGGAAATACGTGGCCAAGTTCAGCAAAGTGGAGAAGCTGGGCGACTGGCAGGACGGGAAGAAGCGGTGTGGCTTTTCTGCAGAAAACGTACTCGAGGCCTCTGGATGTCGAAGGGCAACAGTCGCCATTGACCGCGCTTATGCTCTGATGGGCGTCCTGGGCGTGCGGTTTCCTACCTTTCCTGCAGAAGGCTATGCCACGGCACTGGCACGGCTGCTGGATCAGGTTATCATCACCCACAATGATGTCTCAGTTTTCAACTGGACTGGAATGGCCGCGGGGAGTCCCGTCCGCGGTCGTTCTTTATACCCATCTTCACAACAAGCTTATGGCAACCAAAAGGACCATGGCAAACATTACAACCTCCAGCTCTCTCAGGTTACTCAGGGCAAGATGGACGAGATCATGAAGACTTATGGCGAAACCATCTCCGTGCTGCGACGAGCTATTGATGCAGTCAAAGACAAGGATCAAAAGGACATTCCGTTTGACTGGATTGTTGGAGTTATTGGCGTGGTGCGGGGGTCCGACTTTCACCAGCTGAAGGAGCGTTTCATCAGCGTTGGAAAGGTCGTGGCTTATATTCTCAAGCATTGCGTGAAGAAGGTTGCTGAGAAGAGAGCGGTACCTGGAGAAGCCCCGGCCAGTGGCGGTGATGGTACCGTCCTTGAGCGCAGGGGCACAGGGCTAACAGGAGGGCTCACCAAAGGCTTCTCATTTTCATCTCTTCCTAGCCCAACAATGTCGCTGCCGAGCCCATCTCTGTCGCTCCCGAGTCCGTCGCTGTCGATATCGGGATTCAAGATCGGCATAGGAGGTTCAAAGAAGGAGGAGCCAGTTGTGGAGTCGCCCAAGAAAGCCTCCAGGCTCTCTTCGTTCACGAAGAAGTCTTCTTCTTTTGGTATCGGCAGAGCGACACCGGACCTGGCTGCTGAGTCTGCCCCATCGCCAATTGTTGAAGCCCCTCCACCGGTACCACCAACACTTCAGGCCCTCACAAACGAGAATGTCTTGTCAGATGGCCCGTCAAGGCCAGAGTGGGTGCCCTATGACTCTGAGGTCAAGGGGCACCTCGAGTATCTCTCTGCGTCGGTGGAAGACATACAAGAAAGAAATCTTCAACCAAAGGAATTGCCGAAGACCATTCTCGATGTTGACCACAAGTCAGTCCTTGCCGAGCTGGATCAGCACTCGAAGAAGGCCGATGTCAAGACTCGCCTCGGCTTCGGTTTCGACTTTGACGAGAGTAGCACGATTTGCCCGAACCCCATCATCGTCAACAACTCCGGAATAGAAAGTCTATTCGATATTCAACGAGTCATTGTCACCTTCATGGATTGCGATCGGCTGCGAGCCCGGATTGCCAAGGCTGTGACACCGAAGGACAGGATTTCGGGTTGGTGCTCGATCAGTACCGGATTTGCCAGAGTGATTTCGAGCTTCTCGTGTGAGAAGAGGCTGTTGGAGCAGGAGCTGAATGCGGTGGAGGGGATTGAAAGTCGGGTGTTGAAGGAGCAACACAAGAGCAAGGCGGAGAAGAGGTCGGCTCAAATAGGAGCTGAGGTGGTGGCATCTCCAATCAGCCCCGCAAATGGCGGGGAGACGTTGGAAAGGGGACAAGAGGAAAAGAAGGGCGACAGTTTGGTTGATATTGACAAGGAAACGGACGAGGAACGGTTGGTCAGTAGAATGATCGAGTTCATTCAGGAGCCGCAACTGGAGTTGGTGGCAGGAGAATGGTAAGTCACCCTACAAGGGGCCAACACGAGAAAAGCTAACAAATATGTCAGGGTGCTCGCTCGCTTCTCAGGAGTGCCGGGTGCCAAGTGGTTTCTTTGCCATCTCGAGCTGGGCTCCGCTCGCGGCAAATTCTATGGACACCGCATCCCCACCGGTGAGATTGATTTTACCAATTCTACGCCAGAGCCCGGTTTAGTGAAAGCGTGGCAAGTCTACATGGAGCGCAAGAAGAGCAAGATGTGCCACCTTCTTGAGCGCTATCTTAAGAGCCGGGAGAACGCAAAACATGGAGAGGCCAAGCTCAAGCAGGCGAAGAAGACTCTCGCCGACGTAGCTGCTGGGGTTATGCCAGAGGGACACAGTATGGACGACGACGACGAAGAAGGGACTGTCGTCGACAAAGACAGCGAGTCTGAAGATGAGGAATCAACTCTCTTCGATGCTGATGAAAAGGACGAGGAAGGTGGTTCGTCATGGAGAAAGTTCAAGGAACAGAGCAAGGAGGCCGCCAGGGAGCTGGGAGAGTTCACGGTGTTTTTGGCGCAAGAGAAGTTTTGGTTGTGGAGGGCAGAGAGGCTTGAGCGAAAATTGAGCACGGCGGTGTTGAAGAGAACACCGGCAATCCTAAGGACGGCTGTGGAGAATGTGAGTGACAACAAGGGGTTGTTGCCGGGAATGTATCATTCCGCTGTGGGGGTGCATATGTTTTAGTAGGGGATCAGGTCAAGGTGAAGAGGCAGGATTTTGTCTTGGATACTTGTCTAGCTTTATCTGGTGTACATCTAGACTGTCATTTCCAGGGAAATCCAACGCTGATTTCGGAAGACATACTGCCAAAAACTGAGGAATATTTCTCTCCTTATCTTCTACATTCACACCCCTCAGTCTTTCAATGAACATGAACATATAAGCGCCGACAGAAAATAAAAATCGAAAATAAACGGGCGGTAAAAATTATAGGTACTTCGGTACATCGAGCTCGTATTTTCAGGCTCTCAGGCAGAATAATCATGAAGCATAGCTCTTCGCATGTCTGGACATTTACCACTCCGATCTTTAAAGCCGCTGGATGTACCGAATCGGGGTAGTCCCGTCAGTTCAGTGCGCATGTGGACAAGCGAGAGAGACAGTAGAACAATGCAGTCCGAGTTCCCCCTCCAAGCGCAGCTGTCCGTCGGCCACTGACTGTGCGGCGGGTTGCTGTCCCGGTAGCGGGAGGGAAGAGAAAGATTGTGGAGTTGATCGACTTGACTGGAGACAGTGACTGAAAAGCATTTTTCTAGAAGATAAGCGTGGGTAGGTATCTACCTTACCTACCTTAGGTCGGTAGTATTGACAACGCATGTATTAGCAAGAGAATTTAAAAGGCTTTCTGCAGCAATCCACTCAGTGCTCGTATATAACCAAACGCCTAGTCACTCTATACAATCTGATATCCATCCCGCAACTCCGGCGGAACCTGGAAAGCCCCGTAGAATGCCACCCTTCCCTCCTCCAACCTCTTGTAGAGCCTCTCGCCTTCTAAGTCGAATCTCTGACTATCAGAGGACATCTGAACAAAGGATGAAAACCCTGCCACCTTTGCTATCTTCCCAGCATTGTTGGGCAGGTTTTCTACCACGCAAACTGGGGTGCCACTTTGACCAAGTTCCTTGAAATTACTGGGCTGGCGTACCCGGTAGAGGATTGACCTTGCAACAAGGCTTGTCCAGGAGGCTGGGTCATCTCTGGAGTCTACAGGCGCCCTGGATAGTAGTGATCTGAAGGACCTTCTGGGCCTGCCCTGTTGGTATACGCGGAAGATACCTTGGCCGACCATCTGGGTGATATTTGTCAGGCACGTAGGTAACCATGAAGATTCGAGATATAGTAATAAGACGTACCTGGCACCGACTATCAATGACCCCAATGCTTCTGGCGTCATCCTCTATCAAGTTATCGTCCAAGAGAGCAAGCTTGCTCGAATTGTACTTGATGTCTGTCCACTCATGCTGTGAAAGCCACTAGAACGACAACGATTCCGATAGCGAACGAGACCGAAATGATTTCCCCCAACTTGTGATGTCAACTAAGCTAACATCATGGGAAAAGCCCTGGGTAAAGGGCTCTCGAGGAGAAGGGTCAAAAACCTTGGCCACCTGTCCGAGCTAAATATCTCATGGTGAGTCAGGTTCTATGACAGGGTATCGAGCAAATAATCTTCTTACCCTGCTTCCGATCTTTACCGAAGTAATATGGATGTCAGATGTCCAATCAGGTCCCCTTGTACCGGTTCTAGAGGTGGCCGCCGCCATAGCGAGCGAATGTGTTAATACGGTTATGTACTTTCTCCGTATATTTGACCGCGGAGTCACAACCACTCCGATACGTCCTCGAATTCGGTCTCTCGAATTACTATCAAAAGCAGAAGCTTGTAATATACTCCCAAAAAAAACCTCTGAACCAGAAGCTCTCAGTTCCGTTATTGGCAAGCAGGCTAGTTAGTATGTCCTGGTATCCGTAGTTTGTTATGGTTATTGAAGAGCCTCCTGGCCTTGCTCTATCGGCAGTCGGGTAGAGAGACTCTCGGATGAAACTGACCTTAAGTCCACCAAAGTCAGCAGGATACTTATGTAGCTCTTCTTCGTAATCAAATTCATCCGACATAATCACTTACAACTGATGGTTAATGAGGAGATAAAAGCCGATAGCATCTTCGAACATACTCAGAATCTCGTCGATAGTGTCGTTAGACAGCGGCTTGATCGGCGAGATGAGCTTAGGGTGCGGATCCGGAGGTTGTGACTTCAAGGGTAAAAGTAGATAATAAAATCGCACTGGAATAACAACGGGGAGTTCATCCACCGTAAGTAGTATTTGTGCCGGTTTACCGCCAACAGTCTCCGGCGGCGTACACGTCCAGCACCGGTCTCCAGGATCCCAACCATGCAGCTCGAAATCTTCGCTTAGCGCCACCGGCAGCTGTAGGCTGAGGTGTTCAACCATTTGAGCCAGAGTCTCCACTATTGCATCCTCCTTCCTTTTCATGTCACCTTTATAGGCGTCTGAGGTCGGACTTTTTCCTCTAACTTTAGGGCGTCGTCGGTCAGGGGAAGGACTTATACGCCGTCGGCCAGGGGAAGGACTCATACCCCATCGGTCAAGGGAAGGGCTCCTATTATCTAGTGCCCACTCGAAAGCTGCCAGGTTTTCGGTGCCTCCGGTGGTGCTTTTAATTATATCTCCAGCCTAGTCTTTCGCTTTCTGGTCTTTATTATGGTCGCGCTATAGTGAGCTTTGGACACCAGATATAGTAGGAGTTTGCGGCCGACTCAGCGGTGGTGATGCCCGGCTTAAGTTGGTAAGCTATGGATGTGACAAGCATTGCTCGATCGAGAACCGGTCCATGGGTATGACTTCCAACATGGATTTGACCAGATCCACTAAGACTGTGAGTGCCGAGCTTAAAACAGAGAGCGGCCAAAAGAAAAGGGCCGTAACTTACAGGCGGGATTGAATGGACTTTATAGAACCTTTCGGTTCCAGCAGTATCGAACCGTGAGACTTAAAGGATCATCATCATAATCAAAGGGTCGGAAGCCGTAGAGGCACATATACAAGACCACCCCCAGCGACCAAATATCGACGCCCTTTCCATATTATCTACCCTCCAAGATTTCCGGCGAAGTATAATAGCCAGGTGTTCCGCCACTATCTGTCAGATATCGGTGACGTGGTAAATGCGTGGCCAGGCCAAATCCTCCGAGTTTAACTTACAGGTTGTTGTTGACAACCAGGATACTTTCAGGCTTAATATCACGATAAACAATATTTCGTTGGTGCTAAGGTGGGGCCGTTGTAAGCTTCCCTCCTAAACGAAAAAAGAAAAGGCACCCCATAATTATACTTACAAGATAATGAAGAGTATCAACTAGTTATTGAAACACATAACGCGACTCTTACTTGGAGAGTTTTTTGCGTTTTATTAGGTTTAAGAGCTCGCCTTCTGGTGCCAGCTCCAAGATATAGGTCATAGAAGAAGAGCCTTCTTAAAATATCTCCATCATTTCGACGATGCTGGGGTAATAAATACCCATTAAAATCTCATCACGCACACAGTCGTGAGCCCTGGTGGGACGCACAATCTTTGCCGCGAATAGTCGACCGCTATGACGTTCTCGACACACATAGGTATTTACTCCCGCGGGGCCATGGTGTAGAAGCTTTTCCAGTGAATATTTCTCACGGAAAGAGGGATGAGGGGCATTGAAAGCGAAATGAGGGGCATCGATAGCGGGATGAAAGTAGCGGCCCACTTTCCGAAAGACGAGGTCGAAGCCAGTAGCGACTGAGATTCTATCTCTATCTTAGAGGAAATTTTGGGCATATGATTCAACCAGACGCCCGTTCAGAGAGGTGCCATTAGTAGACAAGTCCAGAAGGACAGCTTTAGTCTTTTCGCTCCACCCGCTATAAGATCGAAGCCGATAAATCATAAGGTATCTAGGAGAGGCGTACTCTCCTTCTATAACAATGTCTGTAGATCATAAGGTTGGCATTTCAGTACTTGAATTGAGCGGAAAGAATAGGAGTGATAATTTATACCGCACTCTGGGTCAGTTCCCACCAAAAATCCCCTGTCGCGAGTGGTCTCTCCGTCCTCATTGTAAACAGTCTGCAAGTAAAATTTCTCTCCTCTAACGACGCGGATAAGGATGCCCCAAGGCAAGGGTATCTTCTTCGAACGCGAGGGTGTGTTCTCCGATGGGCCTGGGGATTCAAAGTCGTATGTGTGTGTATGTGTGACTTGTGTGTGTGTGTGTGTGTGACTTGTGTGTGTGTGTGTGTGACTTGGGAACGGTCATCTTCCGCATTTTCTCTCCGCCGAAAGAGGATGCCTGCTGCTGCCACGACGCCTGCTGCCAACAAAAAGGCTTCCATCGTGATGAAGGCAGCGAAGAGAGTGCACCGGGCAGGTAGTAAGGAAGTCGCCGGATATATGGTACAATGACACAAATATTTCAAGCGCGCAAATATTTCTCATAGAATCAGTATTATGACTTTCCCTTTTGCATAGGTATCTAAGTTGAGGTGTCAGACTAAGGATATTAGATAAGGGATTTGTCGGATGTGCTAAAATTTGATAGCTGCCTAAAAGTAGTTAAAGCGGCTAAAGGATCTCAGCTCTGTAGCGCAGCAAGAACTCGTTGTGTTGGCGTGCGTGTGTGTGTGTCCCATTTAGCGCCGAAGGCGGTGTTGGCACACCTGAGGAGGGTAAAATTAGGTAGAGAGATTGCGATATTTTCTAAGGCCTACCATCTTTTCTTATAGCAGTACTTAACGGCAATACCTCGCCGCCGGATACCTAACTACCTAGGTATCTTCTCAAATATCAGCTGTAAGTAGCAGTCTCCTCTTATTTACATCTTGACATCAAATAATAGTAAATTCGAAACAGTCTCAGTCATTGACGAAGTAACGATGAACTGTCCAAACTCAGCTCTGCGAACCAGCATGTTGAACGTACTAGGGTGCCAAAATACCGCCAGCACAACCTGTGCTCCGTATCTGGATTATATCGAGGCTTCGTGGCCAGGTCGCCGTGGAAGAGATGATTATATTCGCTTCTGCATCGAAGTAGTCACAGCTTTCGGTAACGCGCCGTTCCCACCAGTCCAGGAATATATCAATAGCTTGATCGCGGTGCCTAGACACTATTACTTCGACGATACTTTACCAAACTCGCCACCCAGAGCTACCGCGGTGAAGGAGATCGTCCTCATCATCCTTGGAGTCTGGTTGCTGATGCAGCCATACACCACTCCGGCACACGACGATAAGCGTTGCATTATAAAAGCCTACTATGTTCGACAGAAGTTGACGCCCTACAATGAAGACACTGCTCTTTCCAACCATCTTCCCGACCACGTAGCCAAAAGCGGCCTCTTGCCAAATCCCCATGAAGTCACCCTCTCCAACAGCAGCCTCTCATTAGCCGACACCACACCTCGACCCGAAACCTCCCTTCATTTGCACACCTACTTCGGCATAAATGAGTCCCTCTCAATCACCCCCAAACGCCTCAACGCTGTCAAGCTCTCCACCCTCGGCGGAGTCAAATTCACCTAGACAAACAACATCTCCCGCCACCTCCTCCTCACCCGCCACGCAGGGGAACGACACACTCTCGAACTCTTCGCCTTACCTTATGCCCTCCAAGGCGGCAACAGAAACGCTCTGATCAACACGGGCATCATCCCAGCCGAACTCGTCGACGAAATCGAAGCCTCGTATGCCGTGCTCTTCAACCCGGCCAAAGCCTCCTATCTCCACTGCACCATCGGACGATGGGCTTGTGGTCTTCGATACTTGTGTTAGTTTCTAGACTGCAGCTCCTATCGATTACGCAAAACCACCCTCGAAGCTCTGAAGAGACGACAAAACCGGACTAACCGCGCTGGACAGTACGATCCCCGGCTGGAGACATTGCTAGAGGGAGGGCACGCCACAGAGTGGCAGCTGGAATGGGACCAAACAGAGTTCAAATCCCTTTGGCCTCGCATTCTGGCGCTAGATGCCCATCTGGAAGAGTCTAAGCCATAGAGCTTTTAGGTCATCTTTAGGGATCGGAGGGACACGGTGCAGTATTGGACCTTCTTGTAAATGTGCTCTTGCCTTACTTTGGACGGATGAGCCTATTTGCTGATATAAACTGTCTACTATAACACAGATTCGGCAGCATCATCCTGATGTTGACTGTCATTCAGGTCATACTCGGAGCTGCGCAAGTAGCGGGGTCCTTTCCCCCTGTTGCAGGAGATTAGGTATTGATGCAACGAGCTCTGAGGTTTTTTTTTCTGCTCGATTGACGGTCCAGACTAGGTACCTAATAAGTGTACGGACCAGCGGGGTGGTACGCAAGTGGCTGTCACTACCAAAATATATACTACTGAAGCGTGTGATGGCAGCCACTGCCATCACCATATATATGCCAGTGGAGCGAGCAATACCGGAAAGTATTGCTCGCTTATAGCTTTTGATAGCAATCAAAGTGGGTTTGGAGCTTTTAAATCGCAATTACGGTGGATGGGAAAAGAAGATGTCCACCATCCCCTCACCGGATTATACCTAGGTACCTAGCTATCACACTAACCTTCTCTAGATCCGAGATGCCAGCATAGTCAAGATAATTACCTATCCAACCACTCTCCCCTTCCCTCGTTGATCCAAATCTTTATGTCCACTCACTCCACGAAGAACCATCCCGATAAAGCAGCCCATCCGTCTCAAACTGCGGGCCCTCGGCATCGATGATGAGTCCGGCCTCGCAACGCTCAAAGCGGACCTTCTTCTGCTGCTTGATGTAGAAGTCGTCAAAGCGCTGGTTGAGCGCGTCCTTCAAGTTGTCGACGTTGCCCGCTGGGTGTAGCGCGCGCCAGGGCTCAACGCAGGTCTTCTGCTTGCACGACTTAAGGACGAAAAGCAGCGCGTCGAGGCGCGCAACCACGGCCTCGAAGGGCCGGCCCAGGATGGTCTTGGGAGGTTTGGCGGTGGGGTGAAGAAGGTTGGTCATTTGGTAGGGGTCCGTCTGGAGAACATTTTAGCAATCTGTCCAAGAGGGGCGGGCAAAAGGAATAGTAAAGAGGGGAACGGGGCGTAGGGAGAGATTAGCATCTGAATCTCACCTTCATGTCGTACAGCTCGTGCTCATTGTTACACCAGATGGAATAGTAGAAGTTGTAGTCGTTCTTCTTAACGTCGATGACGCGCAGCGACTTGTAAGTATTGTTAAGAACGACGTCGGTCTCACCACCGCGGAACACGACGCCACCCTCCATGTAGGCCATGCCCCAGAACTCGACCGTAACGTGCTCCTGGCGTTTGTTCACGGCCTTTTTCTGCTCAGGCTTTGTTAGCGGGATGGCAGCGCCGTCAAAATCGTCGCGCAACGGGATGCCAGCCAGCTGCATAATGGTCGGGGCCAGATCGACGTGGGCAGTAACGACGTTAGATACCTCGCCCTTAGGGACGCCGGGTCCGCGGATGATCAGCGGCACGTTGATATCTTCCTCGTAGCCGCACATCTTTCCGGGCTGCATGCGGTGCTGCCCGATGTGGAAGCCGTTATCACTAGTGTAAATGATATACGTATTATCCAGCAGTTTTGCCGCCTCGAGCCGCTTGATAACGTCGTCGACCAGCTCGTCGACCGACTGCAGTGAGCGGAGGCGCTCGCGGTAGTAGTGATCGTTGTACTCGACGACGTCGTCATCCTGCTTTCGCAGGCCGCGCACCCAGCTACCGCCTGACTCGACGTCTGGGTTGAAGTTGGGCGTACGGGGGACCTGGGCATCGGGAAAGAGGTGGGCATGCTTGTCTAGGGGGATGGGAGGACCCCAGTGGCGCACATCGTTCTCATCGATGTACATGTTGGAATGCGGGGCGATGGGCGCGATGCCGATGAAGAAAGGCTTGTCCGGATTGGAAATAGCGTCGTCGAGGAAGCCAAGTGCCTTTTCCGAGATAAGGGTCTGCGTATTGATGCCATCGTAAGCAACGGGGGGTTCACGGTTGCGCTGGTACCACGGGGTCATGTAGGCATACGTGAACGGGTCGAGCAGGAAGTCAGACCCGGTCCAGCCAGCAGGGAATGGTTTGTCGTAGTTGTCTACCGAATGGGAGTTGAAGAGCTTGCCCGTATAGTAGGTATCGTAGCCGGCCTCCTGTAGCCACACAGGCAGCCAGTTCTCATTGAGACCCTGGTCAACGAACTTAGGATAACCACCTACTTGCTTGTTAGCTTCCTTTTCTTGAAGGTCAAGGTGGCGACGCCTCGGCAAGTTCAACAATAAGGAACATCAACTTACCCCAGGGGGGGAGCACGTCGGTAACATTGGTGTTATGGGCGAGCTTGCCGGTCCATAGCGTGACTCTTGAAGGGCAGCATTGCGATGTAGTGCAGTAGTGCCGCTTGTAGGAAGTGCCCTTGTCAGTGAGGTGCTTCTTGATCAGGGGAACGTAGTCCATGGACTGCAGGTGCAGGTCCTGGTCATCCGTCAGGACGAAGACAATGTTGGGCTTCTTGGCCAGGACGGCAGACAGCTGCAGCCATGTTGCGAGGATAGATGCCGTCAACCGCATGGTGGGCTACGGCTGCTGCGTTCTCTGGGTGATAAGAGTGGGTGAAGGGATGGTGGACATCAACATCTTCTGCTCCGTCTTGGTTGCGGTTGCCCCTTTTATCTTAAAGACTTACTTTCCACGATTGTCATCCCCGATGCCCAGGTACCTCTGATCTTTCCAATATTGAGTCTTGTTTTCTCTGATCCCCACTCTCCACCTGGATCCTTCAAGATCCTTCAAGTTCTCATAAGGTAAGTACGGCTCTAAGGAAAATAGTAACCGTGAGGCCCCACGAATCTACATCTTAAGCACTTGGTGTTTGTGTCGCTTCTCCCGGCGATCGGCAATCGAGTCGGCAGCAGGCCGACGTCGCAAGGACCCTTTTTCTTCGTGGAACCGTGAAACTGGGTCAGCCGCCCCCGCACCACGCATGCCATGCAGTGACGTGCCAATCCTCCACGCCTGCAGCAGAAGCCGGCGTTGTTGGCTTTCTCGATATCTAGCTTGTCCTAAGCACTTTAAAATTGGATATTGGGGTCTCTTCGTATTCACATATCTCCTCATCCCGGCAAAGCTCACTTTCCCTGACAAACTAGTCCTTCAGGTTCTTTTGAACAACTGGATCGGCAGCTGTCAGAAGTGTCAGGCTCAACGCCTACGAGAACTCCGGACGGCGGAGTGGGGCGAAACCAAACAACAAGCTCTCACCTTCAACCCTCCATCCCAGTCCTCCCTCACCTAACCCCGCACCCTCCCCTCAGCCTCCACTCATAGCATGTCCTTAGTTCCCTCCCACCTCCACCGCCCTCTCCCACCCCCATCCGCATCTCTCAACGCAGCGATCCACTACATCTCAACCAGGGGGATAGAAAACCGTTAACATACCGTGGGTCGACCAGCTGTGCATCCTCCGAAACGGCAATGACGAGAGAACCTGACACCTCTTATATCACACTTTTGCACTGGACTTGCACGGCAGTCGTGGGTGTCCATCAGAAAGCGTGTGATAGTATAGGTACTCAGCCTAAGGGGAACCTTGGTCTGTTGGGTTGATGACCGCCCTGAAGTCATTGCCGTCCTAAGCCAACTACAGTCCAAAGTTTGCCAGGAATTGGCTTCCACGTACCATGGCATCTCTACTTCAACAGCGGGTATAGGAGACCACCTATCTAGCGTATGCATCACACGGTTCAACACATCTCTACAGTTCGTATTAGGAAGTAGAGTATAAACTTTGTAACGTATTTGATAAGCGAGCGGATCGGACAAGCGAGTGGATCGATTTCGTACGCGATATAGCTCTCTACCTGCAACATCGATTTCCTCCACCATACCAAGATGTCTTCGATTCTAGTTGAAGCAAAAGTTATTCTTGCACTCGAAGCCCTTAAAAATGACCCTAAGCTAAGCCTCAAAGCTGCAGCGAGGCTCTATTCTGTGCCTTATACTACCCTCCATCGCCGGCGCGCTGGTAAGCCTGCACGACGCGATATTCCAGCCAACTCACGCAATTTAACGGATCTGGAGGAGAAGACGATAGTTCAGTACGTTCTTGAGCTATCTGCACGCGCATTCCCACCTAGATTAAGTGGCGTGGAAGATATGGCTAACTAACTGCTGCGCGTACGCGACGCGCCCCCTGTTGGTCAACGCTGGGCACACAACTTCGTTAAACGCCAGCTACAGCTCCGTACGCGTTTTACGCGTAGATACGACTACCAGAGGGCCAAGTGCGAGGATCCGAAGGTTATTGCCGAGTGGTTTACGCTCGTACGGAATACTAAGGCCAAATACGGTATTGTAGATAACGATATTTATAACTTCGACGAGACTGGGTTTATGATGGGCATTATTTTCGTAGGTATGGTGGTTATAACCTCGGACGGCCTTAGTAAGGTAAAACTGGCCTAGCCTGGTAACCGCGAGTGGGCAACGGTAATCTAGGGAGTCAATGCCCTCGGCTAGGCTATCCCGCCCTTTATTATCTTAGCCGTATAGTACCACCTTACCAACTAGTATACCAAGTGCAATTTACCGTTTACCTGGCGCATCGCAACTACCGATAATGGCTGGATTACTAATCCGGTAGGCCTAGATTGGATTAAGTATTTCGACTATCATATAGCGTCCCGTACGAAGGGCAAATACCGGTTGTTGATCCTCGATGGCTACGAAAGCCACCACTTAACTGAATTCGAGCGCCACTGCTAGCAGAACAATATTATTACGCTCTGCATGCCTCCACACTCCTCCCACCTCCTCCAGCCACTCGATATTGGCTGCTTTGGGCCGCTAAAACAGGCGTACGGCCGCCAGATCGAGGGCTTGATGCGCATGCATATCAACCACGTAAGTAAGTTCGAGTTTCTCTGTGCCTTCCGCGAGGCTTTTTTCGCCTCTATAACGGAGAAGAATATACAGGGTAGCTTTGCGGGTGCTGGCCTTATACCATACGATCCAGAGAGGGTACTTTCTAAGCTAGATATAAAGCTTCGTACGCCTACACCCCCATCCTCAAGGCCGGGCACGGCACTACCTTAGGTATTCCAGACACCACAAAACCCCCGAGAAGCCAACTTATAGTTAACGCTTATTAAGACTCGCATTACTAACCATTAAAATAGCTCCCCGACTTTAATGTTAGCTGCGGTAGACCAGCTTATTAAAGGTATAATGGCTGTAATGCACTAAGTGGCTCTCCTTTAGTTAGAGGTATCTTCGCTCCGTAAGGCGAACGAGGCACTAAGTAAGCGCCGGAGAGCAAAAAAAACACGCGTACAGCTTGGAGGATCACTTATTGTGCAAGATGCACAGGATCTACTGGACCAGAAGGCTGTGGGTGGAGAGGTGGCGCAAGGAAAGGAGCAGGGTGGTGGTAGTGTAGGGGGAGGGCGTACGAAGGTTCAGTGCTGTGGTGTGTGCGGCAAGCCTGGCCATAATATCCGTACGTGCCAGGAGGTTGCAGAAGAGTCTGATTCAGCTGTTTCTGATGTAATTGTAGTAGGTTAATAGTGTTGTTGTTTTGCAATTGAGGATGGTTGTAATAGGGTAGTGGAAATCGATCCACTCGCTTGTCCGATCCGCTCGCTTATCAAATACGTTAAATATTTATAAGTTCCGGTATAAAATTTATGCCTACTATAGCGGATCTTAACTTAAGCTCAGCTGAAAATTCGCTATGATAACCCTACACTAAACCATAAAAACAGAATCCCGAGGCAAACAACTAAGAATGCTCCCAAATCTTAAACGAAAATGGACTCCCCTTTGGCCTCGCCCTCCCCGGCCCAAACATCTCCCTCCTCGTCCTTTCCAACACCTCAGGAGGCGCAAACCCATAATACACCTTCCCATTCCCCACCGTCCCACCCTCCGTCGAACTAGTATCAGCCCTTCTCACCCCAACCCCGATCCTCAGCGTACCTACGCTCTCCCGGTCTAAAATAATCCCATACCCCAGCTTCGTCTCCTTAATCTCCTACAGTACTTCGCCCCACTTACTCGTCTTCCACGGCAGCTCCTCCAAGCACAGCACTCTCGTGGCTGCAATCACAGAAGAGACTTTCACGTCCCTAACGTAGTAGTTGTTTTGCGCCAGAGCCCCGGTTCCCAAGCCAACGCAGACGATGGTGGCTAGGATGGCGATTAAATATACTATCCACAGGTCCCGCTGGACGTACATATAAAAGTTGGCGATACAGATCTTAACGCAGGGATATTTCGGGCTAGTATCGTCCTCGGGCTTCTCAAAAGCCGTCACTCCCGAGCGCGTCTCTAGTTCGCCGGCTTATAATACTATTATAAACTGCGGGTTAGAGAGCAGCAAGAGGGTGATATTCTTGTAGAATATCTGAACAACTTCTATAAGATTTAAGACCGCGAGATAAGTCGCTTTATTAATAAGCCGAGTCTAGGTAGTATCGGTTATAAGATTGGGAAACGGGATATAGTAGATCTTCCCTTTCAGAAACTATCGAAAACCAAGACCAAAAGCATAGTAGACAACTATTAAACGATAGTTCTCGTAGTCGGGGTATAGGAGAATGAAATTACTTTTTAGCTCAGCGATAATTATATCTTTAGTACCGTTAAAAATAGTACTATTAGCAGTTTCCCGTATAATATCTGTTTGCTGCGTTGCCCTATAGGTCTGTAATACAGAGCCTACAGGGGAGCTACAGCGAACTATGCGCTTGTAGCAGTGCGTAGCGGAAGTGAGAGAAAGGATACGACAGCAGTGCTGAAGGAAGCAAGACCACTGTTATTACAGTGAGCAAGACGTCACAGTACAGAGGCTTTGAGTGCTTGTACTTAGTCTAATACAGAGGCTTTTGGTGCATGTATATTATTGACTTGTATTCTTGCTTGCTTACTTGCTTATTCTACATACAGGGCGAGGAGAGGTCTACTTATACAAGTGTGCTGGTCTTTATATCCCGTGGTTAATAGGTACGCTGTGTGGTGGGCAAGTAAAACGTCTGCAGCTATACCCCACGAGCAAAACCAGAGGTTTTAGAGGAGATTCGGTATGCATGAAGATTGAGAGTTTGAGGTAGGTATTTTGTGGCTTCAGCCTGGTACTTTCAGCTGTGCTTTTTCTTTTGCTCTGTCCTACGTACCATCCCTTTGATACCGAGCTAAGGTACCTACGACGAACTTGATTGTCTGCTTCACTTCCAACCACTGGCTCTCGACGTGCAGATAGTAGTTGGGCCGTGTTGTGGCTGGTTCAGGTGGGTTCCAGGTTGTTGACGTGTGAGATAAGCGTTGCCAGTGTACATTACTCGGATTCTGTCTCCAAGCTCTCGGCTCTTCTCCATGGTTGAACCTTCGACCCCAATTCATTGAAAGTGCATAAGTCATGTATCTAGGTACTGGGTTCTGGTTGATGACTGAACCCGGCTCAAGTGGGCTTGTTTGGGTTGCTGACTGGTGACCGCCTCGCACCACAGAAAACACAGGAAAAGCTCAACAATTGCAAGCGTGAATGTCATGAATTCTCAAACACGCTACCCCACATACGGTCTTTGAGCCTGGTGCGGGGATGCGGGGTAGATGCGGAGAATTGCGGGGTCAATGGGACAGAATTTCGGAGAACATCACAAGGTGAACCACTCTTCGGATTGCTCCTTCATGCCTACTACCTACATGGAACATGGAAATCAGATGTGTTTAGCAGTTGGATCGTTCAATACTCCTCCAACCTACCGTTTTGCTGTCCTAGTCAGCCAAGCGATTCACCAGCCATCAGGCTCTCCATGCTCCAGCTACCATGAGAGAAATGAGCGACCCACTTCAGGTGTCAACAACACCCTGCCATGTCTCGCCAAATGACAGCCTCACAAGATATCTTCGACATCAGTTCGGGTCCTTTCTCACCACTTTCAGATGGCGTCACAATATCCCTACCGCCCGCTCAACCTGCCTCATGAAACACGTATCTTGACCGTTTTTGGTGGTCGCTACAATGACCCCCTTATGGCTAGCATATCGCACATGTCTCTGTCTGAGCCAAACGATAAGCCCTACGATGCTCTCAGCTACTGCTGGAGTCGTGGCGTGAACCTTACCAGAACATCGCCCATGGACGACGTCATCACCACCGCGGTAGTTGGCCAGGATGAAAGCGGCTCTGAGATCAGCATGAGTGACGCTTTGCCTTTGGCCGAGATGCTCGACCATCCTGTCTACGGCCAGTTTCACCTTGAGTTGGGCGGCGTGCTCCCACCGGGCCCCATCATGATCGATGACACACGTGTCATGGTGGGCGGAGAGCTTCATCGAGCACTGAGAACCATGAGACTTCAGGACGGGGATCTGAGAATATGGGTGGATGCCGTATGTATTGACCAGCAAAACACTGATGAGCGGAGTAAACACGTCAGAGTCATGAGCGAGATCTACGCCGGCGCCGAGACAGTCAGGGTGTGGCTGGGAGAAGATTCAGGTTCCTACGTCATGCCCTTCCTAAACACCATCTATCTCATGACCGATATTGTGATAGACATCGGAGCACCAGATGAAATGGATAGCTTGGCTGGCGCCCTGCATGATGTCCAAGGGAGATTTCTCCGCCATCCACGATCCCGAGAACTGGACTGGGACATGATTGCGGAATTCTTCAACCGGTCCTGGGTATGTTGAGACCTGAATCCAACCTGGAAGTCAACGGACCCCGTAACTGACCAGAATAGTGGCACCGCACATGGGTAATGCAAGAGATAGCCTATGCCCGTCAGGCAATGTTGTACGCGGGAAGGAACGCCTTTGGTTGGGACTTTTTTGTCCCCGTCATCAGAGTTCTCAAGTCCTTCAAGCTGGACAGCCTGATGAATGGGCACTGGGGATGGAAGGCAGTAAGCATCATGAGCAATCTGAGAGACGAGCAGCAGTTGGCACTCGATGACGCGTCGTATGAACCGTGCGACGTGCTTGAAGTGCTCGAGGAAATGCGGGGCTTCCAGAGCACACTACCTGTGGACAAAATCTACGGCGTGCTCAACTTGACAGACCACAAAGATAAAATCGTGGTGGACTACAACAAGCCCCCCGAGAAGGTATTCACCGAGCTCGCCGTTAGCTTCCTTGAAGCTGGGACCCTTGAGATTCTGTCTCACTGCGTTACAATCTCTGATAACAAACCCTCCAACCTGGACTTGCCCTCGTGGGTTCCAGACTGGACAAGACCAGGCTATGTCGAGCCTTTCTGTATCCGTCAGTTGGAGGCGAACGCCTGTGGTACGTCTCATGACGAAGCCATCTACCGCATATCACCAGATCAAAAGGTACTGCATATCAAAGGGCGAGTGTTGGACCGCATCGCCATCATCGACACGGTGAGGCAGATCCCTCCACCCGGCGCAGCAAGATACGACCGCGGCTGGAAGGGCAAGAGCGAAGAATTCCCCGCCAACGCGTCTGCTTCTGTCCAAGAACGCAACGACATGTACAAAAACCTCGATGAGACAGACACACGCCGTTCAGTGACCAGTATTGCCAATATCGCTCTCAAGCCAGCCGCTGAAGTGACAGTGGCGGAGCACCAAGCCCAACTGGAGTCTTTGGCGAGAACCTTCATGTGCAACCGGACGAGAGAGAACGAGCTGCCGTCAGGAGAGTTTGCCAAGGGCTTGGAGCTTTTGATTGCACTGTGTGAAGATGACGGGGAGGAGTCGCTGAGGAGTCTGGTGCGGGAGCAGGTGAAACACCAGGTTAATTGTCTCAATGCCATGACACTGGGAGAGGGTCTTGCATATGCTGAGCGGTTGGAAGAAGGGTACTGGATGGTGCAAGGGTCGTTTTCCAAGTGGTGCTACAATAGGAGATTCTTCGTGACAGAAAAAGGACGGTATGGGTGGGGCGTCGAGGCAGTTCAGCCAGGGGATATAGTGGCGGTTCTGTATGGAGGTGACTACCCTTTTGTTTTGAGAGAGGATGGTATTGAGACGGGCAAATATCGGATCATGGGTGATGGGTATCTGAATGGGTTCATGGATGGAGAGGGCATGGCAAAGGAGTTTGCTGATGGTCACCAAGAGTTTACCATTGTCTAACCCAACTTTTGTCGTGTGAAGCTTCGAAGAAACGTACTTGATTTAAAAAGTCCAAGGACCCAAATGTTTGTTTGTACATGATCCAACTAAAAGTCTACCCTTCGTCGTGCCGCCGGTTTGTTGCCCAACTCCTATCAAAACGCCAATTTCCAAACTCCAAATGGTGGAATCCCAAGTCATTGTAACGTGTATCGTCAGTCGTAAATATTTCATTGCTCGGTTGATCCTGTCAACGGGGGTTGGCGATGCCGGTATCAGCATGTTCCGTTCGCACAGCAAGCCGGGCCACGACAGCGGCTTTCGTTGCAGACCTGTGCGATGGCTATCAGTATGTAATTCCAACCTTGATCCATATCTTCCCCCATGAAGTCGCTTTGCACTTACACAGAGGGCCCGCTCTTGAAGCTTCTCCATTGTCATCTCCGGTGCTGCTGCTACCAGGGCGCAGACTGTAACAAGAAGGCAGCAGAATGAAAGTCGCATGCCGCCTGTATCTTGTCGTATTAACAAGAGAATTATGTTTCGGTAGATGAAGCAGATGAAAGAAGCCAGAAGGCAAAAGCTGCAAGAAAACAGGGGACCCGTGACGCAAGACAGTCTCAACATCAACATAAGACCCGTGGTAGGTACCCAGATAAAACTCTGGAGACATTGGCACAACAATATGCCCGGAAGAAAAGACATATTGCAGTTAAAGAATGACGGCCAAAACATCTGACGTGTACGCCTCAACCAGACTGGCAGTTCAGGAGAGTGTAGTAGCCGCCGAGCTCTTGGTCGTGCCTCTAAATCCAGCCGGGCTGGCCGCATACGGCCGGCCGGCGATCCTCAGGCTCTCCCGCTCCCCAGCGATGACAACCACTGGGAAGGCTGCAAAACAACGCCAAGAGCATTTTCCAAAACCATACTTCCGCAACCCAGTCCCATTTTGAGTGTGTCAAATCTCTTTCAGTCGACTTTTCATGACGAGACTCGCAGAGCTGGCACAGCCCTGTGAAGAAAGCGCTTCCATCACAGCTGAAACCTGTCAGGCCTTCCTTCCAATCCATGAGTCCATGACCAGCCATCCACGTGACGCAGAGAGAGAGAGAAGGAGGAATGCGGACCTGATGTCGGAACGCTCGCAAGTTCCATGCGTTCTTTCCCTTGGCTGTGTAACGCGAATGACACCACGGATATTTCCCCTCTTTAACTCCGAACCGGAGTCTACGGGAGGCTTTTTGGGTATATCATCTTTTCAACCTCACACTATTGAACCTCAAGGTCACGTAAAGTTGACCTCCATCTACCACCCACAATGGCAGCGGCATTCGTCAAGGCGGCTAATGCCAAGATCAGGTCCCATCCCTGGACCGACTACTTTTGCTCGACGCGTAAGTCTCTCCAAGGAAGGCACCTTAGGTAGCCGGTCAATATCGAAACTGACAGGCTCCGATGCGCGCAGATTTCTGGGGGCCGGCTTCCAACTTCACTATCCCTCTCGCGGCCATAGCCGATACGCAGAAAAGCCCTGATTTGTGAGTGTTCGGCTTACTTCCTCACTCATAATGGTAGCAGCAAAAACATGTTAACAAAGATGGCAGAATATCCGGCAAGATGACCTGCGCCCTCATCGTCTACGCCTTCACTTTCATGCGCTTCTCGCTGGCTGTCAGGCCGCCCAATGGTCTCTTGTTCGGCTGCCACACGGTGAATGCCGCCGCGCAAAGCGTGCAAGGCTACCGCTTCATGGATTGGCATTACTGGGGAGGGAAGGAGAAGAAGCTGCTTGCCGAGAAGGAGGCGCCTGCCAAGGGGAAGCCCGTCCAGATTGCCCCTGCTCTGGCGGAGAAACAGGTTAAAGATGGGGGCCATGTGGGCAAGAAATAGAAGAGGTACGGTTGGCGTCGAGGTTGGAGGTTGTAAAGAGGAGCGGTTTAGGGGGCCTAAAAACGGGACCCTCTCTATCCAGCCCCATTTTCGTCCCCGTAAGAGAGGGAGGCTCCGAATTTGGACTATGAGAGCGTCGCGTAAAGTTGGCTTTTTTGTAGAATGGTGAGCGTAGAGTGAGCGGTGGTGAGCTAAAGGTGAGTCGAAGGTGAGCCGAGGGTGAAGCGAGCCTGATTCTGGGCTAGCCGTTCTTGGATGAGACAAAAAGGTTTTTAGAGACTGACTACCTGAGTAATCATTACCCCAAATTCGAACGTAAGCTGATCATGATTCTCAACAGTACTTGATTCAAACGAACTCGACATTATCAAATTGTTGGGGGAATCACAGCCTGGTCGTGGCTATGAAGCGCAACCCAGCCTTCAACCACTACAAACGCAGATAATGAATATGTCTGTCCAACCTTCTGGAGTTAGTCCCCCGATAGACTGGGTTACAGAGAACTTCGGTTTTCAACATGTATTTCCGAGAGGCAGCCCTCGAATATGTCTGCAATTGCACAAGGAAGCGTTCAACAAAGTATTAACCCTTCAGGAGCGGATCAACTTGAAGGCCACGAGAACCCGGTGTCTGTGTTGTCCCAGATCGAATAGCTAGGGGAAGACCATTCTGCAACCTTGGCTTCTGCTGGAGCAGGCAACGATATCCTTTCAAATGCACCTACATTGTAAGTTACCATCTACCGTCCACCAACGCGTGTTTAACCATGTACTTTAGGTCTACCGAAGAACAGAGTCTCGTGTGTCCTGTCCCAGGGTGCCCCCAAGCCAACAAACTCTTCACTCGGCGGTCGCCTTTGAAGAGGCACATGGAAAACAGACACAAGCCTTCTCCCACAGCAAAGAGTTTCGAGTGCCCATACCCAAATTGCAAGCGCGTAGGTAAAAGATCAGCATTTGGTAGTAAAGATGGGCTCGAACGGTATCTTCTCAACTGCAAGCTTCACCCCCCAAGGGTCTCATCTAGTAAGTCAGGTGCCTCCTCTGCGTCACTTGGAGCATTGATATCACGTGGGGGCTCAAGTGAGGTGGTCAGCCGCAGCGTTTCGAAGCAGAAGGCAAAAGTTGAGGATTGGAAGCAAGAGCACAGGAGGCGGCTGGCAGCTCTTGAAGAGAGGGAGGGGGAGTGTCGGGAGGAAAGAGCAAGGTTGGAGGAGTTCGGGTGTCGGATTCGGGAGTTGGATGATGAATAGTTGAAGGAAGGTTCGACTTGTTTGGAGTTTGACACCACCTGACCTGTTGACTGGGGATTGGCCCTGTGGGCGGGTTTGGTGCACAGGCAGGGGCAGCCTTGCGCATCCCAAGAACTCCAGGTGTAGGTGGTGGTATGGCCTATTTGAGAGGTCTCATTCCACACAGCTGCACATGGGAAACCGGGAAGCCCATCGCCAGATATGATTCTGGTTAAAAGCTGGGAAAGTCCAGGAGGCCTTGTTAGCAGTACTTTCCTTTTCGTGACTTTGCACATGTCTTTTTCATCAACCCCCTCTTCTTGTGACTCTGGGGATTCGTCGAGGATTCATATGGCAGTTTCTTATCAATAGTCTCATCGCTTGTTTTGCAGCATTACATCAAAAGATCTGTGTAGATCTTTCTGTGCGAAACGGACCTCTCTCTTTCATCAAACTTACTGTACCACTCATCGCAGTTGTCACGTTATAGCAGACATATTGGACCACCCACGCTTTACGAGCACATGAGTGAACGTTTTTCCTGCCGCTGGCGCGGTTGCGAATCTTCCACTCGTCCAGGAGTCTTCTTCACCGATTCATATCGACATGATCACGAGAAGAGGTGCAAACACAGACCGGTAGCCCTACCGCAACCACAAGCGCAACAGAACAACGCGATCGCACCTACAGCGGGAGTTCCAACGCTACAAGAGCAGATAATTGCGGATACAAGGGGCAGGTTCAGAGCTTTCAACCGTCGTCTAGAGAAGCAGTATGACAACAAGAATGTGAGAGAGGACTCAGAGGAGGAAGGATGGCATGCAGTCGCACGTCTTGAGGAGCGGCGTGGGAATCTCAAAGTGAAGCCTAAAGACGACCTGCGTGACGCGAAAGACGACCCGCATGAGGCAAAACAGTTGTTAGAACCAGGTTGGGAGAGCCTGTGCAACCTTTCTCCTGAACCGGAAGAGCCTGTGAAAAAGGAGGAAGGGGATGCGAAAAGGAAGGAGGGGAATGTGAAGCGGGGGAACCCAGACGTGGGAATGGAGGACTCGGATGCGGAAATGGCAGATGCGCCACCTGTGTGAAAGGAGGAAGAGGAGTCTGAGAGGGAGGAATCACCTCGTTTTCTGAGGTGGCATAACTCTCATGTAGGAAGGAGATAGAGGTGAGAGATTCAATTGCGTAGGTAACGATTAGCAGCGCACGTATGATCAGCAGCGGTATTGCGAAGAAATAAAAAGAATTGTTATTTGTTTATCATTCTCCTCAAAGTACTTGGGTATTGTCCTTACAACAACGCCCTCTCCACACCAAATAAGTTTAGTACTCCCCCTTCACAGCGCATCACACTTGGGAGGCACATACGGCCTCCCCAAATGATTACAAACATACGCACTTGAACACCACTTCCCATCATCCAGCCGGTAAACCTTGTCATAGTGATACGAGTAGCACTTCAAGGGCTTTTCCAGCTCGTATTTATGCCACGCGTCACCCGCGGCATTCGGGTCCTTGATGTTGGGGTTGATGTGCACTGTGAAGACATCCCCGTTGGGCATGGTGGCGGAGACGCCTCCCTTTTGACCCCAGGGGTAGGCCCCGGTCCAGGGGACGTTGACCATCATCTTTGGGCGATAAGTGTCGAGTCCGTTGCCGGTCCAGACGGGGCCGGAGTAGTAGATCATCTCTCGGGAGGTGGAGCCGCCGTTGTGGCCCAGGCCGATGCCGCAGTCGGCGAGGATGAGGTTTTCTTCGGGGGTGCGCTGGGTGAGGGTCAGGGGGAGGGAGAGAAGGAGGAGGGTGGTTTGGGGGAGGTGCATTGTGATTGTGTGAATGTGTTGAATTTGAAATAAGCGTGATGGAGTAGATGAGAGTCCTAGGTTGTTGTTGGGGTTGAGTCGTAGGAAGAGTGTGGAAACTTGTTGGCTCGCAACGATCTTGACGCTGTTGAGCGGAAAGAGGTGTTGCTGATATATACACCTTCAGCCTGTATGAATAGGTATATCTCATGACTTATTCTTTCTCGGGTGTAAACATCTCTTTTGACGATATCCGCTGCCAAAAAGACAACAAAGGTCCAGAGTAAACCGAGGTAAGCATGCGTGCTTTCGGCAATGTCAGCAAATCAACTCAGCCCCTTATCCCCCATTCGCTGCTGCAACAATCATGAACTGACAACAATGCAGCGCTGAGTACAAGCGAGCTCTGAGTTATGATCTCGACCAACCACGGTTATCGTCGGGCAAATCCTTCGGGTGGCTAAGCAGCTGTAGTATCGGTTCCACTATGCTAGATGGCATGTTGACACGGACATAGGCGACGGGAAAGGGATATGCGAAGATAAGGTAGCTCAGCAAATTGCATACAATCATGTCAAAGCCAGTTGATGTATAAAAGACATCAGTTTCACTCACACAAATCTTAGTATCCTTCTCGTCACACCTCTCATTGTCTCTGTAACTTCAGACACATCCTCTCAACATGAAACCCTCCATCATCGGCCTCCTGTTCGGAGCTTTCGCCCTCGCAGGCGCAGACCTCCTCAACCCCCTACCACCCAACGCGGACCAGCGCGCCATCGACTTCCAACCCTACGTCGACGCCGACACCGACGCCTGCGACCCCACCGCCGCCATCGACAGAGACGGCTACACCCTCAACGAAGGCCTCGTCCCCTTCAAGAATGGCAACTGCCGCAAAGGCCGCCTCGCCCGCTCCCAAACCTACGTCCGCACCCGCTGCAACCACTACTGGTGCGCCTATCTCTACGGGTACTACTTCGAAAAGGACGAAGGCTTCCTCGGCGGTTCACACACGCACGACTGGGAGCACATTATCGTGTGGGCTCTCCACAACGAAATCTTCTTTGTGTCCTGGTCAGCCCATGGAAACTACACCACTGCTCACCGATCGGGGGTGCTGTTTGACGGGACTCACCCCAAGTTTGTTTCTCACCGTGGGTGGACTACGCATTCGTGGAGGAGGGCAGAGAAGAAGGATGACCCTCCTGAAAATGAGACCAAGAAGTGGTCACAGGCGCCGCTGATTGCGCTCGAGAAGATGCCGTGCGAGTTCAATAGGAGGCTGCTGAATCATAATTGGGGGAGAGCTCATATGGATTTGAAGAGGGACCGGTTTGGCGATGCTCTGAACAAGGCTATTCCGGCTGATGCGAAGAACAATGAGAAGTTTGATCCGTATAGTGACAGTTGAAGAAGGTGGCTGAATCGGTAAAGTCTGGCGTGGTGGGAAGATGCAATGGTTAAGAAGTACTTCTTATAGACGTGTATTTGTTTGTAGCTCTGCCAAACAATTAGAAGGAAATGTTCTTCCTGGTCGAGGGAAATCCGTTGCCAATTTGGGTGGGGTGTGTTGAGGACTGGGTTTCGGTACCGAGCGAGGCCACCCTGGCCCTGTCAGCTTAATATTGGATTTCCGAAATGTCCAAATTAACCAGTTTAAGTTCGAATCATTTGTGAATCAAAGTCCAGGCGAATCCTTATATAACAGCTACTCGTCTTAACTAACACCCCAACTTACCCACATTCCATTTTTCATAGCTAACACCTTACTTTTTCGCGTATGGCGTCATATCTTCCTAGTTCCTTGGCATCAGCTGCCGCTCTTGCGGGCTTGGTGACTGCAGTTAAATCATCATGGGAGCTATCACGTATGATTAAGAAGAAATACGAGCAGCGTGTGCTGAAGGTCATGCCAATGAAATCAACACAGGCTTCGCAGGGCTTTGCGAGATGGCAGAATTTCTCACCAAAGCTATAACTACTGGAAGAAAAAAGTCTTGGTTGCGGTCTGGGAACAGGACCGTACGTTAACATACCCAAAACATAGAGTCTAAATCCGTCTGCTTACCATAGTATCTAGGTGCCGCCCTGCTTGATATAAAGTATTGACGACTTGCTGAATCTGAGCGATGATTACAAGAAGAATACGCCCACCCCGTTACTCCCCTACCCGGACAAAAAAGTAACATTCCCAGGCGAGTTGGAGATCATGGCCGCGCGATCCAGCGCTGGTGATATCATTGAGGAACGTCGAACAGAGATTGTCGAGTACCACACCACGGCTCCTCCCCCTGCCGTGCACTACCACCATCAACACCCACCGGCCCCAGCCGGTAACGGTCCTATCATCATCAACGCCCAGCCCGCGCCCGCACCAGCCCCTCCTGTCGAGGTGGTCAAGACAACCACGATTCGCGAGCAGTCCCCGGCACGGTCCAACACGACCACCTCGTACGACACAACTTCATATGGCACAACCACGTCATATGACACCTCTCTCACACCCAGGGGTCCGCCCACAGTAATCGTCGATGCTCGCCCACGGGAGGTGGCGCTTGTTGAGCCTCCTCGGGATACCTGGCGCTACGATGACAACGATGACTTGCGATCCGAGATTCGGCATCTGGAACGGCAGCTAGCCCGTCGCGAACGATCAAAGTCCAGGCACTCGCGCCACGGCAGCCGCGGCGACCTGGTCAGGGCGGAGCAGTTGTCGACAGGCGAGCTGGTGCTATACGAGGAAGAAATTGAGACGATTGAGGAGCCGGCGAGGGGAGGAGTGAGAATCGAGAAGGATAAACGAGGTAGGATGTCTATCAGCGTGCCGAGGAACCGGTAACGGGTGCTCGGTTTGCCGGATTCGGTGCGTTTTCCTTTAACTGCAGTTCACTTTTATGGCGTTGAGGATGCGGAAGCTGACTCGTTGGTTGATGTGATACAGGTCCTCCTCCGAGGTTGATGAAGGCTATGTTGGCTACTTGACTTGAGCGACCATTTGAACCAAGTAAGCGAAGCGAAGCGAGTTAAAGAAGAGTTTTGGATAATGGGCGTTTGGAAAGCGATCTTTTTTGGAATATGTGATTGGTTGCGGATTTCTCTGTTCTAGCTTCCTTTGGGCTGTATATCAATGTGGGAGGCAGTTTTTGGTTATGATGTGATGACTTTTGGTTATGAGATATAAATAATTGTGTAATATATATATGAAACTTGGATAGCCTGGATATTGAGTGAAATGAGGGTATCGAGCTAGATTGAGCTGTAGTAATCGAAATAATGTAAAGTGTAGCGTGCGGGACTCCAAGGTACAGTGTGGTGAGAGCTTTTAAGGTTGTAGTCTATGTTTGCCTCTGCCATTGATTTAATTTCTAGGAACAATAACTATCTACCCGTAGTATTCCCAAGCTTGGATTCACTAGAGCATCACTCCCTCTCTTAGTAGAGTGGTAGAAATTTCCCTACCTACCTATCTGCCAGCCCTGATCTGCGCAGCAGTAAACTGCGTTAAACAGCGAAACTTGCGGACGCCGCTCCGGGTCTCGGCGAACCTCAAATGGTGGAAGTTAACGCCGGGAAAGAGGATGTACTCCCCGTAGGTTCTGCCGTCGAGGCCGTATATTTTGTAGGGATGGCCTCTGTCTTTGTAGATGGCTTTGGGGGGGAAGGGGGGTATTGTCAGCCAGGGCTTTCTGGATGAAGTGGAAGGGGAAAAGGAGGAAGGGAAAGGGGACTTACTCCAGTGGTAAAGGGGATTGTTGCTGAAATGCATCTCGAGGACGTTAATGTTAGTGGCGGCACCGCCGTAGCAGCCGCTGCCGGCACATCGCACGCCAATCGTGCGGCCTGAGACGTCGTCTTGGGAGAGGTAGGGGCCGTAGGCGAAGACCTAAAAGGAGGGGGTAGTTAGTTGTGAAAAGAGGGGGGGGATGAAAAGGGGAGAAAGAACGAACGTCGTTGATATTAGGGTCGTTATCGAAGATATACTAGCCGTCGAAAAGGTAGGCGCCGCCATCGACACCAAAGACTTGGTGGCCTAGGTAGAGGTCGAAGTTTGCGGTAGCTAGGCCGGTTAGGGAAGCGAGGAGGAGGGTGGAGAGGCGCATGGTGAAGGGGGTAGGTGAGTGTGGTGGGAGTGATGGGGATAAGGCTTCATGTTCTTTGGAGAGAGGGATGTCTTTAAGACTTTATAGACATAGGTGTTCCCTTCCAGCAGGTAGGTCTCAGGATTGTGTATACCTACCTGCCAGGATCACCCAGGCTTAGTAACGAACATACTAGCATTTCTGGTGAGCTTAGCCTTATTTCTTTAAGACAATATAACTGTTAAACACTAGGGCAAGGGAGCAGACTAAAGAAGTTTAAGGGATTAGACTCTACATTTCGATGGGCAACCATGCCAAAGTTTTTTCTTAATAGCTCCACCCATACTAGAAATACTTACAGGGTAACTTAAATACGAAAGCGGTTTAGCTAATCGAATTATTTCCGGCCGCGTCTCTTAGAGCGATATAACTGTAATTTAGCAAGCATAAACCCAAGATTTTAAATCCGAGGAGTCCAATGAAGGAGTGACATAAATGGAGCGACTTATACAACTAGCCTTTGAATATAAGTCTAGTCCCAAGGACAAGCCAATCCACGGAAGCAGGTATTATGGATCATTCTTAGCAAAGGTTAAATTAGATCTCTAGATTCAGACAACAGAGTGAACTTTGTAGAGACTTTTGTCATTATTCGACACCTCGGACAAGTAGACTGGGAAGATTAGTCATACGACTTCTTTAGCTGCTTATAGGAACTAAGGTATCTTAGTAGCCACATAGAGCGAAAAAAGAAGAAACTCTCGCTGACTGCCTCGCAGCCCAGGTACGACAAGTGACTGTGCTCGGAGGATCACACTAGTAACCACTAGCAGCTCTAGACCCTGTATCAGGGCCCGTGTATTTGTATAAGCTATAATAACAGTGGTTTACCCCTCATTGTCTTATAAGGAAGTTGACTTTACTGGGGAAAACTTTAGCCGCTATTTTGATGCCGAGGTAAGATTACCGAAAGAGACGACCTTTCTAATAATATTTAACTTTGGCTTGAAAGATATAGTCAAAGCTTGGACTGTGGATTCTACGAGCTTGGATCATAGTGTTTAAAAACTTCAGTCATAGAGCAGGGGTAGTTACTGCAGCTGCAAATACTGGTAGCACAACGTCGGCAGTGGTATTGCGGGCAATAAGGTCATAGGCGTGTGAAAGCGGCGGAAACGCGGGCATGTCCTTGCAGTGCCGGAAAATAAACTCGTCTAAGAGAAGCAAAGCATCAAGGCAGATTTAGAGTGGCTGGAATAGCAGCAAGAGGTGGAATAAAAAGAAGAGGGGGGTAATAGCGCCATCCGGGGAAATGTATGTGGTTGTTATGCAGGTGGTGATGACAGAGCCTCATGGTTGAAATCTAGGACTCGGCTCCTTTAAGCACATCGGTGAATCAGAAGAGGAAGTTGGCAGCAAACAGGGCGGGGATTCCCATCAGCGAGCGAACATACTACGCCACGATCTACAGCATAGCCCTTGGCGTGAATTACGGGGCTTTCAGGGTAGCTATCAGCGCCTCTCTCGCCGGGTTACTCTAGCGTAATATCCTGGCCAAGAAGCATATTCACGTCAGGCGGCTTAACTTTGCGCGGGTAAATCTTCCTATCATTGCGATCGCGATGAGCGTGGGCTATGCCGTCCTGATTAGCGAGATTTACATCTTCCGAAAAGACCGGCCTTTTAACATAGGACCAGTTCTTAAGGAGTAGTAGCATAGACATTTAGATAGACTAATAGCATTACATTCTGTGTTTAGCGTTACTGACCATCATGGTGTGCTATCGAAGGTGATCACTGAGGCCCGGTCCCCATGCATATGCCAGAGAATCACAAGCAGCAGGAAAACTAACTCAGCTATCTACAGCTCAGCCCAGAAAAGCATTTCTTCTTTCAAGTCTACTCGTCATCACACTCTCGTCGTTATTCTCTTAATTACCTTATTATTCCCGAAGGAATGCTTATCTCGCTCTTGTATGCAGATCAGCATCGCACTCATGCTTATCGTCCCACGAACAAAAAATATCTCACCATCTGACTTCTTTCCCTCAACATATTCTTTGCACCAAAAAATATATTCATCTTAATTATCCTAACTTAACGAAGGTATCATATACTCATCTCGTCTTCAGTCACGATGCTGCAACCTCGCTATCAGTTCTTATTCCTCGTTATAGGCTTGCTATTATTGCCCACTGGCTCAACCACCAGCCAGAAAAAGATAATCCTCGACAACGACTGGAACCCCACTGCCTTCATCGCTTTGCTCCTTCCCCTATACTACAACTACACCGTCCTCGGTCTAGCCTCCGATACAGCCAACTCCTGGGCTCTCCAAACCGGCCTCCACGCTCTTGCCTCTCTCGAGATTGCCTCCTTGTCTTCTTGCATTCCCGTCTACAAGGGGTCTAACTACCCCCTTATACAAACAGCGTATATCTTCCAGAATTATGAGCTTCTCTATGGGGAGTTACCGTGGAAAGGGGTGTTTGCAAAAGAAAACACGACAAATGAGAAATTGGGAAATGATCCCACCTCTGGTGACCTAAGAAGGTGGCGAAGGAAGCTTTTACTACCAAGGGGTATTATGGCTACTCTAATGTGAGTTTCGCAGAGGGCTCAGTAGCGGAGTTATGGTCAGGGCCGTGAGGGAGAATCCAGGATAAGTGAGCATATTCTCAGCCGGGGCTCTGACAAACGTCGCGCTGGCGGTGAGGCTTGATCCAGACTTTGCGAAAAATATAGCTGGGTTATATAGCATGGGGGGGTATGTGGATCGTTTCCTGTACTAGGCTATAGGGGATGTTCTGCAGGCCGATTTGGTTTCGGATGTGAGTTTTAAGTTGTTGTTGTTGTTGAAGTGAGGTTCTCGATGCTGATATGGGTGGCAGATCAACTTCATCGTTGACCCTGAAGTAACTAAGATTACGCTTACGGCTGACTTTCCGAACATCACGCTTGTGGCTAATTCTGCTAATGGGGTGATACCGGATTAGGCATTTCTTGATGAGCTGGTGGCGGTGAATGAGAACCCTTTGAGTAGGTTAGTTAGGGCGAATCAGCCTACTTATCTGCCGTTTTGGGATGAGACTGCTGCGGCGGTGATAGTTAATCGGGAAGCGGTTGTTTTGGATGAGGTGGAGGGTATATTTCCCAATTCTGATATTAAGAAGACTGACATTTGCTGACTGAGTGTTTCAAATATCTAGTTTATGTCGATGTCGACACATCGTACCACTCGCTTTTTTACGGGTATATCCGCCCCTATCAGGCAGCGCTGATGCCGCCTGGGTTGAGAAAGGTCAAGTATATCAATGCGGTTAATAATACCAAGGTCGCCGAGATGATCAAGACTGTCGTTTACTTTCCGCCAAAGAGCTGTGCTGAGCTTAAGGGAAGAGGGGTGGATAGTCAGGATTAAGGGGAGAAGCTCAGGTGAAGGATATCCAACGGTTAGATGGTGGACAGGAGCAGCTTAGATAAAGGCTATCCAATGTTGACAATTTCTGTCGGGGCGGCAACCAACTGGCTCTCACCTGCCCCCGGTCAGCACCCAGAACATAGAAGGTGGGCATCGATTGGGGGCGAAGGTTTGATGTCCGCCAAACGCATCAATCGAGCCTCTTAGCCGCTGATAGCAACCTACAATCTATTCAAAATGCGAATCGTCCAATTGGTAGCTGTGAACAGGGACAGCGCCGCACTGGCCAGAAGCTCCGCCCGCAACAAGTGCGATGAGCAATATCTGGTCCGAGGCTCGGGTAACACAACAATCCCAGCCCTTTACGTTCGAAAAAAAGATTTGTTTTGGTATAAGAAAGGGTTTATGATAAGAATGCCATCAAATGTGTCTGTTTAATTTCAAGGTAAACAGGGACGACTTGCACGGCACAAAGTACTGGCGGAGATGCAGCACCACGGTGGTTCATATAGCCAGCTAGAGTGAGTATATGCATCCAATAAACGAACGAAAGCATGGCTAACTTTCATTAGAAGCAACAATGGCGCCTCACAAACTCGTCGTGGGTGGTGGTGGTGGGAAATCCGTGCTGCCACCGTCACAGTCCTGTCTACTGTCATGGTGGTTTCAATCCTGAGCAAGATCGACGGCCTAGCGCTGGACGCTTGGTCATTAGCTATTCAACCGAACGCCCTTATATCTATCTTTACTACGCTGGGAAAATCCTCGATGATGGTGGCTATCACAGCCTGCCTAGGCCAGCTCAAGTGGCGGCACTTTTATACCGGCGAACGCCTATTGCGAAACATGCAAGTCTTTGACGAAGCAAGTCGAGGACCTTGGGGTGCTTCTGTCTTTTTCGGCAAAATAAGATCACCTGCCTACACCGCTTTGCTTCTGTCTTTGATCACCATTTTGGCATTGGGGATCGACCCCAGTACACAACAGGTGCTCAAGGTTTCTAACAGGGAGACCAAGCTCGAGGGAGCCACTGCCCAACTAGGGGTCGCCAATGCTTATGTCTCAGAGGGGCGTCCGAAGTGGGCAAGTTCATGTAGGTAATTCTGTCAACCGATGTTTTTTCTGATTGCCTAAGTTCAAGATGCTAACCTATGGGCGTCTGGTGAAGGGAAAATTCAGGACAAAATGTCTAAAGATTTCAATCTAAACCATGCCTTGTCCAGGGTTGCGTACCTTAACGGCATGTTTGGGCAGGTCTCGCCCCCAACATTCCATTGCCCACCCAACGCGTCACGATGCTTCTGGCCGGTAGTCACAACTATGGGGCTTTGCTCAACCTTTACAAACCTAACTGGTACCTTAACGCCGTTATGCGATATAAGCGAGGATAAGCGAAATGGTACATAGTAAGTGTAGTAGATTTTTTCGCCTCACAATTTAATTAACTGATAAGACCACAGCTGGGTAGACTTTCCGAATACCAATTCCAGAATAGATCCGCGACCTGTGGATTTTAAGTGGGATTTACCTTATGGTAGGACATGGGAAGATGTAGATGGACTTACTTTTCTTTCCTCTGGTATGTCTCGTCATTTAGATCCCATCGGTGGGATGAGTGCTTCATTCTCTGTTGCGCAAAGCGAAGGACTTTGGAAGCCAGATGCAGGGCGCATTCACCTCTACCAATCCAGGTTCTACTGGTGCCAACAAACCTTCACAAACGTTCAGTCAAATTCAGATGTTCTGATACAACTAATAGCCCTACGACTGTACCACTCAAACCGCTCCATAAGAAGACCAAGTTGCCTGCCTCGCCCAGTTCCGCGGATGGGTCCATTCGGGACGACCCTCCTCAATTTCACACAACCCTGATATATTCGGCGGAGGACGATGCCCAACGCTAGTATACAATGATTGAGGCTATATCTGAAGAAATCATCACCGCATTTGCACAGGTTCTGTACGTGCGATCAATGGCTGTCGAGTTGGACCAAATTGGCGCAGCCGCCATGGATTCGGCACAACCCATCGGACTGAACATTCTTATCCCTTTCGATCATTACCTCGCCAATACCGACCTGCAGATATTTACTTCCAACATAGCTGCCAGTGTTTCTACGCAGATGCGAGCCAAGAACCCCGGAGACAATGCCAACCTGACCCTGATCCCCGGGGATGTCTTCGTTAACGAAGCTTACATTCAAGTTCATTGGCCCTGGTTGACTCTCTTTGTGGTCGAGACACTTATGGCTACCGGGCTGCTGGCTCTCACGATTATGATGACCAAAGACGAACCGCTGTACAAGAGTTCCGCGTTGGCATTGCTCAAGCATAGAATTCCGGGTTGGGAGGAAGATGGGAGCAGTAGCAAGGTGTCTATCAAGCGTGGCTCTCAAGTGGTCGATTACGAAGTTGAGGTGAAGCAATCGGTCATAGAAGTCAGGGACACAGAGAAGCGGTTGAAAGATAGCGCGCGGGATGTGTTGGTTCAGTTCGACCGGGGAAGTGCAGGAGAAACGATTATTACTACACGAGCAAGGGCAAAATAGGGGTCAGGGGAGTTGAAAGGAAGGGTGTACTCCATAGTCAAAGTTTTTTTCACGTCATCCTATCCATCCTTCAATCTCGTTCATTATCACCAACTTCGAGAAGGCCTCCAAGCTAATGAACGGTTTAGCGACCTGGTGTTCGGCTGGAACCTAGCCGCTAGAGTGTTTTGGACTTGGCTCCAAAGTCCCAGCGTCTCAGCCCTGTCCGGGGTAGAAGAAGAACTCGCCAAGCAGGTTGTGGCAGCCCTGTTCATCTCCACTCTCCCCTGTTCACAAATTCGAGGACCAATCAGCAAACGAACCACTCGCAGAAACTGAGAAATGTTTCCGGGATAATCGCGACCTTTCGAGTCAGACGGTGGCATGTTGTTGGTGGTGGCTGCCCGGGGTGTGAGCAGGCAAGGAGGAAAGCCAAGTCGCAGAGCCAGCCACATGCGGGATATGGGCGTCTTGGGTGCAAGTTGGTCACCCAGTTCATCTTAATCGGACAGTCAGGGTCACCAATGTTGATGGTGTATAAGATGTGGGAGAAGGGCCTTTGTCACTGATCAGCATTTCTTCTATTATTCTCGGCAACAGTCTTACCACAATCGTTCTCATCGCTCTTTTTCTCTTCTCCTTTTACCAGCAAAGATACCCGGCCTTTTACGCCACTTACATACACCTTATTTTCTAATTCTATCAAAATGGCCGCTCCCGCCCCCCAAGCCACTGCTACCCCTTCGACCCAGGCCACCGGTCCCATCTCTGACGCCGACGTGGCCGAGTGGAAAGACAAGTTCAATAAAGTCTTCGCCGCACCCTCCGAGCACTTCAACTCCAAGTCGCCCGCCACCGCTCAGCCATGGACACACAACTTCTGGAACTTTGTTAATCCGCTCGAGACATGTCTTATGACTTGGTGCTTGCCGTGTGTCGTGTTTGGCAGGACACATCACAGGGTGAACAAGAGCGCTAGTCTGAGGGGCTATGAGCCTATTAACACTTCGGTATGTTCCAGGCTTTCTCTCGGATGACAGGTTGCTGACATGATCTGTAGTGCCTTCTATTCTGCGGTTCAACAGCTGTCTGCATGCAGTGGCTTCCCATGGCGATTCAGAGAGCGGATTTCCGAGCCAAGTACAACCTTCAGGGTAGCTGCGCGGTGGATGTTGCCTTGGCGTGCTGCTGCGGGTGCTGTGACATCGTGCAGATGGATAAGGAGGCTGAGCTGAGGGTGTCTGGGGAGCAGAGCCAGAATGAGATTCAGGAGCAGTATAAAGCTGCTGAGGTTATGGTTGTGCCTGTGGAGCAGAAGGAGTAGAGTGGGTGGGTGATGGAGTGATGGCGATGGTGGGATAATGGAGTACCTAGTTTTTTTGGTGGATAATGGGTTGTGATTTATTGGGACTATGATACCTCTGCTAGCTTGCTTGTTTGTGTTAACAACATAATGTTGCTTTTCAACTCTGAAAATGTTTCCTCACAATTCTTCCGACAAGAACTTCGTCATCAAGGGTCAACCCAAGGGAATGACCCCTGCCTCTCAAGTGCCAGATTGCGGGGACAAGATCTGCAAATAATCCCTGCTAGCGCTGGGAGCTGAACTAGACCCTTGCTCGGCAAATTTCACCCAGGGTCCCAATGTGGCGTCCATCCCGAGATCAACGATAAGGTTGGTGATGGCTTCAAAAACACTTTTCAGATTGACTTTCTCCAACGGTTGAATCCCTACCTCCCACTTGTCTAACCTCCTCCCTGATAGCTATTTCCCCTCCAACCCGGCAAACCATTACTCTGCTGCCCCCCTCCCTGATAACCCTGCCACCTATAAGCCTGATAACCCCCTTGATAACCCAACCCAAAAACACCACCACCACCACCCGTCTGCTCCTCCTCCTTCTTCCCAGCCGCCTCCTTCTCAACCCCAAGCTCAACCACCATCCCCCTCGCCGTCTTCCCCCTCCTATCCCCCACATCCAAACTCGCCCCCGCCTTGACAAGTCCCTTCGCAATCTTTGTCACCGACTCCCTATCCCGCAACTTATACCCCCCCGCCAGAACAATCAACGCCGTCCTCCCCTCTCGATCCCTGCCATCAACCACCTCTTGCCTCAACCCAGCATCCTCCACCTCTTTAAGCAAGAATTCTGTCGCCTCAGGACAGACACCATAGGCTGCCCAGTGAAGGGGCGTCATGCCCTGGAAATCTTTCTGTTTGAGCAGGTTCTTCCATTTATACTGCCCGATGTAACTTGTAGGCTGATAGGAAGTGTAATTACTGGGGGCTGTCTGATAGTGGGTGTACCTGGTGGTAGTTGGCTGGTATATAAATGTTTTGATAGTTGTCATACTGTCCTTGATGGCTTCCAGCGCGGCGACGTTGTTGTGGTAGGAGGCGATGTGTACGGCTGTTAACTGGGAATAAGCTGCGTTGAGTGTGGCGGTTGGGTCGGCTCCTTTTTCCAGGAGGGACTTGATGACGGTAGTGGTTTTGGTGGTTTTTCCGGTGGTGGCGCATAGATCGTGGAGGGTGGTGTGCCCGGTCGGTTGGGATTTCTCGTTGATTTTGGGGGTGTTGTTGGGCTGGTATTGGAATCTCGGGGGTTGGAATTGAACGATGGGTTGGAAACCTCGGATTTGGAGGGGCTGGCCGAATGGCTGTCGGGCGTTGGAGAGGATGTTTTGGGGGAGTTGTGAGGTTGTTTGTCTGGATGTTGTTGATGGCACGTCAGTACAAAACCGCATGAATAGGTATGAAGGCTCAGCGGGTTGCGTGGAGGGGTTAATATAGTGTTATGGTAGTGTGGTAATATGTTAATGTGCTAATGTGTTAATGTGCTAATCTGTTATTGTGGAAATGTGGTAATGTGGTAATGTGGTAATGTGGTAATGTGGTAATGTGGTAATGTGGTAATGTGGTAATGTGGTAATGCGTAGAAGGGGTAATGTGTTATTGTGATAATGTGATAAAGGAGGGAAGGGTCAACATACAACCTAATAGCCTGACCAACCCGATAAAACTCCCGTCCCCTCGCATATAGCTGACTCGTCAGCCGATATATCTCAGCAGGCGTGAATATCTCAAACAGCTTCGTGGAACCGAGCTGACCGAGCTGGGGCATCAGCTTTTTTGCCTTCTCGTCGGCATCCGCAAAGGCTTCCTTGCACTCCTCCAGGTTCGCCTCAAGACGCGGGGAGAGATCTGTGGGTATCGGAATGCTGGTTGTGCCAGACTTGAGCTGTTCAAGAAGACCTCTGCACGAGTCCAGTGCTACAGAGACAGTCTTGATGCTACTGAAAAGATCCCTGAGACTGCTGTCACTGCATAGGACCTGGTAGGTCAAGGTGTTGTAGGTTGTTGAGAGCCTCTGGGCGGAATCCTGTAGTATGATGACCTGGTCCAACATTGTATGCTTTGGCTGTCACGAATTTCGTACTGAAGAACGGGAGTGATCTAGAAAGGAGTTGGGTGAAACTGGAGTGAGCAGGAAAGATAGGTAAACATGTACATGACCGGAACGGAGGTAGAGGTGGAAATCCGAGGATACTTTACAGTTTAGACTTCCACAGATTGTCCTCACGGTTGTGGACTCAGCCCCAAGGTCGGATTCAGCTGGCCCTTGACAAGCATGTTGGCGGCTCATTGTGCTGACATCATGGGGGAACAGCACGACTGCGCCCCCCTTGGCAGCAGAGCCTCACCTCCCCATGGGGGTATATTCCTCCTGCTGAAATCACACATCGCATGCTTCATGTTTCATGGAACAATAACGAGAAGCAAAATAGGTAGACACAAAGAAATCAGTAGAGTCTGTAGCGGACAATTATGTCTTTTAAATAATATTGTTTTTATAATGTTAGTATTCTGCACATTCCGATTCTGATTAACTAGGTTGGATGACAAGGAAGTGGACCACATATGGATGTGGCCCAGGTAGGTTTGAACTACCCAAGCCATCTACCCACATTAAACCCTCCACAACTCTGGACCTCCGAAAGCCCCCCGATATCAACACACATTTTATATTCCACCCACAGAGACCAAAAATGAAGCTTTTCTTTTACTTTTTTTTGCTCCAGGTACCCACCAATGGCCAAATATACCGAGGAGGATGTTAAATGCTTAGAAAGATATTGCCGCTGGTATAAGCTAGCGAAAAGCGTCCAACAAGCACGGGATTCCACGTTCCACCCTAAAGCACCGCATTGATGGTACCCTACTAAGGAACTTTGCCTATGAAAACTAATAGCGATTTTTTTACGGCTAAGAAGACTTTATTGTTTAATGGATCCTTCGTTAGGAAAGCCTTAGCTACGCTCTTACCTATACTAATATAAAGGCTTTAGTAGCTAGTTTATTAGCTAAATAAGGCGATCCTAACCCCCTTAGTAAGTATTAGGTATCCTACTTTATTAGCCGTTATCCCGATATTAAAATAAAGGTTAGAAGAAAATTAATTACGTTAGAGTTAACGAAGTTACCCCGAAGAATATTATTAAGTTTTTTAACCTATATTTTACCGTTAATTAAATTAAACTTAAGTATAAGTATAATTATGATAAAGTAAGTATAATAAAAAGTTAAGGAAAGAACGGTTTAATTATTAGGTTTTCGAAGCGGGATAAAAAGTCTATATATATTAAATAGAACGGAAGAAGGACCTAAACTACTATACTTAAATATATTTTATAAAACGTAAAAGTCCTTCCCTTTAAAGTTATCTTTAAAAGTAAAGACCTTTAAAAGTAATAGTTTAAGGATTAATTAAATAAAGACTAGTATATAACTATATTAGATAATGGTTAGATTAGTAATAACTTTACTTTTAATTAGTTAAAAGGGGTTTTTATATTAAGGATTAAACCTAAAGATTTATTAAAATACCGTTTTCTTATTTATAATAGCTATAGCTTATATACTATTAATAACTTTATAATCCGGTACTATAAAAGTTATATTTACTTTTTTTTCCTACTCCCCTACTACTTTTACGTCCTTTAACCCTTAAATATTAACTGCTTTTCTAGTGTAAAGAAGGCGTATAAGAGGCTTATGGTTATAAATAACGCCCTTATTAACTATACGCTTAACGGTAAAGTCGATTTAGTCCGGCTATATAACCTTGCCCGTAAGTAGGGCTTTAGGAAAGAGAATATTGCCGGTGGCTGGCGTGGGACAGGATTATGGCCCATACGTAGGCGCAAACCGCTCTTTTTAAGCCAGGTGGTAGTCCCTGTGGTGCCGTTGGATCTCTCTTCAAAAACACCTACTTTCTATATCGTGGGGGATTCCTAGGTGGCTAAGAAGGTCAGGGACCTACTCAAGAACCATACGCCGGCCGGAAAACGGCTTGCGGCAAGGACTCTCACCAGTACTATACTCACACTGAGATCTGAGGCATCCATCCACAAAGCTGATGCGGCAAGGCACCAACAGAACGCCCAGAAGGCCCAGGAGGCAAGAAAAAGGCGTAAGTTGAATAGAGAAAACTCGAATTCCAAGTTTGTGAGGCTCTGTGAACTGGAAGAGGCCCGCATTGAAGGGAGGGTGGTGGAGGAAGAAGTGGTAGCCAAGGAGGATATGGAGCAGCCAGAGCCAGCCCAGCCTATGCGGCGCAGCGCACGTCATCGGGTTTAAACCAGGCGCAAGCGAGAAGCAGATGCAATGTCTGACTCTGACAGTGATTGAGCTACATTTTGGTATAACTCCATAGAAATTGACGCAATATTAGTCTTGTTGTGGCCAGTGTGATCATTCAGGGGTAATCTGAACAAGGTTGTGTGGCTGGTGTGGTGGTGGTGGACCAGATCCACATGTGGTCCATTTCTTGGTCATCCAACCTAACGTCTAGAGCTCTCTTATCTAACGTATTATCCCTTCTATGCTATTTGAATCCCACTGATCCACAAAGGCCAGACCTAGGTGTAACACTCTCTAAACACTTCTTAATATGAGGCTCAGCCTGAAGCATCTGACCAAACTCAGGACCTGATGCCATAAAACTGTGGTTTGTCTGCCGCTTGTCATTCCGAAGATCACCGCATGAGTCTTGTTTATTCCCAGCAGCCCCTTTGCTCTCCCTGGCTGTGTTTTAATGCCCAACTTTGGATGGTGTATCCCTCCCAGCTTTCCTCCTTTTTTACCCAGTCTCACCCGGGGTGACTTCACTTCCAGGCTTCCTTTGGCTTTCAGCTTTGATCGAGGCTGGGCGTGTGTCATCTTTAATCTTTCGGTTCGAGGCATTCGAGGACTTGTATCTCTGGTTCAATGGAGGCGGTGGACTGGGTGGTCTGGCATCTCGACTCGGCGGTGACTTATTCGTCTGATTTAAAGGAACGACCCGGGTATTTATTATCTTGTTTCTCAGTGCTAAGTCTTGTTTTTCACCGCTTACTTTATCACTCGTGGCAGTGTCGGGTATCACTTTACCACTCGGAATCTTGTTTATTATCTGCCTATCTTGTCTGGCGGCCCGGGGACGGGTATCTTTGGGGGCCATAGGTTTTTTCTGTTGGTATTATTCTTACTGGCGTCCTCCGTAGGTGTATTGAATCTTATACGGCGGCTGTCATTATTGCCCACCGACCAGCCCTCATCTCCACAACCTGGAGGTTTGAGGTGGCCCTTTTGATTCTGAAGTTGCTTTTATTGCCGGTTTTGACCAAAAGGCTCAGATCGACTGCTATATCGATGCTTCGTGTGGCCCTGTGGATGATTTCGGTTATCTCTTATGGATTGATCACAGTTATTGTTGTAGCTAGGAGGCCGACTGTGTCGTTGATCTGGGTCGGGGGTTTTATCCTGAGAACGGTCCCGTTATTGATATAGAGATTGAACCTCGGACCTAACTTGAGACGGGCTCCTGCGTGGTTAATGGCGTGGAGTAGTATTCGGCGTATTGTTTGTATTTTCGTGTTGCTCGTCGACTTTAGGTAGTATCTTGGTCTGTACGTCCTTTTCTTGAGCTGCATCCAAGTGGACACCCGCCTTTTCCAGCGCAGCCTTCGCTCTCCTCAACGCTCTTTCATCCTTATCTCCCCCGGAGAGCTGCCCATTCAAGACATCCCAAGGCGTTCTACTCTTATAATCCTTCTCCCTAATCAACCGGTTACTCAACCTCTCTCTCACAATCTCGTGAACCAAGAACTCGGCCGCCTCAGGTGCTACCCCCCAAGCAACCATGTGAAGAATATTTCTGCCGTTCTTGTTAGCCTTATATAGGAGGCCTTTCCATTCCCTTTTATGGCTTCTATAGCGCTGCACAGTGGAAACCGTACTTATCGAAGTCGACGGTCGGGAGGGTAATACCATTATATTTTGTGCCTTGGTGAAGACGGGGAGCCTTGTAGTTCGAGTATCGAGTCCTTTAGTATTAGCCGGCCCCTTATCCTCCGGCACTAAGCTTCCTTTAATAGCCTGAAATACTTTTATATTATTATTGTAGGCGGTGAGGTATAGGGAAGTTAATTGAGAACCTTCGGTAGTAAGCCTTGGATCAGCCCTCTCGTAGAATAAAAAGCTAATAAAAGAAATTTTATTGTCCGACCGATTAGGATTACTATAAGCGCTTTATAAAGCCGTATATCTATTAGGAAGTTATCGCTTATCGATACTCTCACCGTTCAGCAATAGTATCTGTTGAGATATGTCGCCGGCAGGCTAGTTGTATGCCTTCCAGGTAGGTCGGAAGCAATTACCTGAAGACTCTGGGGTCCTTGGACTGCGAGGTACGACGGTGTGAGGTGGCACCGAAGGAAGGTAAGTATAGGGAACTATGCCCTGCAAAAGACAAAGAAGTAGTGTCATAACATCAAGGCAAGGACCCGGCGGTAGGACCAATCAAAGTCCAGAGAAATGTAACTAATCGGAGGACAGGATAGACGGACCTATCAAGAAGCGATTATTGGATTATGGCGATGATCCAACGATCCAGGGAAAATAAGGGATCGTTGGATTATGTTAAAGATCCAACGATCCAGGCATGGATTGTGGGAAGAAAGGAATAATCCAGGGAAATAAAGGTCTATATATACAGAGGAACTAGATAGCTTGTAGATAGTTCCGCAATATGCAATCACAGCTTGTATTCACGGTATCCTAAGTGTTTACATTAAGACATCTTGTTATGCACTGTTTAGCTGCACCGATCTATTATTTAGAAGTTCGCCTTTAACCGGTATCCCTTTTAGAGGTTCTAGATAGGGGATCGTCACACGTTGCATAATCACTTTAACTCTGTCACGGATAAGTTAAAGGCATCAAGATAAACGCTATAGCTACCACTAACACTACTAATACCCAGTCTTAGGCCCAGGCTCCGATGTGACGAACCCCTATCCAGAACCTCTGAAAGGGATACCGGTTGAAGGCACTTCTGAACAATCCTGGTTCGGTACAGCTAACCAGTGTACACCAATGGCTTGTCTCGATCACAACCGTCTAGATACCAACGATTGTGACTTGTAATTGCATACTGCGGAACTGTCTATCTACACCAGCCAGTTCCTCCGTATATATAGATCCCGGGACCGTGAGGTTCTCGCCCTGCTATGGCCCCGATCACTCCTAGCACATTGCATCCTGCAACGTGCTCGTCGTGCTATGCCTCTGATCACCCTTAGCATCTTGCATCCTGCAGACTGCTCGTGAGCCTTGGTGCCATAGCACTTTTGTCCAGGCCGGACTAAACCCTTACCGCTAAGCCTAAATCGTATCAGCCCTTTTCCGCGCATACCTACCAAGTGCCTCAACTGGAGACTAGGCTATCCCGGTTCGCCCTAGCTACGGGTTCCGTGAGCGACAAAACAGCGAAATTTTAAACTTCTCTGAGACCATATCCTTGTGGTACTGTACAGTGAGAAACGCGGTGGCATTGTCGGACAGCGTAGCCGGAGAAGCCGTGGTAGTAGATCTCTTCGCAGAGGGGGCAGCGAGCATACACGCTGCTGTTATCCACCACCGTACCTTTGCCTGGAGCAGGTTATCGGTGACAGAGACATGGCTTCAGTGTCCGGCAGCTGCCACCTCTCTCAACATCCTGATCACCATGACGACAGCGATCTAACGAGTGACGGAGAACGCCATCCTCTCGTTCCGGACGACAGAGAGCAGGATGAGGATGGCGCCCCCGCTTCCCAGGACCGTCGAGCTCCTAGTTGAACAAGAGTGACCGTGCCGGCAAGCGGTACGCTAAATGAAGCCTGGTGGAACTCTGCTGTACTTTGCGTAGAAAATGTTGGTAGGAGAGTGGGTTTGTTGTATAGAATTTGTATGCCAACCTCTCTACTATTCGGCTCGCTGATAAATCTTTAACCCAGAACCACTGAGAGGGGCTCCAGAGGTATCAACACACTTGACGGATGAAGGTTCGGTGAAGCCAAAGGGTTCACAACAACTGCACAAGCAATTGTCTCAACAGTAGGTGTAGCTGACTGCTTGCATTGCTTACCGGAGAACTCCCAGAGTCCTCCAGAACGAGTGACTATATAGCTATCTAATAATCGATAGGTACCTCGCACCTTGATCTGTGGCGATCTGTGATGCTTGGCACCAGATCACTGAGATCACAGAGCATCTTCCCATTGGTCAAGACCTGCAGCCCTCTGCATGCCCTGCCTGCGTGTTGTCTGGGGGCGTTCCGAGCCCCACGCCTTCATGCATGTCACGGGGCTTGTTGGCTTAAGTTGTGACACTCGCTAGTCTTTGACCCGAAGTGAAGCCGGTTGAAAAGTTAGGCAGTCCGGGCGAAATAAATTCCATCCATCCACCCACCCATCCTGACCCCGCCCACAGCTCAGCCGAAACACCATTCAACACATTACGATACATTTCCCTCAAAGTTTGCATAGCTGTAAGCTCTATTCTACTCGAACATACCTTTAAGAATCCTCTCAGATACAATGGTGGGACTTCTTCGGCTTCCTAACGAGCTGCTGGCTATCATATTTGGCGGGCTAGACGCCCAAGGCTTCTCCGCCCTCCGGTTGACGTCCAAATATACAAAATCAGCCACGTTGCCAGCTTTCATCAGCCGGTACTTCCAGACCCGCTACATAATGCTCTCAAGGCTCAGCCTCGAAAACCTCGTGGAGATTGCGCGACATCCAGACTTTGGCCCTGCTGTGAAAACACTCGAACTCTGTACGGATCATTTCGTGGAGTTCCCAAATTCATACTTTCATACTGCACGGCATGAAGGCGACATATTACTGGCCATAGAAGAAGGTCGATCCCCTCCCGCAGCTTTAGTGGGCAGCATAGATGATGCACACTCATCCGGCGAAGAGGAGGACCAAAGCCCTGGAGAGGAAGGTCGGGGAACCGATGAAGGGAGTGTCTCGTCTCAGGCCTCGTATGAGACGCTTTTGGATAAGGTGGCTTATACGTCACTGTGGGAAGAGCAGGAACACATAATCATGTCCGGCCTTGCGCAGGCCTACATCACGCAGGCGTTGATTTCTCTTCCCAACATCGAGGCTGCCGTCATTAGTAACATGCACCGGCCCTGGGGTGCACTAGCGCATGGCCGACAAACAGGTCTACCGCCAACAACCGCCCTAGACGATTACATGGAAGTTCAGTTTCTGGGCCAAGTCCTTCGCATCACCCTTACAGCCATCGCTACAAGTGGTGCCGCTCTTAGCAGCCTTGCCATCACAGCTGGTGTCCTCTCTAGGGAAGCGATTGCGCCAGACATTCTTAGACCCTCGGAGTCGCATTTCCAATACTACAAGAACCTCCCTCCAAGCCTCACGGAGCTCACACTAAATGTATCCGCCGAGGCAACGAGGGGCGCTGAGGACCGATGGGCGGACGACTTATCAGCATTTATCGGTGTGTTTCGACAACTCACACAACTGGATCTGGTCATCACACCCGTCGACTACGGCCCACGGGTTGACCGGTTAAAACAGCTCGCACCGAAGCTTCAAATACCGAATCTACAATGCCTAGGGCTCTATAGGGCATATTGTAGCGTACAGGATCTTGGGGCTTTTATCGTGAGGCACAAAGCAACACTCCAAAGCGTTACTTTGGTCCGAGTAGGAGTTTCGGGTGGAATTGGCCACTGGAGGTCTTTGTTCGCTCTAATTCGTGATCATCTCCCAAGGCTTGAGTTATCTATTAAACTATGCACTGCAGCGGGGCTTGTCGTATTGTGCCGAGCGGAACACGAAAATGGAGAGGAATTTGAAGATTCTTTTGATGTCGGGGGCAGTCACGAAGCCTGGACAACGGCAATCGAGGTGATAGAAACAAGATAGATGCATTGCAAGGATCGTCTGACTATTTAAAGTTTCAGAGCCTATTGCCAGCGGCACTATTGCCCTTGCGAAGGGCATAACGTTTTACCTACAACCTCCGTTGGCCGTCCTCCCCAGTCAGATAGGGGAGAACTCTTAGCCCGCGGGAGAACTTGGCGTCACTTGAACCAGACGCCTCGCTCTGGTGGGACTCGGGGATTTCCGAAATCTAATCGTGACACATCTCTCGCACGGTTGCTCTACAAGCCACCCTGACAAGGACCCATCCGGCCTGACAGACGAAGCAAATGGGCCGTCAGTGCCTCTCCGCAGCTGCTGTAATGACTAAACTCGAGACCTCTGCAGGTGCCAGATTACGGGGTCAACGCGTGACCTTCCTTTATAGGTCCGCAGCTCGGCTTAACTGCTCGCGCCCGGGCACAGGGCACATGAGCAGGAGATCAGCCAGGTGGGCGTTCTGACGCTCGCGGCGGTGGACAGCCGCCTGAGGCAGTACAGGGACGACCAGCATCGCCCGTTCGGTGGGATCCCGATCGTCATGTTCTTCGGCGACTTCTTCCAGTTCGACCCGGTCCGACAGACCAGCCTCCTCCTACCCGAGCCCAGGGACGGCGGCGCGCGGAAACCGGAGAGCTTGGCGAAGCACCTGGCGGCGCACAAGCTGTTCTTCCCGGTCAAGGAAAATGTATTGCCGCTTTTAGACATGGGTGGGGTGTGTAGTTAGGAGCAGCACTGCCTCTTCCACCCTACCCCCCTGTCAATTTCAGCTTGGAAAAATGTGTTTGATTTCGAAATGTACAAATTAACCAGCTTAAGTTCGAATAACGAATTTGCAAGTCAAGGTAAAGGCAAAGTTGAATCGTCATATAAACTAACATACTGCTTGTCTTAATTACAGTTCTATTTTATATTTACATACCTACCTAAGTTTCTTTATTACTTCCTATTAATAAATTAGCACTTATGGCGTCATACCCCCCTAGTTCCCTTTGCATCAGCTGCCGCTTTCACAGGCTTAGTTACTGCAGTCAAATCATCTTGGGAGCTGTCTCGTATGATAAAGAAGAAATATGAGCAGCGTGTACTGAAGGATCATGCCAATGAAATTAACACCAGGCTGCAAGTAAGACTTTATGTTACACGGCAAACAAGCAATCAGCCGCATCACGGCCTAAACGCTATCTACCTGCACAATCAATGGTTGGAATTGAGGCGGACAATCAAATGCCTCGCGGCTGTTAAAGGAAACCAGATCAAATAAAGTTTGTTGTGGCGCTTGGAACTACGTCAAGCCAACTAGCCCGATCTCGAGTTGTTCGAGTGGGCCAAATGACGTCTCTACCAAGTGTTCTAGAGCCACCTGTCTTCATAACGAAACAGGGTACTCGAAGTGATAAAAGAGCGGGATCCAGAAGGATTTAGAGTATTATGACGGGTTATAAATTAATGGAGACCGCCAGGCCTCTCCTGTGTCACGCTATGATAGAAAAAAAAGAGAGAGACAAAGAATGAGAGATCAGCTCAGCTGTCTGTCGTGAACTTCATAGTTAGGACGCGCCCCGAAGAACAGCAAATAGCAATTGTTGATGCCGCTGCAGCGAAACATTGTGACTGATATTCCAGAGGCAGCCATAGCCAATTTTCTGAACCCTTCGTAATCCATCTCTTGCTCATGTCTATTCCATAGCGTTGGTAATGTGGGGGGTTGGTATCGTTAGATCCAGATGCAATCAGCTTCGAATCAAGGGAAGACGCTACCGATTTCACAGAACCGCCATGGCCCTCGAGCGTCTGCGTACATGACCCCGTGGCCGCCTCCCAGATCTTGATGGTACTGTCGGCTGATCCTGACGCAACCCACTTCGAATCGGGCGAGAACGCTACCGAGTAGACCCAACCGCCATGGCCCTCGAGCGTCTGCGTACATGACCCCGTGGCCGCCTCCCAGATCTTGATGGTATGGTCGTCTGATCCTGACGCAACCCACTTCGAATCGGGCGAGAACGTTACCGAGTTGACCGGACCGCCATGGCCCTCGAGCGTCTGCGTACATGACCCCGTGGCCGCCTCCCAGATCTTGATGGTATGGTCGTCTGATCCTGACGCAACCCACTTCGAATCGGGCGAGAACGCTACCGAGTTGACCCAACCGCCATGGCCCTCGAGCGTCTGCGTACATGACCCCGTGGCCGCCTCCCAGATCTTGATGGTACTGTCGGCTGATCCTGACGCAACCCACTTCGAATCGGGCGAGAACGCTACCGACAGGACCCAACCGCCATGGCCCTCGAGCGTCTGCGTACATGACCCCGTGGCCGCCTCCCAGATCTTGATGGTATGGTCGTCTGATCCTGACGCAACCCACTTCGAATCGGGCGAGAACGCTACCGAGTTGACCGAACCGCTATGGCCCTCGAGCGTCTGCCGGCACGCATTCCAGTTATCCTCTACAATTGGCCTCGAAGTAATCCACTTCCGTTCTTCCTGCGTAAATAGGCCTCTTGTTATACTTCGGGCGGGGCTAAACACAAGTGCTGAAGCGTATACCTGAAGAGGATAATTCTCAACAACCCATCTCCAGTATATAACGAATCGGTGCATGTCAGTGACAAGGCTTAGTAATTGAGACGTAATCGACTTATGCTAAATTCCTATTAGGACCGCTTAATAATAGGATACTATTACTGGGTAGAGCCTACCTGAAGAATGCTTTCGAGCTTTACCAATAAAAGTATCCCCTGCGGCATGCTCTTACAAAGTGAAAGTGCTTCAAGCCAGTGGAGGTAGTGCTGCCTCAGAAAGCTATCGACGATACCACCATCTTGGAAAATATTTGGGTGCTTGCTATCGTCGCTCGACTGCCAGTTACAGAGATGATCAACCCAGTAAACGCACGAGTACCGCACTGTCGCAAGAGGGTCCGGGTCCGGCACTCGGACGTGGTCGATAGAAAATCCTGGTATACATAAGCCGTATCTATCGCGTTGCAACTTGCCTGAGAGAAGCTTTAGTGACCGATCCGATATGTCATGGTGGGTCACAGCCACACCACTGGGGAAAAGTAATGGGGAGGCTTGATCACTTAAGTAGTCCTTGGCTGATTGATGAACGAGGTAGATCTGGTTATCTCGAACCGTGAGAAAGGATCCGCACTTGGCCACGATCTTCTGAATATTTTCCGTCGACCTGACAATCTGTTCCGGTAATCCAGACAAGCCGCCTATTTCGTCCAAGTAAAGTGGGCGGTATGCTACCGTCACCACCGAGAGAATGCGCCAACAGAATTCCGAGTCCCGTTTATTCCGCTCGATCTCATCCAGCATGCGCTTGTACATCCCATCCAGCCCCGGTGGCACTTCTTCGACAATCTGCAGAACATGCCAGCTCTCAACCCCATCCATGCTGAGTTCCTGCACGACGAGGGCGACCCAGAGGAACGTGTCGTTTGCCTTGTTGTGTAGAATATCCCGTACTTGATCCTTTAGCAGGGCGTCGTCCTGAAGTGCTTCCAACCCAGATAGTTTATCGTCGATGTACACATCGACGGCATGAGACACCTCCATCGCATTTTCCTTCAGCTCAAGACTAAGCCTTGTTCGCGCATTGTTAGATTTCAATTTCTTCTCGATGATCGTCTCGTTCCGGCTTGTTAAGAGCCATTTTATCCGATCGGATGAGATACAGACGATAAAGTCTAAAAGCTTCGGTAGGTCGATAACACATTCGTCTAGGGCATCGACGACTAAACAGGTTGGCTTCACGTTCGGATCTCCTAGCATCCCCACTAAAATGTCCGAGAGGGCAAACCACGCATTTGCATCGGAGAGGGATTTACCAGCGTCGGTGTATTTGCGCACGTGGGAGATGAGACGTGGCTGCTGGTGGGCAAGAAGGTAGATCAGGCCACGTAACACGGCAATGGCGTTATTGATGCGGGAGTCGGTAGCTTGGCAGAAGAAGTAGGCCAGATTACGACAATGCCCGTCTGCAACAATGGCTCCCTGTAGCTCGTTGATGATGCCGCAGAGTAACATGGTCTTGCCTTTGCCGGGATCTCCATTGATCCAGAGTAAGCGGCTCTCCGACCGTTCACGCCATAGACAGAAGTCGGGGTTGGCGAAAACCCAGCGGTAAGCGCCAGTAAGCAACCCACCTTTTGCCTCCTCGATGCGCTTCTTATCAAGGCGCGGGTCGGTAGAATGCAGACTGGACAGACAGCGATCATGCTTACTGATTTCCTCTCGCAGCCGCCCAAATGCTCTATCTTCTCCTTCGCCATACAGAAGCGGCATTGTTATATCAAAGATGCCGAATAGCGAGTACGCCTTATCTTCTTTTTGTGTAGTGTTACGCTTTCCGACCCACGACAGACGCTCTTCGATGCTGAAGTCGGATAATGTATTGCCTGGGAGAGCCTCTAGGGGAATTTCGGTTATATCGTGGATTTGTTGTTCCAAAGACTTTTTATCTCCTAGACGCTCGCCCTCTTTGGAGAAGAATTCTACAATTACTGGAGCAATGAGCTCTTGTAGGGTCCATCCACGAGTGAACCACCTGGATTTTCGAAAGGTCAATTCCCACCAGCCAAAGTTGCCGTCGGTATCCTGCTGGCAGGTTGAGACGTCTGTGAGATAGACATAGCATTTAGCTGCATTGCGGTACCACTGAAACATGGAGTTAAGGGCGCGCTGAACTTCGGTGCTATCGGATTTGTCGATGCAGCATGTGTCGACCCAGAAGAATTTCAGCCCATCGCGTCCGGCTTGATCTCCGCAAAACTGGATCTTGGAGTAGCCTCTTTTCTTCTTGCATATACCGTCCTTAATATCCTTAAAGATAATCTCTTCGTCGCCCCAGGTGTGCGAAAGTATTGCATACGGTGGGACCTGGTCGTCGGGAATGTCATCCGTCAAACTAAAATCGCCGGTATCATTGCGTTCCAGAAGGCGCATTGTCGAAAAAGCGCCGAGCTTAGCTCTCGTAGCTACTCGTATGACTGTCCGACAGCGGGAAAAGGCGAGCAGGTGGGCCGGGTGGATGGACGAAACTAGTAGGCTCAACAAATCAGTAGCTGAAACCAGGATAAGCTCTCAGACATAGATCAGAATCACCTACCGCGAGTAATTGTTGAGCTACGTAGCGCAAATCTTAGTGGGTTCGATTGTTGCAGCTCAAAGGTGGTTGTTGTTGCTGCTGTCTCCAAGGGTTAAGGTGCAGTCCTGCCCAGATTGCCAACCCCGCACATCAGGCATTTTGCTGGGCGTTGGCGCCCAAGCGGCTGGCGCCAACTGCGCATACTGGAAGCATCGTTATTGGCGGTGTTTCGCTGGCGTGCATGAAGATGTCCCTTTGGAGGCCGTCGTGTTGGCGCATCCGTATGCTAGCCGGTGCCACGAATGCACTGTCCATAAAACCGTAATGTTTCTTGAAAGTTTGAGGCGGCTGAGGATCGGCGTCTCGTTCATTTTACAAGGAGACTACACAACGGATTGCCGTGAGGACGCAGCAGGCTACGAGACGAGGAGGGGCGACGGCTACACAACTTGCAGAGAGGGCGGAGCTCCTTGAAGAACAAGAATTTGCAGGTCTGACAACTGTCTGGAAAGAAGTCTACAGTTTCATGCGGTGCACCGGTTCTCCCTGCCAAGGGACTTATTGCTGGCGGGAACCAGATAACCGGAAGCATTACAAACTTGATACAAGTGTCTTGCCAAACCATGTCGACTACGCTGAAGGAGGTAACATGCTCAGGACTCTATGCCAAGTCCACTACAAAAAGCCATTTCGCCTCCACGTTTCTGTTGGAAGTAGCAATTGGCATTGTACTCGCCTGCTTTTTCAGCTGACCGAGGTGATAATTCTGTTGCCGTTCTTTTCAAATATTGCGTCATGGTCCTGAGATGGGATGCCTGCTATATCGCCCTTTTCCTTGAGAAGTTCGGAATGGGTTTGTTGGCTGCGTTAATTTGGATGTGGATACATGTTGGGGCCATCCAGACCTTATTGCGAGTTAGGAAGTCGTCGGTGCCAAATCCATAATTGGCTCCACGAAAAGATAGGCCGAACAATACTATTCAGGTTATATCGAGCTGATAGTAGGATTAGAATGCAGTACGAGTGAGTAGGAAGTGTATGCTGGATAGGCGAGTGAAGGGGGTTGCTAAACTGGGATGAACAGCACGCACTTGAGAAGGGGCTGGCCCGTCCTACCGCCGGTTTCCCAAAAGCCCTCGAGATCTTATGGGATTATAGTATATCGGCCCGATATTAAAAACCCTAAGACCCGAGATTTGCGGGTAGGCTAGGGGGAGCAAACGACTATATACCTGAGGTGAGGGCCTGGGCTGTGCCGCAGTGATGAGCCAAGTCCAGCACAAACGTGCACGGGCATCCAAGCGCGAGCCAGTTGTTTAGCTGAATTCTCAGCAAAACGCATTCCTTGCGATAGCATACATATGATCTTGGTTTCGGCTTCGAAGAGGGGAGTGGTAAATGTTCCAGTTATACAAAGAGTTATGCTTCATCATCATTCCGCCTGAGAGCCTGAAAATGCAAGCTCGATGTACCGAAGTACCTCTGTTTTCTACAGCCCGTTTTATTTTCGATTTCTATTTTCTGTCGGCGGTTATATGCTTCAGGTTTATTGGAAAACTGAGGGGTGTGAATGTAGAAGATAGGGAGAGAAATCTTCCTCAGTTTTTGGCAGTATGTCATCCGAAATCTGTATCGGATTTCCCTGGAAATGACAGTCTGGATGTACAGTGCCTACTACTATAGAAGGACCCAGATATAACCTACCCAGAATGCACTCTGAGTTACCCAGTGGAAAAGGGGAGAGAGATACTTGATGTAGTGCTATTCGCGATGAAGAGTGCGCTTGAGACATTCTGAAAAGCCTCCGAATATGGAGGTAAATGAAGGAGATGCCTGAAGTTCGTCGGCCTTTCATATCGTGACTGTCGTGAAGATGGCGAGTCGTCCCGCTCCTGTAAAACGGCTTATCTAACTCTAAGTAAGGTAGGTTAGGATGACACACGTTGGCGCAATTGATTTAGCAACATTTCCAGCTTGCTTCGAGATCAACACAATTTGCAAGTTTGTCTCTTCGGGACCACTTGCTCGCAAGAACGGGATTGGAGGGGATCTTGCAGTCGTGCCTTGTGGTAAATGTGACAGGATATATCAAACTGACGAAGAGTGAAGCATGTGGAAGGCTGAGAGAACTGATAAACTGCTGGGCAGTTCCGCTTCTGTGGTGCTGATGAGTTGTGTGGACACACAGCCCCTGTAACTGTGGACGGCGATGCTGATGATAACAGGAGCGCTTCTGTTGCTGCGTCGGAGTTAGCTCATCACTTCGTCGGCATCTTGCGTGCTCTGACTTTTGTGATTCAGTCAGCGCTCCGGTGCTAGATCTGCAAGCCCCTTACATACTACCTACCTAATCTATACTGCAGGATTCGACCGCCGGCACGCTTTCGATGATGATCGTGCCATTAACATGCACTGCGCCGCATAACAGGCGCGATACATGTAGGCCGTTGAAACTAGACTCGGTTTTCGCCATGTGTTTGGAGACGCAACGGAACGAAATGGTCATCAAGAAGTCGTTGTTGGTGTTGATTGCTTGAGGAGCAATGCCTTGATATGGAATCCCCATCCCGCTCGGGTTCGGGAAGGAGGTGTGGTTTCTTGCAAGGACTTATCCCTTATTCGCTGCCAAAGTCAGCTTACCTACATCGGCTATATGTTTCAAGATTCTTTCGAAATACGCGGGGTGTCTGTCAGCTGAGGACCCTAATGGCCCTCTGTAACCCCCGTCGGCCTTTCTGCCCAACAGAACCACAATCGTTGGACAGCCGGTAAGCTAGTTCGATCCGGCAACGGCTTCCGGCGATCCAACAAAAATGCTTGTTGCAACTTCGTCATGTGCGTTGGCGGTCTGTGCTTTGTGTAATGTGTGCTGTCGGAGAATACCGCCCGGGCTACGGACCATGAGTTACCCCTCCTCACTTGCCACCTGTATTTTCGACCTGCACACAATGTACAAAGTTTGGACCGCATATCTTACACAAATGGGCACAAAGATGGACGCCAACCAGTTTTCCATTTCATCAGGAGGATTTTGTTTCCCTCTTCCACCCCTTCTCCGAGGGCAGAGGCATGACGTCCGCCTCGTTATTACTGGCTTTTCGTTTGGCCTATAACCCCGCTTGCGTGTTTCTGAGTCTGCATTAAACTGTAGCAACGCAGCGAGGCTGCAGATGACAAAGATCAGGGTATTCTGCACCACGTATACGAGTCCTGTAATCACCCCGGCTTATGTGCTCGCCACCCCACCCTGTCCCCCACAAGACTCTTCTTAAAGACAACCCCCAGCGCAACCCACCCATCGACACCTCGCCAAGAAATCTATCGCGCAGCCACAGCCCTTAGACGGACGACAGTTATATCTCAAGTTTTGCTGCTGCTCTGTTTGTTTTCTTACTTTGGTCTGGCCTGCCATGTTCATCACGCTACGAAGTTCGGGCGGCGGCCAGGCAGAGGGAGGGGGGATGGAAGTTGTGCGACGCAACTCAGGGCCCGGCGTGGTTAAAGATCGCACTCGTCCTATGCGACGACCTGCCTGTGTCGCCTGCCAGACCAAAAAGGTACGTTCAATATCGGGGTAGCTTCCTACTCAAGCAATCTGACAAAGTTCTCACCCGTCTGGTAGCTGCGTTGCACTGGTAGTAACCCTCGCAATTGTGACCGATGCCGGGCCAGAATGGTCGAATGCGTCGTGCCGACAAGTAACGGCCGGGAGAAGCCTCGCACGAATTCGTCGCAATCGCCGCAACCCAACAACCCACCAGGGCGCCCATGGCAGGACATTGGCGATGCGTCTTCTCAACCGGGCGATCAACAAGGCGAGGGCTTGAACGGCGCAGGTTTGGGACCATCCAAGCCGTCGCAGCAGGCGGCCACCACAGCACCAAGAGTTCAGGTTGGTGGGGATCCGCTGTTAGATAACGACTTCTTTGACTGCGAGTTCGCATTGGTAGACTCGGCAGATCAGCCGTGGGCAGCGGGGCTGACGACTGCTGGTAACACGTCAGTGGATCTTATCGACGGGCTGGATATGGATATGGACTTTGGCCGGCACAGTGCCTCTGGGGAGGTTCGATCCAGCATAAGCAGCTCTACCAACAGTGGGAGCAATGACGCTCGGCAGTCCAATAAGCCACACCAGGACCCCTACAACAACCTTGATTTCTTCTTATCCAGCGAAGGCCCCATCTCGCAGCCCCAGCCCCAGCCCCGGCCAATTCCTCATACCACTACTCAAGAATTACCAAGCATGCTCGCACTGGATACGGCGCCGTTGTCTCCAGGCCAATCTTGGGCCCTCTCGGGCGTTCAGAACCCGCCAAACCCAAACCGACCCGGTTTACCGCCGTGCTCGTGTCTTACTGACCTCGTCCGTGTCGTGCAGCAACTCGACGACGACGAGTTTCACATCACGACCATGTCTCTCGACCAAGTCTTACGGCTTCAAAAATGGCTCGTCTTTCAATGCTGCAAACCTTTTGACTGCCCCAAGTGTCTGGACCTTTCTACTATTCACACCATGCGCCTCATCCTCTGCGATCGTCTCACCGAGATGTTTGAGTGCATTCATCTCCGCATCAAGCGGGCAGGCGCCATTCTGAGCAACAACGGCAGCGACTCTAGTAGCCAAGCAACGCCATCTTCGTTGACCGACTCCAGTTCTGCGCAGTCACATTCTTCTCTCGGTGGATCACAGCCACAGTTGACAGCTGCTGTCGGTTCAGGGCCTTTGCCAGCCCAACTGTTCTGCAGCTCATCGGGACGCGCGGCCAACACTGCCGCTTGCAACCCCTTGATGTTTTCGGACGAGTTCAGGAATCAGTATTCAGACGAGGAGCAGGTTCACATGATTCGGGTGCTTTTGAGACTGCAGAGTCGCAATTTCCAGATGCTGCTCTCGCGAGTTGAGCGGACCAGCCAGGTTGCAGCTAGCCCGGCACGTCAGACCAAGGTGAAGTCCATGATGGTGCGTCTTGGAAAGGCGTCGGCTGATATTGAGGGGGCTTTGAGGGTTGTTCAGGGGCTGTCGATTTGATGAGACAGTCAGTCATGCTGCATCTACATTTATGTACTTGAACATCACCATTACATTCATCAGGCATTGGTTGGATACAGAAGAATAAGAATGTCGTCATATTTCCGCAAGCATACACCAAGTGCCACCCACCCTGAATCCTGAGTCCTACACAACTTGCGCGCGCAAGAGTAACCCCCTAGTTCTTCCTCGGCTTGAAAACCGCCTCAATATTACTCTGCGCCGTAAACCAAGTCCCGTTGACAGTCCACTCCTTGTCACTGGCCAAAGTTATGTCAAAGTGGCGGTACAGCTCAAACACGACCTTCCACATCTCCAGGATGGAGATATTCTTGCCAATGCAGCTTCTGGGGCCGTAGCCAAACTGTTTTGTCACGCCAGTATTAGCATCAAATGATGACTCCCGTAGCACCAACAGGCAGGACTCACAGTAAACAAATTCCTCTTCATCTCCTTAATCTTCCCCTCATCCCCGTCCACCCACCTTTCCGGCCGGAAAGAGTGGACATCCTCCCCGAAAATATCCTTGTTTCGGTGCAGAACCCATGAGTTCACGCCCACGACTGTCCCGGCGGGGAGGTAGACCCCGTGAAGTGTCACGCCTCCCTTGGGGACAATGCGTTCAAGAATGAACCCTGTGGCGGGGTGGATCCTCATCGCTTCGTTGATAACAGCTGTAAGGTAGGGGAGTTTGATAGCTTCCGCATAAGTGATGATACCGTCCAGCTTTGCGGCTACGGAGTCAATCTCCTCGATGAGCCTAGCTTTGGCGGCGGGATACTTGTGCAGATGGTAGATAACCGAGGACAACGAAACAGCGGTGGTGTCCGACCCGGCGATGACATTGGTCGTGGTAATAGCGACGATTTCCTCAAAAGACAAGGCGGACGGGTCGTTGTGATGGGTGTCGAGGAGCTGGGTGAGGATATCCTTCCTCGGCACGGGGTTCTTCTGCCGCTCTTGGATCTGCTGCAGCGAAAACTGGAGGACTTGGTTTGTCTTCTCCACGGCGGGTATCTTGGCGAGAAGGGGGTTGCCGAGCAGGAACTTGTGCACCTGCGGCACTTGTCCTATCAACGAGACGTAACCTAGAATCTGGCCAATCGCGGCAATGATGCCGTCTTTGTCGGCGCCAGCTTCGAGGAAACCGAGGTCTTTGGAGAAGTTGATCTCGCCTAAGACGTCGAAGGCGAAGTACTGCATCCAGGCTACGGGGTCGAGGGGCTTCTTGCCGTTGTGGGAGACGTCGCGGACGCGCTGGAGGAGGACGGAAATGCACTTGTTTACGTACTCTTCGAGGCCTATCACGACGTCCATGGAGAAGGCGCGGGCGGAGCCGCGTTTGAGCTTGGCGTGGTAGTCGTTGCTTGTGGTGGTGAAGAGGGTGGGGAGGAATTTTCCTTTGTAGACTGCTTCTGCTAGGGGGTAGAATCCGCTCTGTAGGCTGGTGTTAGCTAATGACGCTGGGCGGCTATGGAGTCTGCGCATATACCTTGGGAAAGACATTCTTGACCCCGTAAATCGTCTGCATGCTCTCAGCATCTGACACCGAGACATGGTTAGGCCCAATCCGCACGATAGGCCCATAGTCTTCGTGCACCCGCACGTTTTCCCGGTGCATGTTCTGATTCCATGTTGCCCGTAGCTTCCACAAGTTGGAGAAGCTCGCCAGAAAGGGTCCCGGTATCTGGCGCAATCCGCTGCGGTATCTCGTCCAGACGAGGTTGGTGAGCAGCAGAATGAGTACTGTCGTCCAGGGGCGAAGCTGTACCCAGCTCCAACTCAACGCGAGAAGTCGTTGGTGCTCGTCGAGATGGGTATTGCTGACGGTGGCGTTATGCATTGTAAAGAGTTGTGATGTTGGTGTTGGTTCTGCTTAGCTACCTATGTTGATACCCTTTTTCGTCAAGTAAGACATGAAGGCATAATCAATATTGATCAGCATGTCTTCGTTGCCATATGCAGCTGTATTTCTACCATCTCCAACATTGGGCCTTCCCGGCGTGCTACACCAGCTCTGTAGCATGTCGATAGCCGTGTCAGCCCACAAGCCTTTCTTGCGATAGTCCGAGAAAGGGTCTCCCCGCGTTCTACTCGAGAGGCACTCGCCAGCCAAACGCACGGCTACCGCATGTAGTAGTCCTCGTAGCTGTACTTTGGAGTACAAGACTTGGCAGGTGGCAGCACCTCGACAGTTCAACACCAAGGGTCCAAGGCTCGTCGGACATAATTTGCACAAACCGGAGATAGAAAAATCGGTGAGAGCAGGATGGAATGGATCAGCCATGACGTGCTTGGGATTGGTAGGGTTCGGCCCGTGTCACGAGCGCAGGATGCGGCAAGCCTTGCCGAGCAGTGGTCCAATTAGGAAGTTAACCGTTTCACTGATGTTGTAAGCAGAAGAGTGGGGCTCCTGCAAATGGTCTAAATAGTGGGGTTTCCTGAAAGGGCATTTTTGTCGGAGTTCCGATTGCGGGTTAGCGCATCGGTTCGTTTGAAATCATCGGATTGGTCACCTTCTGGTCTTCCAAAGAGGAAATTTTCTCGGGGCGCAACTCTGCAAAGGGCAGCGCTGGGATCGATCATCGGAGATAAATGCATGATTTTGGATGAGGAAACATGAAGGTCTAAAAAGAGTTGTGGCAGAGTTCCACATAGACCACACTGCCCTACAGGGCGTACTGCATCGTACGGCACACTTGGGACACGGGGCACGCCGCATGGTGTCATACTCGGAGTAGTTGTAGGACTTGTAGAACTGAGAACCAAGGTGACGGATACATAATGGTACAAAGTTTGTGCAGTAGAAGCCTCACGGTGCAAGGTGAACCATCAAATCAATCTGCCTATCATGTCTGCCCCTACCAAGACTCAGAACTGCCTTGTCCCCTATGTGGATCTTCAAACCGCCCCTCCGGAGGTGGCAGCGGCGATAACCCATCTCCCGTATCGCCGCAACATCTTTCACCTCCTGGGACACTCACATGGATCTTTCCCAAGGCTCATGGGAGTCTACGCCAATTTCTTCGACGGCAACCGGCGCATTCTGCCGCTTCTCGACTGGCAGCTCGTTGTCCTGCGCATCTCGGCTGTGCTGGACGCAGAGTACGAGTGGGACGTCAACGCTCCAGTGGCACGCATCAACGGCATGCCTGAAGAGAAATTCGAGGCCCTCAAGCGCACCGCCGGCAAGGGTGTCGATGCATTGGCAAAAGAGACCGTCTTCACTGAGCGTGACCGGGCCATTTTGCAACTCGTGGACGAGCAGCTTGCCACATACAACAACACCGAGGAGACGATTGAGAAGGCGAAGAAGCTGCTGACTGTGGAGGAGCTGGTCGAAGTCTACGTCGTGCTTGGTGTCTATGTCCTCATTGCGCGCATCACCAAGGGTTTGCGCATCGACTTGGATGGTGAGATTCCTGGATTGGAGGAGCACTTGAAGAAAGTTGTCACGGGAAAATGAGAGTGTTTGTCAGGCAGAGAATAGTTGTGGTAGAAAATGGAGCCTTGTGTCTGATTACATGATACGCTGAGAGTGACATGAGACAATTTCCTCTTTGGGCAGTGTGGACCCCTGTTTTTGAATGGGAGAGCAACTGCGACGTGCCGTCCCTCTTGCTCCCTTTCTTTTTGTTTGCTGCCAAACAGGTGTCCAAAGACCCATTTCTAATCACTGGATTTGCAAAGGATTTGCATTCCTTTGATTAGCGGATTTAATTTGGTGTTCATTTTTGTGTCGGCCCAATATCGACCGCGCTCCTTTTTATCGTCGACCCCCCGGCCACATGCAGCGCTCGCGAATCTGAAATCCGATATCTTGCATCTTTTAATCCAGACCAAGCTCTCTTCCTCTCAACAACTTTTCATCACATCATCAATCGTCCTGCTACAATCCCAAAGGTCGAACCTGATACCCACCAAGACCCCCGGGTCGCCTGTCCATAACATGTCTTCTGGAGCGGCCTCCCTCAAGGAGAAGCCGCTTGATCCCGCCGTTGAGTTGCCGGCGGACAACGGCCACAGCTCCGATTCACAGCTCGAAGCCGGTGCACCGACTGCCGCGCCAGCAGAACCTGATCAGAATGCATCACCAAGAAACATTCACGGTGTTATTGTAAGGACTCATTGCCGGTTGAGATATGGTGTGATAAGAGAGATTCACTAACATTTCTTGCCTCCTAAAGTGGGCCTTGGTTGTCGTTGCCATTCTATCCAGCATTTTCCTCTACTCCCTCGACAACACAGTCGTCGCCGACATCACACCAGCCGTGGTCAACAATTTTGGCGATGCGCTCAAGCTACCATGGCTGTCTGTTGGGTATGTTTACATCGACCTCCTTCTGCAAGAGTACAGTCTCTGACCATGGTTTGTGTCTAGTTTCCTCCTCGGTGGAGCAGCAGTCGTCCTCCCCTTCGGCCGCCTGTACGGCCTCTTCGACGCTAAATGGCTGTACATCCTCTCCTCCATCCTCTTCAACGTCGGCTCTGCCCTTTGCGGTGCAGCTCCCAACATGGACGCCCTCATCATCGGCCGTGTCCTTGCCGGCATGGGCGGCAATGGCATGTACCTCGGTGTCATGACCCTTCTCTCCGTCAATACCTCCGACCGCGAGCGCCCCGGGTATCTTAGTTTCGTCGGTCTGGTCTGGGGTATCGGCACGGTTTTGGGACCCGTGGTAGGCGGTGCGTTTGTTGAGTCACCGGCGACGTGGAGGTGGGCGTTTTACATCAACCTTTGTGTCGCTGGTCTATTCGCCCCGGTCTACCTCCTTTGGATCCCGAACTTCAAACCTCGTGCCGGGACCAAGACCCTGACGCTTGCCAAGGAGTTTGACTGGGTCGGAACTGTGCTTAGCATGGGAGCCATCACGGCCTTGATCATGGCTACCAACCTCGGTGGCGCGCTTTATGCCTGGGACAGCGGGCAGATCATCGCGCTTTTTGTCGTGGCGTTCTCGCTCTTTATCCTTTTTGGGATCCAACAAACCTACACCATCCTGACCAACCTGACCTCGAGGATCTTTCCCATCCAGTTCATGAGGAACTGGAACGCGGTGCTGCTTTTTTGCTGCGCTGCGGCGGTGAACACGGCTGGCTTCGTGCCGATTTACTATGTCCCGCTGTATTTCCAGTTCACGAGGGGCGATAGTGCTATCACGGCGGCGGTGAGGTTGTTGCCGCTTATTTTTGTGCTGAGCGCTGCTATTCTTGCGAATGGGCATTTGATGGCGAGGTTTAGTTACTTCCAGCCGTGGTATGTTTTTGGGAGTGTTTTGACGTTGATTGGCGGGGTTTTGATGTGTAAGTCTTTGTCTTGTTCTGCTGCCAATGGAAGGGAAACTAACCGTGTCACAGCTCGCATCACGACCGAGACGCCTGAGGGTCAGATCTACGGCTTCGAGATTCTGCTTGGTATTGGTACCGGTTGCTTTATCCAGGCCGGGTATGCTGTTATCCAAGCTGTCACCCCGCCAGCGGACATGGCGTATGCGATCTCGTTCATGATGCTGGGTCAGTTGGGTGGTATCGCGTTGGGTCTTGCGATTGCTGGTGCCATCTTTGTCAATGACGCTATCAAGAATCTGATTGTGGTCCTGCCTGATGCGACACGGGAGCAGCTTCAGATGGCCATCTCGGGGACCAGTGGCGAGTTCTTCAGCTCTTTGGCCCCTGGGGTGCGTGCTGCGGCCACGGATGCGATTGTTGTCGCGCTGAGGCAGGTGTTTATTCCTGTTTATGTTGCGGCTGCTTTTAGTTTGGTGCTGTCGGTGTGCTTTACTGTGAGTATTCTTTCTCTCCTGATTGACTGTGAGGATGTGACTGACGGCTTTGTTAGCAACGGAAGATGTTTGGTAATATTCAGGCCATTGCGGCGTAAGAGTTTTATGGTTCGGGAGTTGGATTGGAGGTGTTGGAAACAGTGACAGATTGGTGACCGCCTTTTGAGTGTGGTATCTGGGCCATGTGTAATGTACATGTGATAAAGTTGGAAACACTCGCGTTTGGGCAGACAGGGAAGTTGGTAAAATCAAAATGGACTGGATGTCGGCGGACTTTTTTTCAATTCTCTGTGAATTCGAGCAAACTTGGGCGGTTCGAGAGAAACACCCACGGAGTTTTTTATTCTTGTACTTGCACTAATTGGAAGTTCTACACCTCTAGGTAACCTGATATCCAGTGCTCACTATGTCTTCAGTTCAAGTCAATTTCCAAACAGTCTTGACGTGTCCTGCCTCCCCCTTGGCAAGCTCAACCGCCTCTTCCAGCGCTTTCTCAACCTCACCCTCACCAGCGGTGGTCCAGTCCACAACCTTGACCCTGGGCCTTTTCAACGTCCCATCCACAAACATTCTCGCAATCTCACCGATCAAGCTTTCCGTCTGCTCGTCCCCCATTCTCTTGAGGTGTTCCGACCCCCTAAAGGGCAGGAAACTGAGCTGCCGGTTGAACAAATGCTGAGTCGTGAGCTGCATGCTCGCCTTTGGGCCAGCCAACAAGCCGACAAGCACGAACTTGCCGCCTGGTGCGAGGGAAGCTGCGAGGAGCTCGCCGATTTTGCCAAAGACGCTGTCGAGGGCGAGGATGATGGGTTGTTTGGGGAGAAGGAGTCCGGCCTCTACCTCGGACTCTGTCAGGACAGCTTCTGCACCGAGAGCAAGGAGCTCGGCCTTGACCGGTTCTGGATTGGGACGGTCGCGGATGACGAGGATGGGTTTTATGCCGCGGTGTTTGGCCAGTTGGATGAGGAACTGAGAGACTGTGCTTGTTCCTGCTGAGATGATGATGTGGTCGCCTGCTTTGAGGGGGGTGGAGGGGTTGGTGAGGAGGAGGTGGGCGATTAGGGCTCCGGAGCGGATGAGGGATGCGTCGATGGGGGAGATGGTGCTGACGCTGGGGGGGAGTTTGAGGAGGGAGAAGGCGGGGAGGATGGCGTGGGTGCGCCAGGTTCCGAGGCCGAGGTCACGGGGGAGTGTGAGGTCTCCGGGGGAAAAGAGTGGGGAGGTAGAGGATTCGACGAGGGCGATGCCGTCGAAGCCGGGGATGGGGGTGTTGGTGGTGGGGGAGGTGTATTTTGGTTTGAGGGGGTATTGGTTGTTTAGGACCATGAGGTCGACGCGGTTGACGGGGGAGGCGAGGAAGCGGACGAGGACGGAGTCGGGGGGGGATTCGGCGGGCAGGGAGGGGATGGGGTGGGTGGTGAGTTTGCAGGTGGTGCCGGTTTGGGCGAGGGATTGCGCCATTGTGCTTTTGGGGGGGAATATTCTGTACGAAGGAGTAGGGTAGGTGCTACAAGATGGAGGTGGAGAAGGCTGCGAGATCTACACGTCAATTAGATAGGTAGTTACTACCTGCCCCATCAGACTCATCCTGATATATAGCACATTTTTACATAAGTCAATCCACGTTACATGCACATCTATCCCCACAGGAGGAGGAACTGCCAAGGACTGATGGTTGCATATCTGCCCTTCTGGAAGAAAGCCAAAGGGGACATAGATGTAACATACCAAATCTGGTCTTCCCCGAGAAGGAGGCGAAAATTGTTCCGCCCATGCTCATCATTGGCAGCTTCGAGAAGGTCCCAACAAGGTAACACAGCAGAAACAACAGTTCGCTTATTCTTTATGCTTATCTTTGGTTGGATGGTCCAATCTCGCATTTCTTGTCTCTGATCAAGATCTGCAATCTGCAACGCGGCTGAACCCTCACGTGGTCTTGGCTCAACCTTCTCTTCACCACGCTCGGCTGTATCGTTCGGCACCATGGCACGTCGTGGCAAAAAATGATACCTGGGACACATCACAACTTGAAGGCAATAATCATCAAAGGATCAAGAGGTACGATGGGGGATGTTGTATGTATTGTGTCAAGAGCAAACTAATCAACATGAACCGAGCAACCGTGATGTTTTATGGCCCCAATAGGTGGCGGCATCAAGCCCGCTGAGCCCCGTCCTTCCACCGAATCTGAGTAACACCATCGAAGACAGGGAGAAGCAAGACATCGATGCGGGGGTCCTCCATGAGACCGGCGCTGAACTTGTCCAATGCCTGTCCGCAGCCATTCCAGTAAGGGCGGACGTGGTCGTTGAGCCAAGGTGCGCAGTCGGGGCCGATGGTGAGGCCACGGGCAAAGACTGTTTCAAATCAGCATTCGCTTTCGAGAATAACGTCAGGAAGGGCTTACCGTTGTCGCAGAGAATGATGCCGTTGGCAGAGAGCAGACCCTGGTCCAGGATCGTCTTGACATATCCAGCATAGCCGTCCTTGTTGGCATCGACAAAAATGAGGTCAAACTCGCCCTCCAGGGTCTTGAGAGTGTTCTCGGCGGGACCCTCAATCAGCTTCACGCGGTCACCGACCCCGTACTTCTTGAAGGCCTCGCGAGAGGCGGCAATCATTTTGGGGCTGTATTCAAGCGTGACAATCTCGGCCTTGGTGTCACGGGTACCTTCGTACCAGGCCAAGGCACTGTAGCCAGAGTAGCAACCAATCTCGAGGACTAAAGCACCAGAGTTAGCTCTGGACTATGTGTGGGTGATGGATAATGATTGCTTACTTCTCTTGGGCTTGCGGTCACGAGCAGTGAAGATCATCCAGGAGCCCTGAAGACGACTAGACATCTTGTCGGCATCGGGGAAGCGAGTGCGAGTCCACTCCCAATGCTCAACCAGGGCGTCAGGGATCCCATGAGAGTTCTTCTCACAGTAGGCGCTGACGCGGTCCGCCGTCTCCTCGTTGAATGGAAGAATACTGCCCAACATCTTGACTAAAGTATGATGTGTCGAGGTGATTCAAAACTCGTAATTGTGCTGATGAAATGTACTGCGGAAGTTGTGGGAACTGATGATATGATGATCTTGGTAGAAAGGGAACGGGGTTTATATCCTTCTGTGAAACCGTCCTGATGCCAAAGGTGTAGAGGCATAAGCGGTTAACATTGCAGCTGCCATAGATTGTCGCCGGTTAGGCCACCTGCCCGTTGTGCGTTAGAAAAATGCAGCACATTGTGATGCAGAAGTCAAGATGCGCAAAGATTGAGTTAGGACGTTCCCTTCAGTCGTGCTCTAATTTCCGTTTAGGGACATTGAAGACACTATTCAGGCGATCAGATTAAGCGGACACCGCCTCGGCCGAAGCTGACCACAGACTGTGAGGTCCAACTGCATTGCATGAACCGTGTGGCCAGTATACGCGGTGTACTGACGACATTAGGCGGAATACCCAATCCGGAGCAAACTCCGGGGAAAAGGCTGTGAGGCTCCCCGCAACTCCGCGAGATCCAAGATGGGTGTATGCAGTGTCACTCTTGTGGTTGGGGCTGCGCCACAGGGCAGCAGATTCCCCGTTGTAGTAAGTCAGCGAAACCCGGATCCCCGATGTGGTATGCAATATGTGCATGGACACGTAACCTCATGATACCAGGGCCGAAAAATTTGCCGGGAGGCTTGAAAAGACGAATCGGGAGTCTATGGGCAAGTGGATAGGTACCGTGAACTAAAGATACCTCCCTAACTCCTATTCGGGTTGTTTCGGGCCGTACCTAGAGGATGACGGGTGATGCCGGTTCTTCCAAGATTCGATACTGGAAACATGCTCGTCGCTTCACAGCGTACAGAAGAGCTTGATAGCTCTTCTTACAGGTAGATTCGAGGCTAGAATATGTCTAAATGATGGATCTTAATTGTATGTCGACACAATGTGGTATCTGTGGGTTGCCAGATATCATTGTAGTCGGGTCGTACATGTCTGAATCCGAGTCTCATCCAGTTGCAATGTGTGGTAATAAGATTCGTTTTGGGTTCCTCAAAAGATACGGTGAGTAGTTGGCCCTACGGGAAGAGTCTGAGGGATCTGTTCCTCGGTAAGGGGACCTGGGGCACCTGTAAGTCTCCAGAAGTATGGAAGGTGGCCAGCCCTAGATGAGAAATAAAATGCATATAAGCATATAAACTCAAGCATCTGGACTCTCATACTTCTTCTTGTTCCGCATCCACACCCAACCGTTCTTCTTTCTCCTGACTTCTTTCTATGGAGCTCATGTGATAACTCGCCCTGTTCAATCAGTATGCGCTATCACCGAGGAGAAACTCAACTTTCTTTTCAGGAGACCCCACCCTCGTCGACAACACCGTCCACCATGGGCGTGATCGATACTTCAGTCGAACATGGCTGGCTGGACAGCCCCAAACAGCCTCATGTGACGGCCAAGTCGATCAACCGGACCATGTCGCTCCACGTCACATACAAGCAAGTCGCCAGAGCTCTTTCCACTTTGCGTGGCATCGGTGCCGACAGTCAAGCTGGTGGTCACTGGGCACCCGACAACGAGATTGAATCCGAGATCCCTTGCACTCCTGTTCAACAAGGACTGCTGCTGAAGGATCCGGAAGCGGCAAAGAGGGCTTCCATCATCCGTCTGGACCTCTCCACCGACATCGTCAAGAGCTTCGACCAGCTCCACGAGGCATGGCATGCCCTCGCCTTGCAGCACCACATGCTGCGGGCAACGGTTGCGGAAGACAAGACCGGTGACGGCTTCGTGCTGCGCATCTTCAAGCAGCCGAGGAACATTCAAGGCTCCTCCGATGCCAACCTCCAACATATCCACTCCTTCGGTCTCCAAGGGCCCGCGATGCCGGTCGTCGAATGGGCCAGTGCCGGACCCCATGTCTCTCTCTGCCTGCCGCAACTGGTCGCTGATACCACATCACTGGGACACCTCTGGAGAGATTTCTTATGCTTCTTGTCAGGTGGGGTCCCAGCACCCAGGCTGCTCTTTCCACATTATCTAAGGCTTGTTAGGGAAAGAGCAAGCCAAAAGTCGGCCGAGTTCTGGGCCGACACTCTGCAGTCCCTTCCCGACCTGGTCCTCCACTCCTTCCCCCTGGAGCGATCCGGCACCTTCCAGAACACTGCCGCGGCAAGCTCCGTTGCCATCAGCGGGTCGTCGCTCCGAAGATGTGCGAAACAACTGGGTGTTTCGGAACACGCCGTCGTGTATGCTGCTCTGGGTTTGGTGCTGGAGCGACATTGTAACCTGGGCAGCGAGGTTCACGATATTGCTTTTGTTGCCGAGGGGAGAGACAGAACTATCGAGGGCCATGGCTCTGTTATTGGGTATGCCGATCAGGAATATCCATTGAAGCTCCATGTGAAGCCTGAGCTCACTGCAGCTGCATTGATCAAGGAGGCTGACCGTCTCAACACGTTGTCGGCAACACATGCCTTCTTCGCCACTCCCGAACTCATGGATGCCGTTTCTGCAAGCAGTTTCAAGGTGTCTGTTGTTGTTGTTGGAGATGACGAAGTCTTGACGCCCTACTCTGGCAACAGCCACCATCCTGTGACTATCGCGGTACAAATTAGCCATGCCATATCCGTTTCTGCACAACACGACGCATCCATCCCGCCAGAGAAGATGATGGTGGTTCTTGACCATCTCGTGATGGCTCTGTCAGAAATGGTCAGGCATCCCAACTTCAACCTTGGTGAGATCGACATCATATCTCCAGAAGAACTGGATCTCATGCTTGAGATGGGCAAGCCTCTTACTCGGCCCGTATACGACAACGTCCACAAGCTCTTCGAACGGCAGGTGCGCCTGACACCAAATGCCCCAGCTCTCCAATTCGAAGGCGACCGTCCACTGTCCTATGATGAGCTGAATCGCATCAGCAATCGGGTTGCCAGACAGCTGCCTGTGGGCAGGGGCTCCTTTGTTCCAGTTTGTCTGCAGAGATCAGCAAGCCTCATCATCTCCCTCGTGGCCATTCTCAAGACAGGAGCGGCCTATGTAACCATGGATCCTGACACACCTCAGGACAGGAATAACTTCATTGTGGAAGATGTCGGTGCCCAGGTTGTCATTGTTGACAGAAACACAGCCGGCCGGTTCCCAGGTCGTGAGGTAATAATCGATCAGCTCATCGCGGAGTCGGCCCGGGCTGACGATACAAACCTGGACCGTGGTTACGAACCTGACGACCCAGTTTACGTTATCTACACATCCGGGTCGACAGGGAAGCCAAAGGGCGTTCTTCATATTCATTCTTCAGCAACTTCCGGCCTTGCAGCCTTCCCAACACTGCCTGATCTTCGCCAACTCCTGTTCCACAACCCTGTCTTCTCGGCGGCCCAGCGTTCGGTATGGTCTACTCTGAAGCAGGGCGGCTGCCTGTGTCTGGCCAGCAAGGACAACCTCACCGTCCACATTGGGCGCACCATCAACCAGATGCAGATCAATGTGATAGATGTAACGCCTTCAACTGCCCTCCTCCTCACCCCCGGCACCGTCCCGTGTCTCAAGCGCATGACAGTTGCTGGCGAACTGATCAATCCGGCACTGATTCCAACTTGGGTTCACGAACTCGAGCTACTGAACGCTTATGGTCTAAGTGAAAATACCCAGGTGAACTGGAGGCGAGAGATGATCCTTGGCCAAAACCCTCAAAATATCGGCCGGCCAAGCGATACCACCACCTCGTTCGTGCTCGTCCCCGGCACAACACGCCTTAGCCCGCTCCTCGTCCCGGGAGAGCTCTGTCTAGGTGGCCACCAACTTGCACTTTACTATATCAACCGCCCAGAAAAGACGGCTGAGGCTTTCATCGACAACCCCTTTGGTCCCGGTCGTCTGTACCGGACAGGGGACATGGTAGTCGCCCACGAGGACGGGTCGATCGAGATGGTCGGCAGAATTGACTTTCAGGTGAAAATCAACGGACAGCGTGTCGAGCCTGGGGATTCCAACACAATCTTACAGACCCACCCGGATGTCACGAACTCCAGCGTGGTCGCCGCCGAAATCGCCGGCCGCAAAGCACTCGTGGCTGCCATTGTTGCGAAGAGGCCGGCTTTGGAATGGCCACGCTTGCGAAGCGAACTCAAGGATCTCCTGGCTCAGCATATTCCCAGTTACATGATGCCAACCTACTGGCTGTTGAGGCAGGAGCTCCCCCTCAACGTGAATGGAAAGGTCGACATCCCGCAGCTCACCAAGGACGTCCAGCGTCTTGAAAGAGCCACTCTTCTACGTTCCTCTACAGATCATCATCTGGACCATCACCATGACACGAACGGCGCCCCCTCAGAAGACGAAACCCTTAGCCACCTCCCATCCCATACCCGCCGGCTTTGCGACATTTTTGCCGATATTCTGAAGCTTCCTGCATCACGCATCGCCAACAGTAACAACACCTTCCAAGAACTTGGAGGCTCATCTCTGGATGCTATCCATGTTTCAACCAAGGCCTATCATGACGACATCCAAATCTCAGTCGGCGACATACTTCGACTTCCTCTGCATGCGCTGCTCAACCACGCGAAGCAATCACAGAACAATTCCCACTCGGACGTCCCGCGACTGTCACTGCTGCCACAAAACACCAGGATAAGCAAGATGGACGACGTAGAAGATGCTTACCCGACTACCTCGTTACAGGATACCTTCTTGGCCGACGCACTGCAGGGCAAATCAACCTATGTTTATCGCCGTTACTATCGTCTGCAGGGCATATCGGCCCAGCAGGTCCGACTGACTTTGGAGGATCTCATTCCACGCCTGCCTTTGCTCAGGACAACGTTTGTACCGCACAAGACATCCTTCCTCCAAGTCATCAGGAAGATGGCCGTCCCTTTATCGTGGGAAGACCTTCCCCTCACAACGGCCCATGAGTATTCAGAGCTCCAGAAGAGATCCATGCAACTGGGTGGCAACTTTGTGCAGTTCGCCAGCCTGAAGGATGACATCTTGGCTGTCACC